CCCCATTCCCCCCATTCCCTCCTTTTCCACCATACCCTCTTTTCCCCTCGTTGCCCCCAAATTTTTACGCATTTCCCCATTAATGCGATGATCCCAGCGCGAAAGCATCTGTGATTAAGACGTCTATCAATTTATACTCGTTAGGGTTTTTTCTTCGGTGGTACCATCTGGGCGCCTACGCATCTGTCATATCTTCCTCTCGCCTACCAGAGCCATTAGGGAAATAGCTTCAGAGCTATGCTTGTTTTGGTTTTGACAGAACCTTTCCGATGTCGAGATCGCCGAAATTGCCGGATTGATATTGGTTTCGGGAAATCATCCGTCCCGCTGAACTGTTTCTTTATCTTCCGTCGCATTTACTTAATCCCGGCTGTATTGATCATATCTGACTTTCTATCTTGCGCCGTGTACCTGCCGTTAGCACCCCCCGTAGCCTCTCTATCCCCGTTTCCGGTATACTCTTGCAGCAGAGCAGCTCTGGCATACCACTAAGCGCGTATGTAGAGGCTTCGTTCATGCAACATTTGATCGGGGAGATTTATTTTCTTGGGAGACTCCAAGCCGTTCTTGCAGACCTTTTGCCTGCGGTAGCGTGAAGCGTGCACTATTAGTCCACCGCGAGGAAGCCTACGCGCAGACGCAGCATGCCCGCTTGTAGTCACGAAATCAATTGCTATGCCGATGAGATGCTAAGGTGCGTCACATCACTCTCAACTGAAATTCAGACGGATGCCAGGCGGGTAGAGTCTCCCGGCTCGCAGACCTCCTACCTAAATAGAATTGTTTGACCATACGCGCAAATTTCTTCCTCTTAAACTTTACAGTAGTTTGCGATGATAGTTGCTGTCCTTTTTGGTACTTATTTTTTTCTATGTCGTGCGCTTTGGTAATGCATTGCGAAATCTGGCCGTCACGTCACTCCACGTGCGTCTCGCCCATCACGAGAAACATGTTAATATCCTCTTCTGGAGCGACTGCTCTATATGGGCCACTTGCATGTGCTATGCAATCGTAGCAAAGTACAGTTTTTGCTTCAATGGCGTTTCGGTCTTCAAGTAAGAGTATTCAACTGGTTCTCGCCGTTCGAAACAGAAGCGTCCAATGAGTTTTTCTCAAAAAAAAAAGTTAGAGTTATGTAATTGTTGATAGTAGGTTTTGGTTGGTCTTTGTTGCCGGATGAAGGAAACGAAACGAGACATAGTGCCTAGCGAAGACGATCAGGAATGAAGAAGAAGCAAAAGGGGAGACCTTTTGTCGATAGCTGCAATAGTGCCGTCTAGACGACGAGATGGATGTAGAATCCTGTCGTTTCCAACATATCAATGACCGGTTTGGCTGAATTTTGCGAGACGCTATCAGAAACAATATCGATTCGTACGCCAGGTATCTTTGTAACTTTTCTCCCTAAGTCTGAAGCATTTGGAGAGCGACCTGCTTTGCGACGTAACGCACATCGCAAAAGTGATGTTTCCGGAAGTATTTTTTCAAAAGACTTTCATAACCCACCTGAATTGTTCTACTGGGGATACATAGAGGAGAAATGAGCGTGTGCATCCCTTCTTCCAAAATTACGCCAAGTACCTCGTCAGCGGTGCTGGACACAAGGGTGACGCAGAATTTTAGGAATACAGGGCAACGATATGCCCCACGAATATGAGGAACCATAAGATCGTAAACATCGATTCTTTAATGATACGCGTCGTCATTGCGCTGGATCCGGGCCTGTTTCGCGAAGGGATGCGGGCAATCATCGATGGTACCAAGAACAATCGCTTGCATAAACCGGAAATCATATTCGTCGACAAGAGGTCATCACGGAGGAGAAAGAATGGGGTTTGTGTTATCCGCGCCTCTGTTCTAAACCATCGTTCGATCTTGGGGCTTGTCAACCCAAGAGGAAAGCTCTCAGATGTAATCAAAAAAGACGAAGTGAGATGTTACTCACTCATTCTGCCCTACTTCATGGTTTTGGACAGAGTACTCGAACGCGAGGCCGAAATGGAGCCAACTGTGGAAAAAATGACGGATGGGAGAATCGACATTGATGTGCTTCTCCAGATGCGCTTCATTGTCGTCCAGTTATTCGAGTTCGAGTCACATTTTCTGTATATCGACGTTAGAGTCCTTTACGCCTTTATGACAAAGATTTGTCCAGAGCTCGATATTAGCAACGAAGAGGTCACCGGCAAGACCGGACACATACTGGAAAAATGTTTTCTATTTCAAGCGTAAGAAACCGGCCAAAAAAAGGTACCACGGGTGCGATCGATAACGATGGGTTATACATACATTGACAATATCAGCGGTTGCAGGCACTTCGTCCTATCCCGTCTTCGTTATCGCCATTGCCGAACCACGAAAACAAGAAGAAAGGACACGGGACGTATATCCCCCACGAAAACGGCTTTCTCGTCGGCCTTAACCCCTGGAAGAAGGATATCATTACCATCGCTGTACCCAAGCGTGCGGATGATAGTACTGGAGGAAACTTACGTCAGAAAGAGATGCGTCTGTTTAGGTTTTCGAGGGTGAGATACTACCGATAGTCGGGTATAATGAATGAGAGGAAGGATTTTGAGGCGTGGAACGCAGAAGTGCAAGAGAACCTTGAGGCTATTAGCTAGGTAACGAGCCGAGGAGCGGACTTACAAGCTTCTTGGGAGTTCCTGGAAGTTCGTGTTGCTCATTGCGTGGCGCTGTAGGCGGAGTATCCAAATGCCCGGTGGGTTCGTCTACGTATGAATCTATACTGTGAGCATCAGCGTGCGCTAGCGAACTTTTTCAATCAGTTGAGAGCCTTGAAAAAGGCCGAAAGTCATAGGTGCGTAGTAGCATACGGAACAAGGCGCTGGAAGAACCAAAAAGGAATTACGCCGGCTCCAACGACAAGAACATACAAGGAGTGCGCAAGGCGTTTCGTCACGATACATGTAGATGAGTTCCGAACCTCGTAGACACACCATGAACTGGGGTGTACATTTCAAAGGGTCGAGATGGAAAAGTGCCAGCGGAGGCCTGAGGATAGAAAAAAGAACGGACCGCTGACAGACGAGCAAATGGAAAGGAGGTCAAAAGTTCGTGGATTGCGTGCGTTAGTAAGTACAACCAGTGACGGCAAGAGACGGATGGAGTTCGTGAATCGTGATTTTAACGCCGCTATCAATATAAGCAGATGAGCGGTGCTGGAGAAGAGACCTCCAGCGTTGACACGAGAGAACTTTGTTGGACAACCTCTCAAAGTCGAACTATATCAGAAGAAGTTGGAAGCAGTAGTGGGTGGCCGCTCCAAAAAGACGGGGACGTCTGCACATTGGTTAATGACGTCTAGTCTAGGGCGGGCTTCTCGCCACTACTGTACACGGTCCGCATCATCCGTGTGAGTCCACTCGCGCTTCTATTTCGCTACACTGATTGCTTGCATCTGGAACGATTACCCTTACAGAGTTGCGGCCGGCCACTCCGGTCCTTTAAGTCCAAACAAACAACTGGAGACGCCACTCCAGCCGCCAAAATACTCCATCTGCCATCGCTGCACCGTCCAATACAGTTTGCGCACAGCTTGCGCCGGGTGGAATAGCCCTTGCGTCAGGTAGGCATTCAGCACTCCTGCGCCCAGCGCTATTCCCAATGCTTGCACCGAAAACGCTACCGCATGTTCTAGGTGCGTGTCTTCCGGCGAAGATACCTGGGCTACGTACGCCGGCCAGACGTGGTTCAGCAGATGGAGCATCGCCTCCTCGTAGCCGTGCCCCACCAGCGCCAGAGCAAAGTGTCCCGTCGCCTCGCAAGCCAACTGTCGGTGCGTATCGTAGCGTTCAATCAGCGCCGATTCCAACAAACGCGTCACCGCATACACCTGGAGAGCATTCCACGACCGATTCGCATCACCGGAAAATGCGCAGTAGAACCCGACGGATTTCAGGATCCCAGTTTGAACATTCTTGTCCTGCTCGCCGATGTAAGCATCCAGCAGCTGCGCTAGCATCCGGTCGGGGCTCTGTAAGGTCGCTATGGCGAGCGCAACGGATGCAGCGACACGCATCGAGCGATCGGTTTGTCGAAGTGCAGCAAGCAAGGTTTGCCCTAGCGAGTCAATTTGGCCAAGCACGCGAGCGACGGCACCGTATGCATCAACCGCCCGGTAGCGCACTTGGCGCCGCTGGGCACCGAGCGCTCTTCGAAGCTCCTGGGCAACACGCAGCCATTCCGAGTCTGGAATACTGGAGCCAGCATGACGAGCAAGCACCATCACAACCAGAGCCGCCGCAGCTTGTACCTCTTCGGCCGGATTTCGTAAGACAGGAACCAATCGGGAGAGAATCTCAGCGAATGGAACCTCCGACGGCGGCAGGTAGGCAGTCAAATGGTCCAAAATGGCACCCAGTGCTTCTAACATGGCCGCCAACGCCTCCGGATACACTTCATTGTAGCACTCTGCGAGGACGATACCCAGACGAGCGAGTGCATCCGCATCTCCGAGTTGCACCCACATGGGCACCAGTCTGCAGACGAGTCGTGCAGCCTCTGCACGAGTCGCAGCCGCTGCACTCTGTAAACGAGCCACTAGCAAATGCACCAGCGTCTCGGACCACGGTACGACGCGGGCACCCAACATCCACAGAATCGAGCTCACGTGGCGGTAGGGAGTCGGCGCAGAACGCCGCAAGCACTGAAGTAGACCCTGGATCAGACGGCGCTCAGAAGCCGGCTTCAGATCAAGCTGGCCACGCCCGCTCCGCAGCACCTGCCGCACCGTTTCCAGTAACAATAGGACAATCACGGGATCAGCATCCGCCGCGTCCAAGCAACAAACAACATCATCCGTCAACACAGCAGATACACCAACCCGCTCAGACATAAGTGCCGCCACTCGAGCAAGCCGCCTTCGAACAGCGCTGCGTGCTGCCGCCCGACAGACGCTTCGCTCCGGTCGCAGGAAACACATCTCCAAAAACTCTCCTAAAACGTTCGATGCTAAGGTGTCTTCGGGTATACTGCCGTGAACAAGCAGCTGTTCAAGGACACCAACAGCGCAGTGTGTGCGCATCGCACGCATCGTTGGCGCCAAAAGCGCCGCTGCATGAAAGGCGCGTTCCTCCAATGGCATGCAGCGAATCAGCGCAGCTGCCGCTGAGAGAAACGCCACCAACGTTCGATCATAATAGGCACGCACGCCGTCCCAAATGGGTGCACGCAGCGCCTCCAGGGAGGCGGAATCTTGCGCAGACACCACCGTAGCTAGCGCCGCCACAGCACGTGCACCAGCAAGTTTCACGAGCGGATCCGGATCTGAAACAAGGCGCAGCACGAACTGCACAAAACTTGGTAGATGTGGGTGCAGATCCCCACTCCATCGCGTGGCCAGGAGGCGTAGTGAAAGCGCAGCGGTTTCCCGCGGTAGCGATCCGTACCGCCGCGAGCTCAGCATCGCTTCGAGAAGCGGTTGTATCGTAGCGAATCCTGCACTGGACGCCAGAAACGCAATGACATGAGCGGCGCAGAGCCGAATCAGGTACTCTGGTGATTCGAACCAGGGCCGTATAGCTTGGATGATCGGTGCAACGCCGACCAGGCGGAGAAGTGACCTCAGTAGGGAGGTATTCTCCGGCGCGTCTGGGTTCATTGCGCGATCCAGGTCGATATATGACGTTGGCGCTTCGTGCTCTCGTCTCGCCTGACGTTCGACGGACTTGTCTTCGAAGTTTGAGGTTCGGTTTGGATCGAGTTCGGGCAGCCTGCCCAGCATCGTCAGATGAAGGAGCTCGCTAACGTACAACCTGACATGTTCTCCAGCGGCGTCGGCGAAGCGGGGTAGCGCACGCATCAAAGCCAGCGTCGCCGTGGCGTCCCATTCGCCAGCGCGCCAGAACGCGAAAAGTGTTCGGAAGACACCGCCGGCATCGCCTCTGTTCGTGATAGCATAGGTTAGAGCGCGTTGTGCAGCTTTCCGCTCAGCCAGAACACTGGCGTTTTTCAGCTCCAACACGTGCTGCACGATAACCTCAGAGGCGTGGTTTTCCCGAACCAGAGCGCCAGCTACCGCCTCGTCCACGGCAGTGCGACACGAACGTAGCGTTGCCACCGACAGCAAACCTTGGGCTCGAGTCTGTTCAGGCTCAGGTCCATCAGTAGACTTTGATGACTCGGAAACCGTTCCTGATTGCACACTCTCACTACTAGTCCCTGGCACGACACCGTCAACAACCACAGTCCAGCGGGTCCGTTTCCGTGCCTTCTGTGGAGCGCTCTGCATCACGACTGGTCCATGGAGTCGTTCAAGCGAGCTTTCCAACGCTTCCATACCCGGTTACGCGGAACCCGACCATAACACAAGGGTCAAAAGAAGCGCAAGCCTGACACAAAACGGTTTGTAGGGTCAACCGGCAGAAACCTGGCGTCACGTACGTCCAGCTCGCGCTACCTCGAATGGGCGGGCAACGCGGAACGCTACTTTAGCGAATCGCTGGGTATTCAGGAACCCCTTGGTGACCTCAACTAGCCGTTAGATAACCAGTTGTTGGCAGTTCGTTGTGAACGAACCTATCGGAGTCACGTCGTCCATTGCGAGCCGACCTGAATCTTGACGTTTTCATGGATCTCCATGGGTCTTTCACACGTGCGAGCTGCGGTGGTGCTTGCCGGCCGACCTAACGTGGGCAAGTCGGTGCTGTTCAACCGACTCGTTGGCAAGGCCTCGAGCCTGGTGGACCCTCGAGCGGGCTGTACCCGCGATGTTCGCAGTGCCTATGGTCGGCTTGTGGACCTGCGTTTCCGTTTATTCGATACACCCGGTCTTGAATGGCTGCCAGAGCGTGTGCAACGTGGTCGCTTGCCGGCGGCAAACAGCTTGCCTAACAGCAAAGCAGCCTTTGGCGACTCTGGACCAAACCTTATGCAACAGTTCGCCCACAGCTTGGAGTATTCTGTCGCGTATGAGAGCCTTTACGCCCGAGTGCTTCAGCTGACTGAACGGTTTCTTCGGACCCTGAGCTCTCGAGCTAAGGACAGGACGCTCGCGCTCTTCCTAGTGGACGCTTCCCAGGGAGTCGTCGCTGCAGATCACCAGATCGCGAGCCTACTTCGCAGACTAGCACTACCCACCGTTCTAGTGCTGAATAAGTGCGACATGCGCGCCGCAGACTCTGGCACAGTGGCTTCGTTCGCGGAGTTGGGCTTTCCCTCTAGTGTACCAATCAGTGCCTTGCAAGGCGAAGGCTTCTCCGATCTATATCACGCAATGCAGCCTTTGGTTGATCACATGAACAGTGACGAGACCGTAGAGGCTTGCCGTGCAAACGCTCACATATGCGATATTCCGCGCAAACGTGATGCAGAGTGCGCTGCCAACACACACCCTGTTCAACCTGAGCGCGAATTTGCATGCGGTCATGCAGCCTCGACGTTGTCACACGACGGCACAACATCGCATGCGGGGCTAGTGTGGAATACCAATGGAGCGGCGCTGATTGCATCCCAAGACACCAGGCTGGCCCCGTCCGCACAGCGTCTGGCACTCGAGTCGTCACCGTCCAGCATCGATGAGACTACGACGTGCGCTGCTGACGCGCGTAGCGTGCACCAGACATCGCCGCACGACCCCCAAGGGACGTTACCTGCGCGGTATCTGACCAGCACTGATACGGCACCGGTATCCGGTGATCCCATGATGGACGAAATAGACAGTCCAGCGGTAGCCGCAAACAGTCATCAGATTCGCCTAACCATTGTTGGTCGACCGAATGTCGGCAAGTCGACGCTGGCGAATGCGCTTCTTGGGTACGAGCGTTTCCTGACCGCGCCGTTTCCGGGCGTAACCCGCGATGCCGTCACAGTGGCCAGCTCACGCTACGGAGGCTTTCTGGTTACGGATACCGCTGGAGCGCGGCGTCGAACTGCGGTGGCCGGGAGTCGTGCAGCAGACGCAGCACCTGACCCGCTCGAAACGGGTGCCTATGCGCAGATGCTTACGAGTATCGCCACGGCCACTGCTTGTGGCCTAGTACTCGATGCAGCGGAGATTGCTCTAGCCTTGCAGCAGTCGAAGGACCCTCGCCGTTTGCTGACTAGTATGGAGCACAGTTTGATCCAGGAGGCCACGGAGTTACAAGGAAAGCCGCTTCTACTCGTGCTCAACAAGACAGACCTTCTCGAAAACAAGGAGCAGCAGAGAAACGTTGAGCGAGCTATTCGTACGAGACTACAGAGTAGCGCTCCGGAGGCGCGCCATGCACCGATCATCGGCCTGAGTGCGGCGTGTCTTTCTGAAGATGATGCTGGGAGCCTCTTTTGCACCGTGCGTGAGCTTGTGCATTTGTGGAGTGGCTCCTGGTCTAGAGGCGAGCTCTCTCAGTGGTTATTTCAGGCGACGAGGCGCTATTCGCCACCAGTGCATGCCAAATTTGCCTATATGATACAAACTGGCAGGCGGCCTCCGGTCTTCACTATATTTGGGGTAGCGGAGCATTACCTGTCGCCGGTCTATCGAAGAACGCTTTTGAATGCGCTCAAGCTCGATTTCGGGCTGCAGAAAGTCCCCGTCAAACTTTGCTTTCGAAGTCACTAAGCACTTTGCGTAGAACGGGAACATACGCCAAGCGCATAGCTGTTGTGATCGACCCCAGTGAACGAATGCGCATTTGCGACCTTGGCTTCTATGAGCTCGTTGCGCTCGAATCGCTCGCTGGCATTGTAGTATGGCGGAATACATGTCGCACACTCTGGTTCGATATTTGTAAAGCGCTTTCGACGTAGATCAGAGACCGTGAATCATATGAAATATTGAGTTAAGATCAGAACAGAATCTAGGAGGCTCATCCAAAGAGGCGACGACTTTCACAGCAAAAGCGCATGCGTCGCCACTTGCCCTCTCTAAGCAGAGACATACGAGTTTCTAGCTGCTTGTTCGTATTGATATCGATGGCTGCCATGAAGGCCACAAGAAAGGAAGATATTTCGACAACATTGCTCGATTGTTGTTCAAATACACCATTCGAGATTCTGGGGTTTCCGATCGTTTCTCCAGCTTCTTGATAAGCATGCTAGATTCCAAGCTCGCCTACGCTTTACTGGATCCTTCGGAATGCAGGCGAGATCTCTGCCCCGGGGTCGGATCCGCTTGCAATCCCACGACCCGACGTCATGGGTGACAATCTTGTCGATCGACGCAAGCTCCGCATACGAGCACCATGGCGTATTGGGCAATATTCCCGTTGCGACTTGCGCAAACCGCCGCATCGAATCCTTCTGCGATGACTCGCGGGCTGCTCTCGAATCAGTAGAGAACTTAACGAGCTGAGAACAGCATGATCGTGGACAAGCCGACGACGGCTGCAGGCTGCTCATCTTGCATCGCTTAACGCGATACCATCGAAACATACGCATCGCCATCTCCAACATTGCAACAAGTCATCGGCCATTCGCATCCGGTAGTGCAGCAAAAGCGGTGCGCTCTGCGGAACTGCCGCATAAATGAATGCGCAACCGATAGCTCGAAATCCGTGTGTGCATATTGAAGATAACGCATCTACGAGGTATGCAGTATTCTTGAGTTGCTTGCATGGTCATTCCGCGACAGCAGGTCTTCATGCGTTGTCATTCCCTTCGATACAACGACTCTGCCCACACAGGAGCATCCTACACACCCCCTAGTGTGAATGGAGCACACGAGTCGAGGGCTAGCGCGCTCTATTCCTGTACATTGTTACCAAAAAGATAAGCTTTTCACTGGCATGTGGGGTAAATGGATAGCCCAATCTTACAGCTGCCTCCCAGCCTTTATCGACTGGCCGCCTGCTACCGCTCTGGGTTTCTCGTTCCATACTTCGAGCCGGAAGCGTATCCCCAGAAACCTGGTTCGTGTCAGTTCCTCGAATCTCGTTTTCTACATCGTACATTGTCCGACATTGGTGACGGTGTCAAAGTTTCGGTTTCCGAACTCCTCTCGTTTACTGCCTCTGGTAGAGGTGATCAATGCAAGGATCATTCGAACTCGCGCCCTGTGTGCCAATACACTCCCGCCACCATCCCGAATCGCAAGCACCTTTTCCCGCCTATCTGCCCTGTTCTGTGCTCGCCCGTCGGCGAGAACAGAATTTTTTGCTTTTCTTCCCGGCAACCGGGGATGACGGCCTTCAAAAATCCCCGACTTTCTTGTCAATACCTTTCGCTTAGACTATTAAATTCTCCGAGTGAACGCGCTTTGAATGTATCAGCTTAAAGTCGCGTCAAGCATTGGGCTACACGCACCTGAAGATGGAACGTACTTCAATTGAATGCCAATAGTAAGCATTTTATGAACAAAATGGACTTGCGGATGCAGCGATCGCCAACGCATGTGGACTACCCCGGATGCGCGCTCTGCTACGTAAAGTGTGGTGTGCTATTTTGTCTCTTCTGGAAAAAAATACAATTATATCCATTTAGCGCCCATATCTGGCGCAAGACCGATGCGGGTTACGCGTCGTGCCGCGTCGCGCGGCGACGCTTTCTCCGGCAGTCGCCTCGTGCGACGAAGCGTGGATAGCTGTTTGTGCGTTTCTCAGCGACACCCATGGCGATCGTCTTGAACGAGGGAGAGTTTAGGTATATTCTCCGCATACTCAACACGAATATTGATGGAAAACAAAAAGTGGCGTACGCTCTAACGGCGATCAAAGGCATTGGCAGACGGTTTGCGGACTTGGTCTGCAAGAAAGCGGAAGTGGACCTTGGTAAACGCGCCGGGCAGCTCACTGACGAGGAAGTGGATCGCATCGTGACGATTATTCAGAACCCGCGGCAGTTTAAGATTCCGGACTGGTTTTTGAACCGGAGGAAGGACATCCGGGACGGCAAGTACCAACAGCTTGTGTCGAACAACTTGGACTTCAAGCTGCGCGAGGATCTCGATCGTATGCGAAAGGTCCGGCTTCATCGAGGCTTGAGGCACTTTTGGGGAATTCGTGTGCGAGGTCAGAAGACCAAGACAACCGGCAGACATGGCAAGACCGTAGGTGTATCCAAGACTCGAGCGTAGAAGCTTAACCGCGCGCCATTAGCTTGCGAGCCAGGCAGCTAATCAGCGAACGACACTTTGCTGGTATGGCGAGATCCGCGCTCGCACTACTCATCGTCAGCGTTGACCTGGCTTGTGCGCCAAGTATGGTTACATGAACACTTGCATGATAGAAAGCCGCGAGAAGCTGGTTATCGCCCGTGTCTCTGTCCGTCATGGTCGCCTGCATGCCTCGTGAGCATTCGACCTCGGCCGACACTTCACACCGAAGGGCTTACTGGTTCAGTGTAATGTTCGTCGAGCTCTGCAAGGGTCCCCCGCCCAAAGGGTCCTCGACGAGCCTTACTTTTTCCTGCAGTTTGATGGGTGAGCACTTTCATAGCGTTGATGATAGATGTTTTTGCAGAACAATGGCGCAGGTGCCTTCCACCATACTCAAGTTGGAGACGCATACCCACACATGGTAATCGGAGCGAGAACCGTTCAGATTTGAGAACTTTGTGCCTGGAAATTTTTCGCGTTCCTCGCAGCTCGGTTGTCTGCATCTCAAAAGTCTACGACGCAGATACCCGAGGCTGCCAAAGACCCTCGCTAACGCGACGCGTCCAACAAGATCGGACCGAGCTCTGGGCGTATTGCACTGTAAAAGGCGCATCGATGACAGGCGGACGAAGGCACTCTGCAGCAGATGGAGTTCGTGGCTGCGCCACTTGGTCTAACGGGTACTTGATATGTATCCTAGTCTCGAGTGCGTTTCGATTGTCTCAGCGTTCCGTGGTACCCGAATCTAAAGTTTTCATCTGTTGCTCTTGCCAGTCGTCGCGCTAGAATCAGAACGCAAAGTTCTGCAGCATGTATATCCGCAAGCACTTTCTGTACTTGTTTGTTTTCTCGCAGGTATCCTACGAACGGAATGTATCCTGCAGATTGGCCAGAGGTCCCAGAAACTGCTGATGCTGTCGCTTCTAGCTTGCGAGAGATGCGCACGCGTCTGCAAGCCAGTGATTCTGCGATGAGCAGGTGTATGGAGCACGCTCCCCGAAGTCGTAATGCTGGAAATCTTGCAAGTAAAGTACAAGTCATCCAAGCTGGTTTTTCACGACTGTCTCCTCGCCAATCCATCGTACTTCATAGGTTAAACGAGAAAGTCTACCAAACATGCCACCGGGGCTTGGGTTTCCGCACCACTGATACGAACGGCGATAAAGAGGCTCTGATGGACAAAGGAACATGCACGCTTCCACGAAAGACCATCATACGTTGAGCAAAACACAATCGATTTCGTACTGAAACGCGAATGCACCTTAACGTAGGGACGGGTTCTCGTCCCACTCGATGATACTACATTTCGGGGAATTGGTAGACCTGAAAACTGGTACTTAAGGACAGGCGATCCGCTGTTCGGAAAGAAGAGACAAGAGAGCATTCCAAAGGTATCAGCCCGAGCGCCGATGCTATTATATGCCCGCCAACAAGTCGCCTGCAAGGCAGCTTCCTTCGAAACGTCACCCTTTGCGCTCGCGTGCACTTCCGTGCTGGTGCTAGGTAACGTCAATGTGCATCTCTCAAATGCGTCTCATGAGTAGGCATCGGAGACTAGCGATGGGATGCCCGGCGTGGTTGCGTTTTCTCTCTGCTCCAGTGTGGTCGAAAGCGTCTTCTCCGTTGTCATACAACCATCATGTCCCTTACGGATGCATACAAAGATAGTTCGCATCCGTGATGCCAACGTCCTTCGACAATAAATTCTCTACCTTTATCAGCCCTGGACTGCTATCCTGGCAGTCCACTCATACGCGGGATGCAGCGGATAAGCTCGCTTGGATCCGTGGGCGTGCTCGCAACGGAACAATTGATCAAAGCGCACTTGAGGAATCGTTCATACATGCCGAAGAAAGGCGAGTTCTAAAGCAGACGTCCCCCTAGTGCTTCGGAATCATGAGCCAAAATCGAGTATGGACGATTTCGAGCACAACAATGCAACCGCGTTTAAGAAAAGAGAATTCGAGGAAATCACACGCCTATGAAGAGCAAGGGAATTCGAAGAACCTTACGAGGAATGACCGGATGGAAGCACTGTCCATGCAGAAAGCTCCGTCTGAAACTGTTGTCAAGGCCTCACAACTGATTCACGTCAACGGGGAGAATCTTCCACGAAATGAGATTCGGGACTGCATTGAAGATTGCACAAATTCCCAGACGAGGATTGTTCGCCTTGCCACAACTCGTTGGGCAACTGTAATTAGGACTCACGGACACAGCTCTGCCAACGGTCCACAAACTTCATGAATCTATCCACCAAACCTTTGAGCGTAACGAAATCTGATGCTCGAGTCCTATCATTGAGCATCTCCTGATCCGAGGATCATAGACATATACGCAAGCTTCCACGAATACTTCGATGCATCGCAGCGCCGCGTAGGCGCCCGAGAGAAATCTCCAGCACCGGTGCCACAAAGTATAACAGCAAGCGAGAAAACAAAAACATAAGCAGCTCAATATATCGAGCGATTCATGTGGCACAAACTATCGGCTTTGTAGCGGAGGAAAAACGAGTTGATGGAATGGTTTCCTGGGGTATCGATGGAGGCAAATGACAAGCTGGTAATGGCGGAAGCGCCCGAGCTGGTAGCGAGTACGGATCAGGTGACTCTACAAGAGAGGGTGTGTGCATGGGCCTCGTCAGATCTTCCAGGATCGACGTGTTGTTCTCGACCCCGGGCCATTGGACGTCGAATCAGCAGCATGATTGAAACGTAACGTCTGACTTGCTCCCATTTTGCGGTCCTACGTTTTCCTGAACAGTGCGATCCGGGCGAATCAGAATCGCTCTCAGAGTGAGAGCGCCCCTGGCTCGCCAACCTCTTATTCAATGCTAATCCGAACATCAGAACAAAACACATGACATTGCTGTAGACTCTACTGTATGGTACTCATTTGTTCTGGTTTGACTTTCAGAACGCCATCGCTGGCACCCGCAAGCAAGTATGAAGCATTCGAACACGTTCTCCAAGTGCATTTTAGGAGATTGTCCAAGGCCTGTCTCTCACACGCAGGGAATGGACAGCAGTTCACAGCACCGATAGAGGCCGACGGAATATCCATCTGGATACACTAGGTGAAACCTCCACATCGTATGACAAGAGTGGACACATTTTCCGTCATCTAACAGCATTAACGAGAAGGACCCGGTGGTTGACATGGTTCCTCGGCTGCCGGGCTCCGAGGCCGTCTTCGTCCATGTAAAGCCAGAACACGGAACCAAAGTCTTGAACGGCGAGCCGATGAACCTGCTCAACTTTTCCAGCGCTCGGTATCGTCAGGAGTCGGGCACGACGAATGCCACGAAACATACAAAACCAGAGGAAAGACGGCGCATGGACCCAGTTCGACACGCTGAGCACCGAATCGAGCACAGGAGGGATTCGTTGTACGCTTCATTCAGAGCGTACATGAGCGTCCGAATGGCTTATGTGGGCGATCTTGAGCAGGAGCATATGCGACCGTGCAGCGTTCGCCGGCGATTTCGCTTGCGCGGAGCCAAGAAGCTCGTATTCGCCATCTTGTTTCATGAATCAAGCAACAAAATGACTCATACGTCGCATCGTTTCATGGTGGTATCCAGTGGCACTGGACACGCTGTGGCGCGCAGAGGCTGCACGCCGGCTACTTCGACGAGAACGTGTATCGAGTGCAGGAGGCGGTTCCGAGCGATTCCCGTAGGAGCGTTCAAGAAGCCATCCATGCATCACGAGCACGCGTGCCCACTGGAACGTATAGCAACGAGGTGCTTGAAACAGGGATGGATGCACGAGCTGGTGTCCGATAAACTGGCTGGTATGTCCGATGGCGGGAAGATCGAATACTGAAGGCCTGCGGTGGTGTGCGTCGACCAACAACCATGCGCACAAGCACTCTCTGAACCGAGACTCGAAGTTTCCGATCAACATGCAGGAATGCCTCATGTTGACGGAGCGTCCAGCGGGGTGGTATCGAGTGAGCTATCGGCGGCAGTGTTGAGTACACGGTATGCGCATTGCGCTGGGACGCTGAACACTTCACTGGACAATCCCTATGTCGCTAGGAGCCAGAGGCGACTGGATTCTCATTCCAAGCAAGGTAGAGGTGCAGATACACGCGGCAATTTCGCAAGGCTGGAGCTCTCTATCTCTGCACTGGGAACGGTCTCCTCGGGTGTCTGATAGATGATAACGGTATTCCGGCATTCAATAGGAATGCGTATAAGTGTAAAAAGGTTTATATAGTTTTACCACTGAAACAACTGCAAAAGACGCTTTGAGTCCATTTTCTATACGTTTGCTCACCGGCCTTGGACCCCCGATACACCCGTACCAGAATGAAATGGGGCGATTCCACTCATCGAACTCGGCCTTGCACGCTAATCTTTGAGTCCCTGCTCACTGTCATCAAGAACTGCCTTTGCAGACGCTTCCAGCATCTGCTTCCCGTCCCCTTCTCTTACCTATGGCTTTAAATGCGCTTCTCCCTACTTTACCACCATCTCCGTTGTCAGTAGTCTAAGGATGTCGCTGGTAGGACCAAAGCCGCGAATGCACCGCTACCGGCTGACGTCAACGCATGGTACGCTGAGGCAAATTTGCGATCCACGCCTCCTTTGCAATGTTCATTCTCTTGGTAAACAGATCCAGTACGACCCTCATAGCATTGACACATGATTGTGGTCAGCTATTCGCATACGTCGACCGCACCTCCGCCGACTTCTCTGAGCGCCGCTCTATACCATTCGAATGTTTGTTTTATCGCTCGGCACACGCCCTTGCCAGGCAAAAAAAGTCTCGCCTCGATGCCGCAGCCTACGATTGCGGCTCTCTTCTGAGCAATCGCTTTGGCGAGTACGCATTCCAATACATGCGAAAATACATAAAGTTCCATTTGATAGAGGATTTGTAGAACGCGACGTTGCTCATGGTGAAACAAGTTCTGATGAGAGAATCGAGGCTGGAGCTCACGTCGAGAACGTCGACCCGTCGACGCTCCCTTCGTGTCCGGCGGTGACGCATTCGCCTCTTGATACGATCGCTGTGCTACCTGAACTCCGAGTCCGGGTCTGTTTTCCGTGGAAGCAGAAGAAACGGGAGCTTCTGGTACCATATCCAAAGAGAAGCGTCACGCTGCTGTCGTGAAAAGCAGAATCATCGGGTACCACAAAGATAGGCGGATTTATGATCCAAATGAAATCGAGTATTTGAGGCACCGTATTCGGTGAACGTTCGCCATGAATTTGCGAATATTTCCTCTGGGGACGATCCTCGAGAATCACTCTTCATTGATCCCGTGGGCGCGCACTGCTATGCCGTCCAGGTGCCCTAAAAGAGAAGAATCAAAAAACTCAATGAATGCGCGACTTGAGCATGCTACACGTAGGGAAAGGAGAACAAATAAGGATTGTACTCATGAGTTGCATGATGGTTTCGGTTACTTTACGAACTCGTGTTCGAATCCGTCGAGATTCGTTTTGAATCGTGTGACGTGACGAGCACCAGCGGCAAAATGTCGAAACCATCCTTCTAAGAAGCCTATCGAGAATCCCATTACGAATTATGAAAGCGTAGGCCCGTCACAAAAGCGCTTGAAGTGTCGAGGCTACACACCTTGACCCATACTTGAAACAAAACGCAAGGCCGTATCAGACTGGCCAGTTCAGCGTCGCATGCCCGTCGGACTCGCGTGTCGCTAGTCGCAGTACCGGTCGCACGCCTCGTGCCAGGTTTCTGCGATACTAAGGCTCCAAGTCAGCAACAAAACAACCGGATTGTCGCGTTTAGCGTCCAACTGGAGAAAGCAACCGATCTATGAGTGATGAAAACACGGTTTCCGAGCTCGCTGACTTTATTCTTCGGTATCTGCAAGAGCAGACTGCCGGTGCACCAACGGCAGCCGCTGTGCCACAGTCAGTCCTGCTGAACGCTGCTCGTCTCCAGTGGAGCAGCCATTTTCGAGGACCTGGAGGGTCAGACGCAACTGTCGTTGGACGTCAGTCAGCGTCTGCGCTTGAAGAGCAAATCGCAACCGCTCTAAACGCGCTGCTCAGGGCGGGCGAAGTGCAGCTGGTACGCAGGCAACGCGGCTCTGGGGAGCTCATGGTGCAACTCGCCCGAGCGCAACGGAAGCGGCTGGCGGGCCTCACAAACACCGAACGTGCCGTCTATGAACAGATCCGAGCGGCTGGCGAACACGGCATCTGGGTTCGACACATCCGGGGACGTCTCGGCTTGCCACTAGCGGATGTGAATCGAACCCTCAAAGAGCTCCAGCGACGTGAGCTGGTGAAGCAGGTACAAAGTATTCGTAATAAGACGCGTAAGCTGTACATGTTGGCTGAGCTTGAACCCTCTCGCGAGGTCACCGGCGGGCCCTTCTATGATGAGGAAGGCACCTTTGACCACGAGTTCATTCACCGGCTGCGGGAGCTCGTATGGCGACGGCTTCTGCATACACCCTGGACAAGCGCGCTTGAGCTGACGCAATTTCTGAACCAGAGCAATGTGTTGCGCTTCAGTCTCGAAGTTGCTGATCTGGAACAAGTCCTCCAAACCATGTGCTGGGATCTGATGCTCTGTCGAGCAACCGAGGCGAGTGCGATGGTCCGTCAAGTCCGCAGCGCTCGCGGCGATGTGACGCAGCATCAGCAGCAGTTGCAGTCCAGAAGCGTGCAAAAGCCATCCAGAGAACGATGTAGTACTTTGGCTAAGCGCACCTTCTTTTACGCGTGCCTGCATGGACGTGACGGGCTCGCATCTGTGCCCGATGCCTACGTGCCGCCGGAGAGGCTCGGCTTTGGCAATGTGCTCAGTCAAGTGCCGTGTTCCAAGTGCCCAGTGCGAGATAAGTGCTCGCAACAAAATCCCCAGGTCAATGCGCGTCTATGCCCGTACATGGAAGCATGGTCGCGATCCATGTGTACCTGACCTGGTCTCGTGAAAACGCGCTCTCAAAACGGAGCGCGTAGCTGTAGGCAGGAAGACGCAGGCCCCTGCAAGACATCTACACCAGATTTGTCTCGCGTTCGGCACTGTTCAGTCGGGAGAGTTCTCCACGTGCTAAGCGTCTCTGGAGTAAGCGCACATGATACCATCGTACTGCCTTGGCTGTCGCGAACCTGTCCAGGCTGGGAGCACCGAAGAGTGCAGTGCGGCACCTGCCCCGAAAACACCATCGAACGCGTCTGCGTTTTGCGTCTATGGTGTCCGTGCCCGTTTGGAACGTATTGTTGATGTTTTTGATGGTTGAGCTGCTGCTGCTGCTGCTGCTGATGATGATGATGATGATGATGATGATGATGATGCTGTGAAATGCTCTTCCGTGTACAGCGCATTCGATGGACGAAGGAGCCGTTCTACGTTTCAGGGCTTACCCAAGCGACATGTACCCTCTAGAGCCAAGGAGACGTGTCACCGTCGCAAATACGTAATATAGATTCATGGCTACTTGGCGATGCGCATAGCACAAGGACTGTGCACCCCGATGGCATTGCCACGGGATGCGGTGCGGCATCATGCGAACGATACCTCCGCCACAGCACACGAGTTGGCCGCACCAGTGATTCCCCAACGGCCTCGAGCATGTCGAGCCGCATCGCACTCGCCCGGGCCGATAGGCATCCCGTGCACGTGACGAAAGCGGATGTGCATTCGCCGAGACCCGTACCCAGTGTAGTGACTCGAATGCGAGCTACTGTTCCGATGATAACAGCAGACGTCTTGCTTCTTCGGAACGCTTCTCTTCTACCGGCTGACAGGCTAGTCGCCTTGCTCCGCACGTTTGCAACCAACTGAAAACACACCGTCATGATTCTACGGCATGCGCTATAGGCATCAGCGGATCGAACCCGCCAGATGCAGGCAAACGTAGGCGCGCACAGACGAAAAGCGCATTAGGGATGGAACACCAACCGTCATCGTCGACCCGAAGACGCCCGTTTGTGAAGGTTGCAAAGCGGTCTTGTTCATGTCTGGGGCTCGCTGGTAGCCAATCGCGCTGTCCAGTACTCTTCTGTTGAGGCATGGCGCAAGGCTCTTTGGCTCTTTCGCGGAGTTTAGGCGCGGTGACGCAGAGGCTCTTGGACGGCGTTCCAGTGATGATGCGAGCCTGCTCGCTCTGCATACGCGATTGCTGCCGGAAACCAGGGAAGTGATCCCGAATCCTCCTGAAACGCTTGCATGACCCATAAACCCAGGAGCATGCACACGATACCTTGCTGGTGGAGCAGACCCTCTGTCCTGTCTTTGTCGCGACATGAACCCCAGCAGGATCGCTTCCTATCTCCAACGGACACAGAGGCAGCATACCCATCCGTCCTTCGCCGCATGCGTTGATTCCCCAGTCCACGGGTGCTGTCGCCGGACACCTATCGCTATACTGGCGAGCAGGATGTATCCAGCGCCCTGTCGAGCGCAGCAAGTTGCTTACACGCCCGGCCAAGCTCGACTGTCGATCCAGTGCAACGAGTGTACACCAGCTGCACCGTCCACAACCGCAACACACATCGAATATGCTCAGTGGTCTATGTAGCCGGGGTCCGCTAAGTTCCATTGTAGTGGACGATAGTATCCAGATACCTGTGGCAAGCTACTCCGTTCCGCAGCTGGTCTCGAATGCGGAACGCCGAAATGCCTCGAGACGATCCATCACAAGCGAAAAGCGACCCGGATTCGTATCCATCAGGGTGACCAAAAAGCCCTGAATTCGTCGAGTGTTCATGCCTTCCGACGAGTCTACCACGAGGCCGCGATAGGTCATTGCAAACTCAGAAAAAGGCATATCCACTGCTGTGCACGACGTCGACGACGGACCTGGTTCCAAGCGAAACGGCCGGTAAAAGATAGAGCGCTCGCGGATCGGGCTATCGGTTGCAACACCAAACAACCACAGGCGCCCTCGCTCTGACTCATCCCGACAATATAAACGGAAACAGTCATAGTCCGAGAGGTCTACTCGAAGCGGGTAGTATGCGGACACAAAGCCGGATAAACGCTCTTTGTGCTGTGTTGTTCTCTGCGCTTGCGTCTCTGCCGCTATGCTCGCATAACGGCCGGCGGGAACACTCAGACACCCTTGAAACGCCCTACCGTCAGTCCAGTAGGCCTCGCTTTCACCACCTGCACTTGCATCCGTGGAGATCACGACTCCAGCTCGCTGTCTCGGGTCGGCGCTCAGCGGGAACTGAAGCACCACCGTCGAGGACGCCGGCGGCTCCAGAGCGCGTAGTTGCCAGCGCGTTTTCCACTGCCGCACCAGCACGTCCAAAAACTTGTGCATCACACACACACACACATACGATCAGTGAGCTGCTTTAGAACAGCATCCCCAGGCCGATGCGACTCTTGAACGTGTCGAGCGCTCCTGCCTAGGTGCACCGCCCAACAAGGCCGCTGTTTCGAGTCAACAGCACAGCTCGTGCAGCGGCTGCTATCCGCTTCGGAGCGATAGCCAGTTGCGGGTGTTTGCAACAACGGCACCAGCGCATACCGCCGGCCTTGTTTCGGGACGTTCTGTTGAACGTGCAGCATAGCCCGTGTTGTGTGCGTATGGCCTCCTGGTGTACCTACACCCGACAGTGGTGCTTTTTTACGCGGGCTCGTCGAACAGGAGCGCGACCAAAGTACACAGCGCTCGTGGGTTGTACCAGCTGAGAGCTGGGACGTCGTGTCCGCTCGGACTTGACTCACGGTACCGGGGTAAGCGGCGCTTCTCGAGCTGGTTCTTTGTGCTGCAATAGACCTGCCTAGCGTAACGTGGTAAACTGCGGTTGGCATAGTGCGTAACGGTAGAAGCGCTCAGCAGAACCTGTGTGTGTGTGTGCATCAAGGGCGAGCGCTAGTCACTCCAGCACCCCGGGTGAACGGTGTCGAACGAACCGTCTGGCGAGCTCGTTGGCCCTGGAAACACCGCAGAACCGACAACGTGCAACGAAAACGGGATCATCGGACGTCACCAGGCTCCGGGGTAATCGAACCTGCTCATGAAGCTTGTACCTGATGCGTTTCATCCAGGCTACTGGGGGCCACTGCTCAGCGCCCACATGCCTCGCACTGCGTACCTGCCGGTATCCGAGTCGTTTATTTCTGCCCTTCAAAGAGACTCTCTGAACGAGGCTGATGCGGAGCGGTTACAAAGCGACTTTTCTGAGCTCATTCAGGGACTCTCGCACGCCATGGACTACCTCAGAACAGATCACAGCACATCTGAGGGATTTTGTCCCAAACTAAACGGTAAACTGCCCTACGACGCTGCCTGGATACTGGGGCGGCATGCGCCCTGCTGCTATACCTGGAACGAGGCCATGATGGTGCTGCGCGCCTCCAGTCGCATTCATGAGCCAACGAGGACGAGCTGGCAGGGGTCATTCTGTCTAGTGGTGCAACGCTGGGAGCAGATCCACCCGGCGAATGAGTTTCGCTGCTTTATCTCGAGCTGTCGTGTCATTGCCATTTGCCAGCGCCATCCCGACACACCGTATCCCTTTCTGGCGAGGGAGCGCGATCGACTCGTGAATGCGATGGTATCTTTCTACGAGACACACGTTCGACCATTGCACCCGGCGTATGCCGAGTGCATCTTGGACTGTTACTTGGACGATTCTCAGAGTGTGCGCACGCTCGGTATCGATGCCTGGAGCGATGATGCGCTGCTGCTCTTTGAGGTATCGGAAATGGAGGCCTTGCGTGCGCAGGCTGCAGCGGCGTTTCCTGGTCAGCACTCCGACCCGGATGGCCACCGCCAAAGCGAAGCACCCGGAGAGGATGCCACCGGTGCAACGGTTTCGTTTCGCAGCGTTGCCCAGGGTTTCGCTGCGGTACCCTGGGGATGGTCAGAGAAGCTGCCGCTTGAGCTCGGGGACGATTTCTTGCGAGCGCGCATACAGCGCAATGCTTCAGACTAGTTGTTTAGGGGAGAGTCGTGCGAGACGGCGCGGTCTTGCGGCGCGACGTGAAAACAACGGGCGTGGCTCTGAACCCAAACAGATGCCCATAGAGTCGCTCTGTCAGTGGGTGCGACACCATGCCCAGCAAATCGTTCCAGCCTCTTTGGCGGGGAACACGCTCTCCAGGGGTCGCTCTGGGTCAGCACGTACGGCCTTGGAAACGGTTGCAAAATATAATGTTGCCATACAGTGCTGCAATACGAAGCTCTGTACCGCATCGAGGCGCTGGTTGACCCATTCACCGGCATCGTTGGTACAGTTTGCTGTCGCAGATTCGCGACGCTGTGCACTGCAAGCGTCCTTCGTCAGGTGCGGTATCCGACCTTGATCATGCAGCAGCATGATGGGGAACGCCATGACGGGCGTGCCGCTCCAGCGATACGCATTGGATCGATGTCTAGCGGAGGCTGCCACATCTGCAGGCTCTGGACCAAAAGCGGAGGCTGAGGGCGATGCGCATGCCTCCCCACGAGGAACGCTTCCATTAGATGTCCAGCGAGCGCCATTTGGATTCGTGTGCATGGAGCTAGGTAAAGCGACTGCTTGTGTCAACGCTCAATACCGTGCCGTCCATCGCTCTCTCTATTTTTTTAAATTCTCAAGGCGGAGCTCAAGCTCGTCCGGCTCAGTGGCTGCGGCCGCGCTCGCCCTTGGGTGGACAAGCATACCGCCGCCGCCGCCGCCGCCGCCGCCGCCACCACCACCACCACTTCCTCCAATGCCGCCACGATCATCTCGAAAGCCGTTTCCGTGCCGAATGCCCGAGTTTCCGCCGTTCAGCGCACCATTGTTGTCATCGGATGGCGCGGAAAAGTTGTCAGGACCCCAGCCACTTCCAGACTGCGGCGGCGGCCGTCGCGTATTCTTCTCATTCGCAAAGGGGGCAGTGCCCCCGATGGCCAGCTCTTCGGCATCCGGTGCCGACATTGTCGCAGCACCCAGCTGGCGCGACGCAAGCGGTGCTCGCATGGCGCGCTCCGCCGGCGACTGGGGCGCCTCCTCCAGGCGACTTGCACGCTCCAAGCCCAGCTCGTCGAGGACCTGGTTCACGACCTGCTCCGTTTCTTCGTTCTCGTCCTCATCGGCGATCGCATTCTCCATTGCATCATCGATCACCTCCTGTTTCAGTGACAGGACTTCACTTTCGCGTTCAAAGTCTTGCAGTATCTGTCCAATGCGCGGCAGATTCACTTGCCGATTCATGAGGTGCATCGACCGCACAATGCCCTGCATCGCATGCGTCATGGCTTCGCTGGAGCGCATCGTACTGAGCTGCATCTGCACACTTTGCATCTGTGACCGCAGCTCATACATTTTCGCAACGCAGTTACGAACGCGGACTAGATCGCGTGCGGCTATCCGCACGGACTTCATCTGGCCCTCTCGCGCGAGCCGCCTGATCTCGTTCTTGCGCTGCAGCTCCAGACGCTGCATTTTCATCCGTTCCCGATCGACCTCGCGCACTGCTCGGTCGATGGTGCGCTTGTAGCGACGGAGCTTTTGCGCCGGTGTCTCACCGATACCGAAGATTTTCTTCAGCGCTTCCATGGCGTCGAATACGAGATACGATACGTAGGTTTCGAGTTTCAAGCTTTGTAGATGATTGTTTTCGATAAGGTTGTTGGAGTGAGTCCGTCCAACCTTGATTTCGATGGAGTGTCAACGACCAGAGGTACGTGTGCTCAGCGAGCACGCCGCTTGGCGCTGTGCGTGTCTCTGAGTCGAGACGCCCCGTAGCAGTGCGCGGGTGTAACCGCTCACCGTGAAACGCGCCGCAACGCACCCACACCAGACCCCTAAAGTCCAGTTCACGAAAACCCCCCAGACTTGTAATAAGAGTCAGGAACACCACCAAGCGCACTGCAACCTAGTAGGAACACGGCAGTGCAGGATACCGTACCCGTCCGGGCGTTGCGTCCGTGCGTGCATCTCAGCGGCAACGGTACACGGAGACAGCGCCGGATGATGCGTGTCCCGCCGTCGCCATCATCGATGTGCTGTCCGGGTGCACGCATGCGATTTTCGAAACCGCCGAAACGTGTACATAGGGGGGCGTTCTCCAAGTGGGCGCTCTTGGATTTCTTCGTTTTCCGGAGCGTCCAACGAATCTCCTATGTCCAAGTTCCATTACCCTCACTTGTCCTCAGCAATAGTGGTTGTTTCACAGGTTCTAACGTTCGCCGAGTGCATGGTTTGCTGCAGCGGTTGTAGTGTCTCTAGAGCCGGGTGCTGCCGAACTACGATTCCGCGGTGCTTCTAGGGCTTCATCGGTTCAGGATACGTCAGGGACGTGCGCGCAGTGCAGCGGGCCCTTCAGGTAGTCGTCTGTCGAAGGGCGCCAGCGCGGCCCATAGACGTGCGTATACCGAGTCCGCCGAACTGCATTGTCGGACCGCGTGTACAGCATACTGCAGGTGCTACCATCCAGGAACCATCAACCCTGCGTATCGTGTATTCGGGTGAACGCGGGCACTTGCGGTTCCTCCCGGAACGCTGCTAGGGCTTTCGCCCAGAAACTAGGGGTGCAGCTTTGTCGCAGTATAGGATGCATCGGGCAGATTCATCCGCCTTCTACGATCCTGTTGCTCACTTCGTACTTGTCCATGGAGCATGCGCTGCATCGACGCTATCAAGCATAAACTGAGCACCGGTAACACTTTTGGTTACCGATTTTATGTGTGGCATCTCGGTGCTGGTCAGCTGGTCGTCCAGTGATCGGTTGCTCTGTCGCTATGAACAACTGGCAGGTGACAAGCTGGCAGCGCGCTCGGCAAGCGTACGCGCTTGGTGGCGCCAAGTCACCCGTCAGGGTACCAGTTCATGTGCTGGATCCGAAGGATATTATCCTGAAAAAAACTCAAACACCGAGACGTGCAGCAACAGATTAGGTGACGACTTGAAAACCCTGTGGACCAAGTGTTGTGAGCGGATCCGCAATCGCGGACCCGACGCGTACGCTGCGTATACCGAGTCACTCAGCGGCCGGTCGCAGGGAGAAACTGCGCGAAAACTCAGAATAGCAGCGAGTACGCTAGCGATTCGGTCGCCGACGCCCGCATCGAAGCAACCGGTCTTGTCACCGAGTGGCCGCTTCGTGGTAGCGTACAACGGCGAGCTCTACGCACGCGCCTTCAAGGCAAGCACTGACGCCCAGCCTTCCACGACAGAAACCCGGGAGGAAGTTATCCAGGGAAATGATCTGGAGTGGCTCGCACGCGAGCTCGACTGCAGCGCCTCCGAAGAGACTGATGCTCCTTGGCACCCGGGTGTCGCCCTGGCGGGGTGCATCGGTCCGTTCGCTCTCGTCATATGGGATCGGAAACAGAGACAACTCTATTTTGCTCGGGATCCACTGGGCAGGCGCTCCCTGGTCATGGCCATCCATCCATCAGTGGGCTTGGTGCTGTGTTCGGTGGCGGCAAGTCTGCCTGCTAGTGAGGTCGCCGCGAAGCATGGCTCCGAATGGAGATTCGTCGAGGTTCCTCCTCTGGGCGGTCAATGGTTCGTCATTGACGCCCTGAAACTAGAACTGGGGCTCGCCGCCGACCAAGTCGTATGTACGCCCCATACTGGCTGCGCATATCGACCACGAGGTATGCCCGTGTGGCTGGAGGAGGTGCCGGCCTGGATTTGGGTTCCGCTCCACGCACGAGAGTCGCATGGCCTCGCAGCCGGTACGCACGACTCACTCCCGAAAGATGCAGGTTGCGAGCATGAGACCGATACCCGGTGGCGACTCGAGCTCGCCACAGAGCTCACCCACCTCCTCTGTCGTATTGTGAAGCGCCAGGCAAGCGCTAGGCGGCAGGATGCGCTGCGACCTGCGCTGGGCGTCCTTTTTTCGGGCGGTATCGACAGTTTGGTGATCGCTCGGGCGCTGGACGTGGTGCTCCCGCTCGATGAATGCATCCATCTGGTGCATGTTTCGTTCCACAGCGCAGATGATACAGTGGCATGTGCCGGTGCTGCTGTTGCGTTGAACAGTGTCGATGGCGCTGAGCGACCAACCTGCACAGCGCACTGGTTGGATCCAGGTCGTCATGGACTCTACCCGGCAAGCGAGTCGCATTCGGCGAGTCAGAGCGCTTTACCCACATCGTCTGGGAGCTGCCTGATGACAGCCGCAGCATCCTCTCAAGACGAGCACGTTTTGGTGAACGATCCTGCACCGGATACGCTCCAAGCGCAGAGAGCGCTCGCTTTTCTGAAGACACAGAGCGTACGCCCCGAAAGATACCGCTTCCATCACGTCCGAGTGCCAGCAGCTGCTGTTGAGCGCGACCGGGTGAGGCTCGTCTCGGCCGTGGCACCCGCCGAAACGACCCCCATGGATATTGCCCTGGGCGCCTGCATCTGGTACGCTGCTGCGGGAGCGGCGGGAGCGCACCTAGACTCCGGGCCTTCTGGGCCGGTTCGCATCCTGTTTAGCGGTCTAGGAGCGGACGAGCTCTTTGCTGGATACAAAGGCCGTCATCGGTCTCGTTTTCGCCAGGGTGGATCGGACGCGCTCTTCCGCGAACTCGAAACGGATGTGAATCAGCTGTGGTGGCGGAACCTCGGCCGCGACGACCGCTGTGCCGCGGATCACGGCTGCGAGCTCCGCCATCCCTTCCTGGACGAGGCACTCATCGAGTGGGTGCGACGAGTCCTCGGACGCCGCAACAACCCTGCCGATGAAGCGTCCTCGTGTCTCGCTATGGAGAGAATCTGCGATCTGAGCCTGCCGGACGGCGTCGGCGACAAACGCATTCTTCGTCTGGCGGCTACAATGCCTCCGCTGAGCATTCCGGAGGCGCTTGCCCAGACACCGAAACGAGCCATGCAATTCGGATCACGTGCATCGGCTGTACTGGAACGGCAACAGCGCACTGGACGAACGAAGCCAACAGCGAAGACAAACGCACCGCAACGAAAAACGCATCCCTTGGAATCGTGATCCGATGCTAATAATAATGATGATGCCGCTTTGCATCTGGTATCGTATCGTGCACGCGTTGGATACCGCGGGAGACCTTGGGAACACGCGCTGCACGCCGCGTTTTTACCACTGCTGGCCAGCATCCTTGAAACCTCTGTCCAGTTCTGGACAGGCACACATTCATACACACGACTGCGGCGATTGCCCGTCTTGCACCATTACAGCGCTGCCTTGAGCGTCGATTGTCAACGTGTGCGCTTGGAGCACGGTGCCTGCCTGCCTGCCTGCCTGCCTGCTTGTGACGACGCAGCTCAGAGCATGTCGTATAAGCAGTCATCTAACTAGCTGGCAGACGTGGCGTACTTGCTCAAACGCGCTTCGCACGACATTCTTCCGATACCCTGGTGCATGCTAAAGCGCCATGCAAAGCAATCAAGCTGCGTTTATGCTTGACTTGTGCTTGCGCCCTCTGAAACAACACCGCACCGCTTGCATTGCCAATATGCGTTCTTCAGCGCTCGGCCAGTGCCCGGGCAGAATCCTCAACGCAGAGTCATCACGTACACCGCACAGGTGCACCTGTTGCCGACACCCGTTGCGTGACTGTAAGCGTGTCATTGAATCTGAGTAAACGCCGAGCGCATTTCGAAGCCTGGGACATGGCCGCTTCAAGCGCACGACGTGTGCAAAATACGACTAGGTCGTGTCCAAAGTATCCTGCACCTGGAACATCATCATCGTCCAATGCTCAGAAGCAGGCTGCCAGTGAGGCGTCAGTTTTCGGGTCCCGGTTCCCGGGGGCAGTGCCGGACGCATACGCCCGCTAGCAGCAGCGTCCAGTACATTGCCGGGCAAACGCATAAACGCAGGCATCTACGCAAGGACGTCTGGGTGTGCTCAGACCTGCGTATGACCGCTGCATTGAAGCGACGGTAACGCTCGAGCGTCCACATTTTTCAGTATGCAGCGCTTGCAGACGCACACGCCTCTGGGACAAGTGCGAGCCGGTTCAGAAGGTGCCCTTCAGCATCCAGCACGGCACTCCGCATGCAGAGCAAAATCGCAACGCTAGGAGCGTCATCGACCTCGGTACCTGTTCGCAGAGTGCCGTGCTCGACCTGCATACAGAACGCCGGTCTCCAGTGGAGCCTGCGACACATCGCCGGTACCGTGGCATCGGTAAACGACCGAATAGCAACAACCCAGGAGAGGCCCGGCACCAAAAGTGCGCGAATGCTTGCTCGGAACGTCTCTCGTTACCCGGGTGCATCGGGCATCCGTTTCCCGTGGTATACACGCCGGACGACGCACCGATTCAGTCTTCGATGCGTCTCGAAATGAGACGGTGCTTGCTCAGTCCGCAGGATCTTCCCTTGCCATCGCAGACGATACCGACGGCTTTGCCACACTCGTCGTAGATGATGTTGCTCGTTCCTGGATCTCTATACCAAGCCCGAATACGCGGTGCTGGTCCGAGGGCAAGGCGAAGCCCATGGCCTCCTTGGCCGCTCGCAGCGTTTCGCTGGCGACTGCATTGGCCGCTTGCTGGCCTTGCGCCAAGATCTGCTCCAGATACAAAGCGTCCTGTCGTACTTCGTGGTAACGCTGCTGGATCGGGCTCAGAAAGGATACCAGTGCCTCTGCGAGGCGCTCTTTGAAGCCAGCCCAACCAGAGGGATTCAATTCGGCAAGTTCTCGTTCGATATCCGCCTTGGGTCGATTCCCGGTGATCGCGCGGTATATATGGAGAAGATTATTGCACTCGGGTCTGGCGGGATCGTCGAAACGCAGTTCACGCTCTGCATCGGTCTTACAACGCCTAATTTTGTTACGAATCGTATCCGCATCATCCAGCAAATTGATGCGAGACACATCCGAAGCTGCGCTCTTGCTCATCTTACTGGTGCCGTCCGTCAGCGACATGACTCGCGAAACACCAGCTCCTTCGGGTAGGATGAGTGCTTCGGGTTCACGAAAGACGCTAGGCAACTTGTGCGGTTTGCGTTTTCGGCAGAATGTGTAATTGAAGCTGCGGGCAATGTCTCGGGCGAGCTCCAGATGCTGCCGCTGATCCTCGCCAACAGGGACACATTCCGCCCGGTACAATAAAATATCCGCCGCCATCAGTACCGGATACGCGAAGAGCCCCAGGTACACCGGTGCGTCATCGCCCAGTCGCTGCTTCTTATCCTTATACTGAGTCATCTTTTCAAGCCAACCCATCGGGGTAATGCAGTTCAGCATCCATGCGAGTTCCGCATGTGCTGGCACCTGCGACTGCACGAAGATGTGACAGTGCGAGGGATCGATACCACACGCCAAGTACATTGCTGCCGTACTCAGCGTTTCGTCCGCTAAATGACGCGGGTCATGAGGCACAGTAATCGCGTGCATATCGACGACACAGAACCAGCAGTCAAAGTCGTACTGGTATCGGGCCCACTGCTGGATAGCGCCCAGATAGTTTCCCAGGTGCAGGCGCCCGGTTGGCTGCACACCAGACAATACCCGCCGTTTCCGTTCGTTGCCCGACGCACTGTCATTGTGTTTTGTCAGGTGCAGGTCGCGACTCATGCGCCACGACGACCAGCGACTGCGCAAAGCACCCGAGAGCGTACCGCGAGCGCCCGCGTGCCCTGCACCACCGCGTGTTGTGTTACCGTGCCAAGCTGGTAAAGACAACCAGTCCGTTTTCCTGTTTCGTAGTTGATCGGTGAAGCTGAAAGGTACCCTGGTTGGTGGTAGTGAGCGTAACCGACTTGTTCGGGGTGCGCTGTGGAGGCGACGGCCGCTGCACCAGCAGCGCAACGGCACCCAGGCTGGACACCAAGTGAACGCGCTCAACGACGAAACGCTTCCTATTCTTCTCGTGGTTAGCGTAAAAGTCATGGTGAACGTTGGAAAACGAGTAGCTTGCCAAGCAATGTCAGTCGAAGCGTGATACAAAGGTAAACGCAAACACACACACAGAGCGAGAGCAAGCGGAACAAACGAACGCTCTGTTCCAAGGAGCGAATCCTGGCATGCCCAACGCCCGCGTCCTGAACTTGTCATCCGAAGCGCCGTCGGCGGCATGAAAACGCACGAAACAGACGACTGGTAGACGCTGACAAAGTTCATGGTTATGTCAAAACGCTTTCCCTATGATAATGGTGCAAGCAGTCGAGTCGTTGCATGTGGGTGTCTCAGCTGATGCGCTTCGATGAACCTGGGTAGAGCGCTGCAGGACCCGTTGCTTTGCGCGCCGTGTGCTCGTACGAACGAGTTTCTGCGGTGTGGTATACTCGGGTGGTGTCAGATAAACGAGCGGGTGCTGTGGTACGCAATGAACGCATTGGAATAGGAATTAGGTGCGGGGGGTGCTCATCTGAAGCGACAGCGGTTTACCGGCTGACCGAGTACCAGGAGCGGGTTGTCGCGGAACACCAGTGCGGGGCAGCGGCTCACGAGTCGAGCACGCTATGGACAGTACAAAACGATCGCTGGGCTCGTATCGTGGCAAACAAATACCAAAAATAAACATGAAAATGAGAATGTATTTTGGGTGAGGCACAGGTGCAAACGCGTTCTGCACCAGATTCTAGATACTAGAGTGCGAGTCTTGCATAGAGCGCTCGAGGCAGAGGCGACGTGTCAACGAACGGGCAGCTGGACCGCGAGACGGCTCAGGGGTCCAAGCCGGCCCTGTCGCAAGCTTTGGGCCACTTTTGCATCACCTCGAATAGTCGCTGGTGATACGTTTGGACTGCCTGCTCTAACTCGGTGTACTGCTCGCGCAACAGGCACATACGTTCCTGGTGACCTCTCTTCAGGTCCTGCATTTGTTCGTGAATTTGCTGGACCAACAACTGGTTCCGCTGTGCGACTTGGTCTGCTTCGTGGCGCTCGCGAACAGCCGCTTCGAGTTCTTCCTGGAACGATGCATATTCTTGCTCGGTGTCCGTGAGACGACTCTGCAGCTGTGACCGTACACGCTGGATGCGCTCCTCTGCAGCAACAATTTGACGATTGAGTCGCAGCTCTTCCTGGTTCAGCGCTTCGAGATTCTGCTCGTTTTCGTGCAATTCAGATCGTTGCTTCTGTACGAGGTCGCGCGACTGTTTGCATTTTGAAACCTGGACATCTGCATCCTCGAATGCTTTGAGAAGTTCTTGCAGTTTTCCGAACACCTCCTGCAGGGCCTCCAATTCCATCTGCACTTGTCGATGCTCATGCTCGATTCGCTCGACATGTCGCTTCTCGCGCTCGAGACTTTCCTCCATATCCGCGAGCTGTTGCTGCACCCGCTCAGGCGATGAAACAATCATCGCTTGCAGCTTCGCAATCTCTTGTTTTGTCTGCAATAGTTCGAATTTGTGATTCGCGATCTGATCGGCATATTCGTTGACTTTGGTTTTGAGTTCCTTGATCTGAGCCTGCAACTGCAACTGTTGTTTGTTCAAGGAAGTGATCTCCGCGGCCAACTCGCCAGTTTCAGACTCGAGTGCCGTAACTTTCTGCTGCTCCGCAGCCGCCCGATCGCTCCACTTGCGCTGTCGCATCTCAAGATCATTGCATTTCGCCTCAAGTTCGCGCTGGTGCTGCAGAGCCTCCTCCGAACGGCCGGCTATTTTCTGGAATTGAACGAGCCGCTCCTCTCGAAACTTGGCAAAGTTAATGACCCCGCTCAGGATACGACGCAACCGTGGATATTCTGGCTTCAGGTAATCGTTCAAAGAGAAATCGTGGATGCCGGATGCTCGCATCAATCGTTGCGCCGCTCGATGGAACACAACCACCGGCGCTGACTCCTCGTGCAGCTCCGGGAATCCTAACGCTTCGAGCGCCTCGGGTACCGGATTGGCCAAGTCCTCACGTCGAGTCGGCGTCAGTAGCTCTATGAGCTGTTCCAGCATCAGTCGCACATGTTCTGGGGTCGGCTGGTGCAGCTGCTGTTCGGAAAAGGGGATCCGCAGTTCCTGCATGCAGGCCATAATCTCACTCGGCGGCAGCAGCGGGAACGAGTACTGCCGACCAGAATGTACCGACGCAGGCGTTCGGGCCCGTGAACGCTTCCCAGTCGAGTCAGCTGGCGCTGAACCGTGCCCTCCCGCTGCTGTCGGTCGTGGTGTTGCGTAAATAGAGCGCATGTTTCCCGCGCGCTGTGTGCTGGGCGGTGCCGCTAACATTGCCCCTGCCGAGTCCAGTGCGAAACTAGTCTAAACGATATGTCGTCGGTAACCAGTTTCAGACCCGTACGAGAGCTCCTGTTGACACTGGCACAATGACTGCGAATTGCGACGTACAAGTGCCTGTTGAATCACACGAGTCCCGCTCACGACGTCGCACTCCAACACCTTCACTGAATATCAATAGCAAAAACTCGAGGTCCCAGCGAGTTTCCCAAACAGAATCCACAAACACCGTTCACTCGGTACGCAAAGAAAACCGTCTGACTGGTGCTGGTCCACGCTGCTAGCCCTCGTTGGGCTATCAAACGTACCTACTTCCAAAAACAAGCTGAAGCCGTACCAGCGGTTACCAGACACCCTACGAAGGATATGCCAAGCGCAACGCGACCGCTGCGACGTGAGAATCGAGCTCGCCACACACAAACACACACAGAGGTATATATGCTTGTAGGAAAAAGCGCTTCAAAGTCGTCGACAACGAAGCACACCGCTCTACCCAAACGTAGACACCAAAAGCGAAACACCGCAACGCATCGCAGCGCGTATGGCCGCCTTTGCGATGCGGCGTTTTGAAAATCGATGCCTGTCGCTGGCACATCAGCCGTTTCAAGTGCGTCTGGGGCGCTGCGAGCCTCGCTCCCAGACACTGCAACGTCATTTGAACGGCAGCAACTGGTATCGTAACTGCCTGTTCCCTCAATCTCTCTATAGAGCTCTCTGTCTGACTGTGTGTTCGTGTGTGTGTGTGTGTTTGTTTGTTTGTTTGTTTGTTGGTCGATTGGTTCCGTCATAGACAGTCAGGGTAGACGGTGCTGTTTTTCGGTGTTCGCTTTGTCTGAACGCTGAAGGAAACCTCCAGACTGGGTGCGTGAACGTCCGGTCGGGCAAGAAACGCAACCTGTAACCAACCGGTGTACTTGTCAACGTAGCTGGTGCGATACGCTGTTGACACTGGTGTTTCGAGGTGCGAGCAATCCGAAAGCATGAACACAAGCTCGGCGAGTTCGGCGCTATCCTCGACGGCTTCGAGGCCCAAGTCCATAGAAGAAACGTATCAGAAGCTGTCTCAGTTGGAGCACGTGCTCTTGCGTCCAGATACGTATATAGGGTCGACCCAGCGGACGAGTGAGAAGCTGTGGGTGCTCGACGATACCATAGCGGAGGAGGGTGCATCCCAGGGAAGCTCGCGTCGTGTTGTATTTCGCGATGTGTCGTACGTTCCAGGCCTGTACAAGATATTCGACGAGATTCTTGTCAACGCCGCGGATCATAAACAGCGTGACCCAACGCTCGACGAGATTCGCGTTGACGTAGATGCTGAAAACAATCGCATCACGGTCTATAACAACGGCTCGGGGATTCCGGTTGAGATTCACAGCAAGGAAGGGTGCTACGTTCCGGAACTCATTTTCGGCCACCTGCTTACGTCGAGTAACTACGATGATGAGGAACGGAAGGTCACAGGCGGCCGGAATGGTTTCGGGGCGAAGCTTGCAAACATCTTTAGCACAGAGTTTATCGTAGAGACTGCGGATGGTCGTCACTGCTTTCGTCAGGTGTTCCGCTCGAACATGCAGCGGTGCGAGGAGCCTCAGATAAGGCCGTGCTCCGCGAAAGACAATTACACAAGAGTATCATTCGTGCCGGATCTACAGCGGTTTGGCATGAATGCGCTCGATGCGGATACGCTGGCGCTCATGGAGAAACGCGTCCACGATATTGCCGGATGCAATCCTGGCGTGAAGGTGTACTGGAACGGTTCTCGCCTGCCCATCCGCTCATTCCGCGACTACATCAAACTCTATCTGGCCGAACGCGAGGACACCAGCTTTGTTTACGAACGCGGGCATGAACGCTGGGAGCTGGCAGTTGCGCCTAGCGATGGCCAGTTTCAGCAAGTCAGCTTCGTGAATTCTATTTGGACAATCAAAGGAGGCACGCATGTCAATCATATTGCAGACCAGATCGTGAATGCGGTCCTGGAGCATCTCAGTCGGAAGCACAAAAACCTCAAAGTGAAACCTTTCCAGGTGCGTAACCACCTATGGTTGTTCGTGCGTTGCTTGATCGAGAATCCCGCCTTTGATAGCCAAACGAAGGAGACGTTGACATCGCGGCCTCAGTCGTTCGGATCTCGCTGCGAACTAAGCGCAGAATTCACGCGCAAACTGCTCCGGAGCGATATCATCGGGAACGTGCTCGAGTTTGCTCGTTTTCGACAGGATGCTGAGCTCAAAAAAACCGACGGGGGTAAGCGCCAACGCGTGCTCGGTATTCCAAAGCTCGATGACGCCAACAAGGCCGGAACCCGTGAGTCCGCCAAGTGTACCCTCATTCTCACCGAGGGCGATTCGGCCAAGGCGCTCGCTATTTCGGGGCTCTCCGTTGTTGGTCGCGACTACTACGGCGTCTTTCCACTGCGAGGCAAACTCCTGAACGTCCGAGAGGCCACACACAAACAAATCATGGAAAATACTGAAATCAATCTCCTCAAAAAGATCCTGGGGCTCCAACACGGCAAGGAGTACGATCAGGATAGCGTTCGGCAACTCCGATACGGCCACGTGATGATCATGACTGATCAGGATCACGATGGATCTCATATCAAGGGCCTGTTGGTGAATTTTTTTCACCACTTTTGGCCTTCGTTGCTCCGCATCCCAGGATTTCTACTGGAGTTCATCACACCGATTGTGAAGGCGACTGCAAAGCGCGGAGAACGCCTTGAAGAGGTGGTGTTCTTCACGATTCCCGAATACCAGCAGTGGCGACAGTCCCAGAGCAGCCTCCGAGGATGGACCATCAAGTACTACAAAGGTCTGGGTACATCGACCGCTGCTGAGGCACGAACCTATTTCAGTAACCTGTCCCGTCACCAGATTCCTTTTGTCTGGCAAAATCACGCTGACTACGAGTCGATCGAACTTGCATTTAGCAAGCACAAAGTCCAGGAGCGGAAGGACTGGCTTGCTGCCCACAAACTCGGCACATACTTCGACCACGCCGCCGATACGCTCACCTATGCGAACTTTGTGCACAAAGAGTTGGTGCTGTTCTCTCTCGCCGATAACGCCCGTTCTATCCCGTGCCTCATCGACGGTCTGAAACCCTCCCAGAGAAAAGTGCTCTTTGCTTGTTTCAAGCGCAAACTCTATCAGGAGATCAAGGTTGCCCAGTTGGCCGGTTATGTAAGCGAGCACGCTGCGTATCATCATGGTGAGGCGAGTCTTATGGCCACGATCATAGGACTCGCCCAAAACTTTGTGGGCTCGAACAACCTGAACCTTCTGGTTCCTGCGGGCCAGTTCGGTACGCGGCTATCTGGTGGTAAGGATGCAGCCTCACCTCGTTACATCTTCACATGTCTCGCTCCGGTTGCACGTGCGCTCTTTCCCGAGGCCGATGATGTGCTTCTCGAGTACCTCGAGGAGGACGGCCTCTCCATTGAGCCCAAATGGTACTGCCCCGTCATTCCGCTCGTGTTGGTGAACGGCGCTGAAGGTATTGGAACTGGGTGGAGCACCAACATTCCGTGTCATAATCCCCGGGATCTCGTGCGTATACTCCGAAGCATGCTACTGGAGTCGCACGGCGCTCTGGATGCAGATAACGAAAGCGCGACGCTGGTGCCGTGGTATCGCGGCTTTCGCGGTTCCATTGTCGCTGTACCGCATCATCCGACGAACTATGAGGTGTTTGGTTGCATGGCTCGATCGTCGGACGGGCGTGTTCGCATACGCGAACTGCCACTGCGCACCTGGACGCAGCCGTACAAGGAATGGCTGGAAACGCTCGTCGTTGGCAACAGCAGCACGAGTAGCAGTAGTAGTGGTAGTGGTAGTAGCGCGTCGTCTGCTGCGCAGCAGACGAGCCGACCCTTCCTCAAAGAGGTCGCCGACAACAGCACCGAGACGCTGGTGGACTTTACGCTCCACTGGGCGAATGGCGCAGAACTGGAACAAGCAGATGCAGCAGCGCTTTTCAAGAAGCTGCATCTCAGCGGTTCGCTTTCTACCGCCAACATGGTGCTCTTCGACTCCAACGGACGCATACGTCGTTACGATACCATCCAACAGATACTGGTTGAATTCTACCAGATGCGACTCGAGCTTTATCGAAAACGCCAAGCGTGGATAGTTCGCGCTCTGGAACGTGAGCTCATCCGTCTCGATAACAAAGTGCGCTTCATTATGGCGGTGATCGAGAACCAGATCATCATTGCGAATCGGAAGCGCAGCGAACTACTCGACGAACTGCATCAACGCAACTTTGCCCGTTTGCCTACCGGCAACAATGCAGACCGTGAGCAACGCGTTTCCGAGGCAGCGTCTGGTGACGGAACTCCAGACGGCACGTCTAGCGATCAGGTTGGTGGTAATGGTGTCCATGCTGATCACCCGAAGGATGCAACCGGATACGATTACCTGCTGAGCATGCCGCTGTGGAGCTTGACCAGAGAGCGCGTGCAGGAACTGCAGCGCCAGCACCAGGAGAAAGCGGCAGAGCTGGCGCGCATGCAAGCCACTCGGCCGTCGGAGTTATGGCTCGACGATCTGACACGTCTGGAGCAAATCCTCGACCGCATCGATAGCGAACTCGCACAGGATGCCCAAGACGCCAAGCGAACGCGTCGTGCGCCCAGGGCTGGTCGCGGACGTGCACGCCATGCCGCTGCCGCTGCCGCTACCAGCAACCGTACCAGCGTCGATGACGACGATGACAGCAATGACGACGACGACGACAAAGATGCGACGTTCGTGCCCGTACCGACCCCGGTGCCGGGCGCAACGGCAGTGCGACGCGGAAGACGCCAGAGCACACGCTGCACGACCGCCGTGGCAGACACGCGCAGCCAGGCGGACGATGCGTCAAGCACGTGCACAAGTTCGAGTCTCGTGGGCATCGATGATCGCGAAAGCGGCGAGACAGAGGTCAACGTTCGCGAGCATGTGCAGCGCGTACGCCAGGAAGCAGGCACCGCTGGTGCCGCGGACGCGAGTGCACTGGCGACGATGCGTATCGCCTCTGCTTCTGATCGTGCAACCACGACAAGGCTCGCGCGTCAAGGCCAACGCAAGAACAGGGATACAGGGGCTGTAGCGCCCCGACGGCACCCAGTGCCGCCGCCCTTGAACACGTTCGCAGGCGCCGCTGCCCTGAACTCGAGTGATACGCAACGCGACACAGACGCCACGCCCGCTCATTCAGCGAGTCTGAGTACCAGGGCGGAGCGCTCGCTCAGTGAACGACTCGCAGCGCGTCTGCGTATTGCGAGCGACACGAGCGGGAGCGCTATGCCCAGCGTTGCGCACGCCACTGGCGGTTCGGTCACATCTCGCAAAGATGCGGACGCCGTTTCCGAGACCGCTGCGAGCTACGAAGCGCACTGGCAGCCTCGCTCATCGGAGGAGCGTTCCAGAGAGACGGCAAAGCAGGCGGCATGCTCGGCACTCGGCGGTGCAGGTCGTGGAGCAGGGCGCGCACGGCGTCCTGCGCCGCGTGTCCTGCCCTCTGACGACGACGACGACGACGACGAGTCGAGTGACGGAGCGGTACGCACACGGCGCTCGCGTGCCGGAGCAGGAGCACGACTCGCAAACGAGCATGATGATGATGATGATGACAACGACGACAGTGAACATAGCGTCATTGATGTCGACGATGACGATGACGATGAATTCATTCCCTCCGAAGACGATAACGACGATGAGTAGGGCGCCTAGGCTCGCATCATGCGGCTGTCGCTGCGACCGGGGCAGCGCAACCCGCACTTGCGCCCGCTTGTCCGACGCTCCTACCGATACGCTTGTTTTCCCGAATGACGGCATTGGATGCAGTGCACACACCTGTATAAACAAGTCGGAAACGCTTCCATCGAGCAGCATCGCGAGCGTCTGGTGACCCCACCCCCCGAGTCCATCGTAAACGCGGGAGCGCGTGCCGGGTCGGTGCACCGTACCCAACCGGCAGCAGTTGCACCACTACCAGTTCGAGTGCTTCTCGCCGACGGCGTGCGGGGTACCACCGCCTGGTTCATGCGTCCGAGAACACAGTCTCGCTGCTCCGATACGCGGCGCTGTCAAGACGAACGCCAGCCCGGATCAACTACGGCTGTTGTTGAGCATGCTGGAGTGTCCACTCGCGTGCTGTCCGGTCGAAGGCTGCGCGATTTGTCCGAAACACGCGTGCAACATCAGCTTCGAGTGCATCATGGGGGTTCGGTTCAACCAGTAGTTGCTGCAGTGCCGCGAGGACGGCGATAAGGTTCGCGCTGGGTCGCCAGCTCCCCTGCGGCGGCATCTGCAGCAAGTCGAGACAAACTCTCCCAGCGCTATCGATGTTCGGATGATAGACCCGAGTCTGGAATCGAACGATGGGTGGTTCAAAGGGGTACCGCTCTGGTACGGTGACCTCGACACGAAAGCGCCCGCCTGCGTACGGCGTGTCGGGGGCGCCCTCTATCAGCGCCTCGAAGACTTCGAGCGAGTCCGGCGAGCGCGGCCAAGCGTGAACATACGGGGGCGGTTGTCGTTGCAGGATGTCCCATTCACGTTGTAAACGTTTCTCCCGAACCAGAGACATAAACGCGTTCGGACGTTGTGGCGCTCTGCACGGTACAGCAGCAGAGCGGCAAAGTGCGCGCCAAACGCGCAGCGTATCGACGTCGTGGAACTGCCCGCTCGGACTCGCGTACGGACGACGAGCGTTCTTGGTTCGGTACTAGACGCTGCACGGTACGCGCTGTGTATACCACAGAGCAGTAAAGTGTTCCATTGCGTACGTTCCAGTTGCAGATAATGATGGTAATGCTTCCGATACCATCGTGCAAGGTGTGTATGGATGCGCGTACACTCCATGCGTGATACCGCGCAGCGTGCAACTGCGAGACGGACAGACTGCACGTATGCGGGCACGGTGAAGAGCTCTGGTGCCTGCCTGCCTGCCTGCCTGCCTGCCCAAGAAACATCCTAGAGCGATGTGATGACGGTGTTGTATCCGCATTGGCGCGTGGAGGACGCTCGCGGATGCAGCAAGCAGACATCGACATCGGCACCGGATGGAAAACACGAAACGCTACGTACATCCAAAGGCAAGTACGGGGCATGGACGTCTCATGAAGCAAGTCCGACGCTCTCCCTATCACCGATACCCCTTGCAAAGTTTAGCATCTCTGGTTCAAGGACACGATCTGTCTGACAAAAAGCAAAGTGTCACTCTACGGGATCATCAACATCATTATCGACATCACTACCAGTATCAGTGAGATGATTGGTAGCGTGCTAGGGCAGCGCGGCAAAACGCTGCTGCGCTCGTTCAAATGCGCGCGCGCTCACCATGCGTGCAGCGCTGCTGCTGAACGAGCGCAAACGCACCTGCTGCTCCTACAGTTGCTACTTTTGTTCCTACAGTTGCTACTTCTATTCTTACAGATACTACTGCTGCTATTCTTACAGTTACTCTTGTTGCTCCTGTAGTTGCTGCTGTTGCTCCTGTTTTGTAAACAGGTGTGCAAGCGACTGCTCCTGGAAGCGTCGTTGCAATACGTTTGGGTCACGTCGGGGCTAGTCGTGTCGCGTTTCGTTTTCGTGAGCAAACTGGGGCTATCGTAGCAAAAGCGCTTCTATGAACAGGGCGAGTAACGTTCCCTCAAGCGCAACGACGGACCGCTCGGAGGAAACGATGAGCACTGGTACCGGGTCTGGTGCGGATCTGTCGGTGGCCGCGAAACGCATTCAGCGGGAACTGGTGGAAATTACTATGGATCCACCCTGCAACTGTTCTGCTGGCCCCAAAGGCGATAATCTGTTCGAGTGGGTGGCGACGATTCTGGGTCCGCCGGATACGCCGTATGCAGGCGGCGTGTTCTTTTTGGATATCACGTTTCCGAGGGAGTATCCGTTCAAAGCACCACAAGTGGTGTTTCGAACCCGCATCTATCATTGCAATATCAATAGCCAGGGTCAGATTTGTCTGGATACGTTGAAGGATAACTGGTCGCCAGCGTTGACGATCAGCAAAGTGCTGTTGTCGATCTGCAGCCTTTTGACAGATGCCAATCCGCATGATCCCCTGGTCGGCAGCATTGCGAAAGAGTACCTTACAAACCGGAGGAAGCATGATGAAACCGCGCGGGAATGGACTCGACGATATGCGCGTTAATGGGCACCATCAGCCGAGAAACGCCCCCCGCAGACGACATGCCGCTGCACCGCAGCCGCGGCGTATTCGTCGCGGACGCACAACATGGCGGTGTGCATGGATAACGGGGTGTTTTAGGGCAAGTGTGTATGTGTGTGCCTATGGGTTTGTGGATGTGGTGCACAGCACGCGCGCGCTTACGGAACCTGTTATCCCTAGTTCAGAGGTGAACGCGGCGGCGGCGAGTGTGTTCACAAGGCGCCCTCGTAAGCTCACGTCTGATGAATATGGAGCACTAAACTACTCGCTGTGTTCATGTGCTGCGATTCTTTTCTGATCACGCTTAGATGTACAGCCTCGACATTCGACGTACAGGCAAGCGGGTTTCAGGATGCTTACATGGTTTTCGGACCGTTGGTCATCTGTTCGGAGTGGCACGCTCGACGCTTTGTCTGTGGAGTTCGTGACGTCACTGAAATCAAGTTGATTCGTACCGCCATCAAAAGTCGGTACGTAAAGTAACCGAAATCATCCTTCAGTCTATATGTACGAGGCTCCACGCTGCTCCATTCCTTACGGATAGCGTGCTCAGACTACGAACGCTTCAAGCCTTCGATCATTCTGCACCAAGGCAGTAGGCGAGCGCATCCATTCGCGCTGCTTGGCCGTCTAGGAAACGAAAACGCGACAAGCTCTCTTGAAGAGAGCATCAGAGGCCCACGCCGAGCGTTCACTGAACTACCCATCTCAAATGATCGATTTCATTCGAAAAGCAAATGCTTATTGTTTCATTGCGGTCGACGACAACCCGTTCGACAGCTGCCGCACGACATCTCCTATAGGATGTGTTCCCAGAGGGCCCGCCTATTCCGTTGTGCTTGGAAAGGGTCTTGGGCACGGGCGCGCGTCTTTGTATCGAGCGATGCTTCCAAGCGGGGCGTTCGTCATCGCCTTGGTCGAATAGAGCCTAGTAAACGGACCGGTGTTACTCCGTTTGGCCTTCAGCCAGGATGCTCCGTCCGGTACAAGGAAGATCTTGGGTAAAAACAGGTACTGTGCATGAAATCCATCAGAGAACAGAGGATGGATGAGCCAGCCTATGCGGTCGGCTTCATCTCCATGGCTCAACCTGCCTGGGAATGTTTCCGGGGCTGTGCAGCATGGATTCCGGGAGCCTATGCAAGTTTCGGTACCTTGGCTCATCCTTGGTACAAAATGAGGCTGGATGCTTCAGGCGAAGCGACTCGATCGAGCGGGCTTATTGGAACTAGTTTACGCAATTCGTTGTTGTTCGGAAATCGCGGATTTCCGAAGCGGCATCAATAAAAAAGTTGAACAATGAGCAAAGAATGAATATAGACTGCATGTTTATCAACAAAGGCGTACAACCCAAGCACATCAGATATCCCAGTGAAGTAACTGTGTACGAGTAATAGAGAAATCCAAGAGTGTTCTGAAGACACGAGCGTACCGCGCCCAGAGACTGTCGCCAGTGCAGGACGGGAGGTCGTCCCGCACAAAGCGCATCGCTTGAGCGCGCTGTCGGACGAGGTGCTGCTGGTGCGGCTCCGCTACGACACTACGAGTGTAAAGCGAGACTGCGAATCGTAGACGGTCGTGCCGGACCACATCGTCCGCGTAGAAGAATATGTACAGTTTTTTGGCAGCAAGCTCCAGCAGCGTGCTTACCCGGTTCACATGCCAGCGCATTTCCGCTGCAGCGAGGAATCCGTAAAAGCGGACAAGTTCGTCGAGGCGCTGTTGACACGGACGGATTTTCATGCCCTCATGCCTGCCCGAGCACACATCGGATGCTCCTCATGTCCGCCGCCTGCACTTCTCGATGCCGAACGCGCTTTGTTTCCCAGGTTGAGCGAATTTGTGGTTGTCGAGCGCCTCGTTCGCTCGGTGACGCAATGCGGCCTGGGGAACCCAAACAAGTACTTTGGGAAATAAATACGCACGACGAACCTGAAGCAGATCAGGGTTCATCTTCGCAGGCACTCCATGGATTCGATGACGTGGAAGCGAACGCATGACGAGTCGGTCATCCGCCTGGATAGCATGCACGAGCTCGTGGGGACCAGCGCTCCTCCAAAGTCCATAAAGGGGAGGATGCGGAGCGCTCGATGACGCCCTGTCGAGTCCTGCGCAAAGTCGGAGACGCCGAGCAGAGGATGGTGATGTCGCCTGCGAGAAAGCCGCCGAGGCAAGCCATCCTGCTTCGGCATCGAGCGTGCTGTTTAACAACCACTGAAAGGAGCAGATTTGCGCCTTTTTTGGAATGCATCTCGCCGTCGATGGTACCGGCCTCGCGATTCGCACAGTTCTCACTTCGTCGTGGAGCGTGCGCCTGCGCAACAACGAGGCAGAAACGTCCGATGGAGAATAGGATCGTCGAAGAAGAAGAGGCGCTTATCGAGCACATGGATTTCATGAAGCGAACTGCGGATAATTCGCCCGAGGCTTTAAGGGAATTTGTGATCCGCCAAATAGATGAAAAGCGCCAGAAGCTCAAAAAACTTCGAACAAGAAGTAAAACGGGATGATCCAGAAGCTAGCTTTCTAGCGAGCAGACGTGGTGTCCTCTTTCGAGAGGGATGCTGTGGCGGTGTCCGTCGTCGTCGATGGTAAACGCGGTTCTTGCTTCCCGGTGCGCGCAGAGCTCTGACGCATCCCTGCACACGAGAGGGCATTCAAGGAGAAGCAACGACCAGAACAGAGGTATGACCTCGAGAATGTACGCCCATTTGAGGTTGGGCCCGGCCTGCACCCAGGGATCGCGTACCTCTGCGTCTGCGTTTCCCTCAAATCAGGAAAACCGTCGGGTTCCTGTGTCGAAGCTGATGAGGGTCTGGAGGCGGGCGTCACGGACTCTGCAACTTGAACGTCCAGTCGCCAGTTCGATTCGCACGCCTCGTCTTTACGTCACAGAAGAGGGGAACGAATGAAAGACTGGTACAAGGAGCGAGCGAAATACGTGTCCACGGAAAGCTCCGCTCGCATCGTTGCAAGTGAACCGCACATGTGGACACCATACCCCCGCGAGTGTACAAGGGACCTCGATGTTCGCCACGCTCATCGGCATGTTCTGCTACGAAGGATACGCAGAAAATCGAATAGCCTGCAAGGAAGCGGACGATGCGTTCTCGCGTGGAACCGCATGCGCTTGTGCGTTCAGCGGACAGCGTACTCGCCGACGGTATCGCGCAACAGGCGCCTGTGAGCCGCGGGTTGCGGCAGCGGTGTCGGGAATCGGAGAACGACGTCAGCGGCAGGCTCTCGTACCCGTCAAAGGCATGTCATAAGTGATGGACACAGCGTCCATGTGAAACAGGGCAGTATCCAGTAGAAAAGCAGGCGCGTTGCTGGGTTTACGCAAACCCCTGACCCATCCGATTGTCATCGGTTTGGCGGGCGCACCACAGCGCTCCTAGAAACAACATGAAAACGGCAAGAAATGCGTAGATGGCATATTCGGACGTTGCGAGAAGGGCGTCGACGTTGGCACCAAGCGAGTGCAGTCGACACTTGAGCACCGCTACCAGCAGCCACCGGCTATGAAGCGTACAGCAAGAGCGCAAGGTATTACCGGCGTTTTTAAAGGCGGAAATAAGCGAATGGAAAAGAGAGCGGCCACAGAAACCCCCAGCGAAATCCCGGTTTCGATGTCAGTGGAAAACGTTGCTATGTACACGAGTCAGCTAGGTGGACGCGTTCTATGCGCTACGAACATCGGCATCGATCGCACGAGTCTGCCGCCGCGTCAACGTCGGGCGTTCGGCGCTGGGCGCCGCGCGTGCGCGAACCAGAGCCCCGCTCATCAGGCGGCACACGGATCGCAGATGGCCGGCGCTGGTGTCGCGGCAGGGCGCGGCGCACCCAGCCCTGGGCGATTGATTCATCAGGTTCCGTAACATCCATAAATATTCACGTATGATCTATGAAATGCAAAGTTGTTCAGGTTTTGATCGGGGCCTAGACGGCGCCATCCCGGCCCAATGCGTCGTCCGTACGAGTCGCATTGCCATTCCTCCTTGTGTGTGTGTGTGTGTGTTGTGCGCCTGCTTCACCAGGCAGAAGAAAACGACCAGGTTACAACATGGGTATCGATCTGCGCGCTGGCGGCCGAAGTAAGAGAAAACAGCGGGATGCGCCGCGCTCTCAGGATCCCTACCTGCAACTCTTGGTGCGTCTGTACGCGTTCCTTGCACGGCGCACTGGGGCACCCTTCAACGCCGTCGTGTGGAAGCGGCTGTGCATGTCGCGGACGAACCGTCCGCCCATTTCGCTTTCTCGTCTCCTTCGGTATTACGATGATTCAAAGCGTAAAGAGGGACGGATCGCTGTTGTCATTGGCAAGGTGCTTGACGACGAGCGAAAGCTACGTGTGCCGCCAAACATTCGACTCTGTGCGTTGCAGATCAGCGATACCGCACGGGCGCGCATTGAAGCGGCAGGAGGCCAGGTCATGACACTGGATCAGTTAGCGCTTGTAGCGCCTCGCGGAGAGAATACGATACTGATTCGAGGGCGTCTGCACCAGCGGCGCTGCTACAAACACTTTGTCGGCGTCACGGGCCGGGAGCACGTCCGGCCGTACACGCTCTCCAAGGGACGCAAGTTTGAACGCGCACGCGGACGCCGCAAGAGCCGCGGCTTCAAAGTATAAACCGCAGGCATCGACGCGCCGTCTCCAACGAAGCTGAACACTGTGACGTGTGTTGCGAGCCACCAGCGCAGCGCGTAGGTCATGCGCCGGGCGGCTGCAGTACACAGCACTCTGTTTACAAAGACGATGTCTTTTGGCGTTGAATCTCGCGATCTAATTGGCGACGAAGCTGTAGGTAGAGTGTCGCGGAGCCGCTGCCGCCACCTGCTTGTACGCGGTCGTCACCAGGCTCTAGACGCCGAGTGCGCCGCGCCCCGCCACATTGGATGCTGGACGTGTGCGCTGGGTCAGTGCTGCCGCGAGCTGGCTGCTCAGCGACATGCTCGGCTTTTCGAATGCGAATACCGGCGTATTGACCGCGACTGACGTGTGCGCGAGCTTGGGCATCGGCCTGGGCTTGTGCCTGTTGTACCACCCGCAGCGCTTGCTCGTAAACGACCTGCTGATCACGATCCGTCTCTCCCGCGATACGCGACTCATGCCGAGAACGGCCGCGCGACTTGGCCTCCCAGGCCGCAATCGAGTCCCGCAGGGCTGCCTCCTGGAGCCACTCGGTTGCACGCTGACGCTGCTCGGCTGTTTCACGCTTTCGACGCAGGCGACTGCGCACCAGTCGTTTAAGGCGATTTCGCCGCGTCCGACGACTCGAACGCGACGCTTCCGTATCGCCCTGCTTGAGCCGTAGTGACGCATCGGTGTCGACACCAAGGCGCGAGGCCTGCTCACGGACTGGATCGCGAGCGACGCGCTGCTCCGCAAGCGCCGCCGCCTCCGCTCCCGGTACATCGCCACGACCCAAAACCATCCAAGGCGCTTCTCCGACAGCAACCGTTTGTGTCGCATCGGATACCAGCTTTTGCGGTCGCAATGACCAGCCGTCCGCGACCGCGAATGACCTGGTTTCCAGTACTCGCTCTGCCACCTCAGTCTGTGTCGCGATTGCGGAAGCCAGCTCCCCGAACAACGCATCCACCTGTTGCTCTAGCGGATTCCGGGGCGATTTCGGCGTCTGCGTCGAGGCGCCACGCACGATGCCCTGCGCCCCGGCTGTGGCAGCGTCGCGGCCGGCGTAGAGTTCAGCGAGGCCCTGCGCTGAGCGCTCCTGCGATAGCTCGAATGCGCCAGCATCAGGCGCAGCAGCAGCAGCAGCAGCAGCAGCAGCATCCGCCGCCGAAGGCCGCACGCGCCGCTGCACATCATCGAACGCCTGATCAAGGACACGTTGCAGGACACGTCGTCGGATGCTCGCCTCCGTGAGCACATGCGTGTCCGTGTCCTGTGACGTGTCCGTGTCTGAATCTGCAGCGCGATCCGAGATCGCCGCTTCATCGACGTGGTTGCCTGCGAGCGCTGCCTCGTAGGCGTGCGTGCGAATGCGCGGTCGACGCGCCACCGACAGATCAAAGTCTAGCTCGGCATCGAGGACGGAGTCTACGGGGCGCTCATGACCGGTAACTTCACCGCGAAGCTGCCAGGGCTTCTCCTCTAGGTTAAATTTCTCTAGTGAACGGGCTCGGGTTCGCAACAGCGCCTCGCACCGTTCAAACGCGGATGTTTGGGCGGGTTCAGGTGTTGTCACTGGTGTGCACGTGGACGTGTTATCCAGAGTTGGCGCCGCTGTTGAAAGCTTGTGTGCGTTGTGCTTGCTGTCGTGTCTATTCTCCGCCGGTTGCGACTTGGTATCCATTGTAGCGTTTGTATATTGGTTGCGCTTTCTGTGTGGAAATGATTGCTCGCGTGGCGATGCATCGGAGCGCAACGAGTCGGATGCCTCTGAGCCGAAAAACTGCTCGTAATAGACATCATCTTCCGGAGAAGCTGAGGATTCCAGTGTGCCTGAGTCATCATCTGTCCCGAACGAATCTAACGAGGCATCGTCTATGTTGTCGATACTTGCTGTTGGTGATTCCGCGCTTGACCATGACGCATCTGGTGTCTGCTCGATCCAGGGGTCCAACTGGGCCACATGCGACGGCAACGCTTCACTGCGATTGTTTGCGTTGGAGTGCTGCGGCAGGGACTGGGCCTCGGAACCGGAGGCAGATGCACCGGCGGTGTTCGCTTCAGGCGCTGCAACATTGTGCGCCGATTCAATGGCGTTATCGCAGGTATCGCTATGACCTGGGCCTTTTTCATTCGATTCGTCAGAGAGCAGGCAGTCTGGTGCCGATTCATCCGCTACGGACGCCGCGTTCGTACTCAGGGCGCGTCTCTTCACCGACGCAGCAGCATCTGACGCAAGCGAGTTTAACTCCATATCCGCACTCGTATGGCCAAACTTGCGTAGCGCTTCGTGGCCGACGTTCGCACCAAAGTCGCCACACGCTGCTTCATCCATTTCGTCCCGCTCACTGGAGTCTGAGGTCGACGAACCAGCATCATACATGGTATCGCACGCCTCCAGCATCGCATGCCCGATGATAAATTCATCATTGTCATTTTCATCGTCATCGTCATCGAAGAAAAAGTTTGGCGACATGCAGCCAACCTCCTCGTCTTGGTCCCGAACAAATTCCCGCGTTTCATTGCGCTCGTCATCGAAGCGTACCCGCTTCAGTGTCCCGTTATCCTGGCTCGGCGCTGTGTCCGCGGTAGAAGCAACCTCTATACATTGAGCGCTTCCGCCGCCCGTTGCAAACTCACTTTCTATTCGCTCAAGCGTTTTCCTCGCAGCTGCACATAACGATCGGTTTCGTGTTTCGAGTTCGGCCCAAACTTGCTCGAGATCGAAACCGGCGATGCTCAATCGCTTGAGTTCGCCGAGCGTTGATCGCAAAGCCGCTGCGCGCCTTCCCAGGCATCGCCGCTTCGTTTGCCACTCAAGCGTCTTCGCAGCCGAGTCAAACAGCAGCTTACACAAGATACGGAGTTCCGAGGCCCCGCTCGGTTCCGCAACTCGTCCGGGGTCCGTTTGCGCTGCCTCCCAGGACAGCAGGCGAGCGTGCCACTCGCGCAGTGCGGCTGCTGTTTCGTGCATGCCAGTACGACACTTGGAACGCTCCTTGCTTTCGCCAAAATCGCCCGCAGTTCACGCCAAAATCAGTTCTGAAAACGAAGTTGATAACCTTGGCTTCCACCACTACAACTACAAAGACCACCGGTACCAGTACCGAGTTTGAGGCAGCTCGTCGTCAAGCGTCCTGTGTCAGCGCAAACAGGTTCATGAATGAACGCAGGGCGGACGCGTGCCGACGTCGACGCCTGCGCTTCCGCCGGTCAACGAGAGCTGTGCAAGCAGACCGGCCACAGGCGGCTCGGAAGCTGTCCATGCGACGCTGTGCTCGTATCGTTACGCGTTATTCAAGGTATCCAGGGAGCTCCGAGTCCGAGTTGTACATTGCCGTCAGGAAAAGCATACATCAATGAGCACCAGATCCTCGGGGTTTCAGCAGTCGGCACGACCCGGGCTTCGCTCGGGGCATGTACGTCCGTTCCGACAAGCCTCGGGGTGCCGAGTGCCTGTCGCGAATGCTTCCAACGATGCCTGTATCGTCGCTGCGGACACAGCGTCGAGACGAAACGACATTGTCGTACGCTTTGGGACGCATGGAACCTGAGCCTCTCGCTACGAGGTGCCGCTCAACGCATGACCAGAACTGAGGCAGCTGGAGCATATTCCCTCCGCATGGCAATGATGGTATGGACCCTGGAATGAAGACTGCCGCAGAACCTCTGGTGTGTGTGTGGGTGTGTGTGTGTCTGTGTTTGTGTCTATGGAGAGCCTGCATCAACGGCGTGCCGGATACGAAAGCGCTATAGGCGTGGAAGCTACCGCGCATGCTTACAGACCGTGCCTCGTAGAGAGGGTATGTTGTTGCGGCCTCTTTGGTTGCAGAGGGGCTCGTTCGTCGGCCTCGCAGGTTGATATCCGTACATCAGCATACGTTTCAAAGTTTACGTCGGAAACGGCACTGCTAGAAAGGTTTCTCTCTCGTGAAGAGCCGCAGGACTAGTACCGACACTGCAGCCTCTTCCCAGACTCCGGGGCCGCTGCGTACTCGAGCGGGTCCAGGAACTGTGCGCCGTTTTTGGAGACAACTGCGTCAGTGACTGGACACCAACTGGGAGCTGCTGAGAACATGCACTGAGTTGCAGCGTGCGCTGCTCAGCCTGCGCTGGACAGGCAGGCGACCTTGCTTCGACGCTGCCGGCGCCTTCTCGAGGCCGCCTTCCAGGACATCTAGTGGACCGGCCTGCAGCATTAGCGTTGCTTTGAGGACACGTGTGTATGCAAGTATGCACCAGCCAGTTGGAGCGCTGGTTCGCTGCTGATGGACGAAGGCTGCGCACTAGTCGCAGTTGTCACGCGGAAAGCTTTCATGAGCTTTCTCGCACGGCGCGCTCCGAAAGCCGCGTCATCATAGGCATCCATTCCGCGGATGCACCTGCCGAGGACACGATTCGGAAGCCAGCGTCGCCTTTGCGCTTGCTGATGCTGCTAACTCTGCCGAGCAGTGTGCGATGTGGCATCGCTGCTTTCTGCAAACGAACCTAGAACGCATTCTACGCTGCATCGACGCCCGAGATGCATACTCGGAACCGCGCGCTCGCGAATACTTGATCTCTCTTGGTAGGTTCGTTACGAGACGCGAGGTCTTGTCTCTGGAGCAGGTCCATCTTGTGTTGCGCTCACGAGGCTACCGAGCGGAAACTTCTGCGGATCGAGCGATTCCGCGGTGCTCGGTACCGTTTCCAGGCCTGTGCACCTCGGCCGCCACGCGCGGCAACTGGGACCTCTCGGATGAGCGAATGCTAGCCCGGGGTATCGCTCTGGTTGCCGAGTTTCTCCAGCGTGTCGCTTTGCATCGCTGTCGGGTCGCTTACGTGAGCTACCTGTCGTTACCCAGACCGATATCGAGCCCCGAGCCCGCGTCGAGTACGCTGCACCTCGAATGGATGCGCGTAAAGGTGCTGCGAAGTCGTCGTATCGCCAGGGCAGTGACAGCAGCGATGCAGATAGGATTGCGCTATGCACGAAACCCGTGGATGCATACCTCGTCCGGTCTTGTATTCCCTAGCAGAGTGCTGTTCTGAAAGTGATGCAACCTGGGTGTTAACGTGTCAGCGCTGAAGTACATAGCCTCATCGATGGCGCCTGATTTGCCGCATCGATCCCTGACCACCTGGGTCGCGGGCGTGCAGCGCCTCGTTCGACCAGATGCATATGCACCTTGAGACACAACAATATCGACAAACATGTACCGTGCGATTCACGAGCGGGACTTTGACATATTGCAGCGTCCCCGGTGCGCGGTCTGCGACAGCGGCATGCGGCATGTGAGCGCTACCGCTGGCGTCGCAAACGTGCCCGCCGAGAACCCGAAGCACAACTAGAGCCGCGTTGGATTAAAGTGGGACAGTGAACTGCTTGTTCTGTTCCTGTTATTCGATTCATTCACGGATTTTGTAGACGTACAGCCTCGACGCTCAAGCCAAGTCCCGCTGTAACGGCCTACGGATTCGAAAGCAATGCTGAAGACTCTCAGTCGTTTATTCGGAGTTGCTCCTTTGACGCCTCGCTGCTGGAGTTCCTTGCCCTAATGGTATCAAAATGAACCGCGACGCTCTGGGACTAAAGTTCGTGAACCAATGGATACCATCATCGGTGCCGTGCGTTACGCATTCCCAAATGACGCATTCTGCATGTTTTCGATCCTTACGTTTCAAGGCAACTTGTGGGCACAGTCATTGGCCTCGCTAAATTGTCGCGGAGAAACGACTTGATGTCATTCGTTGGGAAACTCTATGCGAGATCATCTCGCAAGTCCATTGAACTTGTTACGTCAAATCATCGATTCCGTTCCCAAGACACATCCTGTTTCGCACATCGCCATCGACGACACAATATTCAGCATCTGCATATTACATCGCATCGGAAACACCCCGAGAGGCTCATGTCTCTGCTATTTGCATGGAAACGGGTCCTGGACTCGGACTTGAGTCGTCCCAGCGATCGGTTCGGGTGGAGCATGCGTCACCGCCTTGCACGAAGGCAACGTGTGCTGATCGGGATATTTCGATGAGCTCTGTATCCTCGATTTACCTACCGGTGCTTGTTTCATCATGGATAACATTGCGTTCAACAAAGTCTCTCTTGAATGGAGCGGCGTGCGCTTGCGACTGCAGCGGACTGCGTACTCGCCAAGAGCGTTGCACAGCAGAAGCGCATGATCATAGGGCAAGGCACCGCGCGCGCGAAATCGGAGGACGACATCCCAGTGAGCAGTTTTTCACATGTCTGGGGCATGCACCAATCCACGAAGCAAGCCGTGGAGCGCCAGAGGGCTGCACTCGGCGGGCAAAATGGGGTGTCCATAGAGGAGCACCTCAGCCCAGTCCGGTGTCACCGCTGGGATGAGCGCATCGATGCCATGCACATTGAAGATGAATACAGGAAGCGAAGCGTCGATCACGAATTCCGCCTGTCCATGACTTGCATTGACTAGAACTTGAAGAGGCGAAATCAGTACATGAACGCTGCCACCAATATCCCAAGACGGCAGAAAATGGAGCCCGAGGGAAGCTGGACAACCATCGTACACGCACCCAGAGGCCAGAATGAGGAATGGAAAGCAGTCGCAGCAGAACAAACCAGCAAGGTCTGGTGTTCATGTCAATCGGAAGAGACCCATTTTCTAGTCTGTACGCCGGAGTTTGCATAGTTGATCCGTTCCATTTCTTTCTGACATTAGTGCAGCGCTTTCGCGATACCGATGTGTACCAGCGGGAACGCGACGTTGAAGCCGAACGGAACGACATTGGAGAGCGTTCCCCAGGGACCAGTTTCCGAAAGCACATATCTGGCTCTAACCATGCGAGCATTCACCGACTAACCAATCTCCGTGTTTACCTTCGTTATACGGTGAAGAGACACTGCCTGCGAATGTTCAATTGACGCCGTCATGGATACCGTGAGAAATGATTCAAATCATGATACGGGGAATCACCATGGTTCGGTCAGACGTTGTGCTTGGACGCCCATCTAGTAGTAGGATTCTCCTGGAATATCGTCCATGCCATCGTCGGCGCCTTTCTTGTCGTCCTTCTTTTCGGGAATCTCTACAACCAGCGCCTCGGTTGTAAGCACAAGGCCCGCCACACTTATCGCGTTTTCGATCGCACTGTTTGTCACTTTCACGGGATCGAGGATACCCATTTCGATCATGTCGCCGTACTCTCCGGTAGCTGCATTGTATCCGTATCCAAAGGGTTTCCCGGCCACGTTTCCGAGCACGACCTCTCCCTCAAGACCGCAGTTCTCCGCGATCTGGACAAGTGGTGACTTGAGAGACCGCCGCAGCAGCTCCACTCCCAGTTGTGTGTCCTCGTCGCCGCCGACCTTGGCCTTGATCTCATCCATCTTCTGCATCATATAGACGAGCGTTGCCCCGCCGCCTGGAACAATACCCTCCTCGATCGCTGCTCGGCAGCTATTAATCGCATCCTCGTACCGCAGCTTTTTGTCTTTGAGCTCGCTCTCGGTAGCGGCACCCACTCGAATTCGAGCGACACCTCCGCTGAGACGGGCAATGCGCTCATCGCACTTTTCGCGGTCGAACTGGGTGTCAGCGTCTTCTCGCTCCTTACGAATCTGCTTGATGCGCTCTCTTACCTCTGCCTCATGGGATCCATCCGAGATAATTGTCGTCGTCTCCTTGCCGACGACGATACGCTCAGCGCGGCCAAAGTCCTTCTCAGTGACACCCTCTAGCGTCATACCAAGCTCACCGGCAACCACTGTGGCTCCAGTCACGATAGCGATGTCCTGCAGGTACGCCTTGCGCCGGTCACCAAACCCGGGCGCTTTGATCGCACAGACATCAAGAACGCCGCGCATCTTATTGACCACCAGCGTTGAGAGCGCCTCGCCCGTTACATCGTCGGCGATAATGAGCAGGGGCTCTTTGTCTTTGACGCATTGCTCAAGAATTGGAATGATTTCGTTCACGTTCGAAATTTTCATATCAGTGATCAGGATTCGCGGCCTCTCTAGCGTGCAAGTCTGGCGATCCTGCTCCTTCACGAAATATGGCGACAGGTAACCACGATCGATCTCCATGCCCTCGGAGAACTCGACATCGTCCGTGATCGTTTGCGACTCCTCCACAATCGTGCTGCCGTTCTCTCCAACTCGCTCAAAAGCCTGCGCAATGATACGCCCAAACTCCTCGCTATTGCCTGATGCAATCGTCGCGATTGCTTCAATGTCCTTGGGGCTCTTGATCGGCACTGCTAGTTTGCGGATCTCCGCGCGCAACAGCTGGCCTGCCTTGTCCAGACCGCGCTTCAGTGCAATGGGGTTCGCGCCAGACTCAACCAGCTTCAGACCCTGGTTAATGATAGACTGAGCGAGCACTGTAGAGGTTGTGGTTCCGTCCCCGGCCCGCTGATCCGTCTTCGACGCCACCTCCTGAAGGAGGCGCGCACCCACGTTCTCCGTGGGATCCTCAAGAGAAATATCTCGCGCGATCGTCACCCCGTCGTTCACGACTTCAGGTGCACCGTACGAGCGCTCCAGAACGACATTACGCCCCTTTGGACCCAACGTGATGCGTACCGCATCTGCAACTGCATTGATACCGCGAACAAGCCGACGACGAGACTCCTCGTGGAACACCACCTGCTTGGCAGCCATACTCACAGACAGCACCGAAGAGCGCCCCGGCGTCGTCCTCCTTGACAGTTTCTGCCCCATCTGCAGACGACCTGACGCATCAAACCTTCCAACGAAGCCATTAGCGACGAACATGCACTGCATTGGAACCATGAAAACTGGTAAAGCGCACTGGAAAAGAGCTCGCTTCGACGCTATCCCAATGCCTCGGACGCACACTCAGGAATCACCAGATGCTATTGATGATGACGAAGTTGATCGAAGACGCCGTCGGCGGCGGCGGCGGCGGCGGCGGCGGCGGCGGCGGCCACGCGCCATTGAGGCGCGCGCGCGATGTGCATCACGGATCGAGAAAGAAGCGGGTCGACGCCCGCTGTGGTACGGCAACGCCGCTCTGTTTCCGTGCAGCATCCGCACCGGCGCCTGAGGCGCCATGGCGGTCAATCAGGACAGGCACCCGGCACACGATAGAACGTATGAAACGACCAGAATATCCGAGAAGAAGTAAAGGTAATGGAATTTGGAATCAGGGCGTGGATCGACGGATGCTTCACCGTGCACTGAAGAATACAAACAAAAGAAAAAGAGAGAAAAGTGCTCGATTAGAGAACGCTGGCCTATTTTTCAGATGACAAATCGTTTACATTGACCATGGATCGCAGCATTCGGAATGGAGAATGGCTTTCGGGAAAGCGTCCATCATGAAGCACCTCCCTTCAAGTTCCATTACCAGTACTTCTTCTTATCAGATATACAGGTCGTTTCGTATGTTGTGTCGTGCGCCGAGCCTGCCGAAAGCGACAGCAATAGCGCATATACCGCTGAAGCAGGTGCGACACGGAGACAGAACGGCTTTGCCATTACCAATGAAAGCGTCGACTCGAGGCGTGGTTCCTCCGACATAGGGTCGGAGCACATAGTAATTCTGGGAGCCTGCAAGCTGCCCAGACGGACGTGCAACCTGCGACAGCGCGAAGCGATATACTAGGAGTCCGCTGCGACCAGGGCGACGCCCGGGCGCAGCATAACTGCGCTTATTCCCGGAAGGAACTGTGTTGAGGACGAGCTGTTCATGTCTCGCCACAGCACCCGCCACTGGGGGAGCACGAAGCACGAGCCCGGGACACTCGTCCGGCTCGCGGGGCCTTCTACCTAGAAGGTAAACTTTCGAAGATACGGGAACTTTTCACCGTTCCAACGCTCATTATCAAGGTCAAAAGAAACTGTTATCTAGTTGCTGGTCAGTGTTTAGTTTCTGTTCTTTCTTCCCTAGGAGAATGCTCTCTGCTCGCGGCCTGGCACAACTGGAGGGCCCACCAGTCCGAGGACTAGCCTTTGTTGCCGCTGTTTCTATGCAAAGCTCTGCCGCGCGCGCTCCTTCTCTCTTTCTCTCTCTACATTCTCCTGTCCGCGCCCTTGGCCAAAACTCTGAAAAGATATCGCTCGCGTCACTCGTGTTCCTATGTAGGGTATATAGATACGCACTCACAGACGCCTCCGGGCCTTTCCTTGACGGGCCGCGTGCTACCGGATTCAGCTTCTCCTCGTACACTACGAGCCTGTCATCGTTTTCTGCTGCTGCCTCCGGCCCTCCGTTCGTTGCGGCCAAGGTCCCTGTCATGGGCTTCCTTCCCCGTCGCTCGAACACCCCGAGTGAACCCACTTTCAGAGCTTCGCCGAAACAACTAGACCTCTCAGACGGGGGTGGTGTGTGTGGGGCTTTAAGATACTTGCTCTTTAGTACACAGTCTGTGGCTAGTTTGTTTTGTTGTTTTTTTCTTTTGTGTTTGGGCAGGTGTCTCCGTCTTGATTGGCTGCGTATCGATGAATATCACGCGTCGTGTCTCATGCCTGCCTGATCTCCCAGGCGCGCTCACCAAGCGAACTATAGAATCACGTACAGAGACTCATGACTAACGCGCAACGATATGAAAATTTCCCCCTCTGAGCTAAACGTTAAAAAGAGGAAAAGCTTCCCGTATTTCAGAAAGTTTACCTTCTAGGTAGAAGGCCCCGCGAGCCGGACGAGTGTCCCGGGCTCGTGCTTCGTGCTCCCCCAGTGGCGGGTGCTGTGGCGAGACATGAACAGCTCGTCCTCAACACAGTTCCTTCCGGGAATAAGCGCAGTTATGCTGCGCCCGGGCGTCGCCCTGGTCGCAGTGGACTCCTAGTATATCGCTTCGCGCTGTCGCAGGTTGCACGTCCGTCTGGGCAGCTTGCAGGCTCCCAGAATTACTATGTACTCCGACCCTATGTCGGAGGAACCACGCCTCGAGTCGACGCTTTCATTGGTAATGGCAAAGCCGTTCTGTCTCCGTGTCGCACCTGCTTCAGCGGTATATGCGCTATTGCTGTCGCTTTCGGCAGGCTCGGCGCACGACACAACATACGAAACGACCTGTATATCTGATAAGAAGAAGTACTGGTAATGGAACTTGAAGGGAGGTGCTTCATGATGGACGCTTTCCCGAAAGCCATTCTCCATTCCGAATGCTGCGATCCATGGTCAATGTAAACGTTTTGTCATCTGAATAATCAGGTGCGCATCGGACACGTGCCTGTCACCTGTCCGCGCGCCGCAACGCCGGATCCGGATGCAGCGATACACGTCGCATAACCCGAGATGCGGGCGCTTATGCATCACTGCATACACGCATGACGGGCGTCCATGTAACACCGAACGCGCCTTTTTGTTCATTGTCTAGACGAGTTAAAAGGTTGATTATCCTGTGAATTGATGACGTCGCAGACACTTGAGAACAGCGAGGACACCGAGAGCCGGCGGGTGGGAACGCTAGCCGACCGCGAGCTCGTTGCCGAGCTCATGTACCCGACCTCCGAAGAAAGCGCGTTCAGTTGTTTCCGGTGCGAAAACTGCGCAAGAACGGTGTGGGTGTGCCTTTGCGGCGCCGAAATAGTGCCCGGAACGACACGGACGGAAGATCTTGTACCCTTACGTCGGGAAGGAGGGCGTTTGTCCCTGGTATCCTCGGGGTGGTCGGCTGCGAGTCAGTGTTCCACAGTCGGGTCGCCGTCGCTAAAAGCGCCTCCAACTCCAACAGCTGGCCATCGGGTGCCATCATGCGATCCTGTGCTGGATGTGAAGTACGCGGCAAGCAATGGACCGGTGCTCGGCGATGATGGAAAGACGGTGTTTTGCAGCATGGACTGTTATTGGAGTGCGTCGTTGGACCCAAATTGTCAGCGGATTCGCCTGGTTTACGAGAGAAAGGGCGCGCGCCCTAAGATTCTGGAACGTCGATGCGGTAAACCCGGCGGCACATTGGAGGCGGGAGCGCCTTGTCGTCCGACACGCGGGCGTCCGCCAACCGATGAGCGAGGAGCACCCGCCGCGTTGCTGCATCGCCGCCCCGATGCCATCGAGTGCAACGCGGGGGCGTCGTCACCGCAGCTGCCGTCGTCGTCGTCGTCGTCGTCGTCGCCGCCCCGCGTCGATGTATCCAAGAGGCTGCTCCAGAAACAAGCACAGCTACTGCGAATTCCGCAGTCGACGCGCACTGCAGAAGAAAACGATGCCTCGCTCTGGGACCGTCTGCGGTGTGGGAACCAGTGCCATCAGTCGGGTGATGTACAGCATGCGATGTACGAGCACCATGCCTACTTTGGAGGAACCTTCCGCCGAACGGTTGGTGTTGAAGTGCTTCGACGATACACCTGGTGCTGATGTCTACCAGGAATGACTGCGAACGGATCTGCCCTTTCCTGTACAGGTATACTAGCGTCACGATTCAGACATCCGGATCGGTACTGTTGGGTTTTTTGTGTACGATTTTTGTCTAACCATTCCCCAGTCCATTACTCTGTGTACGTGCTCATCATCTATAAAAGATCGCGTAGCGATGATTCAAACACAATCGGATAGGGCGAGCAGCCACAGCTCGGACCTGAACTCGGGGAGCGTTTTCATGACGTATCGCGTACAGGCAGTCGCAGGTTTCGGGTCGACGATGAGATCGCAGCGCCGCAGCACCAGCGTCGGCACACCATTACGAAAACGGTGCTCGCATCCACCGAAGCTTTCATGAAGGAACAGTGCGTCGCGGACGTCGTCGTTGCATGGCCTTTGGTGGAGTGCGTGCGCTTCAAGGTGTCAACGCGGCTGCCTTGTAAGCAACAAGCGCGCCCTATGCAGACGTTTGTGGGTACCTCAACTGCATCATGAGGTACACACAGCGACAGCCCTACTCCTGGGCGTTCGAACAGCCCATACGACGTCGCCCGGTGGTGAACAGTAGTATATGCTTATCTTGGGTGTCCAGATTTGGCAGCGCACGTACCCGAATTCACTACAATTGCGAATGGATGCCCACGAGATATCGAGCCTAACGTAAGCATTTGGTCTTCATCATGCGAGAGTGATGCGTGGGACGAGAAGCTCCAGCTCGCATAGATGATGCTGATGCCGCATTTTTCGTGCATAGAGCTCCTGTCCTGAGCGGATTCCTGCGAATACCGCAGCCCCCAGTTCAGTGTTTCCCCTCGGACCAGAGCTTTATTGGATCTAGCGATCCGCCCAGTGGCTCGTCCGCTGCGCACGACTCGAGGAGGCGGGGCGCTGTTTTGCTTTATACGGTTTTGCAATGATAAACCTAACGACGGATCCCTCTGATGCACCACAATTACCGGAATGAGGACGTATTTGCCTGCAGAGTGTCGGACACGTGTCCATCATCGATCGGAGTAGCGTCTCGCGCGGTGCACGCATTGCGCACCGTAAGCGCGCCTGGGAGATCGGGCAGTCAACTGACGCGACGCGCGTGCCGTTGTTGAAGGGAAATGGGATCCTGATCAGGAGCGTGTAGCTCTCTTTTAAAAGTTGTATTTCCGTTAACTTGCTAGGCAAGTGTAGTTTTTCAGCTCACTCGTGTTTCAAACCTCAAGTAAAAATATTCGATTGGGGTTTACCGGTTTATAACAGAAGCGTTCAAAAGCGTTTTTTTTCCAAAAAAAAAACTAAAAAAGGAAAGCTATGAAAAAAGTTGACGATCTTGGAGGCCCAGTGTCGCTGGCTGCCAGAAAAAAAAACAAAAACCAGTGCCGAGTACAGAAGAAAAGGAAGAGGAAAAGAAGCAAACAATTTAGAGGGCCTACGTCGTAGGCAGCAAGAAAGACGCCTGTACGACGAGACGGTGGTGAAAGTCTGTTTTCTTGAACATGACTAGGATCCGTACGATGAAAAGTTGCGAGACGCTATCAGAAACCATGTCGACTCGTTCGCCAAGAGTATTGTCAAGGCGTCGTCAGGATTGGTGCATTTGGCGAGGGAGATGCATTGCAACGTGACGCACATGGAAACGGTCGAGATTCCGAATGAGTTCTTCGATAAGACCTTTACTCGTCACCTGATGCTTGGTACAGAGGAAACGCGGAAGGAAAATGAGCTGGTGCAAATCCTCCACGAAAAACATCCCCTTTACAGCTTCAATGGTACTCGATACTAGGCTTACCGGGATATTTATCCATATGGGCCCATGAAGTACCCCACGAATCTGAAGGACCATTTGACGGTGAACCTCGAACGTTTCATGATACGTGCCGTGGTTACACTCTACCTGGGCCTATCTCGCAATGGAAAATGGGCGATTATCAATGGCGTCACGAACGACCGCAAGCGTGAAGATGAGGTCGAATTTGTCGACAAGAAGACATCACGCAGGAGCACGAATGAAGCTTCTGGAATCCGTGCGGTTACAGAAGAGCACCGTGCGGTACTGGGGTTGGTTCATCCAACAGACAAGATATCAGAGTTGAAAAAAGACAAGGAAAGATACTATCGCCTCGTCCTGCGATATTTCGTGTTTTTGGACCGAGAACTCGAACACAAGGTGGAGATGAAGCTGAATGGCGAAAAATGAAGAGTGGGAGAGACCGAAGGCTTTCCTAAAGGGGAAGCGCTTAAACGTGGTTCCAATGTGCAACATCAGGTCACATTTCGTGACTATCGACTCCAGAATCCTTTACGGCATCATGAAAGGGATCAGTACCGTGTTCAATGTTAGCAGGGAATACTTCACCGGCGAAAACCGGGAGACGTACTGGAAGAATATCTTCGATTTCAAACGCCTGAGAGTGAGCAAGCAGAAATTGTTCACTGGGATGATCGAAAGCGATGGAGTAGCCTTGTGTGTACACGATCGGCGGTTGAAGACAAATCGTCCAGTTCCGCCCTCGGTCTCGCCCGTGCCGAAGCGTGAAGAAAAGGAGGCGGATCCTGTGACGCAGGAGGTGGAGGATAACGACCTTGTCGTTGATGCGGTGAAGCATGAAGAAAACAAGCAGGCGGATCCTGAGACGCAGAAAGTGCATAACAACGACTTTGTCGTTGGCGCGGACCCCGGAAACACAAATATCATAACCATCGCAGTACCCAAACGTGCGGAGGATTGTACTGACGGTAACTTACGTCAGAAAGACATACGTATTTTTAAGTTCTAAAGATAGAGGCATTACCGAGAATCCGGTATAATAAATGCGAAGAAGAAAATCGGGACATGGAATGCAGGAGTCAAAGAGCACCTTGAAGCTTTGAGCGAGGTGACGAGCCGCGGAATAGACTTTCAAACTTTTCGGGAGTTCATGAAAGTTCTCGTTCCTCATTGGTAGGCGCTGTGGGAGGCGTATACAAAGCCCCGGTGGGCTCGTCTGCGTATGAACGTTTACTGCGGGAAACAGCGTGCATTCGCGAACTTTTTCAATGAGTTGAGTGCCTTCACAGATGATGAAAGTCACAGGCTCGTAGTAGCGTACGGAGCAGGGCGCTGGGCGTCGAGAACAGGTACTACGCCAGTTCCGTCAACAAGAACGTACAAGGAGTGCGCGAGGCATTTTGCCGCAATGCCTGTACATGTGTTCCGAACATCGTATACACACCACGACTTGGAGTGCACACTTCTGAAAGTCGAGGTGGAAAAGTGCCAGCGGAGCCCGGAGGATATCAAATTGTACGGACCGCTGAAGGAAGAGCAAATGGAAAGCAGGGCAAAACTTCGAGAGCTACTTGCGCTTGTGTGCACAACCAATGATGGCAAGAAACGTATAAAATTCCTGTATCGCGACTTTAAGGCCGCTATCAATATGAGGACATGTGCAGTGCTGGAGAACAGAGCTCCGGAATGGACAGGAGGGAATTTGTGGGGCAACATCTCAAAGTGGAACTATATGAGAAACAATTGGAACCATTCGTACGTGACCGGTCGAGGATAACTGGGAAGCGTCTGCACCTCAGTGGATGACCTCGTGTCTGGGGCGCGTCACTCGCCAATATTCTACTCCGCTGGCGGCAGCGTTTTTCTTCTGAAAGGCGTTTGTTGTTGCTGGCGATATGCTCAGGTGGTCCGGATCTCAACAGGTAACCGACCGGAACCGAGCCGAACAGCATGGCCTGGTCGTGGCGTTCGCTTTTCCTGCTCGAGCACCGCGCCACAGCGAAGCAACACACGAGCGCTGGACTGGGCTGGCGCAGCGCGAACGCGGCTTGTGTGTACCGTTGAAAGCGACCAAGTGGAAACGAGACTTGTGGCACTCGCGAAAGCTTCAAATGCAGGAGCCTGCACAGCGGAACAGAGAGCAGGTGCAAGCGCTAGTAGTAGGCTCTGGAGTGACTGGCTCTTCGTTCGCGTTCCTGCTGCAGCACGCTGGAATAAGCGATGTGATTTGCACCGAGGCACGAGGTGAAGTTGGTGGAAACCTTATTTCGCGTTCCAAAGACGGCTACCTTTGGGAAGAAGGGCCCAACACCTTCCAACCAACACCGGTGATTCTGAAACTCGCGCGAGACGCGGGTCTCGAGTCCGAGCTTGTCTTCGCCGACGCCAAACTCCCTCGATACGTATACTGGGAGGGGGTTTTGCACGCGCTCCCGAGTTCGCCTGCAGACCTGATCACCGGCCGTTTCCGCCTGTTATCGAATGCGGGGAAGGCTCGGGCAGCGCTCGGAGCGCTCGGGTTCGTAGGCGCACCCAAACGCGTCGCACGGCAAGCTGGACCCGAGCCCAGCGAGGATGCTGACCTAGCAGACGAGTCTGTAGAGGAATTCGTGACTCGCCATCTAGGCCGCGAAGTTTTCCTGAAGATTATAGACCCCTTCGTGAGCGGTGTGTATGCAGGCGATCCCAGCAAACTCTCCATGGCTGCAGCTTTCAAGCGCGTGTACGCACTCGAGCAGCTTGGCGGAACACGCGGGATTCTCGAAGGGGCGCTCATCCGTCTGCAACAACGTCGACGGGAACGTCAACGCTGGGCGGCAGAGAATCTCCCCAAGGTGAAAGCGGGTGCACTGGGCTCCTTCCGCGAGGGCCTGCAGCAGTTGCCGCTCACAGTGGCGACTCGGCTGGGCCCTGAGCGAATGCGAACTCGGTATGCACTGCGCCAAATTGAATACAATGGAGCAAAACGTGGAAAACGTCGCTATACTGCCCGCTTCGAAACCCCAGATGGCGAACGAGTTATCGAAACAGATGCCCTCATTCTTACGATCCCCGCACATGCGGCGTCACCGCTCTTGCAAGGTCTGGGTGTCTCTGGGAGTGAGCTGCTCCAGGAAATCGACTTTCCGCCGGTATACTCGGTAACTTTGGCATACCCAAAGTTTGCAGCGCGGTTTCCCCTAAACGGTTTCGGGAACCTGATACCGCGCTCTGCCGGTATTCGCACCCTCGGGATGGTCTGGTCGTCGAGTTTGTTTCCGGAACGAGCGCCTCCCGATATGAATATGGTGCTCTCATACATCGGCGGTGCGCGTGATCCTGGTATCCGCGAATGCACCCCGGATGAAGTCGCTGCCCTCGTAGACGCGGACATGCGTCGCGTCCTCCTACGTGCCGATGCACCTTCGCCGCAAGTTCTTGGTGTGAGACTTTGGCCGCGGGCGATTCCACAATACAACCGGGGTCACTTGCGGCGCTTGGAAGCCTGCAACCAGGGTCTACAAGGCTTTCCTGGTCTCTTTTTAGGCGGAAACTATCTGAGTGGCGTTTCCTTCGGTGACTGCGTACAGTGGGCGTACGATAATGTGCCTCGAGTGCTGACGTTTCTGCAGGAGACGGCTTGATGCAGCCTCATGAAGACGCTCACACGTGAATCACTGACGCAGCGATGCATGAACGCACGGAATCTGGATACACCCCAGAACCGAGCAACGTCCCCAGTGTCGTAACCGTTGGTGTTGTCGCACACACGAACGCTGCAGATATAGAACTGAGAATCGAACAGCATCCCTAGGATTGAAACCGTTATTGTTACGGTAAACAACAACAATGCGTTTATGCGTGTAAAGCACCCGGTTGCTGTCCGAAGTTGCCAACTTGGTGTCCGGTTCAACGCATGAGCCGCACGGAAAGCCGCAGATTGCATGCCGTAGCGGATGCGATGACGTGCAACGGTACTCAGTGTTGCTTCCGTGCCGACGTACGCCCCCAGATACCCCGAACAGCACCCAAACATGAGGCTGTGAGCGTTCCCTCGCGATATCGGCAACAGTGTCAGCGGGCTGAGCGCTATCGCGCCGTACGCATCCTGAACGTGCGTTGGTCAATGCGCGCCCCACACTTGAACCGAGCTTTGATTGGATGCCAGGATCAGTGGAGGCGGCCTTTCATGCCCAGGGGCCAAGCATTCGATTCTAAAACGATTCCGTGAGGCGCCTCCGCTCATCCGTCCGGGAAACGGTTTCCAGTGCTTTCCAATGATCAGCGAGAATCGAGCGCACAGGTCCATTGTGCAACCTGAAACCCGTAAGCCAACCTGCAAGACGTCATGCAAATGTGTGAGGAAATCCTGCAAGTTGACGTTCCTGATCATGCATTGCTACCCGTGTTTGCGATGATGATCACCATCGAAATAAACTAGCTTCGGTCGCGGGCGTGATACACATCACTTCAGGGCAATAATCGAGAGCGCCGCGAGCCAACGCAGTCGACTATTCAGGAAACGTCGGCATCCTGCGGACCCTTGCGCTCTTCATGTTGATGTTGAGCGGCGGTTGGCGGCCGCCACCGCAGCACCAGCGCCTGTGCTTGCGGCATCCATCGTCGAGGATAGTAGTTGTCGATGACTTCGTCGTCGGATTCGAAACCACAGCTGCGATAAAACGCAACCAACTCTGTAGCTTGCAAAGGTGTGTGCAGGAAGACCTCGCGCACCTCCAGTCCATCAGGCAAGCATGGCGTCAGTACGCGTAGCAGCAGACGACTCCCGATACCTTGACCTTGAAAGACGGCATCAACCGCTACCGCATCAATGTACACCTGGGCACAACACGTGCGACGAGTCGCCACCCGGGCCAGGAGCACACCGACAACCTTCTCTGCATTGCCGGCCAGTCGACAGAGCGCCACCTGAGCAAGTCCAAGCCGAGCATCCCGTTCATAGGCTTCCTCGAGCCGCTGATGAAGACGTGGCAATGGCACCAGGAGCGTGCCTCTGAGCAGCGCTAGCACTTGGCTCCCGTGTTGGCGCTCCAAGGGTGCAAACTCGACCCCGTGCATGACGCTGAAGCCGAGGTTGTGCTCCTTTCAACGACGAAACGAACGTCGAAGACTGCCTCGGTCCGTTGAGAGCGACTTGCTGTTCCCGCTGCTTTTCTGTATAGTTCTTAACGGAAGCGCTGCTGCCAGCTCCTCGAGAACGCGCCGCAAGCGCACGTCCCGAACGACTCTCGAGACTCTTCAAGTCCGGAAGCTTTCTCCTCAATGGGTCTAGTACAGGGCTTTGGCTCGGGTATTCTGTTGTAGAGCTCCGAACACCTTCTACGAGCTGCTTTGTAGACACTCGTTTGTACGAGCTCGTCCCGGGTCGAGCGAAACAAGGTACGGGTGCTGCCTTTCGCAGAAGCGCCTTTTACGAGCTGTTCTCGTGACACCGTGAGGCTTGTTTCGCTGGATCCAGCTCAAGCAAAACAAGTTCAGAACGCTTGCAGCGGAATATCCCGCGGGACACCTCGATCGCTGCAGCAACTGCCTAGTCGGGTAGCTTCACATAAAACATACCAACTTGTAGGACGACAACGTTCTGACCCGAACTATTCTTTCAGGCGATAGGAAGCGTGTCGAGCTCGCCAGGCGCCTGAAGTACCAAGTGCCTGTGCCGGCTTCCCGCGGGACCAGGAAGACACCGAGCGCACGCGCCAGTATATGCGCTACTCGTTTAGACATGATCCCCAGAAAAACAGCACCTGACGCGACACATATTCGCCAAGCGTCGGACTCGCAGTGAAAACGCTTCGACCGACCAGCAGCAGACTCCCTCAGCTGACCGCATCACACGTCAGGACTTGTAGACTGCTATAACGCATGGTATGTGGTCGAGCATCTCGCCGCTATGCCTGCCATATGAAGATACAGGCGCATCGCTCAAGGTTTCCAGCCCCAGACTTCGAGCACGACACATTCAAACTCGCCAAGGGATACCTCATTCGCGGGCGCATCGAGACAGAGCGGCGGGTTATCGAAGGTTTCGCTGTACCCCGAAGTTCCGGATAGCAACGCGTCATCCAGTGAGAGCGCGAAGTGGGCGCCCCCGCCAACGGCGATGAAACGCGGTCCCGAATACTGGAAGAATGTATTCTTGCCGGTCCAGGGATAAGGTTCAACGTGTCCCTGAGCATCTGCTCGGAAGACGAAACACTCACCGGTCCCGTAGAAGGTGCTCGCGTTCGATCGCCAAGTCTCTGTGACGAAGGCCCCGAAAACATGACCAGCACGATCCCGCACAGCAACAACGCTCTGCGAAGCGTGCTGGGTACGGTGGTAAAACGTATAGAGCGATGCCCCATGAATCGCGGTGGAGTACACGAGACACCAGACCGCGTCTCGATAGCGATGTGGCAGTGCGTTTCGTAGGGACTCGAAATGATCAGGCGAGAGCACTTGCGAGTGAAAATTCGCCGCTAATGTCACTGTGGCTGTTGCTGGAGCAGTGACAGCGGTAGTGGCGCCTGCTGGAGGCAGCGCGACCAATGACGACGACGACGTCGACGACACCACTCTTGACGTATGCATTCGAGACGATCCCTCAGGTGCTTCTGAGCATGTATGCGCGGGATACGCAGCGACGTCGCAAGTCGATGACGTCCTCGTTCTAGCCGGACTCTCAGATGCCTCCCCGGATACATGCGCACGGTCCATAGCCGAGTCGTGCGCTTCAGGCGCTCCGCGTGTCGCAAGAGGCGCAGACTTGTCTGCTGCGGTGCTTCTTGTCTCTAAAGCCGGCGAAGATGCCGCAGCACGCATTGCGCTCGAGTGGACGCGAGCATGGGCACTTCCATCATCGGCCGATTCCCGCTCTAATGATGGAACCGGGAAAGCGTCTGTCGTCGCTTTAGCAGCTGGCTGGCTCGGAGGCCATGCATCGACTCCACTCGCTGGGCTCCATTGGCTACTGATGTTGTCGTCGTCGTCGTCGGGAGCCGAAGCCTGCGACCATACCCACCGGCTTAGCATCCGACCAAAACTGCCCCAGAGATCATTTCCCGTTCCAGCGTCTTTCGTCGACTGCTCCGATCGGGCAATGTCGATCGGATTTGTTGAGACATTCGCAGCCGAGGCAGCGCTGGGAGCTTGCCTCTCTTCCAGCTCATCGACGGTGCGCTGCTGGACAGTGATCTGCTCCAATAAAGCCGATATGGTCGTATTGCGGCAGAGAAACGCAAGTCTCTCCGTATCTGCTCCAGAATCCGTTTGAGCATCTGCTCGAGGTGTGCACGGCGAGCAGTCCACCTCCAGCCATGCCCATTCCGCGGGATTGATGAGCTGCTGGAAATCCTCAGCACAAGCCGGACGAATCTTCCAGCGTCTTCGAGTTGGTCCCAATGGAAGTGTGATGTTATTCGCCTTATTGTCGTCGTCGTCGTCGGTATGAAGCGCGTCGGCTCCCAGCTGCCGCTCCAGGATGCACTGCAACACTGCAAAAGCCGACGGATTCGTGGGCGGAACAAGGTTGACAGAGCCTTCAAACGTAGCGTTGCCTACCCGAATCCAACCCACAAGGCTTTGTTGATGGCTGTTCGATGAATGATGATCCGCATGACTCGTGGCAGAACGTGCTGAGGTCGCTGGAGACGCGCTCCGGCCACTACTCTGTGGTGTGGCCGGCTGGATCGTGCACCAAGTTTCTGGACCTGCTTCTCTCACCGCGTCCTGCAAATAACGCTGGAGCAATTTTTGGAGCCGAACAATGTCAGCACGCAGGCTCTCTACTTCTCTTTCCACTAGTCTCCGACTGAAACGCATCTGGTCTACCTGGGTTCGCATCGCGGCGAGCTCCGCTTCCCAGCGATGTCTTTCCCAGGAACGACGTTGGTCGTCCATACATCCAGCAGCTTCTAAAGCTGCATCTGTGCGGATAACAGGTGATTGTTCGGGTGTCCGCTGCTGTTGTTTCTGCCCCACTGATACCCGCGGTTGCGTACCCGGTGGTGACAGTTGCTGGTCGGCGGAAGCGTCGGGTTGCTGCGGGTCAGGTCGAGTCCCTTTTCCTGCCTCCGAACGCGACGAGGCTTGCGGCTCCTTTCGATTATCGAGCACAAGAGCGCTCTTGCCCGAGTTCGTGTAGTTCAGGGGCGCTTGCTGCACGAAGCGGAACGGCTGTTCCAGGGAGACGCGTTCGCGCTCGTTCACAGTACCAGCAGCAGCAGCAGTTGCTGCTGCTGCTGCTGACTGCCTGGTACGTTCGTCCACATCCATGAGTGGGCAGCAGAGCGCGCTTCAGCGTAACCTGCGTGGACGCTCACGGCATCCAGCTCTGTCGAGCGCTGTTTGCTCGCTGGTCACGAAACGCTCGAGCGCTTGCGCCTTACGGCGACTCGCGGGTCTCGAGCTTCGGTAGTCACTGTGATAGCGTTCAGACAAAAACCTGATGAAAAACTTGCACACCGATCTGGTCGAAGCGGAGAAGCTCAGCGGCGTTATGAGGGAGAGGAATCCCGTCTGTAAAGTCAGGTACGATGCGGATGGTGAGCCATTCTGGTCTTTCAAGTAAATTTTATTGCACCATTGCTGCAGTGTATAGCCGGAGATCGAAACCACGATGCAACGTACCGTATCGAAAACGAACAGACACGAACTTTTACATGGTAACGAGATAACAATTTCGTTCGACCTGTGCGGTAAACGTTAGAGGGGAAAGCTTTCCGAATCGTCGAAAGTTTGCGTTCAGAGCGAAAGGTCCCTAGAACTGTACGAGTCTGCAGGGCTAGTGCTTCATGCTCTCACAAGTGGCTGGTGCTTTGGCGAGACGTAAGCAAATCGTCCGCAACAAAGGTTATTCTGGGACTAGGAGGGGGTAGGCTGTGTCGGGGCGTCGCCCTGGTCGCAGTGGACTCCTAGTACATCGCTTCGGGCTACAGGCAGTAGGTCTGTCTCCGCAGCTTCCTGGCTCCCGGCATGCTTATGTACTTCGACCCTCTGTCCGGTGAGCCACGCCACGCGGAGATGCCCGCAGTGGTATGGCAACGCCGTACAGTGTCCTTGATGCATCCGCTCCAGCGGCATAACTGCTATTACGAATGCAGCAGGGGAGGTACTCGGTGCAAGATAGAACGTATGGAACAACCAGTACATCCGAAAGGAAGTATACACAATGGGAATTGCAGCTAGGGTGCAGCATGATAGACACTTTCCCCAAAGCCAATACCCATGCATTCCGCATCCTGGAATCCAAGGTCAACGTAAACGTTCTGTCATCGGCAAATAATCCGTTGCGGTCTTATCCATCCTGTCTATGATATCCAATATTATACGTTTTCAGAATCTTCCTCGATGCAGCGTGTCCATAGAGCTCACTGCCATCCTGTCTATAATGTCCAATATTAATCGTTTTCAGAACCTTCCTCGTTGCAGCGTGTCGATGGCGCTCACTGCCATCCTGTCTATAATGTCCAATATTATCCCTATTCAGAACCTTCCTGAATGCAGCGTGTCGATGGCGCTCACTGCCACCCTGTCTATAATATCCAATATTATCCCTATTCAGAATCTTCCTCGATGCAGCGTGTCGATGGCGCTCACTGCCATCCTGTCTATAATATCCAATATTATCCCTATTCAGAATCTTCCTCGATGCAGCGTGTCGATGGCGCTCACTGCCATCCTGTCTATAATATCCAATATTATCCCTATTCAGAACCTTCCTCGATGCAAGTCCCCGCGCCATTCCCGCATACTCCGCTGCGCCCTCTGGTTCGTATTTGCGACGTGCAGCGCACCAGTTCCACCTGGATGCGTCGTACCCGCCAGCATGCACCCTTTGCTGGTAACAGTATATCCTATAGCGCTCGGGAAGATGACGGTTTCCCCGATAGAGAGGATCCCGGCGATCTCGCCCTCCCGGACGACAGCTGGTCGGCGACGGGCGACGACACCGAGTCCAGTGCAGCGACGACTCGGCGCCAGCGGGTAACGCGGCGGCGAGGTCGGGCTTCGTCTCCGAGCACCGACACCAGTGAGCCTGCGCGTCAACGACAGCGACGCTCGCGCACCTCTCACATCAGTGTCGGTGACGAGTCCGGACAACGACCGACTATCCGGACGCGCTCGGCATCGTCGCTAGAAGCAGGCGGCGTGCCCCGAGCCACTTCATCTGATCAGGATACGTTTCGGAATACCGTGGCTATTCTCATTGAGCAGGTACGGCAGCATGATCGTTATGGGTTCTTCTGTGCCCCGGTTGATCCGGAGGAGGCGCCTGACTATCACGAAGTGATCCCAGAGCCGATGGATCTCGGTACCATGCAGAGGAAGCTCGAGACAGGCAAATATCGGCGCCTCGACGAAGTTGAGCGTGACCTAGATCTTATCTGGCGCAACTGTTTCACATATAATCCAACAAATAGCATTTACTACCGCGAGGCGGCACGAATGCAAAAGTGGGCGCTGAAACGGGTCCAGTGGGCGCGTCAGCGACTCTGCGGCATTACGGGAGCGCCCAGTCCCGCCGAAGGACAAAGCTTCAGTACGTCAACGCATTCTCGTGATGAAAAGGTACAGCACACCCATTCGAGGATGGTGAAAGGCGTATCGCGTGGGTCCGCGGTGGCTCTGGACTCGGCACCGCGGATGACGGTACGACTCCAGACAGAACGTCATCGGGACCCGGCTGCAGTGCCCGGCACGAGCTCGGAGCTGCCTACCGCAACCGAAACTGAAGGCAAACCGAAACCCGTTGCCGAAATGGATGTTGTTCTGGATGAGGCGCTGGACCCAGAGGCATCGTATGCGGTGGCAGCGCAGGACCCTGGCGCCTTTATCGAGCGCGTATGGCGAGCGTTCGTGACTCGCCAAGAGCGCTTGCGTATCGAGAAGGAGCACGAACGACTGTATCACTATCCGCGTCACAGTTCGGAGGGCGAGCGTGCTGCTGCTGACCTAGCCAGGACGATGCTTTCGCAATGGCTCGGGAAAACGATCAAACGGGCTCCGAACGATGCGGAGAAATATTTGCTGGAAATTCTTTCCGCTGCAGAGCTACCCGCCGAAACTCTCCAGCGAATGGCAACAGCATTCACGAGTCAGCAGCAGAACGGAGCAACTGCAGCAGCATCTGTTGAGGAAAACCCGTCTTTGAAGTCGAGGCCTACAGTCGGACGTGGTACACATGCAGCCGCTTCGCATGACGATGCCCAGACCCGAGGAGCGAGTGCTTCAGCAACGGACGACTCGCCCGAGACATCAAAGGACGCGTTCATCGCCTCGCGTTGGTATGCCTTGCGACGCTCTCTTGCAGCGCTCCGGTTGGCCCAGATACAGAACGCACCCCTTTCCGAGCAACTCCGCCGCTATGATACGGTGCTCGCGCTCCTAGCACGCCAGTTGGAGACCATCCCGCCACGATTGCTCTTAGCCGAGGGTGGAGTCGAGAGCATCCGCGCATTTGCGCAGCGCCTTGTCCAATATGAAGATTCTCGTGCCGAAGACGCAACGCCAAATGCTGAGAGTTCTGGACAAACACCGATGGCGAGTGATCCAGATGCGACGCAGCCGCAAAAGGGTGCTACAGATGGCCATAGCGTCGGTCATCACCCGGCAGCGACACCAGGAGCCGCTCATGCAAACGATGGGGGCGCTCAGACGGATCGCCCGCATGACATCAAAGTCGACGGCGTTTTTTCTGCGGGGAACGCAACTATGCTCAGACCGCAGGTTTAGGGAAGCGCGGAAAAATGTCGCCAATTCGTGCATTCGCTTTCCTGAGGCGTAACGTTTGTCGCCCAACGCGCTTCGTGATCGGCAGTGATGGCTCCTCACTTCACCAGATACGTCTCTGAAAGCCGCATGACTCACGATAAACGCCTTGTTTGCTTCCGAAGAGTTGCGAGCGGCACTTGTGTAGCACCGAGGCGGCGTCCATGTGCGAATGCTTTCAGCGACACGCGCCGGCTTGCTACTGTGTCCGAAGCTCATTGCGCAGCTGCGGTGGTTTCGTGAACGTCACCACCTAGACGCGCGTGGCAAGTGCGCTGGAGGTGTCGTGGAGGTCCCTTTGGTTATCGCCGTTGTGTTTGCTGGCGAAGCAGATGGATGAACCGAGGATTGCCCGCTGTCTGGTGGGTATGCTGGGGCTCCACCGCGCTTCGGCATCGGAACGCTGATGGAGAACATTGCACTGAAACCGCTTCCAAGAAAGACACGGCGTCATCGGACTCCAACATGGAAAGGCACCGACACGCTGGGAAGACTAACCGGATTGAAACCGCTTCCACGAGAGATGCGGCCCCGTCCATGACTGTCTTTGGGGAACTCTCCATATGGGCAAGTCCTCACTGAACAGGACACCTACGCAAATATACTCTGATGACGAGCTCGCCATATGTCATGCGTGGTCGGATCCAGTAACACCATTGCCCTCTGGATGCCGGTTCAACATCCTTGCGCCCCAATAGAAGACCAGATATGGACAGGGAATAGACTCCGGGTGTACATCCACGGCAGAAAACTCGGATGTGCACGCTAAAGCTGGGGTCTCTCGTATGCGTTATCATCAACACCAGCCGTTGCAGGCATTCTTCGTTGGATACTTGCTCATCCTCCACTGTCCTCGGGTTTCAATACGCCGGTCGCGACTGCTCCCGGAGGTCCGTTGTCAGCGGTCGAAACGTGTTCATTGCTGGGAGTGAGTCCCGATCTCTCTGCTTCCGCTTGTTATTGTGGAGTTTCATGTACACGTAAAAGTCGCGATCTGCGTTTCGCTTCCCGTTGTTGTCTTCTTCCTGTACAGCCTCGTCGTGCACATCGCAACGGTGAAACTTGACTGTGGTCAGGTGCTTCCAAGAGTCGGCTACACACCATGCTCCGAAGGCGGAGCTGTATCGCGTGAACGCTTGGTTCATCGCTCGACTCGGGCGCTCGAAGGGAACAAGAGGCCCCGCTCAATGTCGTAATCCGGTTTCACGCCAGATACCATACCCGACGATCCGGGGCTTTTTCTTCCAGGTATTATTGTCGCCGAGTAGTCTGTCTGCTGCACAAGTAGATGCAGGCGGTTCCATTCGGCAGAGGATTTGTGGTGCGCGATAATGCCCACCATGAAACATGTACCGGAAGCAGCATCCAGTTTGGAGAAGAATCCGAAAATCTTGGATCCGTCTACGCTTGCTTCGTGGAAACCGGTGACGCGCTCTCCACTGGAAGCGAATGTTGCGGTGGCTAAATTACGAGTCCAAGACTTTTTTCCATGCAAACAGAAGAGACTCTGCACTCAACCAGCATATCCGGTTAGAGGGATCGTGTCGCTGCTGCATTCAGTTTCGCGGATGGCCATCGGAAAGCCTAGGATTTGTATTTCGAACGGATTCCTTTCATGGATGTCGAAAATAAGGGGTTTTTCGACATGAGCTTGCACGCAAGCAGTCAAGTAACGACGTCTACCGTATTGATTGCCGCCTATCCAGCGGCGTTGATCGCCACACACATACATACACACACACGAGTTGCCTTGAAAGAGAAAGATCGAAACGTTAAACACAGCGTAATTCGAGCATGCTACGTGTAACGAAAACAGAATAATGGAGGCTTGAACATATGACCTGGAAGAGAATGTCAGTTGTTGAACGAACCCGTATTCAAGTTCGTCGCAGATCATCTTTATTCCGATCACGGAACGTATCCCAGTGGTAAAAGTTCGACACTGCATTTTGTGAAACACGTCCAGGAATCTCCATAAAAGTACCACTATATTTGCATCCGGCAGCATTGAGTACTGCACGTCGACTGTCCACGCTGCACATTTATGAACAATTTCGGAACGAAAAACGAATACGGCGGGATGAGGTCGAGCAGTTCGGCGTTCCTTGTGCATCTGACACTTGTTTTATGATTGCGTGACAAGACGCGAGACTTTGCACCACCTGGTCCTGGTTTATGATGTAGTATTCGTCTTACAAGCAACGTGAGCAACCTCCTATCCTGGAGACCACACCATCACGCTATTGAATATTCGAACATGCACTGGAAGGTATACTCTTCAACGTCTTCATTGTTTGAAGCTCAGTACTAGGCGAGTAAAGTCTCTGGCTGTGGAGCGCAAGACACAGAGTTCCGGTGTCAGTGAATCGCTGGCCATCGCCTTGCTCTCGGTGCTGGCCTCAGGAGTACACGCGTACGCTCAGCGATACTGTCAAATATCAAACGCTGATCACGGAATGCAATGATGGACTGCTCTGGCTACCATGGATCATTATCATGATCATTGGGTCAATGGTTCCTGAAAAAACCGCACAATAGATATCGCTGAACTTGCATGCGATCGAGTCTCCTATGAATTCCTTGAATAGACCGAATACACACGAAATACATTTCTCTATCCCGCGAAACGAGCACCCATGCGACGATTCCAAGGACTTGTTCGGTAAACGAAAGCACACACACACACACATACACACGGAATGCCTTTTATGTCGTGCTGAACTGGCCTGTAATCGGGCTCGAAGGGAACAAGCTCCCCGATGAGGTTATCGTCTAGGCGACCTCGACTCTCGTGCAGCCGGGTTCGCCCATGAAACCAGTGGATAAAACCCCCGTCGACGCACGGAACTATCAACGAGATGACAGCACCGGCTTTATCATGAAGACACCGTCTCATGGCATATGCTCGCCAGGGACTGCGCGTTCACTCCGCAATCATCATTGCAGTCATGTGTGGCGTCTGTTATCATGCACAGAGTCACGAGCAGTCTCCAAGTGGTATATCCATCACGACATCGACGACGAAGCGTTCGGTCTGCCCGGTGCATTCAAGGGATCCCCGCTCGCGCCGCCTGCGCCTTGCGAGTTCTTCTGTACGCGTGAGGTGTGACGCCACAAATTCGGAGGCCGCTGCCGCTTATATTTGACCCAGAAGAGGCCACAGGCGTTGCAGAGCCGCTGCTCCTTGTTCTCTCCCTGACGCCACCCCGGTGTCTCTGTCGTACCGCAGTTGGCACAGCTCAGGGGCATCTCGGGTGTCGCGCTTTTAGCCCAGGTTGCACTGGATGACGGGCGCATGCCCTTCAGCGCAGAGCTCACCGCAACTTTCAAGTTGCCTGCACTCGCGGACGTTCTTGGTATCGCTGTTCGTCCTGTGGATGCCGGGGCAGCAACCCGGCCTAAACCGTCAAGCGGGCGTTGCATCGCGGCCGTCAACGGGTGCAGTGGTCTGCTGTGTACCAGAGCTTGGGCAGACGACGTCGATGTGGTCGTTATCGCCCCCGCTGGCGCTACTTTGCCAGGCATTGCCCGGGCGAGGGTCTCCTCGTAGGACCCGTCCATAGCCGCAGCAACAAGCCGTCTGGGTAACGCTGCGGCACCGGCCGTGGACGCCTGTTCCGTCACCTGAATCATCGACTCTAAATAGGGGATACGCTTCCCGCGCGTATTCGTGCGTTCCCATAGATAGTCTCGAAGTGCGCGCAGCTCTGCAGCAGCCACTCCGTAGGGCAAGTCTTCGCGCAACGAGTCCAAAGGCACCGCTTCGACCTGTTCAGCAAGCTCCGGATCCAAGACAGTATCCAGTAACCAGTCTAGGTCGAGACCGTCGTGTTGCAGTTGCTGTACTTTGGCACGGAACGCTCCATAACATCGCTCAAATTGTGCTAAGCGAGCTTCCTGCTCATCTTCAAGCTTTCTCTCCCAGGCAAGCACATCATTTTTCCACTGTTGAAGTAGTCGCTCGTGCTCCTTCTCCGGTGATAGCAGCTCATCCACGATTCGATGCGCCATGAGGCCAGCATCCGTCACATAGCGACGCAACGAGTTTGCGTAAGCATCCAAGGCTAAAAAGGTGCGTCCCTGCAGAGGTCGACAGGGATTCGCCCTGTACAGACTCGCTGCTCCGACCGAATCTCCGTGCAGATGCTCCTCATGAGGGCATTGTGAACGCGACGATTCCTTGGTTGCCTGATCTGTTGGGCGCACCGTGAACGGCGCTGTCGTTATCGACGTAAGCGGACGCTCTCGAAGCGACCATCCGGGCCGTTTCCGCGAGATCTGACTCAGCAGGTGCCGAAACGAAACAGCCGAACGAGGCGCTGGTCCAGCCACCAGACCAGTATTCGTATCCTTCAACGCAGCAGAGCGCGAATAGCGTTGCCGCAGCCACTCTTTGGCCATCACCTCTTGGAGATGCAGATACGAGGAGGAGATCCGACTGAGGAGAGACGGCCACCATCGATGCTGCTGTTGCACGAGTTCGAGCCAGAGCGGCTGGCGAGCGCCACCGCTCCCTGAACTAGATTCATTTTTGGCATAACGAGGCCCGCCGGCACCCGCTTCCGTCCCTTGAACATCATTCACCGCAGACGCTTCGCTCCGCGTCAGGTTGGTTTGGTTCCCGCCATCGCTTTGAGAGGCAATGTTTCGCGAGGCTACGGTAACTGATCCCTGCTCGAGAAGTGAGATGCGAATCGCTAGCATCGACGGCTGACCAGTCGTAGAATGCTCACGGTCCGCAGGCACGAGTGCGGTTGAGGCGGCAGTTCGACGAGGCTGCTCCGCTGACGACTCCCCCGGACTCGAGTCCTCGCTAGGAAGACAGCTCGCTCGAAAGCGCACCGTCGATGGCCACGTGCTCGTATCGGAACGTTCAGGGACTACCGAAGCACGTTGGGTATACGAGCTGACTGCAGCGTCGCCAGTTAACTGCCGCTCATTGCTCCCGACTGGAGCCTGTTGTGACTCATTCAAGGATGAAGCATCACTTTTGGCATGTGCTCGAGGGCGACTCTGCCGTGGATGCGAACGCAGAAAGCGCTCGACGGCTTCTCGCAAGGTCGGCTCGTTCCGCAGGCGAAGAAGCCGTTCTCGGGCATTTTTCCAGGCTTTCCGTGCTTCCTGTTTACAAGCCTTGCCAGCTTGATAAAAAATGGAGTCTGGTGGGTTAAACTGGAAACAGTTACGCCAGACCAAGTCGCAGTCATGCAGCACTTGGCTGAAGCTCGTATACGCCGCGCTCTCGATCCGCTGTCTAATCGTTCCCAGGTCCATGGGCTCTTTGATGATATCTAGATAGGCGGGAACGGCTACCGGGTCGACGGGCTCCGCAAATATTCGATGTATGTCACGCCTTTGGATGCCATCGATCGCTTTCAACAGAATGGCTTTAATGGAAGGCCAAGCGTTTCCGAGTTCTCGCTCGGAAATCGTCACGACAGCACTGCGGGGACGTTTCCGCTGTCGAGTTCGCTCGACGGTGCCGCTGTTGATCCTCTTGGACCTGGACTCGCCAGGCGGTTCGTAGGATGTGTTTGTCTCTGTCAAGTTCGATGCAGATAATCCTCCAAATGAAACATTCGGTGTCGCTTGAGGCCCGTGTGCCATCGATGCATCTTGGTTGCCAGCTACCGACAGTGTACGGTTTTCGCTCCCCAGCTCGGTAGCACTGGGCACAATTGTTTGTGTGGCACCAGTTGCAGCTGTACTTGTCGTTGCGTCGACTTTGGTAGTCGAGTGCGTTGCGCTTCCAGAGATCTCCATCAAAACCCACGACACTCAGGATAGTACAGTCTTGTGTGGCTTGCTTCGAGCGCTCTCGCGCCCACTGTTCAGCGTTCGGGCTGGAGAGGCGGCGCGGCTCAGGTGTGATGCCCCGAGGTCGCCACGCTGCCTCTCCCTGCAGGAGAGTAACTCCGTTCGAAGGGTTTCGAGCCTTCAATTGCCCTGCAAATCAAAAGCAAAGTCCTGCCCCGCGCCAGAGACGCTGCAGTGAAACGTCTGCGCCGCGTCCTGGAAGCTCACCGGCGGGAGACACCGAGCGCACGCGCGTTGGCGCCTAGTCCAACGATGAACCCTAATCTTGTTCGACGCTGGCGAAGAACTCTCCAACACTTTAGCGCTCCAGCAAGCGAACTTGCCGCCGTTTGCCTCTGAAAGAAACGTCCTAGTAGTGAGCTCGTGGAGCACGATTGCTATGAAAGTCGACGTTGGCCAGCACGACTGATACGGATCCAGCCTCGCGTTCGGGTCAGCCAAGTAACCCGGATGCGATAAACTGTATACATAGGGATGAAATGGGACAGAATTCTCCTCTTCGTCACCTGAACGCCAACTTGATTGCTAAACGATGCGATAAACTGTATACATAGGGATGAAATGGGACAGAACTCTCCTCTTCTTCACCTGAACGCCAACTTGATTGCTAAACGATATTGGCCAATCTTGTTACCCGAAAACCTTTTCTTATTTCGTTAGCGTGCCATCCGAGTTGTCTTTGGCGTGCGTAACAACCGGTGGACACAATTTGCTGTGGTGCGCTAATAACTGCTCGGAAACCTGGTCCAGTGCACTTGTTTTGTGCGGAACGCGTCGGGGTACAGCGCTACCTAACGGACCCGTGTTCGCTGGTGGGCGTGTGTGTGTGAAGCGGCCAGGTTTCCAGAAACGAGCGTTCGGAACTCTTCACGATATCGAGGCGTTTTTTCGAGGCATTCGAGTGGTGGCGCAACCTCGTTCAATACCGAGAAAGGAAGCACGCTGTGTGTCCTGCGAACGCGCTTCCAGCAACTTGCGTCGTTCGAGTGCTCCGTCCGCTCTGCATCTAAACGACTGCACACGCTTTAGCTCCCGCTTGAGGAGGTATTTGGACACTTCGCACTAGTCAGCAATTGCGCTGCTGGCACGCAACCGAGCCGAAGTAGCCGACTACTGCAACTCGCGGAAGAACCGGGTCAAGTGTGCAGGGCTCGCTCGCGAGTCTCCGAGACGCGTCTGAGCTCACAAAGGTGAGCGCCTCAAGGCACTGCCTTGAAAACCGGTGCCCATCTTTGCCATGGCGGGGTGCTGTCATTGCACCCGCCCAGCAACCTCGTCGCTGAAGCACGACACAGGCAGCACACAGCTTGCCAGTGCTTGACGCTCTGCACGAACCTGTGAACCTGAGATCTGGACCTTGGGTATCCCCCGAAGCAATGAACGACTCGATTTGTGCTCAGTTGGCTGCCCAAGAGTGCGGCGCAGCGGGTAGCTCCGCCCGCTTGCAAAGCATTTTTAAGACCTTTGCCCAGAAACAGATGAAAGCGGATCGATTCCGACGCCTCAAGATGCCACTACAGGCTCCTCTAGGCTCGGCACTGGCTCTGGATCATGTGGAGTCGCGGTGGCTGCTGAGTGCTTTCAGTGACGGCCGCAGCGGACGTCTCGTGCTCTTCGACGTCCAGCCAGATGCGGGATGGACGATTGAACGACACTCCACTCGCTCAAACGTTTACCCTCGGTCGGATACATCCGTACAGTGTACCGCCCTGTCATCAGAGCAAAACGTGGAGCGCTTACCTATCATGGAAACTACGGTTGCAGGCGAACAACTCAGACAGCGTCATGCCGTCGCGTCGGTGCAGGTCCGGGAGCCATCTTTCTCGGACGGTGGCGGACGCGTGGCGCAGGCAGCATATCGCCATCTGTGGACAGGACTGGCCTGGTACCCGCTCGATAACGGACTTTTCGTGAGTGCCGATGCACAAGGCCTTGTTTACGTTTTCGACGCGGCGACGTTTCGTTCAGTCTCGAGATTCGCGTTCGGCCCACCGGTTCGCTCCATAGACTGGAATCGAGGCCTGCGACAGGTACCCGCTCAAGCGTCACAAACTGGGAGCGCGCTTCCTGGATCGAACTTCCGCGGCAGTGCCGCGAGTCCGTACTTGCTTGCGGTTGCGTCTGCGGAACCCGAACATCAGTTGCGACTGCTTGACTTGGTGAGCGGAGCTACAACGCATTCATTACTGGGTCACTCGGCTGCGATCACATCGGTGCGTTGGTTTCCATTTCACGAGTACTGGCTGGTAAGCGGCTCCCTGGACAGTAGTATTCGTCTCTGGGATATTCGCAAAGGTGGACGAGCCGCATGTTTTGCGATCCTCGATGCTGACAAGCAGGTTCCTGTGACATCCACTGAGGTTGGTGGCAGGCGCCAGTACGCCGCCTCGAATGAGGCAGCGTCGGAGAGTGCGTACCTGCTTCCACGGCACGACGCAAGAGGCCATTTCTTGCGCCAGTCACGCCCTGTGGACGCTGATCATTGCCTGGGGTATCGATGCTGGTCTGATTCGTGCTTCGCTGGCATTCCAGAGGGTATTCCCGCAGCGCCCGAGCACGACGCTGTGATCTATGACGAAGCACAGTTTCTGTCGCTACCTCAGACGCCGCGGCAACGAGACCCCAGCGGCAAGAGGGCGCACCACTGGCACAAGCAAACGAGCAGGACACGCGTCTCAAGGCGTCCTCTGGCATGGGCCAAGCGCGCCCAGTTGACCGGCCCCGAATCGAGTCATCGTGCCGAGGACTGGATCTATCTGGAACCGGCTGCACCGGCTCCGCAGCAGTCTGATCAGTTGCCAACGCTTCGGTCTTGCCGAGCGCATCCCGCGTCCGAGAGAGGCATCTTGAGTGTGCGCTTCTCCGCCGATGGTCGATACCTCGTGTCCCGCTGCGAGCGCATGCTTCTGGTCTGGGACGCGCTCACTGGTCATCGTTATCGCCGTGCGGCGCTTGAGCTCTCCGAGCACTTTGGTGTGGAGGCTCGTGCCGGGGAGCTTCATGCTCCCTGGCGCAGTGCGCGGAGTAACAGGCGACGACCTGGCGAAACACTTGGACGCCGCATGGCGATCTACTGTTGGGACTTGCCGGACTTGCCTTTTTATCTGGGTGACCAGCGCATCGCAACTGGCGCTGGGACGGATGCTTCCGGATGCTGTTGGCTCGCTCGTGATGCCACGGTGTATGCGGTGCGGTGCTCGCCGGCACTGGCAACCAGCGACGGTCGCCAACCGCTGGTGAGGTTCGCTGGCCCTATCCGCAGCTCGGTGTATGCACTGGAAACCCATCCGTCGCGCATCGAAGTCTACACAACCGGTGCTGGTGGTCTCGTTCAGGTATGGAGCGGCCTCACATTGCCAGCCAGGTGTGTGTCTCGTTCATTGGCGGAATGCCCGCTGTCGTTGTCGCAGGATCTGCCGAGTGCTGCCGCCTCCGAGCGTCTGCAACCGGATGTAGATACGTGGCTCACCGAAATGGAGTTTCCCGCTGACTGACGAGAGCAGGAATCTGCCGTCTTTTCCCGATACAGTGTATGGAATACTGATCAGCATACCTGTGATGCATCAGATTTCGGTCTGAATCCCGTTGACGATAGCGGTGTAGAAACTCAATCATGGTTACCGGTCGCCAGGGCCTGCTCTTGTGGTGTGATGAACCTGCGCTTGGCCGTTTCGGGAATTATCACCGATGCACCTGTGTGTGTTTGTGTGCAAAGTACGAAACGCGTACCTCCGAAGCTGTGTCCAGGCACTCGCCTTCGTTGAGCAGAACCTGGCAGCGGGTATGGTAGGCGTCTAGGAAACGCTGGTTGTCGTTCGGGAGCGGTCCATACCACTTGTCGCCACTCGGGAGATCATCCAGCTGGTAGACTCAGTTGTATTTCGGGCGCGCTTCCACCGACGGGTTTCTTTACTGAGATAGATTCCCGACGCGGGTATATACTTCCTGGATGCTCAAAGATGAATTTTATGTATAAACGCACAAGTGAATCCTCCTTATACGTTCTTGAAATGAATCCTCTCGATACACTCATAGATCGCGGGGAGCGGCTTGGCGCAGGGCACCTGCTCGGGCGAGAAATCCTCTGCGATCCACGTGTTTGCATCGGCTGCTGCTCTTTCTCCGTTATATTAGGAAACACTTGTGCGTATTTGTTTCTCAAATGGATTTGTTGCTGGCGTTCTCACTGCCAATCACGTCCTCTGTACAGCGTGTCCCTGTATCGAGTCTCAGGGCTTGTTGTGCTGAGCGAACAGGGCCGCGTTTCCGGGGGCTTTACCAAACCACCCGACACGTGGCCGTGCCTCGTGGTGAACGCCACGCCCCGGGTTTTTGCGGTGCACCAGCGCCATGTGCTTCTTGTGGGCTATCGAGTCTCAAGCTTTCGAGCGGTGCGCAGCGGTCAACGCGCGAAGACGCTGTGCTTCTTCGAGTTGCGATGATAGGCACAGGCTACGTGGGGTTGGTGTCAGGTGCGTGCTTCGCGGACGCCGCGCACTGCTGTGTCGTCTGCGTGGACTCGAACGCTCAGAAGATCGACGCGCTCAAGCGGGGTGAAATGCCGATTTTCGAGCCAGGCCTCGCCGACCTGGTTCGAAGGAACGTTCAAGAAGGACGTCTGAGCTTCTCGACTGACCTCGCTGCAGCCGTTCGCGACGCGCAGATCGTGTTCATCGCTGTTGGAACGCCATCTCGTCGAGGTGACGGTCACGCCGACCTCAGTTACGTATTCCGTGCTGCAGAGGCGATTGGGAAAAGCCTCCGATCGCCAGGTTTTACCTTGATTGTGAACAAGTCGACGGTGCCGGTGGGCACTGCACGACGCGTACGCGAACTCGTTCAGCGAAACTGCGCCCCTGGCGCGAGCTTTGAGGTTGTCAGCAACCCAGAATTCCTACGTCAGGGTACAGCGGTTCAGGATTTCATGTACCCGGAACGTGTGGTCATTGGCATGTGGGAAAACCGGTTTCAACGGCAGCATGAATGCACTGCGTTTAGGTCAGCGCCGCTCCATCTTCATGAGCGTCGTTTCGTGGCGGATACAGAGCCCGGGTTCGATACACGCAAAAACGCGCAGACGCTCATGACACAGCTGTATACGCCCATTGCGCGAATCAGTGGAGCACCCGTTCTTTTCACGAATGTGGAGGAAGCCGAATTGGTCAAGTACGCTGCAAACGCTTTCCTGGCTATGAAACTCGAGTTCGCGAATGAAATTGCGGACTTGTGTGAGGTTGCCGGTGCCGACATCAGCGTGGTCACGCATGCCATTGGCCTCGATGCTCGCATCGGACCAGACTATCTGCAGGCTGGGCCGGGCTTCGGTGGCTCATGTTTGCCAAAGGACACACGAGCCTTAGCGCGGATCGCACAGGAGTTGTGGCGTCCGTGTCGCCTCGTGGAGACAGTCATCGAGGGCAACGAGGCGCGAAAACGGCGGATTGCCCAGAGAATTGCCCTCGCAGTCGTTGGTAACAGCGCTGACATGAATCACGTCTACGGGCGATGTATTGGGGTGCTCGGTCTGACATTCAAGGCACACACGGACGATACTCGTGACTCACCTGCAGTGTTTATTGTGCGAGAGCTAGTGGAACTTGGGGCCAAGGTGCGAGCATACGACCCCCAAGCGAATCATCGAGAAGTGCATCAAATACTGGGGGAAGATGTCGAACTCGTCTGCAGTGCACAGGAAGCAGCCCGAGGCGCCGATGTGCTCGCGGTCCTCACAGAGTGGCCCGAAATTCGTCAAGCTTGCGACGCGCTCGGGCCAGAAGGACTAGGGAGCCTGATGCGTCACCGTGTTATCTTCGACGCACGAAACCTCTGGAGACCAGAGGACTGGCTCCATAGCGGCTTTACCTACCATTCCATTGGGCGTCCCACTATTTATGCCGACACCGCTGCCTCGTTCGCAGACGCCTCCGTACATACGACTCAACGGTTGCGCTGAGTCGCCTGTCGCGCTCGTTGCTTCTGCAACGCCGTCCGTCGCAGTCGCTTCTCCGTGTTGCTTTCGAAGAACTGTCGACGCTTCACTTCCTGCAGGATGCCGGCTTTCACCACCTCCTTCTTAAACCTTCTCAGCGCACTATCGACGGGTTCTCCCGGGTTCACGAGCACCCGAACCCGCATCTCAATTGACGTGTCACTCGCCGGTCGCTGACATGTCGGAGCACAGGTGCCGACCCCACGCCCCGCGACAAACGAATGATAGGGCACAGCAGCTATCTTGGAAGCAGTTAACGTAACGAACATGGGTTTAATCTTTGAAAACTCGTCGCTTGTAATGCGGTGCCAACGACGAACGCTTCAGAAGTCGAAAGCAGTCGCCGTCACGGGTACAGTAGTGGCGGCGAACGCGCCTTGGACAAATTGGCTCCAAATGACGTGCAGATGCTTCCTAGGCTTTCTCGCCCGGCCACCTCCAACTTATTCCAACTGTTTCTCATATAGTTCCACTTTTAATGATTGTCTAACAAAGTTCTCTCTTGTCCATTCTGAAGGTCTTCTCTCCAGCACCGCGCTTGTCTTTACATTGATAAGGGCGTTCAAGTTTCGATTTGCAAACTCCATACGGTTGTAGCCGTTGGGAGTTGTCCTCATCAGTGCAAGCAAACCTCGAACTTTCGCACTCCTTTCCATTTGCTCTACCGTCAGCGGTCCGTACTTTGCTAGTTCCTCAGGGCTCCGTTGGCACTTTTCCATCTCCTCCCTCTGAGGTGTACACCCCAGTTCATGGTGTGTATACGATGTTCGGAACTCGTCTACAGGTATTGTGGCAAAACGCCTCGGGCACTGCTTGTACGTTCTCGTCGTTGGAGCTGGAGTAGTCCCTTTTTGTGTCTTCCATCGGCCTGCTCCGTACGCTACAACGAGCCTTTGACCCTCGTCCTCCTTCGGGGCGCTCAACTGATTGAAAAAGTTGGCGAACGCCCGCTGCTTACCGCAATACAGATTTATTCGCAAACGAGCCCACCGGGGCTTGGTATACTCCTCCCACAGCGCATCCCAATGGGCAACACGAACTTCCATGAATTTCCGAAAAGCTGTAAAGTCCGCCCCGCGGCTCGTCACCTCGCTCAAAGCTTCCAGGTGATCCTTCATTCCTGCATTCCATGTCTCGATTTTTTCCTCGCATTCATTATAACGGATTCGCGGTAATGTCTCTATCTTTAGAACTGAAAAAGACGCATGTCGTTCTGACGTAAGTTGCCGTCAGTACCATCTTCCCCACATTTGGGTGCTGCAATGGCTATGATATTTGTGTTCCCGGGGTCTGCGTCAACGATAAACTCGTTATCCTCTACCTACTGCGTCGCAGGATCCTCCTCCTTCTCATCTTCATGCTTCGCCGAAGGCAAAGCCGCGGGCGGAACATGGCGATCCGCCTTCAACCGCCGATAGCGTACACACGTTGCCACTCCATCGGTTTCGATCATCCCAGTGAATGCCTTTTGTTTGCTCGCTTTCAGAAGTTTGAAACTGAAGATGTTCTTCCAGTACGTCTCCCGGTTTTCGCCGGTGAACTCCTCCCTGTTCACATCGAACTCCGGACAGATAACCCTCATGATGCCATAAAGGACTCTGGAATCGATAGTCATAAAATGTGACTTGATATTGCACATTGGAAACATGTTGCAGCGCTTACCCATTACGAAAGCCTTCCGTCTCTCCCACTCTTCATTTTTTCCTCACTCAGCTTCATCTTCGCATTGCGTTCGAGTTCTCGGTCCAGATACTCGAAATACCGCAGGATGAGATAATAGTATCTTTCCGTATCTTTTTCCAAGTATGATATCTTTTCTGCTGGATTCGCCAGCCCCAAGTCTGCGCGATGCTCTTGTCTAACTGCACGGATCTCAGAAGCTTCATTATTTCTCCTGTGTCATGTCTTCTTGTCGACAAATTCGATCTTTCCTTCGTTCTTACTATCGTTCGTGATGCCATTGATGATGGCCGATCTCTTTCCTCTGGAGAGAGACCTCGGTACCGTGCAAACACGGTGCGTATCATGATATGTTTCAGGTTCACAATCACACTGAGCTTCAGGCTCATGAGGTACTGCATCGCCCCGTCACAGTTGATTCTGGGACTCGGAGCGGGTAGCCTGCGTCTTGGCGTCGAGCTGGTTCATTTGGAATCCCAGGACCTCGTTTCGTGCAGCCACATCAAGTATGTCTGTCTGCACAACTTGTAGGCTCTCAGAATGATCATCACCCCCGATCCCGTATTGAATGCATCAAGCCTCCAGCCGACGTCTGCAGCGGTATGGCAAAGCTATTTTGCCGCTGTGATGCATTGGCATCAGCGGTGTAGGCGCTACGGCGGGTGCAGCAACGGAGGTACTCGGCGCATGATACAACGTACAAAACCACCAATAGATCCGAAAGGAAGTGAAACTAATGCAACTTGCAGGTAGAGTGAAGAATAATGAGCGTTTTCATTGATTTCAATATCCATCCTGCAAACTGGAATCCCAGGTCAACGCAACGATATTGTCATCGAAAGAAATCGGACGACCAGCGTAATATGCGCCGCCGCCATGGTCGACACGCATTCGGGCCTTTTTTGATCAATCCTATAATTATCTTGAATAATTTGTAGGAAGTAGATCAAACGATCCTAGGGCGCGCCATGTGCCGCTCCGGAAAAGGCGGGTATTTCAAAATTCCCCTTGTACTGGGGTGTTTGCGAGCCCATAGCCATGTCGGACCTGAAACCGATCTCCGTACGCGACCGATTAGCTTATTTCAACCAAAGCTCGTTTATAGACGATGATTCTGGTCGGCAGCGGGCAGTTTACGCGGCTGAACGACAGGAACAACGCTTGGCTGGTCCGTTGATCGCGCCCGACACTTTGCATTACGAAGCGAACGACTGGGGGACGCTACGGGCGCCGCCTCGGATGGCGCCCCCACCGACGCCACCGTCGATGACGGCTACACCGCTTTCTCAACAACGGGAGGTATGGCGGGAAGCGTCGTCCACGGGAAACACTCAGACTGGTTCAACGAGACAGGGCTTCACGGGACTTGATTCGAGCGGGCGTCCGAACGGAGCCGGGCGCTCCACGCGGAAACCGGCAATCATTCGCACACCAGTTCCTCAGACACCAAGCCCACCTACACCATGGAGTTCGGAGAATGCGCGCTCACAGTCATCACAATCAGTGAGAGGCCCCACGGAAGACGTCACCCGGTCCACCGATTACCAGGGACACGTCTCGGAACGACGCACGCCGCCTGCCATGCGCGTGCTCTGCATCGTTTATGACTATGTGGAGGACACGGAGTTCTTCGTCGCTGAAGCGGCGCTACGTGCCGTAGGCATCGACGTAGATGTGGCATCGCCGTCCGCGACCCGAGCGGGTTCCGTGGTTCGCTCTGTGGTGCGCGTCAGTGACGACACCGCCGGTGAGGCAGTGCTCCGTGCTGCAGATCTCGACGGGCATCGAATAAGAACCAACTTAGGCTTCTTGCAGGCAACGCAGACGCATCATGCTCGGGAGAGCGGGCAGCGTCAGTCGTCTGTCCCAGATGCCAAAACTGCGTCTTGTCTGGCCCCAGCAGAAGAAGCCATCATTCGGGAGTGGTCGGAACGGTACGCGGCACTGATTCTACCGGGAGGTCGCCTGAGCGGCGCACTCGCCGTAGCCCACCGGTACCCTTCACTGCTGCGCCTTATCCAAGCGTTTCATGAACGAGGTCGTATCATCGCCGCTATCTCGACAGCGCCAGTGTTGCTTTCCGCTGCAGGTCTGACCGTCACCGGTGAACTAGGAGTCTCCTTGACTGCACATCCTCTGGTCAAGGACGACATTTACCCGCCCTCTGCCTACTTGCAGCGAATAGACTGGGAGCCGGACGAGCTCGAGCAGCAGCGGTGCGACTCGGGTGCGGCACGGAACGAGCCGCCTGCCTCCGTCGCGGTCGCAGACGCCAATGTGGTGACGGCGGCTTGCTGGCAGGGGCACCCCCAGTACCTCTCTCAGGTTTTGTGCATGCTGGGTGTCACTGTCAGAGGCAACGACCTCCGCGTCCTGGTGCTTACCGAGTCCGGCTGCGAGCTCACTGAAATCCTCGCAAGCGTACAGGTCTTGCAGACGCTGGGTCTTACCGTGGACGTTGGCCTACCACCACCGCCGCAGCCAGCGGGTTCGGGAGAGGCTTCAGCAACTAGACGCCGCCGCTTCTTTACCGTGTTGCGCGAGTATGAGGCAAGGCCTGCTGTCCAGGGCGAACCCTCGACCGATGAGGAGCCACTTATTTACCACGAACGCCCATGTCGTTCGTTTGAGGCCAGTATTTCAGACGTTACCAGCGTCTCTCCGTATGAATACGATGGAATCCTCATCACTGGTGGAAGCTCTGCGTGGCGAATACGCAGCCATGAGCGCGTACTCCAGTGGATTGCAAAGCCGCTGTTGCGTCCGACGCGGAAGCGCGAAACGCATATAGAGACGCATACGGCAGCGGGTAGCACTGCGGCCGTTGCAGGAACGCGCACCACCTCATGGACGCAACAACAACAGCAACAGCAACAGCAACAGATGCTTCCAGGTGCACCTGTGATCGGTGCGATCGGTGAGGGTGCCCTGGTGCTGCTCGCAGCAACGCGCTTCGTCGGTGCAAACACGTGTCGAGAGGTGACTGGCTTTCCTGGGTATGTGCCGCCCGGGAGCGGCTTTGTGATGCCTCGCACACCCTTCGATATTCATTGGGATGGACATGTGGTGACTTGTGCTTCTTGGCTAGCGGTACCGGAGTTTCTTCGGACATTCCTCGAGGCCATGGGTTGCGAAACACACGTGTGATGCACGATGCGACGCACTGGTTCCTCCAAAACGCTGCGCAATAGGTGTTCATGGCGGTATGAAAGCGCGCGAACGACACCGGTGCTCACGGTGCTGCTGTGCAGGAAGAGTGCGTAGTAGCGCGGCTGCGGATCGTATGATGCAGCTGGGGATGGTGCAGGTGCACGGCCTCGGTGGGTTCCGACTCCAATGGCTCTGGGAAGTGCGTACCAGAGCACTCGATGGAGATTGTTTTTGGTGCATTTGCGAGGAGCCGGTTTTGCGGCAGCCGACAGCGGTGTTGCGTGCTTGGTATGAGACTTGTTTTTCGGCTTGTGATAGAGCGCAGCCCAGCTCAGGTAACGCGCTGGCTTTCGTTCGAGCATTTTTTCTTTAAAGTCTACTGTGCGCATGGGTAGCGCTCGATAGCATATCGCGGGCGTGTACAACTGCGATCTGGTTTGTGCTGGAGCTCGAGAAACTGTAAACGCGCGGGTCTCGTTACTGCAAGTCGCAGCGCCCGACTCGACTCGACCGAACCGAATAGAGCGCGATGATGAATCCGAGCACCCGCGCATCACTGGTGATGAATGCACTCTAACGTGCTGCAGCGTGGCTGTGTCGAGTTCGCTTCGTGCGTGGTGTCCTCGTTCGTTGACGAGCGCTTCGATTTGCACGGGCAGATGCGTTACGTTGCACATTCCCGCTGTTGGCTGAGGTTCGCTGGCGTGCCCGTCCCTGCGACCGCTCGTTCAGCACTTCAGGATCGCTCGAATCGCCCAGTGACGTTGACGTTGACGGTGATGTTGTGCAGCTGCGAGTCATGATGCCCCCATGGCTATGTGTTTCCGACCACTGCCGATCATCATCGAGCATTTCGAATCCAGCGGTTGACGGCACTGAGGCATTCGTGCTCCGGACACCGGGCTCAGTGTCCGTTGGATGCTCATTCGGCTCACGCAGGAGCGCCTCGAGTAGACGCAGTTTGTTTGGTGATAAATACGACGATCTGCGGTGGATCCATGAACAAGTCGAAGCAGCTGTCCTTGTATTCGCTGTGAGCTCGTCATTCGTCGACGGACCGGCCGATGAGGAGACACCAGCTCCGGCGTCTGACACCCGGAAACCGGCCCTGTTTGCCTGCTGCTGGGCGAAGCGCCGCGTTTCCTGCAGGAGCTCTTCCTGGTCAGTGATCGGCGCGTTACGATGCCGTTTCTCGAGATGATCAATAAGGCGGGCAATCCAAATCTCCACATGATCGGAGACAGCCCGTATCTCACCCTTGTTCACAAAATGATCGACTGCCTCAGCGATTTTCCAGTCAGGAAGGATGCTCATCTGTTGCTCGGTGTGCGATAGCAGGAAATTCGCCAGGTCGAGCACTGATATACTCGCCCACGGGTCGTTCTCCGCAGTCTCCTCGGATCGAAGCGTGGTCGCATTTGGCGCATGTCCACCGGCTATGGCACATATCCCTGCCGAAGGATCGCCTCCAGACGTTCGCCCAGTTGCATCCGCCTTGTGCGAGGGCGCTCGCGGTCGGCGGTGGAAAGCAACCATATCTGACGGGTTCGCAACTCGACCGAGAAAGTTTCTCCCGAACCGAACGGGGCCTAGTGGAGTAAAGCCCTCATCGTACTCGATCCGAAGTCGCATCAACGGCTGTCGCAACTGGTCGGGCACGAGATCCGCACCGTAAACGTGCTGTCGCCGGGTAAATTCCTCGTCGAGTTTCCGAAGACGCCCCTCGACGTGCTCGCGAAGGTACCGTTCCAAAACCACGGGATCCCTGTAGACCTCATGCGTCGAGCGTGCCAGATGCAATTCTTCATAATGAAACGGGCGAACGCTCCGGAGCGGTAGCGGCTTCCAGCGCCAGCTGGTGCCTTGGATTTCCAGCAAACCCACGTGTTTCTCGAGCGCTTCTCCTTGCGTCAAAGCAGTCGCTACCGTCGAGCCGGGCTGCGTGATCGCGGGCTGCATTCCATCCAGTTCGATATGACAGGGATGCTCGTGCCCCCAAATAACCAAATCTAACCACGGCGGGAGCAGGTCGCGAGTGACAGCCTTGGTATGGCCGCGGCGTTCCCGATTCTGATGCAAGACGAAGACGTGGACATACTCTCCCTGTTCGGAATCGCTCTCAAGACTTGGTGGTTCCACAAAGACAAGGCGCTTCTCGACTTGCCACGTTGCATAGAGCCGTTCCTCGCGGACGTGACCGAGGCCATAGAGCGCAACGCTCGACACGCCTTTCCGCAAGATGAGCGGCAGAACGCGAATGGTGTCATTGTCGGTGGTGCCGCCCCAGTAGTACAGCAACCCAGCCGCTTGTAGAATATCCAGTGGCGAGAGGCTAAGGCGTGCGCTAACCACGGGATCGTCGTGGTTGCCGTGGATGGCAAACACCGGGGGTGCAGCCCTGCGCTGCATATGCCAGCTGGCGCTCGTCCGGTTGGCTTTTGCCGAGTGCTCACCGTCCTCAATGGTTTCTAATACTACACGAGAGCTCATCGCCTCGCGATTATATTCCTGCAAAAGCTTCATGCAACGATACAGGCACTCGCGTGACGGTTTGTTATCGTGAAATAGGTCTCCGCCCAGGAGAACGAGGTCGACCGCCTCAGAACGCGCAATGGAGAGCACCTCCGCGAACGCCAGGAACGAGTCGTCTCCACGAATCGCATCTCGCTCTTCAAACCCCAGATGATTATCTGTGGTGACCAGGATTCGCAGAGGTGCCACGTCCTGCACCATAAGCGAGGCGCTCCTCCAGACGCCGAAGAAGCACTGTAGAAACCCGATCGAACTGGTTGGGAAATGGCGCGCACTGCGTGCACGCTTAGGTGTTTTCCCTTATATTTTTCTTGATGCTTTCATTCACGTACTTGATCATAAATAAATCAGCACCGAACAAATCTTTGCTTTCGATTCGATATAGGATAGCGTTGCGATGGGTTTCAGGGCACTTGTATCTCTGCCAAGCGAGTTGTGCAGCGTATGCATCGTTTGGGACCTTTCAGGTGTGGCATGCAGGGCAACGTCATGGACACGATGCATCCGTTAGCGGTAGCGTTGCGCTAACGGGACAGTGCATCATGCCTTCTTTCACGTTCCCGTGGCGGGTTCTGTTGCACGGGCTACAAGTTTGCTCGCAATTGCAGTTCCTGGTCAGTCGTTGTTTCCCGCTGGTGCGACGTGCTGGCGCTGCTTTCCGGAATAATAGTGTGCCCGCGACAACGTCGGCCCCAACGACGAATCCCAAGTCGAGGCGTGCGCAGGCCCTGTGGGCGTTTTTGCGCTGTCACAAGTCGCTTCTTCGGTGGGGTGACGGCTTGCGTACAGAAGCCGCGAACACCTGTCCGAAAACTTATACAGCGTTGATGTTCGTCCCAATCAGAGAGACTGAGTCGCATCGCGGAAGTAGGTGTTGTCAGGTCGTTGACGTTGCAACACTCGTTACGATCAATGCGGAGGCAATCGTCGAGGCTGGCGTTGCAGCTGCAAGGGTGAATAAACAATGCTACGACGGATAAATCTTGCAATGTTGAGTCGCTCCGAAACCATCGAGGAACAGCTCGCCAACGACCTGCGCGATCAGATTCGCACTATGAGTTGTGAGGTGCTCGCCCAGGAGGAGAATACACCGTCAGTAGAGTTTTCGCACAGATGCAACGTTTGACTGCTTCTGGAGCTCTACCATGACCTCAGGCTGGATTTGAGCCGTGCCCAAGACGGCTGGCAGTCGCTGGGGCGGCAGAAACCTGGATCCCTGCCAATGCAACGAATCCATTCTACATTGCTGTACTTTTCTGAATATTATTAGAAGAAACTAGAACGGGCAATACCGGAGGGCGCTGGCGATCGACGCCCGGGGACGCATCTGCCGACAAGACTGCCTAGACGTTCGTTCAAGCGTGCTGGGCTATCGGTATTGATCGGGGTCAGCGAGGTCGCTCATGTTTGTGCAACAGTTCTTTCTTCATAAACGACCAGGTCGACGAAAGCTGCCTCATGACGTAGGTCACAAGAGCATCTTTTGCTGTTCCATGTCGCAACATAACGCCTGTGCTGCGCGTAACGACTTTGTAGAGCACTACGTTCGTCAGGTGCGAGCGTGGGAGTCCAGACCTTCGCGTGCTGGGTTCTTCAACGGTCGTCAAGTTCCTGCTCCTAGACCAAGAGGAGCCGTCCGAGCGGCCCGACACATCACTTCGAACGCAACGGCTACTGGTCGCCAGACACATGTAGCGCGAGCGCCGTACTTTAGTGAATCGAACCTGTGGGGCGGCGACGGCTGTGCCCAACAGCGAAACCTATATTTGGCGTGGCGGGAGACACTGGAGGCCAGTGAGCTTTGGCGGAGTTCAGAATCGAGCGATGATCTGTACGCGGAGTTCCTTTCCTGGTGGATCCGATTCGAAGAGGCCTACAAGGGGCGTTCATGTGCCGAGCAACAGGCTGGAAGCGAACACAGCGAGCGACAGCGTGCCGCTGGGGACCACACCGATGCAGCTCACGAAGAGTTGGATCCGTATGCCGTGCTTGGAGTTGCCGAGGATGCAACGCTTGAAACCATTCGTGCCGCGTACCGCCTCGAGGTCAAACGATGCCACCCCGATGCGTTGGGAACCGGTGTGAGCGGCACCACGGATCCGGCTGCACTTGCTCGTTTCATAGCAGTTCAGGAGGCCTGGCAGGTTCTGTCGGACTCGGACTTGCGTCGGCAGTATGACCTGAGTCGTCGTCTGCAGAAGAAATCTGGATACAGATAAGCAGTCAAAAACCTCGAGCTAGACGGTGCTGCAGGTGGTTGTCTCGAAGTCTCGGAGCAGCAGGTCACTGCCTGAGGAGCCCTGGCTGTAGGAACGAAACGCTGCCCAAAATGTTACCAACGCGCAGTTTACCTTGAGTCGCTGGCGCCGAAGCAGGTAACCTCGAAAGTTGTTCGCTTCACCTAAGTTTTCTGTGTTGCTGTTCGAGATTCAAAATCATGGATGACGCAGTGCCGGTGGCGCGAGGCTCGTCTCCGTTGACCAGGTCTACACGAGTGCTTGCATTGGGCGGCGGCGGCGGAGGCACAGCTTGTTGACCGATGTCCCGACAAGATCGGCTGCTAATGAGACACGGTTGCGCCGTTCCATCCACTGGCGGACCATGGGTGCTCGCAAGGCAGCGATCCAGCTGATCAGGACGCTCTCGAGCATCTTGCAACCGCCCCTGAATGCTGGTTGCATCACATGCTAGAGCAATGTGCCGTGCGGTATATCGCATGCTCTCACCAGAGACGCACGCGTTATGGTGAGCCTTATCTTGACCATGCGTCGGCACGCTGCGAAGCGTTTCGTAGAGTAAGCGCTTGTCACTGGACATTGCGCAACCAGCACTTGACTGAGCACGGGTCGGGAACGGGATCTTGCGCACAAACTTGGGTCAAGCACACAGCGAACATCATGACGACATCAATACCATACAAGGACGCATGTTGCACAGGATCATGTTCATAGGAAAAAATCTGGAAAGTCGGAACAATCGGGGTTGCGCAAGCTCAGCTGCCTAGCGCACCACGTACACAAGCAGACAGTGAGCGACCTCTTGGTTCCGTGTAGCGCAGCGGAATGCTTGTGCTTGGATGCATCCTAACACGGAGGTATGATGCAGGACAGATTTCCTTGTTTCGGCATTCGCGTCTACGTTCGTTGACGCACGACCATACAAACGACGTGAATCAATCTGTTCTGCAAGTGCGAACGCGACTGGTAATAGGGGCTCTGACCTCAGCTCGTCTGGGGACGCTCGCACTCGCCGCAGTTTTCAGAGCCGTGTATTCCTAAACAGTACAGGCTGAATCTATTCACCGACTCGTCGTACACTCAGAAACACCATATATCGGAATGCCATGATCGTTCACCAGTTGCTGAGGAAGATCGTTCCCAGTGTGTCGATATGGCGCTTGAGCCTTGCCGGATTGCTGAACCGCACCGTACAAGTGTCGTATACGTGGCGAGAATCCATTGCCTCCTGTTTTGGGCGCTTCGTTTTTTCACCACAAGTCGTTCGCGTTTCAGGCCAATGCACTCACAAAGAATCCAACGATTCGCTGGAAAGTTCGCGTTACAGAAAAATCTTGAGCACTCCAGATGCTCGACTCATTTCCGGACGTTGCTCAAGGCGTTCAAGTCCTGGTGCACCACGTGCTTGCGTGCCCGGTTGTTGGTGAAGTCACAGCGCAGCGAACCCGTCACCTGCGACTGCTCGCCATTGGACGTTCGATCCGCTTCTTGTACACCGTTTTTGGTGCACCTGTCCAGGGTTCAAACGCTTCATGTTTGCCAGTTTCAACCTGCACCTGCGCGTATGACACCTGCATGTCATCTGGAACGCATCGATAGATATCGTGGAGAATCGAGTTTCGCATGCACGCACAAATGCACGCACAAATGCACACAAATGCACACAAATGCACACAAATGCATGCACAAACTCTACGCTCTTGTCGAAGGATCACGAGTGCAACCTTTGCATGCTACAGCATCACGTCAGTTTTCGATGGAGGCGGTTCATTGCTCTGAACGCGTCGCAGCAACATGCTCACCTCTGAACAAACGCAGCATCGACCGGCTACTGCGGATGCGCGAGCACTGCAAAGCAGCTGGCCAGTTGCACGAGGCGAACAACCAGTTCGCTTGTCTGGTCCGCTGCGAACGCTGCCAAAGCCTCTGTAACCGAGAACCATATGGACCAGTCTTGGATGCATGGATGCTCTGTTGCGCAGTGCTCTGCGTCTCTCTGCATCCAAGCAAACACTTCGCCTGATACCGCGAGTCGAAGAAGCGCCGAGCGTTCCGGCTGCTCGCGGATCGCCAGGGCCAGCTGCGCTCGCGCGATACGCACCAGCTCGACAAGATCATCATCCGCGATGGTCATGGGCAGCTTTGCCGTATCAAGGTGCCGCAGCAACGCTAACGCAACGCGCACATCATGACCCATCGCCAGACGTAGACTGATGCCCAGAGCTCGGTGCATCGCGTCTCTGGTTTCCGCGACGTAGACAGCATCTCCCCAGTGCGCCGTTCCCGAACGCAACGCGGCAGGCGAGTTACCGCACCCGGCCTCATCGCTTCGATCATCGATATGCCCGGGCGCTTTGGCGGCTTTCCATCGATCGCAATCATCATGCAATGGTAGAACGGGCCCACCGAAGCACGTGTTCCACCGAAATACACTCCAGTCATCAACAAGCCAGACGTGCTCGTGATCGAGAAACGGACGGAGCAATTGCTGTGCTGCAAACCAGCTGCAAAACGCCCATTCGACTACGTCGTGTAGCTTTTGCATCCACAGCACTGAAACGCCGCGTGCACTGCCGCGTGGCGCTATCGACGCTGCGGTGCGTGTCAACGGGTCATGGCCGCGCACCATCGAATACAGGATATGGAGCGCTGTAGCACCTGGGATCGGCGGGTTATGCAGTATCGCATCAAAGAAGAGCGTATCCATCGTGGACGGAGCGTGAAGCATCGGTACTGCTGCGCTTTCCGCCCAGAACGTTTGCCATATTCGTTGCATCGGGTGTAGCCAGGTGTCCTGAACGAAGCCCTCGAGGGCGTGCCGCATACGAAGCGCATCGCCCCCGCTCAACGTCCTATCCACATCTGTACCGTATCGAAATGGTGCGCATCTGCGTTGTGAACGGGTCCGTGATCCTTCCAGAAATGTCTGAAAAATTACACGAATGACAAGAAAGGCAACATCGACGGTGCTCAGGCCGGTAGCCAGCAACGCCTCCGCATCAATTCCAGGTACAGGGGTATGCCCTGCATTCGTCGTCATTGTTGTCATATTGTGTACTTGTCGGTTTGCATCGTTAGGAACAAGTGCGCTTGCGAGAGCCGTTTCAATCCAACGGGTTTCAGGTAAGGCGGATTGCCACTTCTCGCGATGCAACATGAGAATGAGAGAGGCGCCCGGGGCTGGCGCAGTGCTCCACCTTATCTCGAAGGTCTCAAGAACCTGATGAAATGTGGGTATTGTGTCAGGTGCCGAAGAGGCGTGCCCAGGGTTTTTGTCCAGGAAGCGTAACGTCCCGTGAACGCGTACCGCAGACGCTTTTGTAAGCGAAGCGTACCAGAGCGCTAGCGCTTCCACGTACTCCGCTTGTCGCCAGAAAAGGATCCAGGAGCGAGGCCAAGCGTCGTTCAGGTGCTCGTGAACGAGTGCTTCCCAGCGAATCCAGGCTCGGTTAACTGTGGTGGCCACGATTTCCGCGAGAGCGCGTTTGTCAATGCTGTCCCATGCACAAGGAAGCCATTCGGTTGCAGTGATGAGTTCCCATAGCAGCAAATGAATGCGCTCGAGCCAGCAGGTCAGCGATGGGGGTGTTCGGTGTCCTGTCGCATCGCCGACGGCCTCGAGGCCTGACTGCTTTGCGTCGGAGTGCGCTTCCAAGGTGCTCGGTAAAGAATCCCGCTCTTCCTTCGCATCCTCCAGCGACACCAGGATTGCGTCTATAGTCTGGGAAAGATGCTCTGCCTTGGACATCGACTCGTTGCATGCACCATCATGTGCTCGTTCCGAACATAATATTACTTCTGGTGGAGATGCGGTTTCCATCGGTGCTGCTGTGGCAGCTTCTGGTGCTTGTTTCTCCAAGAGTCCCTGCAGCTGCAGTTGACCTCGTTTTTGCTCAATCATTTTCATGACGTACTCGGGTAGCACGGATCGAAGCCAAGCTCGAGCGGACAGCGCTGGAGAACGCTCGTGCGATTCACGAGTCCCGTCTTTCGAACTTACCGACCGCATTGGCGATACAGCATCTGGAACGTCGTTCTCTGGCCCGAACGGCAGTGCGCTTGGCAGATCGATGGTGGTGGTACGGGCCTGTGCGAACGTCCCGGGGATTACGCTGTCCCCTGGTGTTGCAGTGCGCCCGGGCATTTGGTTCACGACCAGGGGCCCTTTCGCTGCCGACGAGGCTGTCTCCTGTGCCCGTGCCTCAAAAGACACTACGGATTCCTGCTCAGACAGCGGGTGTGGTGCCGAGTCTTTTGCTCTTCTAGACAACTTGTGCCAGACGACAAGCCCCCCATCAGGCATCAGCAGCGTACCTCCCGGGAGTAGCCGTGCATCGCGCGGCACCTGCCAGGAGGCCACCCGTCGAACCCAGGGACGAGGTAAACCCGAGCGTCGACGGTTACTAGATCGTTCTGGAGAGGGCGTTTCCGGCTCTCCAAGGGCAAACAGAGATAGCAATCCCCGCTGCGCACTGAGTGTGAGAAATCTAGGCGTTCGACTCGGTACAGCGATGATATCCGCCTGCGTCTTGGTTCCATCGGACCCCTGCAGGCGTTCTGGAGACTCCACTACAACATGCTCTATCCACGCGACATGCACGGCGGGCACCGCTTTATGCAAGTAGATCGGGTAAAGCGCCCTGTCACTTGCATAAAAGACGAGCACCCGTCCAGCTCTGTCGACAGCCAGCAACCAGGAAACACCACCGGCCCGCCGACGATTACTCCATCTCGCACACTGCACCACATGATGCGAACCATTATCGTCAAAGGCGCGCTCCAAACGAAGCGTTTCTCGCTGTGGGACCCATTCCAGAAAGCGTTGCGAATGGTACATCGCACGATGGTGTTCTCGCGGCCGCTGTATAAGCGCTGGATGATACACCAGCGAAAAGTCCGCAGGAGCAGTCTTCAAATCGACCTGCTCTGCACAATCTGTACCTGAGAAATGATGCCCGTGATGTGAGCCCATTCTCATCGACGTATCCAGAGTCTCTGGATCAACAGCACCAGTGGAGGTCCCCGGTGCACCTTGAGAGGACGCTGCTGCCGGCAACTGCTCGTTCTTCGAGAACATAGCTCGTATGCCGGCATCCGGCCCTGGTCCTTGCACTCTCGAGTCCGCTGGACACCGCGTTCGTTGCCCAGTGCTCCCTAGTTGGAGCGCTGCGTTCCGATCCCAGTGCCACTGGTATGGAAGGTTCTTGATCAAGCGCTTCGCCTGCTGTTGCCATTTTTTCGCGAGCTTGTAGGCGGTGGCTGCGGCGCGAGCACCACGACTCGGACATGGAGCAGCCCAGACACCCACTGCAGGAGAGCGACCAGCTGTGATCACGTAAAATCTCGACGCCCCTGCTCCGTCACTGCGAGACTGCTGGCCTTGCTGCACCGTGTCGGGTAGATGAGCGATCCAGTGCGCGCTGATCCAGGTTGATCTAGCCTTTTGCGGTAACGACCATTCGTGAACCCAAGCGGTTGCCGTATCACAGGCGTCCGTCGAATCTGGAACGTCACCCACAGTCGTCACGAGCGCAATGGTATCCAGCACTAGAACGGAGCCGTCGGGATGCGAAACGCTTACGAGACCTTTGGCAGAGGCGTTGAGGGCGCAGCGGTCCTCAGTCCAGGCCGCTGTCTGGCCTTGATCAGCATTCGGGACACGGTGATACGTATCTCGACCCCAGAGGTGAGCTTGCACGCTTGCAACGCCGCCTATAGAGCTGGATGTGCAAGCTTCGTTTGAATGGATCAAGGTAGAGAGCAACGCTCCAGTTTCCAGCGCCGGTACTCTGAAGCAAGCTAGTATGCCTTGCTCATAAGCTATCCAGAGCCAGTGCGTTGCAACAGCAGTGGCAGGAGAAGTAGTAGTAGAAATCAAGTCCATTTCCTGCTGCTCATCAACAGACGCTGGTGCCTTTTGCAGCGCTGATGCATCCGCCGTCTGCCCACTGGGAACAAAGCAAGCATCCCAAACTGGCCTCGGGGCAGCAGCAACAGCAGCAGCAGCAGAACAATCAGCAGCCGTGAACACCCTACCACTGGAGGAACTCTCCATCACCGACTGCGTCTGTGCTTCACAGGAGGCCCCTGGAGACGAGTGCACATGCAACGGCGCCGCAGATGCGGAAGATACCCTCTTCCCGTGCATGTGCGCTGGTGTCTGCTGGTCCCTCGGCGATATCTGGGATACCCGTTGCAAATTCGAAGCATCGGCTTCTTCGAAGGCAGGCTGTTCGAGTAGCCACCATCGGGACGCAGCCGCCGAAGCAATCGACACTGCAACTAGGATTGCGCGCTGATTCCACCTACAGACCATGTAGAGTGTAGATGTTCCAGGCTCGAGCAGCTCTGGTCCCGCCAACACCTCCAGAGACAGATGAAGCTGGGCTGCCTCGTTCGGTTCCCGCTGCGACACGACTGAAGCGCTCCAGGGCAGAATCGGACCCAGTGATGCAGCGGATGATGCTGTCGTTGGATTCAAAATCTGTTGCATCGCTCCGTAAGCATTGTTCGGTATTCTTGATATCGGACGAGTCTGAGGCGGCATAACTGCAAGCGAGCCGGTTTCAGCTTGCGATACGTTTCGTCGCGTCCAAGCAGGAGCAGTTCCTACCTCGCCGTTCTCATCAGCGTATGGACGCAAGGCACCTCGAGGTGACGCGTCCAAGCGCGAAGAATCTGTCTCAGCAGGTCCGCGCAGTTCGCTTGGCAGCGTGCATAGCAAAAAAGGAACAGGATCCGTTTGCCCTTGGCATGGCGTATGCATTCTTTTGCGAGAATGGAGCGTCCACGCGTTTCCGTCCGCTCGAAAATCGTATTGAATGCGTTTTCCCCACCGGTGGCACGGAATGCAGTCGAACTTGGTGTTCGTCTGGGTTTGCCAGTTGTGCCGCGCCCAGCGTTCTGTTGCTTGTCGCACAGGTGGCAATGCGTCCAGCCTGAACCTGGTGGGTACCTCTCCCGAAATAACCGATACAGTGATTCGCTTCTGGGCAAGTCCGAAGCAACCCTGTGAGTTGGCTCAATAAGCCTGCACTGTATAGGCGGGAAACAGGTGTCCATGTAACTTTTTCTGGCGTCGACGTCTTGGAGTCAGGAGGTAACGCGCACACGAGGGCACTCTTTGCGTTTTCTCACGCAAGCAATCACAGCAGTCCACAGCACGCCGGCTTGCCGACGTCTTGCTGCCAGCGATTTACGCTTACAAGGGAGCACCCGCAGAGTTTCTGAGTAAGCAAGCAAGGGTCAACCGAGAAGTCCAGTTCCCAGGTACAACAGTCCACCGCGTTCGCTCAGCAGCAAACTTTGTTGCGCGGCAACTAAGAAATCCTATCGAGTCCTCAAACTTACGGAAACAAAGCAACTTTCACCCCTCGAGATCCAGTGCTTCTTCTAAGCCATACCTTGGTCCTCCTTTGACGGTTGCACGAGGTCTCCAGGGCCCTCTGTACGCAGTAGCAACTCGCCTTGGAGAACATTTCGCGTAACGTATGGCGCGCAGGATTGATGTTCCGCAGGGACGTCTGTGGGGCACTCGCTCCGCCTCTGAGGCGGACAACGTTCCATAGGCCACTGACTGAACGAAATCGCTCGTGGCGGGGGTTGGGCGTCTTGCGTAGGACGTAACCCCGGAGGCGAAGAGGGCCTCAGCGCTAACTGGCTCTTAAGCGGTGCCTCAGGCTTACATGGAGCCTGACGCGTTACAGCAATGGCTGAGCGGCAGCGTTGGTGTCTCCAGCGACGGCACCTGTGTCTCGTTTTACGTCCAGAAGCCGGACAACGCTTACGCGAATACCTGGAGCACCCAGACGTTGTTCCAGACTGGAACGACGTTGAGTTTGTGGCCGAGCACTCGGATACCGACGTTCCGAGAGCAAACGCTCGAGCAAAGGCTCCCAACGGTGCACGAGACAGCGTAGCGGCGGTCCCAGAAGCACTGAAAGCGTTATCGTTAACAGACGACGTTGAAGGCCCCGTGGATCCGATCACGCTCGGCGTTTTGCGTGCTCCGTATACCACCCCATGTGGCCATGTGTATTCAGCGCTGGCGATTGTGCGACACCTGCTCGTAACGTTCGAACGAGCCCGCCCAAGGGGCGTCGAAGACAACACTTGTCAGGTTGGAGACGCGCTGCAGTTACTCGCACGGTGCCCCGTATGCACCGACTGGTTCTCTTTTGATGATCTTCGTCCCTATGTTTCCTGGCACAGTCCGACACCGCTAACCCTGCATTCCCGCATCCGAATGCGTCTGTTGTGCCGCCCTCGGGGTTGTGCGTCCCGTATCATGCTACCTCGAGACTGGATCGACACAACAGAGGCCAAACTGTTGTGGTCGGTCGGCGCCAGCACCAAGGCTTCGGAGAAACAGCACGCGCCTGCAGCCATAGCGGATCCCGACCGTACTCAGTGGCATACTGACCAAACGCAGTCTACGACAATCAAAGCGTTAGCAGATACGTTTTGCCAGCGTATGATGACTACACCGGTAGCGGAGGACGGAGACGAGCAGCTACTTCCCTCGAGGAAAAACGGGCGCTTCTATCGGGTCTTGCTCGGGGAACCTGATTTTGTAGAGGAGCTCTTCGTCAGCCGGGAAGCGGAGTTGCAACAGCATCTAATGGAAGATGAAACGATGGAGCTGGCGCACACGCTGGTGATGCATCGCGAGCGCGCTCGCAGAGCGACCGTGAAGCGAATAACCCAGCAGATAGAGACCGCTTCATGGTCGAAGCAGGAACCCTTCGAACCTTTCCTGGCAAACGAGATCGCTCCGTCGCAGTCGAAACGCTTACCGGCTGAAGTGGCCGCTCGGGCAACCGTTGAGGACCCGCTGGACCTTCCACAGCGGCAAGCGATGCCTCCGGCACGCACTGACGCTTGCCCTGCACCCGAGAAAGCGTCGATTGCCGTAGAGTACGTCGGACTGTACCAGATTGCAGATGGTCGACAAGTTTACATGCATCCGCAAAACTATCGAGCACTGCTCCAACAGTACGGATCGGTGGAAAAGCTTCCGCTTTGGATCCAGGGTAGCCTTCTCAGCTGCTATGAATGTCGCACCGAAGAGAAGAAGGCGCGCGCCTGGAGAGGCCGCAGCGCCCATGCAAGTTTCCCGAGAGATCCAGAGGCATCCAATTGTCGTCAGTTTCACTTACCCGTACCGCTACCGCCGGGCTGTGTGTACTTTGTATGCAAACTGGCATTCGGAGATACGGAAACACCGCGATGTCGCCGCTATCGTCAGCGAGGAGGTGGAAACGTTCATCCGTCGCACGCATCAGGCGCTGTGCAGCAGCCGCCAGCATTTGCTAGCCGAGAAACCGGTTCAGAAAACCCTTTTAGCACTTCAAGCGCGCATCGTTCGGTGCCTATGTCGAGACAGACGAAGGCACACCGCAACCGACCTGTGCCCAAACCACAAAAAGAGGTATCTCGTGGAGCGGAACATGTTCAAACCCCAAGAGAGCGACAGCGCGGGCAACCGCGTCTACGCAGCTCAGAACCGTCGCTGCGGGAAGTCTTCGAACAAGAGCGTCAGCATATCATCGAAGCGCACGGTGGTGCGCAATTATTCTTCCGTGATCCAAGTCGGGAAGCACTGGATCACACTCGACCCTTTTCGCGAGCAGTTTCTCATCAGCATCCACCGCCGGCTAGCGAGCGGCACGAAATTGCAGAGCGCGCTTCTACCTGGCCTGCGCTGAGCTCGACAATGCTGCCTGCAGTGGAGCAGGCACCACAGTCTACCGGGGAGCAAATCCAAGCATCTAATGTTTCCTACGCCCGCATTGCGCAAGTGCGGGGAGGATACTACCCCACCCTGCGCGACTTGTATGGTCATGCGGAATATGTGCGACCCGCAGCAACATCTGCATCCGAGAGCAAAGATAACCACAAGCCGAACTAGTTCGGAGGCAATCCCTTGGAACGAGTCCAAATCTCTGGAAGCGCTCCGCATTCGGTGCGCTGTGGCTCGATGCAGCGCTCCAGTGTCGCACCAAATCTTGCATCTATCTTTGAAGACATAGACGCATCGGGTACAGTGCCTGGATCAATATTCTATGGTTTCGCTGCGTTGGTCAGCACGCAAGCGCTTTCGATACCGAATGCGGAAGCAATGATCTGGCCCTAGGCGGAACGCTTCGGTTCCCGAAACATTCGCCTCCTGGGATGCGCAGCTGGAAATCATTCAACGCTACGCCCCGCTGCTTCATACGCCTCGCGATGAAGCACTTGAGCAGTGCATCAGACTTGGCGGTCGGTTACAGCCCTAACTGCGGATCCGGAGGCAGATCTCCTGCTCACAGCTGCGTCTGCGGTGGTTGGTCTCGGTCACCAGCTCCGCGTAGACACTGACCATACGGTCTGGTTTGGCCCCAGCAATGTGCTGCGCTAGTGTGCCTGCTCAGTTTCTGCGTTCGCGGAAAAATCACAGAGTCGAGGTCGTGTCCACAGGTACCAAGCAACACCGAAGAACGGTATCCATCGGGCTACGCCCAACATACGTGTTCCCTTCTGACTCTGTGGGTTTAAGCCTCGTCGACGCATATCGTCGGGCACCAGCTCAGCCTGGAACAGCGCAAAGACCAGCATATCAATTGGAAAGGACACTGCTAGACGATCTTTCTGTAGAAATGCCTGCCAATAGAGCTGGAAACGCTCTAGCGTAAATGGTGGTGCCGCTGGGTACTCTGGACGACCCGCGAACGCCCAGAGCATTGCAAACAAGGCCACAACGCAGAGGATCAGGGGTAAGCCGCGGGACTCGGCTATCCGCAGCAGCATATCAGCTTCGCTGTGCCTCGCTGCTACCGTTTTTTTCGTAGATGTGAATGGTCGCAGCGAATGCTCTGATGAATCCGTGTCTACGATGGTTGCAAGGCTGCTGGGGTTCTGGCGCAGCACCAGGTACGGCAAGTAGAAGACATTGGTGAGCAGTGCGGAGCCTACCAGGAAGACCCACATGGGCAGTATTTGTTTTTGTACTTGCTTTTGAGCGGTGCGGCAATGCCGGCTAATGTCATCGCTGAGAAAGCCGATAAAGAGTAACGCCCAGCATACGACAATCTGGAAGGTGCTCTCCAGAACCGGGTGCAAAACTGGGGCCTGGCTAGGACTTAAAAGCGGAAGGATGAAAAAAAAGTTCATAGATAGGTCCAGAGCCTCATGAATGGTCTCGCTGTCGATACGGAAAACACTAGACCCCGGTAAAAGGTCTGAACAGAGCACGACACCCACGTACACGAGCCAGCAGACAAAGATTAAGGCCTTGCGGTGCGTCGGCTTTGCCTGCTTCATCACTAGCTGGTGTAGGCGACTTGTTGTCGCGCTCGCTGTTCGTTTCAGAGCATAGACGGCAAAGGGTTTTCCCTGGGAAAACAAACGATGCGCGCAGTTGATGAACGGGTAAGCAACGGTGAGCTTTGCGTGGACGCTCCCGCGTCTCGAGGCAGCACTGCATACGACGCTGCGGTTGCGCGAGCTCAAGCACAATGATAGCGTCCTCCGAGTAACGTGACTGCAACCTGAGCCCAAAAACAACAGCATTCAGAGGACTTGAGTAATCTAGTTCCGTCGTGTTCCCCGTCACCTCCGCGAGACCAGCCCGGTGAGCGCACCGTACCCGCACCAAGACCAGTCATAGCCGCGGTCATGGTTATATGGACTTGTCGGGGCTGGTTGCATCCGATGCAGCGCTATTGGAAAGCAGCCCCCAAACATAGCGGTGTCATCGACTGGTCCAACTTGCATGTGAAGCGATCGCTCCTGTTGCCCTAAAATAAAGTCTTTCAGCCGATTAACCTTCATGGTAGAAAAACGGAACTGGTCGTCTAGTTCGGGCGTACACGCGAAAGTTTAGGCACTTCCATGATCATCATATATACCAGTCTTGACGAATTTTTCTGTGACTAGTGCCTTGTCTCTCCGTTGATCTGTAGCTCTAAGTACGCCGATCTTTCCTCTCCCTCTGGCTGCGTTTCCAGCAGCAGAAGCATGTGTTGATGACAGCGTTCGAGTCCCGATTTCTCCGCTTCTGCTTGTAGGCTACGCATTTCGTGCACAGGCGGTCGTTGCGATCTGAGCTTCGTATACCATATTCTTTTTCTCGTGTATGCACAGCCTCGGTGGGTCCATCGCAGCTGCGAAACTTGACAGCGGTACGTTGTATCCATCCGTCCGCCATAGGTTTTCGTCCTCCGACGGTCGTCCTGTGCCGCAAAAGCATTCGCTGCATCGCTCGGTTCATGCCCTTGACAAGCATAGAAGGCTCCCTCGATACCCGTCTCCGTACCCAGCGATGATGATGTGCTTTGTATGAAAGATCCGCACGGTGAGTACGCTCTACGCCGCGTATGGCAGCGCATGCTGTTCCAGTCGATGTGCGATTTCTGGACCGCTATGTTAGCCATGATGATGAGACAAGCACCGGAGGTGAAATCCAGGTATGAAAAGAGATCGAGAAGTTCCGAGTCTACGACCCTATTCTGTGTCAATAGAGGAGACGTTAGCGTATATGATCGTGTATCATGAAGCGTGACACGCTGGTGAGGCATGCGCGTTTGCGGATGCGCACAGAGCGAGGACGATTCTCGTTTCGCATGAAATAGATAACTCGACAAGTTCAGCGAGCGTTCGTTATGAGCATATGCAAAAGTCATCAAGGGACGACGTCGTGTGCAGTTCCTTGATCATCAAGCAGTGCGCATTGCATTGCGTACAGGCTGCCCCGAAACAAAAACAGATAGAGAACTTGAAGAAACTGTGATTCGAGCATGCGACACGTAAGTAAATCAGAGGTGTTCTGGCTTGTACGTATGAAGTGTATCACGACATCGTTTATTTTATCGACCTGGTTCGAGGATGGTGCGAAGCATCCTGATGCCCATGACGTAACGAATTCAAGCGACTAGAACGCAAAGGAGTCGTTTAGAAACCCCAACGGAGAAATCCAGAATAACGTATGCATCCATAAGCCCTAATTGCTGCACTTGGAGTATCGATGCTGTAAGTGTAAGAATAAGTTCGGAAAAGAATTGCAAGGCGCGTACAGAGCGACCGGTTCCGTGCTCCATTCCAATCTGAGGAAGGCCAGGAACACCACGTCAGGGACGTGGCGACTTGTACGCGTGACTGTCGACAGTTCTCACTGGGTGCCACAGGAACTGCGCGAATCAGTCCAGGAACTGTACGTGTTTTCGTTTCGCTGGGGCATAGCAGGGCCGGCGTGGATAGCGCACCACGCTCGCTTCCATAGCAGGAACGGAGGCGAGCATGGGTCTCCTGAGCGTTATTCGCAAGCAGAAACGCCGTGATCGAGAAGTCCGCGTTCTCGTGCTCGGTCTCGATAACGCTGGTAAGACCACCATAGTGCGAAGGCTGCTTGGAGACGACGAAGCTGCCGTGAGACGAACAGCGCCCACTGAAGGTTTTTGTATTCGAACACTCGTACTGAAAGGCGGGTATCGTTTCCACTTTTGGGATATCGGTGGTCACCGGGCGCTCCGATCCTACTGGCGAAACTATTTTGAGCGGACGGATGCGATTATCTGGGTAGTCGACGCAACGACGCCGCATCGAATTAAGGGAGAAGCTGCTCAGGAGCTAGCCGCCCTGCTGTCGGAGCCGAGTCTGTACCAGGTGCCTCTCTTAATCATCGCAAATAAGATGGACTTGCTAGCCGCGGAACCTGTCTCATCGGTGCGCAAAGCGCTTGGCATCGATGCCTTCTGCGTTGCAGGAGCAGCAGCAACAATAGCAACAGCAACAATAGCAACTCCGACGAGCCGAAGAACCCCGTTAGAGGCGAATCAGCAGACCGCCTCTGACACGATGGCTTCGACATGGGCACAGGCTTGGCCTGCTGATGAACTCAGTCAACTGGATGGACGACGACCCATCCATGTCATGCCATGTAGTGCCTACACTGGCGAGGGACTGTCGAATGCCCTGGATTGGCTTGCTCAGCAGGCTATCCAGCGCCTGTATCGTTTCGATACCAGAGGCGATTTACGATCATCACCGTCATGTGTTCTTTCCGAGCAGCAGCATTCGGTGGCGCTCTAAGAAAGACGCGCATAGCGACAGCGCTGGAATCTGCACGTGCAGATCCTGACGATTACCTCCGAGGTATGCTGTAGTAGAGTTTGCAGTTGTACTTCGTAATTCGACCCACATTATCCCCAAAGCTCGGAAACTTGCACTGTAGATCGCAAATGCGTTGCATGTGAGCGTGAGCAGTAGGATGCAAACCAGAAAGTTTCAGGTGCAACTCGACGGTAACCAGAGGACCTGGTCAGTTGCCTGAATCTACCGTCTCGCAGCATGCCTTGTCCAGGGAAGACTAAGTGTTTCGATGGGAGCTGCATCGGAAAGCAACCTTGGCGCCCTTGTTGCGCAGTAAACATGTATCAGAGACTGCTGTCGAGGGTAGCGCGGAGAGGGCACCCGCTTCGCGTGGCCGTGTCCGAGACCTGCGTTGGTTTAGAATGGATGAATGAACTGCCCGTCCTACTCCTGCCTTTCAGTTGTGTTTCAAATGTTTTACAGGCTTCCAGAGTCAGTATTCGAGGTGCAGGAATAAAGGCTGAAGGACTCAGATGCAGGTTTGGGACTCTCGAGCGTAGTTTTGGGGTAGTTCCTTCAACGCTTTCATGCTAGTTTTCGTTACATCTTTGGAATTAAGATAACTCTCGCCGCGCTCGTCCAAGGTCTCGTGGAGTAACCGGAATCATTACAGAAACGATACGTATAAGCCTCCATTCGTTTCCTTTCCTCACGTTCACCTCGCTCAAACCACGGATTCTTCAGGTTTCCGATGTTTGTTTTTCAAGGCACCTCCTGGAAGCAGAAATTCGCGCCACTAGATTGACCACGGACGAGACTCGACCTCGTACCAAGACGACGTGTTCAAATGCAGATGCCGCAAGATCACTGAGCCTGTCACGCCGAATACTCTATTCCCTTCGAAAGAGAAATCCCGATTTCTTTTGTGGCCAAGGAAGAAACAGCATTCTACAACGGCATGATATCTCTCATGGGGTATGCCCCGAGAGGCTCCCGTCGTTTCTTTTGGCATAGATCGCGGTCGTGGATTCGGAATGGGGTCATCATAAATATCGCGCCCAATGAAATGTAGGTCATCGCTTGGCAAGCAGAGAACATAGATGCGTGAGGATTCCTCGACTTGTTCTGCAACCTGGATTCGCCTTTCAGTACTCTATTACTCATGAACAACATCACGTTCCGCCAGTCCTCCATCAAATGGAAAACCATGCGCTTACCTGTGCAGCAGACGCAGTAGTCAACGACGGGATCATCCAAAAGAAGCTCGTACTCGTAGAGTGCGTCATCTGATGCGGAAACGGAGCTGTGCATCAAGCGGAGTATTTTGTACCCAACAAGGACATGGACCATGCCATGGAGCAATCGTTCGAACACCATAGCGCGGTGCTCGGCGGAGTCGGTTTCACAGGCATGCGACAGCCCCTGAACACTGTCGGAGGTCGCCGCTTCGAAAGGTGCACCGACGCTGAGTACAAGCAAGAAGATGAACACGGCAAGCGAGGTGTAGATCGCAACTTCCGTTTGTCCCTGAAGTACGTCAACAATATCCAGAAGCGGCCACACCGATACATGAAAGCTACCATCAACAAGCTTCGCATGCTCACAACGGAGCAGGAGGTAATGGAGAGACCGGCGCACTGAATACCAGAGATAAACATGACATAAAGGAAGCAGCAGCTACAGAGAAAGCCCACAGAGGCTGGTACCGACGATCATCGAAAGCACCCCATTTTTCGAAAATACACTCCAGTTTGTGGCCCTGTACCATCTCACTCCAGCATGAGCGTTCGACGATGACGCCTACAACACCTGGAATACCCGGATGTGCGGGTATCCTGCCAACCGCAGTCGCGCATGAAAAACTTGTTCATGGGATAGGGATCTGTGTCTGGTACCAGACTCGACTGAGGCGTGGAGACTCATTTTGATACTTGACGAGTATCGCAAAATGGAATTTGGAGGCCTTGGTCTCTGAACCGAGCGTACTCGCGTCGACAAAAACCCAAAAGTCTTTTTTTGGAGCGGGAAGGCCGTTTCAACGCAGCACGCTCAACCCGTACTGTCTGGCGTCACGTTCGGTCGTGCCAGGCTTCCAGCACGGAACACACAAGCCGCCAAAACTTCTGTTGCGTTCTGTTTTCTGATTATCTGTTCGTGTTTATCGCTAGCGGTGCAAGCAGGGTTTTCTCACTGGTTGTGTTTACGTTTTGAGGCTGCTTTTACCTCGCCCTGTACCAAGGAAAGAGTCTTTTCTAGTGGTGCGGCGCGCTTCCGCCTCACGAGTGCTACGCTGGTCTCGGGGACAACGAAAGCGCAGGCTCCGGTACCTCTGTAAATTGCTCACAAGCCGGTACCGTGCTCCATCAACGGAGGCTCTAGGCACCGAGTAGTTCCGGGAGTGCCCGAGAAGGCGCCCGGTCTTGCGTGAGCTCTGCTGATCGAAAGGCAACGCTCTCGACTCCCTTTGGCAGGTTGACAGCGGTATCAAACCAGAGCAATCGGTATTCAGAGGCTCTGTCCAAGTTCTAAGCTTCGCCCTGCAAACAAGATGGCAGAGCGCAGCGTGCAAGAAGCGCTCGAAGACATCTTCGGTTCCGACGAAGAAAACGAGCAAGTTACCGCACCGTCGGGGACTGTCGATGAGCAGACCACCACCTTGGATGTTGCAGCGAGCAGGGGTCTGCATGATCACCTTAGCAAGCAGCCTAGCGATACGCACGAGCCGAGCGTACCCCAGGTTGACGCTTCTGGGGATACTGCATCCCGTACCGATGACTTCATCGACGTCTCTGCTGCCGATCCGGAGCTGCTCCGTGAGGACCCCGATGACGTGATTCGAACCGAGGGTGGATGGTCATCCCGCTCTGCAAGTGAGGACGAGGATCAGTTGAGCGATGAGGGTGCTCGCCATCCATTGACCGCATTCGATCGCACCATGCGGCAGATCCAGTCTCGTAGGCAAAGAAAGCAAATCACCAACCGGGAAAGTGAAAGGGATGCAGAACGAATCCTGGAAAAGATGCGCTCTGCTTACGATGCGGATCTCATTATGGCGAGGTTGGGCCGCCCAGCGCTCGCAAAACTTCGCCTTTTGCCGGAAGTGGATACTGAGCTGCGGCGGAAAGAGATCCGAACAACACTCATCCGCCGCGGGCTCTTTGAGGTGCTTCGACGCTGGTTGGATCCGTTGCCAAACGGGGCGCTACCCTCGATTGACGTCCGCTCAACATTGATGGATATTCTGCTTACGTTTCAGACGAGAGTGAGCGATTCAGAGGATGAACTCGAGGAAGAAGAGACCGCAACCGAGTTGCAACGCTCTTCGGCACGACGTGCAGGAACCAGAGCGTGGGAGCGCGCGCTCCTGAACTCCGGCCTTGGGCGTTGTATTCACTACTACAAGCTATATGATCCAGACCCCGCTTGTCAGCTCAAAGCAGAGCGTCTGGTGATGCGCTGGGCAGCTGCAGTGCTGCACTCCGATACAAACTATCGCAACGCCTTGCATAAGCGTTACGAAATGGTGCCGGCTCGGAGCGGCTCGCAAGCGCAACGTCGAGAAACACCGAACAGAACCTCTGGTGCAACTGACTTGCCGGCAAAGCACGAAACTGCGAGCAACGCTCCAGGTTTACCGGCCACCGCGACGCCGGATCATTTCACAAACCCGATGAAGTCAAGCGCACCTGCGGTGTTAGCCGCGGCGCTTCCCGAACGTCCATCAGGCGACTGGAAGCGGATCCCACAGGTTGGAGAGTTACCTGCTGTTCCCCGGATGCGCTCCGTTCGAGAGAAACAAATGAGCAAACACTTGAAACGGATTCGCGATACGGTTCAGATGAGCGGATTCGAGCGCGGGGTCTCGACAACGAGGTAGCATTCGGAACACGCTGCTCTAAACGGTCTCTATGTGTTGGCCATCTGCAAGAATGTGCATGAAAGTGCCTCAGTCTCCTGACACGCTTCTAGAGATGCCAGGTGAAGGTAGCGCACGCTGTTTCTGTAGGAGAAACGACAAGGCGCTGCATTGCATTCGCTGGACCTCGTGGAATACCTGCAGCCTGGAAGCCTGGGGCGAGGCTCCCCGAGCATGCGGCTTCGTATGCTGCGGGCAACGTCTCAGAGGACCTGATTCGTTCCTCTATATCAGTTTGAGATGAAAATGGACCGATGACCTGCTCGCGCTGTCCCGACTATTTGAGTTTTTTCCTGACCTTTTTCTGTAGATGCAGCGTTGGCATTCACAGTGTGGCGATAACGATTTATGGATATATAGGCAGGTTTTGGATCCACAGTCTTCATTACCGAGCGGGTTCTTCGACGCCATGCTACTGGAATTCGTCTCTTCATTAAAATCAAGAATATCCTGCACACCCTCGGATAAGCGTGTCTAAAATAACTGGAACCATCGCTCGGTTCGTACCTATATGTCTTCACGTTTCTTCATTCTTTACCTTACGCAAGCGCAAAGCAGGTGTTCTTCAACTGTGCTAGCTTTGTATTTCTATGCAACATACGGGTGCAGCAATTCGTTCCGTTGGATTGACGAAGAAAAAGGCTCGAGGCCAACGCTTTCCGACCTGTTCACAAGTTCGTGTCGAAAGCTCTCAGAGGATTTCACGATACGAAGTTATAGATTCCGTTCGAGACAACAATCCCTCTCTGTTTCCAGTCCTTGACGGATCTGTACTGAACAGCAGCAGCAGCAGCTCCATATCTGACACGCAAAATGCTTCCAGCAGCTGCCGTCCCTTCGGTGTTCATGAAAAATCGCTGCAGACACTAGTCATTGGCACGATCGTTTCCAGTGGATTGCATGGCAGAGCTTTCTGTAAAGTGGGCGTGGATGGATCGAATTTTCTCGACTTGCTCTCCATCTTGGGTTTTTTTCGAGAGCCTGTTTCAAGCCGGATCAATACCGCGTTCCATAAACCCTCTATAGAATAGAACAGCATGCGTTTAGGCGTGCAGCGGATAGCATTCTTGCCGGGATATCGCCCAGGAGATGCCCGTGATCCTACTGGACAAAACCAGACCGGTAAAGGGAAGCTTGCATCGTGCGAAGCCTTCTGTACCCGTCAAGGGTATGCATCAAGCGATGAGGCAAGCGTTCACTTGCCACAGAGCCGATTGTGGACGTAGACATACGGGAACACCTGATCATATTCAAACGCGATCACTGCGACGAGTCCACCGAGGCAGGACACAAAACTGATGAGCATGGGAAACGAAAGGAGAATCGCAACTTTTGCTCGAGCATGACCAGCGTGAAAAGCATCCAGAAGCGCAGCAATTGGGACTTTAAATTTGCCATCAACATCGTTCTGCTGCTGACAATGTAGCTGGAGTGGCAAAAGAAACGGAAGTATTGAAAATTGGAAATGACATAGGAGAAAAGGAAGCTGTCGCGGAAAAACCCCGCAAAGGCTGATTTCGATGACACTCGGAAGACACCACAATTTGGGTGCATACGCCCGAGTTGACCTGTAGGACCCGCACCTTTCTCGCGTGGCATGGATGCAACCTGCATCAAAATGAGCAACGTGAAATTCGCCCTCGGAACGTGGGTGGATGCCCACATGCACCTGTTCCGCGCGCTGTGGAATGCTGGACGAAGGCAGCATCGGCAATGCAGTATCGTTTCGTAGCTGCGCCTCGAAACCGTACAATCTATTCCATGGATGCAGAATGCTTTATGTCCGAGTGTTCTGAGAATCAGTTCCAGCGTCGGGGCTCTTCCAACAGATACCATCCCCGCTGCAGAGCGGCTCCAGCTGCTGTATGGGCGCACGTTGCGGGCTGCAGCCGGCATGTCGCTCTTGAACCCCGTCGCGGATATGCTCACTGGGGTACAGACACCAAGTCGGGCGGTTTGACAGGCAAATCGCCAGCTGCTGGCTCCGATTCGCCCTCCGGACGCCAGTCATGCTTCGTATAGACCTCCTCAAGGAGCGTTCTGCAGGGAATATTTGCCTGCAGTCGCATACAAGTCAAGAACGCTCCGCTCAAACGACGATGGAGGGAATAGGCCTCACGCGGAGGCGGACACAATCGATGCTGCAACATAACCTGCCCGAAACGTGCCGCCCGCACTGCAATATTACTAGAGGCAAATTCGTAACTCTTGGCAAAGGCAGCAGAGAAGGGCTCTCCAACCACGAATGCGGCCTCACAATGGGCGTCCAGCATAAGCCTGGACTCTTCTCCGGTGAGAAATCCAAGCTGCTGAGACCACTCAAGGATGCCGGCGCGGTCACGATTCGCACAGGCCATCACGAGGTGCAAGTACGCGTCGACGAACGCTTTCGGATAGGAACGCGCTGCACCAAAGTCCAAAAGGTGAAGCGTATCTGATTCGATTTCGTAGAGGAAATTGCTGAAATTGGGATCCGTTTGCATGAATCTTTTCTCAAATAGCTCATGCAAAGTAAGGCGAAGCATGCGCACCGCTAGTTTGTTTCTCTGTGCCGCAGGCACGCCGAGGCTAACGAGTCGATCAAGCGGCTCGCCGTCTACCCATTCAGTGGTAAGGACGTTCCTTGTCGAGAGCGACGCAAGTACTCTCGGTATGTGCACGTGGCCCTGGTCGAATCCCTGAAAGAGCGCAGCAAAGCGTACTTGATTAGCTGCTTCAAGCTCATAGTCGCATTCGCAGAGCAACTCCTCACGCGCTACGCGAATAGCCTCGTCGAGGTAGAGACCTCTGGGGATCAAATTCGTGTAAGTAAGAAGACGCTTCAGATTCTTCAGGTCCGACTCTATTGAAGCTGCAACTCCGGGGTACTGGACTTTGACGGCAATGGGTCGCTCATGATTCTGCTCTCTAACGGAAGCACGATGTACCTGGCCGATGCTTGCCGCTGCAACCGGTTCAAAATTGAAGGAGTGAACGCGCTGTTGCCAGTCGGGTCCCCATTCTTGCCGCAAAACTCGCTCCAGCTGACGTCGCGGCATGAAATCTGCACCCTGACGGGCCCGTTCCAGTGCTTGCAACAGAATTGGAGGCACGGTTCGCTCATCCTGCATGGAGAGCATCTGTCCCAGTTTGAGGGCGGCGCCCCGCATACGGCAGAGTGTTCGAGCTATGCGGTCGGCATTCTCCGGAGACAGGTATCGCTCCAGTCCAGAGCGTTCTTTGGTAGGAGCTGCACTCAGCAGGGAGCTCTTGGCTGCGTTCCACACAATGCCGAGCGCTAAGTTTCCGAACCCGAACATCCGTTCCACAGTCGTTGCTGGGACGCGACGCGCTTCTCCAACCGAGCGTCTCGGGGCCGAATTTCTCACGTCGCGCTCGGTGAATGCATTTGTTGTTTGCTCCTCCTCCTGGCCGACACGATGATGCACAGTCTGTACAGCAGGGTCTGGTGTGGTATCGTAGGAGCTGCCTCTGCGTGATCGCAGCTCGGGTCCAACATCATTCTCACTTATCGTCGATGCATTTGCTTCTCTCGCCAGTGGTGGCGGGCGACTGCTATGCTCCAAGTTGGCAGGTGCCGCGTTTTCGTTGCTAGGAGTCACCGCATCCCCTGTGTTGTAAGGTCTCCCAGTGACCAGGGTTCCTGGCAATGCACTCGATTCTCGTCCCGTTGCTGCCACGTTCGCGTACTGTGCAGGCTGCTGCAAGTTTCGAACGACTTCCGAAGCAGCTGCATCCGCTTCCCTCGCCGTGACAGCGGCCTCCTGTAGTGTACTTGTGCGCTGCGTTCGTGCTCCAGCAGTTGCAAGCGAACCTTTTGGTTGCTGTATTGCTTGCTTCCCCGAAACAGCAAGTACGACCTCAGTTGACCAGTCTCTTACTCGGCGAGCGAGCCCATGCTGCATCAGAGCTAAGCTTCCTCCTACAGGTGCTGCATTCGAGACAGCAACTCCGACTTGCGGTATGCTTTCCGCTCGGAACGCCAACCAGACCGAGCGCACACCTTGAGCGATTATCGCCCAATCGGCTAAACGAAAAAGCGTGCTTTGATCCGGAGCCACGGGTACCTTCATAAAGCGCTAGCGTCTTCGTCAACGATCCTCATACAGCTGTTGAGATAAGGTGTCTCTGCAGCAACAATCAATGAAAACGTGTGTCGTTATACTAAGCGATTCCGTTCACGACCAGGTGAATCGATGAGGCCTAGGGCGGCGTTTCTGCGACACGATCAGAAATCCCGCAACAGCAACTGCTAAAGTGCGTTCGTATCGTTCGGGGTACTTTCGTGTAAACGCATCTTTTACACGGAAACGTATCGGGATTTTCGTTCCAAGGTACTAAATGAATGGTCTACAGCATAGATAAAAACCTAAAAATGGAAAGTCGATCAAGCACCGAAGGAAATCTGCAAGGCGATCGCTCCTAAATGCCTGTACCGGTCTAGTGGATACACCAGCTGCACCCTTGCAAACATCCCGCAGATGCTCGCTAGTCCGTGGGGTTGGCGTCTTCGGTAGCGTCGGCTGCTCCTGTGGCGGTGCCGCTGCCCTCTCGCTTACGAACAGCGCTCAGAATGTCGTCAATACGCAGAAGCATGCACGCAGACTCCACTGCGGTCTTAAGTGCTTGCGCTTTCACAGCGTAGGCGTCCACAATACCCGCTTCAATCATGTCGATGAGCTCGCCACTTGTACCGTCTACGCCAATGTTCGAGTGGCCGGCTTCTGCGTGCTCTGCGCGAAGCCGCGTAAGGAGCCGGACCACAGAGGTGCCGCAGTTCTCGGCAAGCGTTCGAGGGATCACCTCAAGTGCCTCAGCTGCCTGTCGATAAGGCCACTGCGCAGCGCCTTCGACGAGCGCAGAGCGCTGCAGCAGAGCCCGGCTGAGCGCCATCTCGGTGGCACCACCACCGGCAACGACGCGACGGTCACCATAGAGGCTGCGTAGGACGCACAGTGCATCGTGCAGGTTGCGCTCGAGCTCATTCAGCGTGTCTTTACTGCCGCCCCGCAGCAGAACGGTGCACGCGCCTGGTGCTGTGCACTGCTCAATGAAACTGTAGTACTCCTCGCCGAGGCGTCGAACCTCGAAGAGGCCCGCTCCCGTCCCGATATCCTGTTGGCTGGCCTCCTCGATACGCGACACGATACGCGCACCGGTTGCTCGCACGAGCCGCTCGTTGTCGGTCTTTCGCACACGTCTGAGGGCGCTAATGCCCGCCCGCATCAGCAGGTAAGCGGCCAAGTCGCTGATACCCTTCTCGGTGATAACCAAGTCGGGGCGCAGTGCCGCGATGCGCTCGCACTGCTGGCGTACAACGGCCTCCTCGGACTGCAGGAGCGCCTCCCAGTCGGCCTCGCGTGTCACCTCAACGGTGAGCTGGGACTCGCCCTTGCGGTACTCCAGCGGGCAGTCCAGGAGAAGCAGGCGCGGATTCTCAATGCGTCGCCGCATCTGCGGATGCACAATGTCCTTGTTGAGGACGACACCGCGGATGACCGCGGAATCATCGAGGTCGCCACCGGGGATCTTCTCGACTCGGACCAGGTTCTTGATATCGAGCGGACGCTGGGTGCCGGCTCCTGCGGTGGTAGCAGGCGCGCTGCTTTCTGCAATGAGCTTCACCGCTGCGAGTGACCAGGCGGCAACGCGCTCACGGTAGACAGCAGCCACCTTGGTGCCGAGGCAGGCACGCAAGACGCGCTGCAGCTGCACCTCATCGTTCCAGTCCACTGCAATTGCACACCGCTGCTCCAGCTCTGAGAGCGCATCCTGGAGCGCCCGCATGTACGCTCCAACGATGACACTAGGATGGACGCCCGCCTCTAGGCACGGCTCCGCGGCCTGGAGAAGCGCCCCCGCCAGCACAATGACGCTGGTCGTTCCGTCACCGACTTCCTCGTCCTGAGTGCGCGACAGCTCCAGCATCGCCTTGGCCGCCGGGTGCCCCACATCGATCTCTCGCAGGATCGCGTTCCCGTCTGAAGTGATGACCACACCTCCGATAGCGTCGAGGATGAGCTTGAGCATCGCTCGCGGCCCCAGCGTCGTCCGCACCACGTCCGCTACCGCTTTAGCCGCTGCAATGTTCGCAAGCTGGGTGTCGCGACCCCGCTTGTGCTGCGACTTGGTGTTCACAACATACACTGGTGTTGCGTTTTTCAGCATGAGAAGTGTCGCAATCCTTGCAGCCTCCGCTTCGAAGGGCACAGCGTTGCCAGCACGTCTCCTCAGAGAGGCGCACTGTGGATTCCATCGATCGATACGGAGCTTTCCGGGGCGATCCGTCTACGGGGCAGCGCCTCGACGAGCTACGAACTAGGGAGGCAATGCCCGCTACTATTTGTGTCGTTTGCAGCTTGCTATCTATCTCGTGAGGAGACCGGGTTTGGGGTTAGCCGAACGTAGAGGTATCTGGAGAGCAACGGTGGTCTTTTGCCTGGTTATAAGCAGGAATTGTGCGCACAGGGGGGTTCTGGTTAGAATTATCCGTTTTATAGGGTTTAAAAACGCTTGCTGCGGGAGACCTAGCCGTAGCAGAAGCTGCGTCGGTAGCGTAGACGACTGTAGCAGCGGCTGCTGCAGTCTTGCATGGGGTAAGGCTGGTAATACAGACGACGACAACGGCTGTGACAGTCGCAAGCACGTGTCGAGCAGAGCCTAGCGAAAGTGAGCGCCTCGGCTTGTACAGACGTCCACCAGGGACGCGACAGTCGTCTAGTGAGTCGAATCTTCGATCAAACCGACTGAGTTTGAGGGCAGGCCTACGTATCTGTGAGAAGGAAGCAGGGCCGCTCGGCGCCTTATATACTGTGCGAATCCAGCGCGGCCTTTGTTTTCAAACAAAGGTACCCCTGAGTGGTACCCAGTTGTGTGTGCGCTGAAACGCCCTCGACAGCAGCGTCCACCACGAGAACGTCGGGGGTGTGCAGTTTGCGAAGGAGTGCAGGCCTGTCTGCGACGAACTGAGGTCGTTTCCGGGCAGCTACAGGCCGGTCTTGCTGCCAAGCGTTGGCTGCATCAACTCGGAGGACTCCGCCTCAGTATTGGACGCTGGGCGCAGAATAACCATAAGGTGGAGTTTTCGGACGAGTGTCGCAGTGGCAACGGAGGCTCCAGCGCCTCTCAGAACAAATCGAGGTCGCGACAGGCCCACAGCGTCCTCGTTGCTCGTCTACGTCGCACGAGACCCGACCAATTGAGTAGTTCTGGTTCCACGGAGGGAATTACACTGCGGAGCTGCTGGCCACGCGACCCCGCATCACATCTCCTGAACACTGACGGCAGGGCGCTGGCTCTTGTCGTTTGTTTGGCTCCAGAGTTCCGCAGCAAGTATAGAGCTCGCACTAGGAAATAAGCGGGTACTGCGCTGGTACCCTGACATCTTGGACTGTACAGAAGAGCGCAGTGTGGAGCTGCGTTTCCGACTTGCGTACTGGACCGACGCAACGCCCCCGAGTGTGTGCCTGCGATCCCATGCACAGGGTGTTATCCTTGTGTTCGTTTGTTTCTGCCGCGCTAGACGTGACTTGTTTGCATATCGACCCATAACTGAGCCCACTACGCGGAACGCCGCCAGACGCAAAATTATCTGCGCCAAGACTGCATTTTCCCCACGTCTTCGCAGCCGCTTGCAGGAACGAGCACGTCAACCGTCGCGAACGAAGCATCTTTACCTGGACGCATCGCGGACGGAGTGCGCTGGACTGCACGCGCTCACAGCCTCTAGACTGCAAACCTGACGGATCAGAGGCGCTGCGCCACTCCAGCGCTTCCGAGGCGGCAGGGGTCAGCTCCCGGTGAATACAGGCCAGTAGCTACGATTAAGGTACCCACGCATCTACATAGCAAGCGAGGAAGGGAGACTTCCGAGCAGTTAAGAATTGAGATTAGGCAAGCGTAGATTTCGTGAAACCCCATCACTGCACCAAGGCGGGCATCCAGACGATCAGACAGGTACGCATTGACACCAGACACGTGTAGGCAGGGCGCTGCGGGCGCACCCAATGATGGCGGAGCGTTCACCAATCATCGACGCCATCGAGGATGCGCAGCGGCCGCTTGTGACCTCCGATTCCGAGATGCGTGCTCGTGACGTGTCAGCGCACGCATGCAGACAGCACGGACACGTGCTGCGGCATACGATGCAACGTGTCCCTGCTCGTGTTGAGCTTCCCGAAATGCCGATAGGTGCGAACGACGCATTTACAGCTGCTGAAATATATATAACACCATCATCCATATCCGAAAGCGTACCAAGTTCGTGCACATCCTGCGCGACAGCGTCAGCGTGCGACGCAGAGACGCGAAGGCTCGCCGCTATCGCGAAAAGAGGGCGCGCTACAAGCCCCTGCGGTGAGCGCTCTTCACAGATGCTCCCGGCGGGTAGAATGCCAGCGAGTAGTGCGGCACCAGCAGCGCCCGAGACGCTCGACTCGATGCCATCGTATCCACCCGATCCCGGTCCCGATCCACGGAGCGCTGCGAATAGCATTGGTGCTTCCACCAATGTCGCATCTCACAGCGAGCACAGCGCTTGCGGGTGCTTGGCTACAGATCAGGACACGAAACCTGAAAACCAGCGCACCACCAGTACGCGGTTCTGCATATGTCGCCAGCCGTACGACGCGCGCCGCAACGGCATCATGGTAGCGTGCGACAACCCGACCTGCGCGTACGGCTGGTTCCACATCTCTTGTCTATTTCTGGACGTTTCACGTGTGCGGGCATCTAAGACCTTTATTTGTCGGTTCTGCTCCGGGACAGGGACGGACCTATTCACTCCAGTGCAGCGACCGAAACGCCCGCGGAGCCAGCATGGACGTCCGGCCGTCACCGATTACGCCCGCCTCCATGAGGGCGATATAGGCGGTGCCCTGCGGGGCGGCACCTGCGCCGGCGCTCTGAGCGAGGCGGCACGAGCGGCCGCTGAACGCCGGGCTCAGAGCTGGGCGAAGAACGCCACCAGCGACGCTGGCGGGCTAGCGGCGCATCTGGGGATACTCGTCTACGGCACCGGTGGCGAATTGCAGCGCATGCCCGATGCGCCCTGTGTCGTGCTCGATCCCGACGGGCTCGACATGCACATTCCACATCGTGCTTACCATCCCGAGGAGGTCGGGCGCGAGTACGGACTTGAGCGTCATTGCGAAGTGCTGGATGTCGCGAGCCAGAGTGAGCTGCATCCCCGCTGGAGCCTGGGGCAGTACCTGGATTACCTGGCAACCGCGCCAGCGTTACGTCAGCGGGTGCTGAACCTCATCTCCTTGGAGATATCACGAACACCGACAGGGCGAGCGTTCGTGGTGCCGGCGCTGATTCGCCGAGCGGACTGGGCGTCGCTGTATCCGGAGCCGCGCCCGCATGTTGATAAGTACTACCTTCTGAGCGGCACTGGATCGTGGACCTCGTGGCATATAGACTTTGGCGGATCGACGGTGTTCTATCACGTGCTGCGCGGGAAGAAGCGCTTCTACATGTCACCGCCTACAGAGCGCCATCTGCAGCTCTACGAGCGGTGGCAGCGGGATCCGCAACAGGCGCTGCGTGAGCTAGACTTTGTTGAGGAGCTGAGCCCTATTGCCGTCATTGACCTCGACGCGGGAAACACGTTGTTCATTCCGGCGGGATGGCTGCATGCTGTGTACACCCCAGCGGACAGCGTTGTGCTGGGAGGCAACATTCTCCACCTGGGCGGCGTTGTCATGCAGCACCGCGTGTTCCAGATGGAGAACCGTCTACGCGTCTTACCCAAGTACCAGTTCCCGCTGTTTCGAGAGCTTCACTGGCTAGCGCTCCGACAGTATGCCCTTGCACTGCGAGAGGCGCGCACTCCCGGAGCGGTTTTCCAGACGAGTGCTGTGCACAGCGAACGCCAGCACCTGCGCTGGCTAGTGAAGCACTTGCGAGATCAGTTACATAACGCCTTGACCAGCGCGCCCGCTGAGTCTCCGAACCCAACCGAACTGCATACGCTGTTGCGGGACCGCATCGGGCTCCCCAGGAGGGTCCAGCTCGCGGACGTGCAGCGCTGGCTGGGCGTTTTGGAGGAGGCACTGGATACGGCCCACGAGCACGCACCCGAGTCGACAAAGGCCGAACGGAAGCGGACAAGGCGGTTTGAGAAACAACTCCGCCCGAGTCCCAGCGCTGACGCACTGGACGCGGCGCCCTGTCGCTCGACTCGGATTCGTTCAGAAAAGCGCGTCTGAGCATGTATGAACGTTGCATATACGTGAAAGAGACAAATTGTTGGACGGGTGTGCCTGTGACCGCGAGGCAGGCCTTTGCGAGCAAAAAGCGAATAAAGGATAGCGTCGAATAGGCTGCGGAAGCAACGCGGCCGTATCGCGAACATGCTTCACGGTATCGCAGTCATGGAATGCACAGCATACAATCTACGCAGCGGCGTACCACGGATCAAAGATCGAATTCTCACTCAACTTGTCCCACGCATGCGGTTCTTATTCACCAATGCCAAAAAATGGAACTTGTGAAGGTCACCATTAGCCAAGTACAACCGTTCCCACTTTCTATAGACGAAATTCCAGCCTCACTGGATACCTGATCGCAGCATACCAGTCCCGTGATTCGGACGGGAATCCAATGCCTTCTCTCCCGGCAATTGACTTTCGCATCGCATGTCGCTAGCCTTCCAGCGCACTGCCTGCACACACGGAGTACTGAACGGCTCTTTTCGATACTCGCTCAACACAGCGACGCTGGACGCTCCGCAGGCACAAGACGTTTCCCGATGCTGATCGAGGCGCTCGAGTCCGCTGCATCGCGTGCTTGCGTGCTTTGTTCTTGCCGGTGGATTCACAGCCAGGCAAGCCGCTCGCCTTCGATCGTCTCGCCATGTGATGATCAACCAGCGTACCGAGCGCCAGCTCGTGTATCTGGCTCTGTTTCTGCACGCTTCCTCTTCACGTGTAGTTGCGAGCCCCAGTGCCTGTGATGCGTGTACGCCGTCCAGAACGCTTCGCTGGGAATCACACAGAATCGCTTCCTGTTCTCGATAAAGTGCCCAGGGCGTCGAGACCGATCCCGAAGGCGTCCTTCCACCTGTCGCGATGCCTGCTGGCGTCCACCAAGCCCGACGCCAGACGAGACCGAGTAATGGCGACGCTGAGCCGCCCCATCATGTCTCCGCTCAGGTCTCTGGCTTCGTCCTGTCCCACTGCTTGGCCGCTCTTGTGTTCGGGGCATCGACGCTGTCGATGAGCAGTGCAGAAGCGTATGAGATGAAGAAGCCGCATCGTTTGCCCGACGGAGGATGGTGTTTCATACAATTCTATCGACTTGGCGATTTGTAGGCGACCGCACGCGTGACCTGTCGCGGGGTCCGCTGTTGTCGCTGGTCATGTTCGATTCTTCTTCACGAGCCGCAGTCTTGGCAGGCATCGGGTACCCTTGTACAGTTCTGCAATGCAGTCCGAACGAGGTCTCATCGCGTGAGACAAGGGCTCGTCGCTCCTGCTACAAGCTGTTGCGTTTCAGTACGAAGTGAGTCATGTTTTGTTCGGCGCGCGACACGCTCGCCCAGAAGCACGTTTTTCCGTTGGCCACTCACATCCCTTTATCACAGCTCGTATAAACGGTACGGAAACACGAGACCCTTTGGAGGCTTTGGTAGCATTTGGCAGCGTATGTGTGGAGTAGAATGGACTGAGGGGACCGACGTCGTGCAAGCAGAGTCTGATACTTTCTTTTTCGGATACATGACGTTCTGAACGAGGACTAGGAAGAGAATAGCCTATGCACCTGCCGACAGCAGAGTGAGTGACTTGACGAGACCGCGGTCCGTTTTTCGCGAGCGATCAGTAAAAGTATCGAGTCTTTTTGCAACCTTTCTCCTTGTTACAAGACGTATTCGTTTTATTGAAAGCTTTCGATGAAAATCGAACGAAAACAAGAGCGGTTTGCCGGTACTAGTGTTACCTAAATACTGTTCTGGATAAGACAATAGCGCCACAGTGGATCCACGGGGAGACTCATCAATCGTGAACCATGGTAAGCAAAAGGCGTCCACAATGTTTGTGCCAGAGATGTTCTTCCATGGCCAGCGCATTTATCGACATTGCAGCGAACGCCTCGAAGAGGCTCGACATGCAGCTTTTCCCTGAATGCAGCGATCCTTCAATCCTGATGGGAAGCATGGTTCACGCTCATCAGTTGGAAAGGCCTCCCTAGCGACGCGATCGTCGTTGTCCCAACCACTGGCGGTAGCCGCGCACGCCATGCGGTGGAACGCACAGAGACTCAATGGATTGATGCCATGAAAAATAACTACAGCAAACCCACTAAGGCGTTCAGTCGAGATACTATAAGTTTTGTATTGAGAAGATCAAACGTGTACATAACCATGAATGTAAAACCGAATAATGTTGTGTACTGTCTTGGATCCGAGCGAGACCAATCGATTCGCGGAAACGCCGCCAAACAGAATAAGAGCGTCAGCCAAGCCCAGCTCCGTGCTCGAGTCAGGAGCGCGAGCGCTCCGAAAAACGTCGCCAACAGGCTATAGACTGCAGGCGGCGGCGCTACAGTGTGTTCGCGTCGAAATATAACTAGTTCGCTTGGTCTTCTGGGGTCGTCTCTACTCGGCATTCTGTGAAAACAAAAAGTTGCTTTGCTGAGGCACTGGGAGGAATGCACGCTCAGAGACGCTCACACGCAGAACGGGCCTCAGTGGAAATCGTCTTGTTTCGTGCACGGTGTACAAAAGCCTACCAGCGTCTCCCTGAAGCGCAAAAGCTGCCGGCTCTGAGGGTATAAAACGTCACGGTTTCCGCGGACGCGTCCCCGTTGCACTGCCTGCAGAGCGACATCCGACCGCACTCCTGCGGATACGAATGCGCGCGCGCTAGCGCCTGTCCACCGCGTGCTCTGGATGGGAAACGGTGTTCAGTGAGCGAGCGATCGCTGACGTCCGTAGATCGTTTTTCCTCATAGGTGCGGGATCAATGCATTTAGACCGATTCCCTGCGGATTTTCAATTGATGGGGGCCAGCACGGAAGGTACCTTCTTTCTTGTGCAGGCACTCCGAGATTCCATGGACCCGGACCTCTCTTCCAGTCGCTGAAGGGGTTTCGCGTGATCCAGCGACTCAGCGGGTGAAGAGCCTTCATGAAGCGCTTGATGCAACTCCAAGTGTGCCATGACGGCTACTCTTGCCGTAAGCAAACAAAAATATTTTATGGTGATCATGCAGTGTCGGTTAGAGGCGTCGCAGCTTCTGCACAAGTGCAGCATTGCCGAAAAAGCGCTGCTCCCGGAAGAAACCTTTATCACTGCGCTAGTGAATTCATTATTCGGACGAGCGCAGGTGACCTACAGATGACCACGTAATACACATCTGAGACTTTATATCGGCATCGGGTTAGAAGAAACCGTTGTATTTCGTTGCATCAGGTATTGGGGCACCTCCAGAGTGCAATGCACTGCTTCATGCGGGTGCGATTACGGAGGACGGCGCTCCTCTACACAATAAGCCCGCATTTGCTTATCAGAGAAAGTGCTGGATGATGCCCAGGACTGGCAAAGCTATGCCATCAAATACGGAACGAGGGTTTATGCTACATTTCTAACTTTCCCATTTGGGCAAGCCTGCATGCAGACCGATAGTGCAAGCGCCCGAAATTTCTGCGTTGATAGCCGGTACTTGCTTTCGATCCCATTCTATGCATAGAAGCCCTGAACCGCACTCTTTGGGTTTGGCATTCGCTAGAGTGGAGTTCTTGATGAGATTCTATCAATAGACCTGCTCCAGCGGTAGTGGACTGGACGAATATACAGAATAGAATGAATCGTGGCACCCTAATAGCGAAGCATGACAGGGTATTTTTTCCTCCGTTTTGCTTCGAATCAGCAAAGAAGCATATTCCCAGCTGTCTGAGGTATATTTCAGAGACGGTATTCTGCCGTGCTCACGTGGACACATCTTCTACAATGGAGAACGCACAGTGATCACCGATTCGGACCTGTCGATAGCTGTTTCACTGGACCACAACAGATCAAATGGCAATTCACAAATATGCTTTGGCATCAAAATAATTATCAGTGCATGCTTTCCGCCCGAATGGACGGCCTCGCATCAGAACTTCGGCCGGAAGATGGTGCTTGATGTTGTTCGCATTAATGGGAGCATTGCTGGCCCTAGTATGCATTCGCAAAAGGAACCTTGCCTGGTAGCTGTACTTAAGTCACGCATGCGACGGTCAGTTTGCAGCTGGGACTCAGAAAAGTGATTGCAGGAACACTAGTACCGGCAAACCGCTCTTGTTTTCGTTCGATTTTCATCGAAAGCTTTCAATAAAACGAATACGTCTTGTAACAAGGAGAAAGGTTGCAAAAAGACTCGATACTTTTACTGATCGCTCGCGAAAAACGGACCGCGGTCTCGTCAAGTCACTCACTCTGCTGTCGGCAGGTGCATAGGCTATTCTCTTCCTAGTCCTCGTTCAGAACGTCATGTATCCGAAAAAGAAAGTATCCGACTCTGCTTGCACGACGTCGGTCCCCTCAGTCCATTCTACTCCACACATACGCTGCCAAATGCTACCAAAGCCTCCAAAGGGTCTCGTGTTTCCGTACCGTTTATACGAGCTGTGATAAAGGGATGTGAGTGGCCAACGGAAAAACGTGCTTCTGGGCGAGCGTGTCGCGCGCCGAACAAAACATGACTCACTTCGTACTGAAACGCAACAGCTTGTAGCAGGAGCGACGAGCCCTTGTCTCACGCGATGAGACCTCGTTCGGACTGCATTGCAGAACTGTACAAGGGTACCCGATGCCTGCCAAGACTGCGGCTCGTGAAGAAGAATCGAACATGACCAGCGACAACAGCGGACCCCGCGACAGGTCACGCGTGCGGTCGCCTACAAATCGCCAAGTCGATAGAATTGTATGAAACACCATCCTCCGTCGGGCAAACGATGCGGCTTCTTCATCTCATACGCTTCTGCACTGCTCATCGACAGCGTCGATGCCCCGAACACAAGAGCGGCCAAGCAACGGGACAGGACGAAGCCAGAGACCTGAGCGGAGACCTGATGGGGCGGCTCGGCGTCGCCATTGCTCGGTCTCGTCTGGCGTCGGGCTTGGTGGACGCCAGCAGGCATCACGACAGGTGGAAGGACGCCTTCGGGATCGGTCTCGACGCCCTGGGCACTTTATCGAGAACAGGAACCGATTCTGTGTGATTCCCAGCGAAGCGTTCTGGACGGCGTACACGCATCACACGCACTGGGGCTCGCAACTACACGTGAAGAGGAAGCGTGCAGAAACAGAGCCAGATACACGAGCTGGCGCTCGGTACGCTGGTTGATCATCACATGGCGAGACGATCGAAGGCGAGCGGCTTGCCTTGCTGTGAATCCACCGGCAAGAACAAAGCACGCAAGCACGCGATGCAGCGGACTCGAGCGCCTCGATCAGCATCGGGAAACGTCTTGTGCCTGCGGAGCGTCCAGCGTCGCTGTGTTGAGCGAGTATCGAAAAGAGCCGTTCAGTACTCCGTGTGTGCAGGCAGTGCGCTGGAAGGCTAGCGACATGCGATGCGAAAGTCAATTGCCAGGAGAGAAGGCATTGGATTCCCGTCCGAATCACGGGACTGGTATGCTGCGATCAGGTATCCAGTGAGGCTGGAATTTCGTCTATAGAAAGTGGGAACGGTTGTACTTGGCTAATGGTGACCTTCACAAGTTCCATTTTTCGGGACTCGTGAGATTATCCGCCAAAAGGGACTGCTGCCGCCGATGCGATGCGCTCTCGAGCCATGCACGTCAGCGAAGCGCGCGTTCCCTAGGCCCCACATTGCATCCGGGGTTTCTTTCTCTAAACGCTTTGTCAAGGACATAAACCTCTCCGTTTATCTGTCTGGGCTCGACATACGAAGGAGATTTCGTCACCATTTGAAGCAAGAGACTGAAGCGCTATCGAGGTCGCCTCGGCGCATGCACTTCCAGGGCGCTCCGGCAGGGTCGGGGTCTCCGACCCGCTCAATGGTTTCACTGCCCAGGGTGTTTTCTTCTAGTAGAGACCACGCTCAAGGTGTATTGTTTTGGATCTTTATTTTACTGATTGCCACTTTGGAGCGCTTGCGGTGCCTCGGTCGAGATCTTCGCCGACGCTGGCGAACCGCGCCGCTCAAGCACACGCAACTGCAATCGTTTCCGTCGCACGTCGCACTCCTCGGTAACGAAGCAGCGCTTGCGTCGATCACGAAACACCTAATAGGACGCGGTGTTCAGAGAGTTACTGTGTTTGATCCGGGCAAAAGGGAGCAGCGAGGGCGCCTTGGCAGGGCAAGCACTCCAGCGAGGCTTGTTCTGGGCCCTGCAGACGCCACACGTCGCCGTATTGTGGCCATGACGGTAGACCAGCGCGAGCGCATCAGCGATAACAGAGCCTTCTACGATGAACCAGACTTGCTACTCACCTTGGATGGGCATCTTCACGGGTATCCGGCCACGGCGCTGCGCGTTACGCACCTCCACCGGCTTGCGAATCCGAGTTTATGGGCGGTAGATGAGGCGCTTCGTCTCTACTTGACAACTGAACGTCGCCAAGGTCGATGAGAGGGCACCTGACTCGATCGCCAGCGCATCGTGCTGCCCGCAAGGTACCTGGCTATGCACTGCAAAGTATGAAACAACGTTTACTCAGCTTGGGGCTTCAGTGTCGTGTCACGAAGATTTTCACGATGAGCTTGCACGGATCACGAAAAAAGGGCGAACAATGCGCAATCACTGCGCCGAATTCTGGAATCCCTCGACCATGAACAAGGGCGACCTCCAGGCCCACCTATCAATGCAAAAGCTACAGGTCACCTGTCGTGCTCTGAATTCATATACAAGCGAGAAGCATTCTACGTGCGAGGGCATCAGCGCCCTAAGTATTCTTTAGCTATTGCTTGAATACAGAGGTCGCCGGGGAGCGCGCTAGCGAGGTCGCTGGACATCGCCATGCGGTGCAAGCCTCCTTCTACAATACGAATTCGATGCAGCTTCGCACACTCTGATGGAAGTGCACATGCTGCCGGAGATCGCACCTTCAACCTTACCTCTTCTGCGAACGCAACCATGTTTTATAAATCCGGGAGAAGCGTCCCTGAAAACAACGGAGGCTTGATCAATGCATCGACGCAGCGAACGTCGCACGGAGACAGGACGGTATGACGCCAAGGCCTCCAAAGACGTGAGCTACGGGGAACGCACGACGCTGTTCGGGACAGCGCTCGTTGTGCTGGTCTGTGCTCCGACATGCTGCGCACACAGAATACCCATCCCGCATTCTAGATTCCACGTACAACGTAAACGTGTTGTCATCGGAAACAGAGCGCCGAATCGCCGCGTGGCGATCGCCCCGCCGCTACGCGTCCACTGGTGCGCGTCCAGGTGTGCCGTACGCTGGTCGGCACCTAACGTGACGACTGCTTGGGTGTCCGTCACGGACGACGTGGAGCAGGCGTTTCAGACGGGGATTCGAGAACTTGTCGCGAATTGCGAGCGATCAAGCGAAATACTGCTTCAGGGTGCCGGTAATACTGGGAACATCGTTACCAGGCGTGACCTGAGCGAATTATGCCTCGATCAAAGCGTGCACGCCGCTTGGCGTTGCACGGCACAACAACGAAGACGCGGCAAGAGAAAGCGAAAATGATCGAGCTCGTTCGATCCTTTCTCCCGCCCAAGCATACCAAAATCTATGTTTTCGAATACGGTGATATTCGAAACCAATCGCTGAAAGAGTTTCGAGAGGAGGTGAAACGGCTTCCGGAGGGCGGTGGTCGGCTCTTTCTCGGTTCGAATAGAGTGTTGCAGGTGGCGCTGGGCCGTTCGCCTGAGGAGGCGCTGGCGCCCGAACTGCACCAATTAGGGGAAAAACTTCGGGGGAAACGCGGGCTTCTGTTCTGTAGTGCACCTCACGTCTTGGTCCAGGAACTTTTCGCGAACTTTGAACGCAGAGAGTATGCACGTGCCGGTACCATCGCGCCAGAAGACGTTCGTTTGGCGGTTGGGGAACCACTTGAAGACCTCCCGGCATCGTCAGGCCCGAAACTACGCGAACTTGGCTTGCCTATTAGCCTCCGTGGCGGCCGTCTCTTCTTGGATGTGATCGCTGGACCGGATAAGCACTTTCTGATTTGCTCGAAAGGAGAGATTCTCAGCGCCGAGCAATGTGTTCTCCTGAGAATGCTCGGCATTCGATTGGCGACGGCTCGCCTTCATCTCCGTTACCGTTGGGATGCAGAGCATTGCAAAGTGGAAGAGCTTGGCGACCAGGAGTAGTTCACGGTCTTGAACGCGGTAACGTGGGATTCTAGCCCAAACTTTGAGAGAAACGGTTCTTCGAGACACGATATATATGCGAAACTGCTGGTGCGTCGTTTCACAATGTAGGCGCAGTGTCTGCCGGAAGCAATGCGCGCACGCTCACAACGAGAAGCACCTGGGGTCGGTAAGGAAACAAAATCAGCCGGTTTACGGTGGATTATTTACTCGTGTACAACCTTGTGGATCGTTCGTTACGCAGCGGTTCTGTATTTTCTCACGCAACGAATGTTCGCGGTATCTGGAAGACTCCACATATTACCCTGCTGATCGAATGTGATCTGAATCCTGTCGTCCTACGATTCGCTTTCTGGTCGTGAATGCTCCGCGTTCTCGTGCATGCATGGTAGCGTAGCATATGAGTTTGATCTTTCTTCTGGGAAGCAGCTTCCATCGACAGATGCCATTCTGCCTGTCAATGAAAATGAAGCAGAACGGCTCTTTTGCCTGGACTTTATATAGCATGCCTCCTTGGTTCGTGGCGAGCTCCACCCGCGTAGAGGAGCATTTCCACTAGCGCCGTAGCTTGTACTCAGAAGCAAGGAGCGCCTGTGGAGAGCTATTTCTCGAGTTCCCAGGATCGCTTTTGGACGAAAACTCCGCCAATTCGGCCTACGGAGGCACGCGAAGCAGACCCTGTCCCATCTGATGAAACCGAGTTATCGGATCGTCCACTTCCGTCATGGATGGACTTTTCGAGCCAGGCGGCCGAGCCCCGGATTCGATTCAAGAGCAAAACTCTTATCTATGTTTAAAGATGCGGCGGAGCATGACTCGGTTTCACGGAGTATCACGCGTGCCCATTATCAGACTAGGGAACCCTGGATGATGGAACCAGTACGAACGCTCACTCTAGAGCGCTTTGGTAAAAGCGGCGATCAATTGACTTGCGCACACGGTGACCGTGGAACCACACAGAACCGCAGCAGGTGCGCGTTTGGTGCCGCTGAGCAGTCTACGTTCTCGGGTCCAACACCACGAGTCCCATGAACAAGAGTAGCCTCAACGGCGGGGTTGCTGTTCTCAATTCTTGTCACGCGTCTTCGCATGACTTGTCCTGAATCGATGCTTGGTATCTGTACAGATATCCTGTCTGTGCCAGAAAACACCAGTGCTCCGTCACCAAACGTCGGTGGCGCGCCTAAAGTCGCCACTTTGAGGTTCGCACCGTTCCCCACGGAGACGGCGTCAGGCACCGGCTTCCGACGCTGCAATCCAGCCAGACTCGCGATCTCGAAGGGAGGTTCGTCTTGCTTTCCGTGCTCGCCTGTGCAAAAGGTGCGGTGAGGACGAGATTCGAACTCGCGCGCTCAAAGAGCATGTACTTAGCAGGCACACCCGTTAACCATGGCGGTACTTCTGATACAGAAGTATCTCCGGCACCTCACCGTTAAGTCCTGGGGACCTGTGCGCAAAACCATATATATACACCCAGATCGCGCGCGATTGGCATCGGCATGATGCGCGTCGCCGGTGGTGATGCTAAGCGCTGCCGGCTTACGCATTCGAGCACTTTACATTAGCTTGATCGAAAATATGGTCGGCCCATTTCTGGTAGCCGACCTCATTTGGATGCACTCCATCAAGGTGCGAGAAAAGTGCCGTAGGCGCTTCTCCATTCGTCGACAAGGCGGGTATATAACGCACGCGATCTCCAAAACGAGCGGCAACGCGACGCTTCGCGCTGTCGTACTGCTCTGCCACGAATGCTAACATGGAACGAAGCGGCTCCATTTGGAATTTGGGGACGTGTTCGATCATGGAACCGTTCACAGCGGGAAGCAAAATGGAGCAATCTGGTGAGAGGCGGAGGGTTTTGCGCGCGGCCCCTATAAGCGCCGCGAGCCCCTCTTCAAAAGCTGACGGTGAGTACGAACGCCAGGCTCGCTTCCAATCGTTAACCCCACAAAGAATCACAACCATGTCTATCTTTCGCGCTGGCTCTGGTTCTTGATTGACTTCACGGGATGCGCGCGGCAGTACATGCTCAACCAGGTCCCGCACGGAAGCTCCGGTCATCCCAACAGCATGCCATTCCACCGGCGCAGATAGCGTACTCGCCAAGCGCTTCGCGAGCCTTCGTGCGAGCACCGGCCCCCCGTGAATGCAGTTTGTTCCGGGGTTCGACTGGCACGTGCAACCAACGCCAGTCACGAGGCTGTCACCCAGAAACACAACAACACGGGGCACACCCTGTTGGTGAACGCTCTCTAGGCCGTGGCTCGGACCTCGACACTCTGGTGGCGATCTATATGTCCAGGCAAGTGTTGCTGCCTGTCCTGCTCCAACTGCAGCGATTCCAGAGATTCCCACCACGAGCGCGCGACAAACACTAGAGAAACGGACAAAAACGCCACCTGCTACCGGCATTCACAGGGTAGAGGTCGCAGGTGCGCGACGGATGAGCTCTGAGAATAGAGCACCTCTCAGACAGGAGCCACACACTCTCGATATTTGGAGCCTGCTTTTACTGTTCCACTTCAAACTCCTCGCTATGTCGCCATTCCGGTTTCAAGGTAAACAGGTTTTATCGCTGTTGCTGTTGCTGCTGCTGCTGCTGCGTTGGTGGTGTACGCTACACCGATCCCCAGCATCGCATCGCATCCAGTTGCCCGTCGATTCGGACACAGCGCTTGATCCGCAGCGGAGCGCGCACGCCATGTGCGTCGCGCATCGGTGATGCAGCCGATCTTCTCTCAGTACATCCGGGAGAAAGTACCGGTCGTGTAATTTGAAGACAGCGTGCAGCGTGATGGTCGCTTTCCTGAATGCCAGGATCCATTGTACAAGATGGGATCCACTGTCCATGGAAGAGTTCTGTCAAACGAGAAAACCGGCAGTGTCTAGAACGCCCTGCGCATGCGCTCGGGATCAGCAGTGCGTGGCGGATTTGGCATGCCGGCGTGTGCGAACGCGCGATGGTGATCGCCTCTGTGCACGGGAGTCGGCAGACCTGACGCTCGTGTGGCTGCACATTCGGTGATGCCGAGGAGCGTGCTTGTCGGGCAAAAAGAACCTTAGACTAGGACGCGTAGCTGGTGATGTACAGGAGTGAGCCTGTTACAGCAGAAACGAAATCTCGGGGACTCGTGGCTTTTGGACGGCGCGGCGTGTGCTGCCGGCCGGGGCATTCCGCTCAAGTCAGGAGCACTCTGCCGCCGTTATACATTGCGGTATTGCAAGAATATATGATAGAGACGAGCCGGCTCCGAAATCATGGTCTCACCATACGCGAGAACGATCAAAAAGAATGCATACCCGAAAAAAGTCATCCATGCGTGCAACGCTGTATTCGCGAGTCTCTCAAGTGTGACGCATGAGTAGAACAGGTGATCGATGCTCGGCGCCGCGTGAACGGCGAAGCGGCGTCGAATGGCACAGGGTCACGAAACGTTGGCATCAACGTGACAGGCTGTCGTCCATGCGTGTGTCCATACGTGCGCGCATGCATGCGCGTCTGTCGATGCAGACACGTGCATTCGAAAGCGCCCATATTTCATTTTCGAGTGTTCTTGTGAAACTTTACCTGCAGGGTTCTTCACCTTCTTCATGTCTCGCATTTACCTACCAAGCATGGAAATGATAAGCCAGCACCTAGATGACGATCCACAACTCGAGGAGCCCAAGGACGCATTTCTCCTCACATGGCCAGATGCAAGCTCGAGTGCGAAACCGACGCCGAGTCTGCCGACAGGCGCTCGAGCTCCGAAAGCTGCACGTGATCGAGAAAACGCAGAGCATGCCATTGAGGCGCCATTACCGAAGAGAAACATGCCTGTCGAGTCCCACGGAGCATGCGAAAAGCACTGGCAACAACTGACTCTGCAAGTTGAGCGGCTCCAGGCGGATCTCAACTTACTCGAGGGAAACTTTCTGTGCCTCCATCAACAGCTGAGCGGTGTGCTGGAGCGGATGGATGAACTTGCCGCTGAGAGCCAGGCGAATCCAATATGTACCCCATGGGTACCAGACCCAGTTGGGAGCCTACACCCAACTGAATTCCATCTTACGCCGCTGCAAAGCAGCCCATCTGACAGCGGCTCTTCTGCGGATGTTGAATCCACGCTTGCTCCAGAGATGTCTGCGCACTGCAGACAACAAGATGCAGACAACTCGTTGAATTAGGGCAATCATCCAGCATGCAACCTTGTCCATGGAGCAAACAGGGATTCGAGTCGTCGGGAAGGACTTCATAGGATGCTATGGCGATAGTCCCACGGGAGCGCTTCCGATCGCATCTGTCAGTCTAAACATTTTCCGTAGCGGCATGAACGAGCCGACTCGTTCGCTAGAGTGCAAAACGCTCAAAGGCTAACACCGAAATCCCCGGACCGATAGCTTCGCGCACTGTTCGCTGTCGACTGCGAGAGCGTTCGTCGGCAGAGTCGGTAACAAGCACTTGGTCCAGGAGACAGCGCTCAGCGATGAACGCTTCGAACTTGACACTTCTGCGCTGGGGAGGCGAAGCGTTCGCGGCACCCAATTGCCGAGGAGCGCGGAACGCTTCATCTTCCGCAGGCATCAGGCTTTCGTAGACGGACGGCTCGATATCGGCCGCGGAAACGTACTGCGGATTCATTGCAGCGATATGCATTGCAACCTGTCGGCCGAGTGGCGACGGTGCCGAGCAAGCAACCAAAACACCAACGCGTGCGTGATTATGCAAATAGGAATATATTCGACCGTCCCGAAACGTGTCCGGTACTTGCAAACGGATGCCCCGGTGGACTGTGAGATTCTCGTCAGTCTTTGCGACCGCTTCTCGTAGCTCGTCGCGCAATGCCTCAAGCAGCTCCTGTACATTGGTTACCGCTCCGCGCAGGAGCAGCTCTAGTCCGCGCTGACTAACACGTTGGACGACAGGCAACTGGTGCACAAAGTCCGTCTCGGAACGGATCTCTACCATGGCACCGCACCGTTGATCAGGTGCGACCTCCAGTGCAATGAGCCCACTCCTCGTGCTGCGCTGCGCTTTCTTTCGCATCACGGTCTCTGCGTAGCTTGACAAAAGCCCCAGTGCTGCGTCCAGCTTGCCGTCACACCGTTCTAATGCCTTTTTACACTCCATAACCGGGGCACCCGTCAGGTCACGAAGCTGACGGATGGAGGCTGCATTCCAGTTCGGGCTGGAGCTTAACCAGCGCCTGCCAATGTGCAGGAGAAACTGCGACCTAACCATGTTTCAAAAGAAACACTCCCCGAATCAGCGCCGAACTAAGAAGCGTGCTCAAGTGTGCGTGATCGAGGTTCGAAACAAACCCGGAACGCCCGCTGCGGTACAGTTCCTCGTGCAACTGCGCGCGAAACGCTTCTCCCGGATGTGCGGGTTGCTTTGAACTGCGAACAACCGAGCGTAGGTTCCCGGCTTCGTTCCGGGCGATCTACGCGAACCGGTTTCCGTGACTCTACCGGGCACCTCTTTTCGAGACACGAAACAGCTATCACCGGAAATAAGCGTCGACCTTTTCTAGAAAAGGGCCGGCAGTGACCCGATCTTGCGGTGGAACGGGCTCGTGAGGCGAGCGCTCTAGCGCCGTGTTCAAGCCTTCTGTCGCTGGCGGACTTGAAGCTGCAGGCGCGCTTTGTGTGGGTTCTTTGCGCAGAGCACGTCAGCGTCAGGACGCGCTGTAGAGCTGTTTTCCATAGAAACAGTTCTAGAGTCAAACCGCAGCGTTGCCGCGGCGACAGCTCTGGGGTAACTGGGGGCACCGCGGTTCGTGCGCTCCCGTGACGTCTGGCGACTGCGTCCTATTTAGGGAAAAAGTACACGAATCAGAACAACCAAACGCCATGACAGGCACAAGGCCTTGTTCTGAAGAAAACGGCGCAGTCTCCAACGCTTCCTCCGAGACATACGCGAACCTTGATGGGCCATGGGGCTTTGCGATGCCATCGGGGACCCTCGAACAGGCTAACTACATGCAACAGTACAGCCAGCTGTACTTTTGTCGTCTGGCAGAAATGCGCAACTTTTACAGCACCTATACAGATATCACGCGAGTTGCGATCTCGCAGCTGAACCCCGTTCAGACGCAATGGGTTGTGGGCATCATTTTCAAGCAGATGCCCTTGAAACCCTCGATCCTCAAGAGCTATGCCGACGACATCATGCTCACCGTCCCTGAACTGCGTCTCCTGAACTACACATCTGGTGATGATCGCGTATACGTTGAGGACGAGACTGGTCGTATCGAGTGCGTGTTCCACCCCGAAGACCGCAAACATGATGTCGTCACGGGAATGGTCATTGCGCTGCAAGGGCTGGTAGGCGCGGACGGGCTCTTTCGCGTGAACGAGATCCGACTGCCGATGCATCCCGCACCGATACCACTGCCTTGTTCGGGACAATCCGCAAAACAGTATATCTGCTTCCTGTCTGGGGTTGATGTTCGCACGCCGGCGGCACAGCTCTTCCTCGACTACGTTACAGGCTGCCTTGGCGCCGATACCGTCCAACTCGGGGCATGCATGCGAGTGATCGTCGCTGGAAACCTTCGAGGCGAACGATCCTTACTCGACCTTTTCCTGAAGACGCTTGCCGAGCACGTGCCCGTGGACCTTATGCCCGGCGAGGAGGACCCCGTGCATGCGGCCTTCCCGCAACAGCCATGGCATCGACTCCTGCTTCCCCAGAGCGCCTCGCAGGACGATGCACAGAATCGACTCGTTCGCTGCAGTAATCCGCATGCATTTCAAATCAATGGTTGTCTCTTCCTGGGAACATCCGGACAGAATGTGAAGAATTTCTGCCGCTTCTCGCGAGTTCGCAACGAACTCGAGGCGCTCCAACGACTTCTCGAATGTGGACATCTCGCACCGACTTGTCCGGATACCATGGCCTGCGTCCCGCGAGGCGACCACGACCCCCTCGTTATCCGCGAGGTTCCGCACGTGCTTTTCACTGGCAACGCGGATACCTTCAGGTACCAACAGCGTGTGTTCGGGGCAGCTCGAAACGCAGGGACGGCAGCGCCTGTGACGTTGCTGACGGTTCCACGTTTTGATGCGACCGGCACTGCAGTGCTGCTCGCACTGCCTGAATTAACGCCGACGACTTTACAGTTTTAAATACCCTGTACATGGTTGCCGAATCGAACGGCTTGTACCTAGGTCTTGATCTGAGCACGCAATCGCTTGATGCGGTGGTTATCGACCTCGATGACGCCCTGGAAAGCGCCTTCGAAGCGAGTGTGAACTTTGAGACAGACCTACCACACTACGGCACGAAGAGCGGGTTTATCTACGACCCGGAGAGCAAGCGTGCGGTGGCACCGACGCTCATGTTTGCCGAGGCGCTCGAACTTGTGCTCGAAAGACTACGGAGTGCTAAGTGCCCGTTCGAACGCATTAGAGCAGTTTCGGTGTCTGCGCAGCAGCACGGCTCTGTGTATTGGCAGAGGCCTCCGCACCTGCCGGATACCGAGAAAGACAGCCAGAAGTCGCTGGTCGCCTGTCTGCAAGAGCCAACGACTGCCTTTGCGGTGCCGTTCAGCCCTATATGGGCGGACGCCTCGACAACTGCAGCTTGTAGAGCGATTGAGGCTGCGTATCCTGGTGGAGCGAGGCAACTCGCCCGCGACACCGGTTCCCGTGCCTATGAGCGATACACTGCCGCGCAGGTGGTGAACCTCGCGCTCCATCAACCAGCGGCATATCGGCAGACGCAGCGGATTCAAGTTATATCGGCGGGTATGGTATCGATATTGTGCGGCAACTGGTGTGCCGAGGATGTCGCTGATGCGAGCGGAACGCTGTGGCTGCAGCTAGGTGCGCTGCGGCCGCGCTGGGCTCCCAAAGCGCTCGCTGCAACCGAGCAGGCTGCGGGACTCGAGTCCGGCACCTTGCATGGAAAGTTAGCAGAATCACCAGTGCTCTCGTTCACAGCCGCTGGACCAATCGCTCCGTACTTCTGTCATCGTTTCGGTTTCCGCCCCGAGTGCTTGGTCGTGACTGGAACTGGTGACAATCCCTCATCGGCAGCAGGCCTGGCTATGCGACTGGGTGATGTGTGTATATCGCTGGGTACTTCGGATACGGCTTTCGGGCGCACGAGCTCATGCGAACCCCAGTTGTTTGGTCACGTTTTTCGCAGCTCACTTGATCCGCTCGCGTACATGCCGATTCTCGTGTTCTCGAACGGTTCGCTCACCCGTGAGCGCATTCGGGGCCCAGATCGCTCCTGGGAGGACTTTGACGCCTCGCTGGAACGCACACCGGCGGGAAACCAGGGCCTCCTAGCACTGCTTACATTTGTGGATGAGATTCTTCCTCGCTTACCTGCCGGTCTGATGTACTTTGCCCAGATCGAAACGGAATCGACCAGCTCGGCACTCGCGGAGCTGAAACTGGCCCTGCTTCGCCCCGAGGACGTTGCATCACACGATGCCGTTGTTCGTGCTGTGGTAGAGCAGCGAGCGCTTGCAATCCGCTACTATGGAGAGCGCATCGGGTTACCTTTCCCACCGCAACGTGTTCTGCTCACAGGTGGTGCTTCTCAGTCGCGGGGCATCCGAAAAGTGATTGCGGATGTGCTGGGTGCCCCTGTTTATGTTTTGGAACGTGGCAAAGCATCCTTGGATGCGCACGTGACCCCATGGAACACGGCTGCTCGCGGGGCTGCCCTGCGTGCCGCTTATGTGCAACGCGGTGAACAACAGGAGTTTGCTGACTGGGCTTCAAGCATTCATGCAGTGCGGTATCGCCGGGTTGCGGAGCCCAATCCCGATGCGTTCCAACTCTACACGAGTGTTATGTTGCCTGCATATGCTCGGTTTGAGGCACTGGTGGATGCGCAGTCTCGAACTGGGCCAGTTTCCTCCGCGTGAACAGTGTTGTGATTCAGGTGGAGGGCGACGAGCTCGGCTGCGACGGCGTCAGTTCGGGATACTGCACAACACCGCAGACTTAGTGAAGGGAAGAGATTGCGAGTTTACCTCGGCGATGACTCTCGTCCTGTGCGAGTTTGTCTCCGAGTTCCGGCGGACACGCTGTGTTCCAACTTTTGTTCAGAGCGCAGCGTTTCCGCGCTCGTTAGAAACTAGGTGCTGAATACCTTGTCTTATGCAAAGCGCGTGCAGAGATTCGGAGACCAGCACCGAGCTATGGAAAGTCTCACTTGCGTGCATGCGGGCGGGCATTCGAGCGGCAACGTCAGCCGAGCGCTACTTCAACCGAGCGCTTCCAGAAAACCTGGAATCCGTGCGACCATACAGTCTTATGTGACCCTGTTTCAGATAGCGCTTTTTCGCTCAGACGAGAACGTGGATCAGCTGACTGCGTCCCGTTGCAATAAAGCGTTGAACACGAATAATGACGTCACGAGTTAACTAGCCAGCCAGCCAGTCAGTCAGTCAGCCAGTCAGCCAGCCAGCCAGCCAGCCAGCCAGCCAGCCAGCCAGCCAGCCAGCCAACTGGACCAGTGCCGCAGCCATCTCCTGCTTCGAAAAGGCTATGCCTTTTTGACTGTTGACTCGCGCGCGAGTGCAGCGCTTCCCCGCGGATCCAGCAGAACGACATCATTGACGGTGACCGCGTGGCTGAGCACCGGGCTTCCATGCATAGCTTCCGCGTCCGTGGAAACGGGTGCCCCAGAGGCTCCACCGGCGCCGCCAAAGCGCATTGCAGCTGCTCGCCACAGACTCTGATAGAGATTTGCATAGGCCGCTCTTTCACTCTGAGTTGAGAAGAAACAAATCGTAGCTGAAGCCATCGTCCAAGTGAAATAGCGCCATAAGCTGGCTTCTTCGGACGGTGTGCAGAGCGCCCTGTCCCAGGAAATGGCGTAAAAGTCGTAGGCCAGCCACGTGGATGCTACCAATCGCAAAAAACTGATCATCACATAATGCTTCAAGCTCGAATCAGGGCGTGGCGAGTGCATATAACTAGCCGCGCTTATCAGCACGGACTCACGGAGCAAAAGGCGAATGCACTGTGTGATCCACAACAACGAATACGTCGCCGCAATCATGCATTGAACGAACCCGAAGCGCAAAACGCTCGCCAATCTCGCGATGTGCTGCGTATCACCACGAAGCAGCAACTGCGACAGAAACAGAACGAATCCAAGCAAACCAAACACCAGGTTTCCCATCGCTTCCACCGCACTGGTCGTTGCCTGCTGCGCATATCGGGTGACGATTGCTCCAGCGAGGCTCACGGTCAGAAGCAACGCCAGGAACTGCAGGACGCCAACCATCAGTTGCGAAGTGAGCTGCCACCAGCTCGCGTCCCGGTTCAACCCTCGCCCGTGCAACATCGGAGGGTCCGCGGGCGCAGGCAACTGTGCGCCCAGGTGCGCGTCTCGTGTGTCGGAGGCGGTCGCTTCTAGCGCGCTGTTGATTGCAGTCGACCCGCCGTGGCCCGAAAACTCGTTACGACAATGCTGTAAAAGTGACTCGAGCGCACGCTTCTCTTCGGCGCATTCCTGTCGGGCGACGTTGACTGCCGCCTTGCAGGATGCATCGTTCTCTGTTACCCGCCATTGATCACGGGGACCGGCCGCAGCGAAAAGCGCTTGGCGCAGATCACCTGCTTGCTTTAGCAAGCTATCTCTTTCGCGGGCTACGCGACCCAGTTGGTCTTGTAGCATCAACTCTCGGTCGCGGAGCGCCTTATACTCGAATCGAAGTTCCGAAACGTTCGCAACATCGGGGTCGAAAAAAAGATTCTTGATCACAATCGATCCAACGCGGGTGTCCTTTACCAGGGAAATGATAGGCCTCTCTGGACGCTCTGTGAGGAACGCGTGCCAGTCGCCGAAACCGTAGTCCAACTCGTGTCGTCGCTCAAGCTCCGCACGTTGCTGCTCGGGCGGAAGTTTCGCCTTCTGCAAGCGAGACAGCGCTCCACGTTGTCCTTGTTCCAAGCGAGCTGAGACTGTTTCAGCCTCACTCGCTATGCCGAAAACCGTCTTGGGTAGCGTGTCGGAGCCAGTGGCACCGCGTTCACCGACGCTCGCTGGTGAGCTCCCAGTTGCTGGCAGCAACACCACAAGCAAAAGCAACAATAGGAAAGAGGTCAACGTCAAGCAGTGCCAAGATGCGGGTGTGAAAATATGTCGCGTGCGCCCAGGCTGCACCATTGGTGGGAGGCAAGACCCCGAGAACCCGCTCCTGCTGAAGAGAATGAGCTCAACAATCCAAAATCGAGTTGCGCGAAGAATTCGGCTCACGACGTCGATGATAGGCGAACAAATGGGGGCGTTGGCGGCGGCGTACCGTCCGTCCAAACGGTCGGTGGCAACGGATGGGCAGTGTCCAGTTTGGGCATCGACGATCTGTCAATATTGTCTAGTTGTGGGGCTATCGCACTTGGCAGCGCATGCAGATCGCAGCGCGCGCTCAGCGGCAACACGTTTTCCTGTTCAGTTGCAGGGACGTGTTCGAAGCGCTGGTGGCGTTTTGCAGTTTAACGGCGAGAATGTTCTGCAGCTATTGTAGAATTCAGTGGAACAGATCTATGTTGCTAACGTTTGCGTACATCATCATGTTTGAGTTTCTTCTTATTGGTATTGTCATCGCCGTTTGAGGGATATGTCTGTAACTGTTTTTTTTTTCTGGAATGAGCTGTGATCTCCAGCTTTACAGAAGCAGGTCGTTCGTTTCCCTTCAGCTCTGCTATGCGCAGTCCACGGGTGCCGATGGTAGCGATAATGTCCCGGCATTGTGGCATGCGGTTGTTGTCGACGCATTAGATGCACAGGCGTAAGTTGCGACCTATGCTCTGCCTGCTATTTTCATCTTATTTGTATGCATCCTCGGTGCCGTCGTCTCAACACTGACACCTGACAGCGGTCAGGTACTCTCAAGCACCTATGGATCTGCGCCCTCCGAACGCTGCACTATGGTGCGTGAACGCCTCCTTTATCGCTCGATGCACGCCCTTGACGGGTACAGAAAGCTCTGCATCGATGCCGTCCTCGGTTTCCGCGCCCGATGCAGTACCGTATGCTACCAGGCTTGTTCTGCTCGATACGCTCGGAGAGTACTCCGTATGTTGCACGTGCAAGCGCGCGCTGTTCCATTCCATGGAGGATCTGTGGAAGGCGACAAATCTATGACGAAATAAAGCATCAGAAGAAAAATCGAGGCTGGAGTCTATGTCGAGAAATCGCGATCCGTGTACATGCCGCACTCGTAAAGCGATACCGCACTCTCCGCTGGATGCGGTCCGCGCGATGACTCATGCCAAAGTCCAAGAATCGTTTCGATGCGAACCGAAAGGACGAGAGCCCGCAGTACCTTATATTATGAGAAGGATCGCGGTACTGTGGAATCCAGTCTTGTCGATGTTCACAAAGATAGGGAAATCTGTCTTCGGAATGAAATCTATTATTTGACGCGACAAGTCCTGGGAACTCTCAGCATGAGCTTGTGAACAAGTCTTCGAAAGACAACGCGGTGCACGATCACTCGTCAATCCAGCTGTGCGCATTGCTGTGCGCTCCAGTTGCCTTGAACTACAAAGATCTTAATCTTGAAGAATCTCTGATTTGGGCATGATACATGTACGGAAGGCAGAATAGTCGAGGCCTGCACACATCTATGTCAGTGAAACAAGAACGCTTTACGAGCATGGAGGGAAAATATATATTCACTCACAGAGGCCTTCGAATCTTCTTCAACCGGCGGCCTGCTTTCTGTTTCAGCTTCTCCTGACTCACTTCGAGCTTCAGAGGCTGCCCCATAAGATTGGATCGCGTAAGCTCATCGGGTCTCGTCTCCAGCACCGCATATCATCTGAGCCTGATGGCGGCGTTGAAGTCACAATTCATGAACTCCATGCGTCCGCTGCAGCCGGTTGAACGCCTCAATGCATGGATTGATAGAACACGTGCCCTCTGCGTCACCATAGTCCCGCCACCTGCTTCTTCTACTGCTTCGTCAGCTGCTCTTCCTCGCATGATCGTCCGTGAGAAGAGCATGTTTTTGTTTATCTTCCAGAAGCTGGCGGTGATGGACCTCCAGGATTCCCAACTTTCACGTCCGTACCTTTCCCTTAGATATTGTACTCTGAAAATAAACGCAGTTTGAATGCGTCTGCTATAAACGGAGAAAAAGCATTTGATGACATGCACTTGACTGTGGAACGCAATGGAGGTGAAAGGCTCTAAAAACGGTTCGTGAAAAATCGCAATGGCACCAACGGAGCGCTCGATCCTGTGTCCCAAAGTAACTTGATACGGTGCAGAACTGATGACGCGCCTTTATGGCGGAAAACTGGGACTTGAGCTTTGTTTCCAGAGCTACCTCGGCAGTGGCTTTGCCTTGCCTAGCACTTTCGAAAAGAGGCCAGTGCAGTGCTGTGGTCAACCTGGAAAGACGACTCGGAAGCTGCTCCAGTCTCGTGTACGACGAACTAGGACGACTCAGGCTCGCCGCGGACCACACGGACAGTGGCCCGACAATCGACTAGCAGAGTTTGCGACCAAGTCAGGTAAGCAGCGCCCCATCTTTGTTCCAGTCGCTTCAGCTGTGCCGCCAGCACCGGAATACGCCGTCCCGGGCACGGTCTATCTCGTGGGGGCCGGCCCCGGCGCCTACGAGCTGCTCACGCTACGGGCGTGCAGCCTGCTACGCACAGCCGACGTGGTTCTATACGATGATCTCGCCCAGGGCTTGATAAGCGAAGAACTTTGGAATCGCTTGAATCGTAACAATCCGCCATCGCTAACGCTTTGTGTCGGCAAGCAAAGGTACAAGCAGCGCGAAATCAATGAGTTGATGGTGCATCAAGCCAAGAACCTGAACCGAAGTGTGCTACGCCTGAAGTGCGGTGATCCCAGTCTCTTTGGCCGTTTGCACGAGGAAGTCGCCGCATTACGCGAGTCCCAGATCCCTTACGTGGTGGTTCCCGGTGTGTCGTCGTGTACGGCGGCACCGATCGCAGCGGGGATTTTTCTCACGGAACGGCAACACGGACGCAGTGTGTTGTTGCTCAGCGGCCATGACGCTTCAGAGATTCCATATGAAGCAGCCGCTTGCGCTGCGGACACGCTTGTGCTCCTCATGGTCGGCAGGAATTTAAGTGCTGTGGCTGCAAGGCTCCTCGACCAGCTGTCGCCCAATGTGCCCGTGGCGCTCTGTAGCACAGTCGATGGCCTTCAGTGGAGAGGCACGCTTCAGGCGGCGGCCACTGGCGAGGCTACACAATTTCTTGTAGATGCAAAAACAGGAGAACTAAGGACAACAGTCGCAGTCATCGGAGCAGTTGTTCAGGACATCACTAGTCCCGGCCAAATCGCGGGCGTGTTTCAGACATGAGGCTGTCGTCGGGCATTGCATCTGCAGAAGAGGGCTCCAACGGGTGAATTTACCATTTTGCGAACCGATTGGTGGCAAATGCCGCATTCTGCAACCAAAGGAGTGGCTCCGGAGCTTTCGCAAGAGAATATGCCATATAGCGTACCGATTCTTGGGGAATTGTGCGCCCGGCAACACAAAGCGTTACCGGGACGCGGATCAAGCATATCCCGGGACCGGAGCTGCCCAATAGTTGGGAGCATCATTATAGGCTTCTGCGAGAATAGTGGTTGCTCGTCAAATTTGGGGAATATGGGAACGGGGTGGTGCAGACACTGGTTCAGGTACCTGTCGAGTTCGCGAATCGTGCCTCTCTGAGGCGCGTTCATTGCCAAGCCGGGAATACTCGTTTTCAAGGACGAAACATCGAGTTTATCTGTAGCAATTGCAAAGCATTCAAACCTGTTCGGATGATTGTAACGCTGCCGCGCATGCGCCTGTTGGCTGTAGGTCGCCACTTGCAGTATCTGCGCAGAAAATAGAGCCCAAACACGAGATGCACTCGGAGCATGCGGGTGTGCTCGTAATCCGAGTCGTCCTATTGAACGAGCGCAGTGTGTGATTGCAAGTCGCCACTCTGAGGACTGAGCTGCCCTCGGGCGGGATGGATTGAACGACGCCAAGTTTCGCTCGTTGAAGTCCTTGTTGTTTTGACGCATTAGATTCTTCTGCGTGGTGCGAGCGCTGTTCTTGCAAAATACCGAGAATGCGAACCAGTGCTCGCCAGGCGCTTGCGTCTCGCTGCGGACCCCTGACGGAGACGATCTCGATGTGTAAAGTGAATGCTTGCAGCATAGACAGCTCTAGACGCGAGTATGGAGAAATAAGCGACAAGACCTACAAACCTACTTGAACCCAAAGCGATCGTTCATCGATCAACCGATCATTCAGTGTGACGGGGGTATCTATACGGCATGCGTTACTGATTTCTTCGACCCCGAGGTGCTGCCTGCTCAAAAGCCAACGAAACATCTGATCTTATGGGTAATGACGTGCACGCTTTTTTCGGGAAATATACTTCTTTATGTATGTGAGCGCATTCAAACTGGAGGCACGCCACAGGAAAAGCGATGTCGCAGAGAGTGCGCCAGCGCACAAAAGTGTCCACGAAAAGTGCACGCTGCGCGATGTTCTCATGGTGCACGATCCATGATTCCAGACCGGACTCACCCAGAGTGGCAACCTCGCCGAAATATCAGGCTAGGCTCCACTGTTTCTACCCGGATGCTTCTACATCCGTCCAGCGCCAGGCCGGTATCTGATCAGAATCAGGTCATGGGGAGGACAGCAACGTGTGCATTGCGTTGGGGGCAAGCATTCACGGTAGCCTGCAGCAATAGGGGATGCTGCAGGATGCATACATCCAAAACAACTCCTCCTCATAGGCGAATGCCGTCCCCAACTAGGAGACAACTCCCAGATCGTTCAACGACTCTTTCGCGTTCAAGCAAACCCCGCGCTGTTCTCCACTACGAAACAATGGCTTGATCGAGCCAGCGACCTGCTGTGAGCGGGAATCGGTGCGGACTCCCAAGGTGGCACCCAATACGTCATAGCGCAAGTCGTCGGGCGAAAGGACGGCGTTGCCAGCTTCCCCAACGCGTCAACTCGAAGCTATGCGCGATTCTGCATGCACTGACTGCAGAGATCCGTCGCTTTCTCGGAGCCTCGACCAGGAGGAAAATGCTTCTCCGAGCTCGATGGTATACCGGAGAATACGGACGAAGGTCTGGGAACTTGTCGTGAGCAATGCCGAGAAAACAGCAAAGGTTCTCTCGTTGCTCCCACTGTCTTGCCGCTTTTGACGGAGCAGCGACATCCTTATCTGGATACAAACCCCCGAGCAGTCACCACACGCGTTGCTGCGGGCTTCTGTTTTGAGCCAATCCTATGAGAGGAAATCACCTCGCTCCCATGACCAGCACCTCCGTTGGGTACTGCACACGGCATGTGATGTGTTGCTGTATGGCGTTCGCGCCTGCCCTAGCCAGGCTGCCTCTTCACCAGAAGGGACAAAAGTGTACCACACAATGTTCGGGCCATCGAACCGCATACCGTTCCATTCTTTTGCTTTTTTTCTGATCGTGAGTTCGTATGAGCGTTTAGAGGAACCGTGGGATCCCCAAAAGCGCAATGATTATCGGCATCCGGGAAAGTGTTCACCATGCAGCCTCATTCGCTTCAGAGTCATGAGCCATCACCATCCATTTTGCCGTTCTGGATCATGGTTCGTTCATATGATCCTCCGGGTACCGAGTGCCTTCCGTGTGCGTCCACGACGACGCCTGTAGCGGATATGCGCGGACTAGGCACATGGAGAAGGCCCAGCTTTTTCAGGCGGCCGCATCGATGAGGCAGGTGCGCCCAGCAGCCGATCGCTGTGGCAACGCGTCTCCTCAGGAAATTCAAATCGAGACGCAGTCGACGGGTGCGGACTTCGACACCCGCCGCCTGCAGACCGCGTCGGTTGCGATGCGTTCGCAGCGGCAGAGCGTTCGCTGCTGCCTCCAGGACGTGTGTTCATAAACTCGGGTCGAGGAAACTTGCAGTTGGGGCGCCCTGGGGTGGAAAACAGTTGTTTTGAAAAGTTTATAACCGTGGGTGTAAGTGCCGGCAGGGTCATCACTGACAGGTCTCGCAGGGGGCTTTGCAGCCGTTCCCAGTTCCGAGTAAGCCCGTTAGCAGGGACGCATCTGGTGCCTGCGGTGCGGTAGCGCTAGCGAAAACCCAGACAAGCAGGCATCTGTGCGCATTGATCATCTCTGTATGATGTCCCCTGTTTACTTGGGGTTTTTTGCCGCGTTCCCTGCGGTAACGATGCTGATAGACCTTTCAGTGCTGCTGCCCGGGCAGTGGCCGCCGCACGCGCTCGGTGCGCTGCGCAGCACACTCCACTGGTGGACGAGCACCCACGACCCGCTCATGGGCCAAGCCCCTGTGTGGTTCAAAGCTATGACACTTGTAGAGGTTGCGATCATTCCTGGCTACAGTGCGCTCGCACTACGGTCCCTGGTCCGCAACTCATACCCGCCGTGGATGGTGCCGCTCACATTTATCTTTTCGACAGTTTGCGTCTACTCTGTGTTGCTCCTGGCCGCCGAAAATATCTATGGCCTGAAGCGGAACCTTCTGGACAAGGACGGGACGCCATGGTTGCTCGCGTATGCACCATTTGTGCTCATCCCGATGCTGTGGAGCAGGCACGTGCTGCAAGCAGTGGCGAATCACGGCAGGGCTGCGCCACCGGCCAAGGTACTCGCAGATCTTTCGAAGCGTCGCACGAACCGATCGACTGCTGGGCGAAAGGTGGAAGCGAATACACACACTGTAGCAAGGGAGCGCAGGAAAAAATCTCCCGCGTCTCTCACAAGCTCAACGAACACTGAGTCGAGCCATCGAGTAACACCCACTGTACAAGAGGCTCGCTTGCTTGTCGGCGAGGCCGACATGCGGACTCCCATAACGACCCGCAGTGGAGCACAGGCCCGCAGAGCTCGTCGGAAAACGGCTGACGTTCCCGATACACACCAAGGAGCCTGAATGCACCAGGCCATCGTAAGACGAACAGGACGCGTCGAGCACTGCGCAGTATAGGCGTTGCGTCGTGGATGGAGCATGCTGCACGTTTGATCTTTTGTTCGCTACCAGACCATCGCAGGGCAGGTTCCAGAACGCACCACGATACACGCGAGCTGTATGAATGGGTTCCGAAGCCACGCACTGCTTTTTTTGGGAAATCTGGACCCCGAGAGAGCACTTTCGGTGCAGTGCTGCAGTACGACGTCTAGATTTGGAGTCTGCTGAAAGCTCAGCGCATCTAGCACAGGCACTTGTAAACTTTTCAAAGAAGTTTCATTTGCAAACATAAAGGCTGGCTTGCTCGACGGCATGAACTCTGGGCAAGGAGCTTCTGTGGATGAATGTGCCGTGTTCGGTCCTCAAAGTTGCTGATAGGGCAAAGTGCCGCAAACTTGCTTCCCTACCTTAATGAAAACGTGAAACTGCATCAAAATTACGGAGGGAAACGTCCACTCGCATGGCCCTCCGCGCTGCCGCGTGAAGCTCATGGTGTCCGTGCGATCGATTCTCGGGGCTCGAAATTCATTTCAGACCAAAACGGATCTGGTACCCGTAACAAATACGAGTCTAAGCACTAAAGTTTGGATCGCTTTCCACTGTAACCAACACCAACCGTCGCGAAATTTATCTGTGACTGTTTACTTTTCCTCTCTCGGATCACAGTCCTTGAATAAGTTGGTTACTCCATTTTGCTCCAAGCTCCTTTGCTAGCAAGCGAAGCATGGTGATGTCAGCGTAAAAGTCTCGATTTCATTGCGTCCGGTTGATGTCGACGCATTTGATGCGCAGGCAAATATCGCGGTCAACGCATCGCTTGCGATTTCCATCTTCTTTGTCTACAGCGAACGTGCTCCCTTCCGACCGGTGACATATGGTTGTGGTCAGGTGATCGGATGTTTCCAGGAAACCGCGTCCTCCGAGGGCTGTTCTGTTGCTCTTCATAGCCTGCATCATCGCTCAGTACAAGCTCTTGACGAGTACAGAAGGCTCTCCCCGATGCCATGCACTGTTTCCGCGCCCGGTGCCATACCCTAGAATCACGAGCTTCTTCTCTGAAATGCTGTTTGCGCGTACCCTCATTGCTGGACAAGCAGGCGGAAGCTGTTCCATTAGATACAGGATTTGTGGGACGCAATCTTGCTTATGAAGAAAATGTGCTGGAAAGAAGACTCAGGGTGCAGAACAAGTCGAGAAATTTCATATCGTAAACTCTATTTTCATGCAAAGCGTCAACACATGCTCCTCTGGAAGCGATCGACGCGATAACAGAATTCCGTATCCAAGACTGGTCTGCATGCAAACACAAGTGACGGGAGCCTCTGGGAGCATATCTCTCGGGAAAAATATCTTGCTGCTTTTCAATGCCGTTTCGTGGATGGCCGCAGATAAAGGAGGATTTGTCTGCGAAACGGGATCCATCATTTGACGTTACAGGTTCAGCAGAATTCCGGCATGAGCTTGTGAACAAGTCGTCGAGGTACGACAACGCGTTTTTCCATCGTCAATCGAGCGGTGCGAAACACTGCGCCTACGAATTGTCCTGAATCAGTAACATCCATAATTTGAAGTCAGCGTCCTCTTAGGATGCGCTACATAAAGAACGGAGAATAGTTGAGGCTTGCACGCATGAATGAAATTACGATATCGGGTAGGTTACGATTGTATATGCGATGGCATCGCCAGTTACCCTGAATCCGGTGAGGTAACGAAACCTGCCTGCAAAGCGTCGAACGTATCACTCCATAAATATGACCTAGAATCCTGTAATGAAACAAGCATCCAGAAGCTTTCTTTGTTAGTTTCCGAATTTCCGAGCCGTCCAGTTACTAAATATTTGGAAAGTCTCGATAAGCACGAGTGGAGCGGACAGTTCAGTGTTCCACTTGAATCTGACCCACATGCAGCAACAATGTCGGATGCCGAACGCACACAAAATCGCATGGAGTGTTGCCCCCATGAAGCAGCGCCTTCCAGCATCGCCACGAACTGCAACCTAGAAATACTAGCGCTTTGGCGATGCCTGCGTTTGGCCAGCCCTGTCACGAGTTGTCAAGTGCTGGACCTGATGCTTTCGACGTCCAGGTCGCCGCCTCGGAGCCGTGTGTGTCGAGCTTGGAGTGCCCGTGAGAGTCTCGACATTGCAGTGCGAGTCGCACAGTATTTGCCGACGCCCTATACGACTTAACTGTCCGAGCCACAATATCTCAGATGGACTGCAGCGGCTCGGGCAGGCGTCTCTGTTCTCCATGCATAGGTGAAGAAAGGCGGCATCGGCAGCGTCCGCAACGCTGACGAGGCATGGCGTCGGCGACATTTCCCACTCTCTGCCTGCTTATGCAATGACTGAAGTCTTTCACCTGTTCATGAACTCGTGCGACCCTGAGCCGATATCAGTTTTTATTCGATATTCTGATCAGGCTTGAACGTAAATGCTGCAATCAATGAGTTTGGAAGCAAGGGTTCTTGAGACGCGGAAGAAGGGCGCGTCCAAACACGAGGTGTCCGTAGCTCGCGGGCGAAGCAACGCTGCTGCCGAAGCGACGCTGCAAACTGCACAGCATCCGTCACAACATGCCGTCCTGGCATACCAGTGCTTCGTGGCCCCGATGTCACCGCTGCGTCTGCAAAGAAACTCGGAGAATAGGACGCGGCGACTTTGCTCTGTAAGAACGAAGCGACGCTTCGGAAACACAGCGCAAAAGACACAGCGCCTCGAGATTCGTTCGACGGTGCCCAAGTCAGAGCAACCTGCTGTTCAATACAAAATAGTGGACGCTCTCATCGAGTCCAAAGTCGCAGAGCTTTATCCGCACTTTGCACAAGTTGATCGCCGAACCGCCTACCATCTAGGACGGATACTGCAGACATTCCGTGCACATCGCCTTGGTACACACCATTTTGCGAGCATCAACGGATACGGACACGGCGACATAGGTCGAGACACTCTGGATGCCATCTATGCGGACCTCTTCGGTACAGAGGCGGCACTGGTGCGCGCACAGTTCTTCTCCGGGACGCATGCAATAGCCTCGTGTCTGTTCGGGGTCCTGCGCCCCGGAGATGAGATGCTTTCGATAAGCGGGAAACCCTACGATACCCTCGAAGAGGTCGTTGGCCTGCGACCCAGTGCCAATGGGGCTGGAGGCTCCCTTCGCGATTTCGGAATCGAATACCGAGAGCTGGAGCTCAGTGCATCCCACGGGAACATCCTCGATTGGGATGCGCTCGCCCAAGGAACCTGCTTCTCACCGAAAACCCGCCTGTGCTTGATCCAACGCTCCCGCGGATACGCCTGGCGACCGTCGATTTCCGTCAAGGATATCGTTCGTGCTGCTCGAATCATCAAGAGCCACCGGCCAGACATGATTGTTTTCGTCGATAATTGCTATGGCGAGTTTGTTGAGGAGTTCGAACCTACGAATCTTAGCGACGACATTGACCTTATGGCAGGATCGCTGATCAAGAACCCTGGCGGGACCCTTGCGCTCGGCGGCGGTTACGTAGTGGGGCGTGCAGCGCTGGTCGCTGCCGCAGCTAACCGCCTCGCAGCACCGGGCGTCCACGGGGGCGCCACCTACAACCTTAATCGAGTCAACTATCAGGGCTTATTTTTGGCGCCTCAGATGGTAGGAGAGGCGCTCAAAGGGGCAATGTTAGTCGCTACTACGCTTCTTGAGCTCGGGTTTGAGGTATCGCCCATGCCGCCTCAATTCGGAGGAGAAGCAGCCCATCGCACAGATATCATTCAGGCCGTTCGACTCGGCGCGCCCGAGCTGATTGTTGCCTTTGCTCGAGCGGTGCAGAAATGGTCCGCTGTAAGTGCATATGTCCAGCCTACAGCCGGTGCGACACCAGGTTATGAAGATCAGGTGATTTTCGCCGACGGCACCTTTATGGAAGGAAGTACGTTGGAGCTTAGCGCAGATGGGCCACTTCGTGAACCCTATGTTGTGTACGCACAAGGTGGCACGCACTGGACGCATTGGATTCATGTCTTGCGTGAGTTCGGCGCAGTACTAGATCAACAGCGCCACGTAAAACTAGGGTAATGATCCACGGAACAGCATTCGCCAATGCATGATGAATCCCGAGCAACGCTGTGGCGTCCTGCGCGTCGAATTTACAATTTGCTGCTACATACTGGCGTTAAAACACCCTGGTTCAGGCATGATGATACGGGTTGCGCAGAGCCGCGATAACGCTGCGTGCAGCACCGAAAGTTGCAATCTCTGATTGAGGGCAAGCGAGGCGTCATCATCGACGACTGGGGCAGCGCTTGTGCGGGACCTCGAGATTCGCTTCAAGGCTTACATGCGCAGTGGGTTCCGGTGAAAGCGGCACCAAATCATGGAAGCTGCGCACTTGAAAAATTCACCTCATGGATGCAACTGAACCCTGCAGATGCCCAGGCGTTGCACTGAGCAACCTGGGAGTCATTTCGCTCGGCTCCGCTGCATAACCGCGTGCATCATCACGGTGGCGCAGAGTCGAGTCCAGTGCCAAAACCCTCGCCAACAGAACTTGTCCGTCGTGTTTTTTTTCACTGCGCACGCCCATGCCAACTAGCCGAGCAACGTCTACTGATCGAAAGACGAGCTACTTTCCAATAGCTCGTATGGGTTCACGTAGGAGTCAGTTCCGTAAATTGGTGGTTTATGCTGAACACTGTGACCCCCGCCATGAACCGCACCCGCCCCGTATATGAAAACGAACAGAACTCCCGACAAAATCGAGAGGAAGAAAATGGACCCCACAACGAACAGCGCCTGCGAGCGCTCTTGCTGCGCCCTCACGTAGGTACGAACAGTCCGACCACCGCGTTCACGTCGCAACGGTGCCTCCAGAGCACTGTCCTTGGTCGGCGGCACACGCCCCGCGACGGGTGCCTCTTCGCTGCCGTATAGGTCCCGAACGCGCCGCCTCAGTGACTCTAAAAGTGCGCTGTCTGAACCGTCCGGTTGGTCATCGGGCGAAATCGGGTTTTCAGGGCCATCTGGGAACGGTCCACTGGCTCGCAGTTTCCCAAGGCGACACGCAAACCGCTGACGCCCGAGGTACCGAGGACCAACGCGAGCAGCGCACGTACTAACACGAACAGTGTGACCCGTCTGTAGCAAGTGACGAGACGCAAAGGCAAACGCTGGCGCCCCACGAGCTGACACCGCCTCGTCTCTACGAAGCATTTCCGCTCGTTTGCACGCTCAGGAGCACTAGCCCGAGCCTAAACCGATGCTAGAATTGCGCACAATCTGGAAGCAAGCCGCGGATTGCGTGCTGCGGGCGTGCAGGGCGCATGTGGCTGCGCGTGCGCGTTGAAGCGCCTGAATTCCCCGTACTGCTCTCGTGTAGGCCTGGTGCAAAGGTCGTTAGAGGAGTCCCGGGGCACGTGCCTGGTGACCGGAAAGTGAACCCTTTCTCTGCCGCATTTTCAGCGAGAAGGGTTATAATTAGAGCGGTGAATTCTCGAGTGCAAGTAGTAGCACACCCTTTTCGTACATGTTTGTATATCTCCCATGTATTCAACAAAAGGAACACAGCATATAGATTGGAGAAAGGCCGTCTAGAGCTTCATTGAAATCACTGATAGCTTTCAAAGAAAGAGCGTTCCTCATCCAACCTGGCTATTCTAGGAGCGGCTGGGGATGAGCTGTCCTTCAAGTAGTTTCTATCCTGAAGTCCGTTCAATCAACATGGAACTTATCAACCGCTTTGTACGCGACTGTTCACTCGAGAATCCGATCCATTTCATGCCTTCTCGGAGAAATGCGTCCGAGGACACCACAGTATATGAAGTTTTCATGTCATGAATGTAAACGTTGACGATGAGACTCGGATGCACAAAGGCACTCTTCCAGGCGAAAGCGGCGCGCGTTGAATAACGCACGATCGATTCCGTACTGAAATGCGAACGTTGGTGACAGCATGGAGTGATGGTCATCGCGCTTGATGAGACTTCATTCGGCCGAGACGGTAGGCCTGTATACTACTTTTCAAAATGGCGCAGATTGCTCTTCCCAAGGAGTTTACAGGCGAGCATGCCGACAACATCAGCTCCGGCTGCGGTGTCATCGCGTGGTCCGCCAGTAATCGACACACAGACAGGACCTTTCAACAGCTCATCCCTCATCGAAGCGAGTTTCATGGCTTCTCTCTCCGGAATTCTTCTCTCCTGGTGCCAGACAACGCCGCTTTCCAGCAACGCAAATGCTGTGGAGGAGTACCCAATGTAGACTGGCGTTGAGCTGCTCCTTGTAACAGCCTATTCTCTCTGGTTGAAATGATCCCGCGTCTTTTCTGATGCCATATGCCATTTTGATGCCCAAGCATCAAAATACAAGCAGCTAGTGACCAGGACAAGATTTATCGATATAACGTTGTCTACCTTTACGAGAACGAAACTGGGTCGTTCCTCCTCTGCTTGTGCTCCGGTGCAAACGGGAAGACGCGCTACAGTCAGTAGACATGCTCGCAACGAAAGTGACGAAAAGGCACTGGAGGGTGAGTAAATTCATATGTGCACTGGAAAAAGAGAGCTCCTTTACCGCCGTCCATCCATTCCGTCTAAATCCCGAGATGCAAACCAGATAAAGAACATCGTGAACACATCCATGCACTCCGCCAAGCAACAGGGAAAAAGAACCCATCACGTAGCGAAAAGAAAGATCTTCCAGAATAGAGCACGAAAAGAAAAGGAAGGAGAAATTAACGAAGTGGGAAGATCAGCCTGTAACCATTGTCGAATCCTCACACTGAAACACATCAACGGTCAGAATCATCCAAAGAGTAACATACAGGACGCTTTCATAGAAAATGCAGCTTCATGTTCGAGCATATTTCGTCTCGCTGTTTCCGCTTTGACGTACCATGTCAAGAAACTGTTTGTGCGTGTTCCATGCAACGGGCTGGCAACTGTCCACCTCAGCCTGGAATCGTTGGATCTACCCGTCGCGTGATACCGCGAATGCTACTCGGGACAGAGGACACATGGCGGTATGACCGTTCGATCAGAGGTTTGGAAGCAAGCTCCCTTGGACCTCGATGATGCGTCGCTGCGCCACCTGGTCCATCAAAACTTTTACAGTGAAGGATTCAAAAAAACTGTCAAACCAAGCTCAAAAGCCATATCCAGGATGATGTCGAACGCTTCTCGAGGCGCAGCCTTTGGGCTTTGTATAAATTGTACCCTCTCGTTACTGTTCCAGAAAAGTAGGGACAGATAGAAAGGATTCTTTGGCATGTCGACGGAGGCAAATGACGAGTTGGTTGCTGTTGAACTTGAGTTCGTGGAGAGGACGGGCGAATGCCGCTACAGGCGCGAGAGTCGCTCAAGTCATGCTAGCTCATCGCATGTCGACCGCCTCCGGACCGATCGATGTCTTTACTAAAAGACAGTTGGAGCATAAGCGCTGCCTTGCGTGCCTCTGGCGCAACGACGTTTTCCTGAACACAGCGCTCCAGAGCAAAACAGATCCCTTCACCGAATCCGAGTGCCCGAGCCTCCTCGAGCGCCTTTCCGTTGTGACTACAAATATCCCATCATGGCCAACTATATTACCGTAGGAGCTTCAGTACTGCATGGCCGTTTCCGTGATTTACGTCTAATCTGGGCGGGCAATCAGGAAACTTTCGAAAGACTTTGTAAAGAGGGCTAGCTGTGTGCGTCCGGGGTTCCTCGTATTCGGGGGAGAAGTGGAGCGCATTACACAGGAACCAGGGAACCCGACGACACATCATTGAGCATGAACTTCGTGAAACTTGCGCATGAATCAACAGATGAGGTTCATTTTCAGCAGTTCAAAGTACATGAAAAGAAAGAATTTTCTATGACCATGGATCCCAGGTTGTCGAGCACCATGGCCGACGCCGTCCCTCTGAACCAAGAGGTGAGACGCGAAGACCCGAATGGGAACCAGGTGAAGCTGCTCAACTTTCCCAGGGCTTGGCATTATCGGGAATTGGGTATGGTGGACGCCCGGAAGCATGCCAACAACCGGAATGGCGTCGCGGTCCATCTGGACGCTGTGCGCGTCATATCGAGCTGAGCGCGGTGCTCTGTACGCTTCATTTAGGGCATACATGGGCGTCCAAATGGATGCTGCAGACGCTTTTTGGCGGGAGTCCTTGAGACCGCGCTTGAGGCACCAATTTTTTCGCATGTACGGAGGCGAGAAAGGTGCATCCGCGAACTTGTTCAATGACGTGGAGAAGGAAATGACCAATACGTCGTGAAGTTTTGTGGTAGTCTAAGGCACTTGACTCTCTGTAGAGCGCAACTGCCGCACTCCTACTCGCTTGGAAAGAGAGTGCGACGCCGACGGGAACCGATTCCGTACGACTCCCATCGAAGCAATTCGGACGACACACACACACACATCACGAGCACTGGTGCTCGCCGGAGCACATTGAAAAGAATAGGATGAAAAGGGTTGAAGACACGAAATGCTTTGCGGTAAGCTAAGCGAACGTCAGACGACAACGCAGTTCAAGATGAGAGGCTTCGTATGGTGCGATTTCACAAACAACAATGCGCCCAAGCATATCTGGTCAGATAACTGAACGTTTTTGTCAGAATACAGAAATTTGGCGGGCTTCCGGAGCGTCAAGCAGTTTCGAGTTGGGCGAAGTTTCCAGAGAATCGCTCAGTAACCAGTGTGAACATTTTGCTGACAAGTTGTAGATTTGCAATGACCCGTAACAATGGCGTGGCGAATGGACAGTGGGTTTTCGCCAAGAGCTGGGTACTGGGATTGCGTGGGTCAGCCATCCAGCAAATCTGGAGCACCGCGCATGTCCATCGGGATAGATTTAATCTTGTCATCTGGTAGAAGGTAATCGAGATCCGTGATTCGATGTTACTGAGTATGCATTGCTCCACGGTCACTCTGTGGCACACCGGAAAGGAGCTTGCCGGCGTCGACGAACTCTCAGAGGAAATGCAGTTCCAGTTGTCTTTCGACGAAATTTCATAATACATATGGCATTGTCTCGGCGATGGAGTCATTGAAACAAACACGTTCTACGAAAATGAAAGGCAAATAAACATACCCACTTATCGGCGTCTCTCCGGCTTATTTTTGACCAGCTGACTGCTATCGGCTTCAGTTTCTCCATGCACGCTGCGAGCACCAGAGCCTGTCCCACAAGGTTTGCTCGCATCAGGTCCCTAGGTCTCGTCTTGAGCAGCCCAGATCGTCTGATGTTGATGTCGGCGTTGGAGTCTGGGTTCACGCACTCCATGCGTTTCCTTGCGCTGGTTGAGCACAGCAATGGAAGGATTCATCGGACTCGCACCCCCTGCGCGAATACACTCTCATCATCGCCTCGTCGGGCAAACACCTTTACTCACCTGGCATCCCGCTTCTTAGTTTGTTTTGTCACTTGCTCTTCTTCGCTCGATCGTTGATGAGAAAACTATTCTTCGTTTTTTCCGGCAGCCGGCGATAGCGGCCCTACGGGATCCTCGGCTTCTATGTGCATACACTTCCTTGGAATTTCTATTTCTTCAAATGAATGCAGTTCATTATGCCCTTAGATAAGGAACTTCCCGGAGGCAGAGGAACTTGTGGAAGAACGACGAAGTGTACCCTGGTGTCACCATGCTGAAACCTGCAGCGATTCGCCCAGTGCAGCGATCACCACGTTTTTCAATTGGAAACACTCCTTCGATGGGGTAGAGCAACGGGAAGTACCAAGAAGTGAAAACCTGCTCGTCCCCGATAGATTCGACGAAAGTTCGAATGCAAGGAGAATGGTGAAATGCCACCTTTTCGAATAGAAGAACGTCGCCAAACGTTAGGGAAAATCCTTCAACGATTCGGAAAAGAGGGTGCTACTGTATGCACCTTCTCTACGAGCGAAACTGAGGTCGCCAAATGAATCCACTGCAGCTAGAAGAGATCACGATATCCTCGTTCTCTTCGAGCTCGACCGTACACACAACGGGCTCCACATCCGCAGGTATCCATATATGCTCCGTTCGGTTCCTCCGAAGGAAGTCGCATCGACTGGAAAACCAAACCGACGTTCCTCTGCTTCATACCGATCGCTGACTTCAAGGAACGCTGTCGTTGCGATTTCTCTTGAAGATGGCCAAGCTTGAACTACGACTTTTTTGCGAATGTATCCCAGTGTTTTCAGGACAACACGGACAAGATGTTGAGAAAGAGAGAAGCCCGTGGCGTCTATCATCGTCACTTTTGCTTTCAGTAAAAAAATCAATGGGTCGTTTTCTAGCATCGACTGCAAGCAGTCTTTGAGAATATCGGTTCTCGACGCAGAGCGCTTCCACTTTCTATCGGTGTTCCTTAACCATCTGAGAAAGGTGGTATAATTGACCTGAATGAGGAAGGCAGTCCTCCCTGCACTGTTCAATAAAGAATATATATCATGCAGTCATTTCGACTCCGATACATGCGGTACAGTGCATAGTGGCTTCGATGGTCTGCTATACATTACGAAAAAGCATTCGATTACTCGCAGCGGCCGAGTCACAGTACTGAGTTGAGAGACTAATCCAGCAGGTATGCGGTGGAGGCTGCAGGCAAGTTGCTCGATTCACATCTATTTTCGCAAACCGTGACCAAAACAACGCCGGGAGCGCCAGCGTATGACCCAGCTAGCTTTACAAAAGTATCCGGCTGCACTCTGTTGGTGAACGCTATTCAGGAAACGTTTAACCGTGGGCACGGTCAAGAGAACTGAACCAGCGCAGCTACGTAAGGCACTAGGGACCTATGAGCTTGTGAGCATTAGTGCTGCAGCTCAAGTTGCGTGCACTTTTGTCCGAAACTCGCCTAGAACAAAGTTAGTCTTGCGCTCTAATCTCTACGAGAGCGCAGAGTCCACACTCACAAGAGGCAGCATGTACGCTTCCGAGACTGCCTCAACGCAGGGGCTTCCTGCACTGGAGCTGGATCCGGAGGAGCTGCTGGCACAGGTACAGCTGCTTCGCGCCGCGGTTGAGGGTTCTCGTCGAGAGTCCCGCGAGCTCGTAGGCGCTCTAGAGCGAGAGCGGCGTTTGAACTTGGAAATGCGTCAAAGATTCGAAAGACAGTTCGCTGCTGTATCGGACCAGCTTCTGCAGCTGAACCACTTGCAAAAGGAGTCGGAAGCCTTGCTTCAAAGTTTACAGGAGCAGCTGAACGAGGCCGAGTTGCAAAAAAATGCAGCCCAGCGGGAGCTCGCGTGTGTGCAACGACAACTGAGCCTAGCACGGGCAGAGGCAGACGCGGGGAAGCGTGTCCTAACCACGATCGCTGAAAAAGAGGCGTTGCTGCGTAAGACATCACAAGCGAACGCTGACTTGCAACAGATCGTCATGCACTTGCAGGCTGAGCTCCGTAATTCAGAACTACAACCGTCAACGTCGAATGCTTCTGAGGAGCGGCTTCACGAGGCCGAAATACCTTCGTTGGCTGACCGCGATGCATATCAGACGTTGCAACAAACGATTGAGAAACTGTCCGCGGAGCGTGACATGTGGTACCACGAATGCGCCCGCGCCAAGGAGGAATCGCTTCGCTTGCAACAGGATGCAGAGCGGCTTCGCGGGCTTCTTGACGAGCAACAGCGCGTCCATACCACTACCCAGACGTTGCTGCAGGATCGGCACTTGCTCATGCGTCGCATTATTGCAGCACTTGCAGAGAAGTATCTCATGGAGAAACTACCTAATCAACACTACACCCAGGAAATAGATTCGTCCCCGTTTCAAGCACGTGGAGGAACCTCTGTACAAGAAGCCCATAAGCATGAAAGATTGCGTCGAGCGCGGTCTTTTTAGGGCGCTGCAGAGGTCAGCCAGCGCCGCAACTCCGAAAACGGAATACTAACTATCACATAAATAGTCCCATGAATCTACTTCTCATGATGTGCAGCACATCGCTTATGGATCGGCTTTAGGCCAGAGCATCCTGGACCTTGAGTTTCGAGATTCTTCGAGGGCTCTGTCCCTTTGTCTACCATGCACCATTGCGGCACGTTTTGCGTCCTGCAGAATTGCGCGTATGCGGCGTCGCAGTGTGAACTGCAAAAGCCTGCCATCGCAGAGATCGCCATGCACGATTCAGTGGAAATCAGGAGCACGCTCTTGTACGAGCAGCTTCGATGGTCAGCGAGTGAGCTTATTACAGGCAATGGCTTGCCTGGATGCCGGCACACATTCACTGATCCCATCGGAGAGCACTCATATCCGAGTATCGAGCACTGAAGATGAGACCAGTGGCACTCCGCCAATGGATGCCGCATTGGTGGCCCTGTAAAGTGGTAGATAATGCAGGTACTTGAATGGAAATCGCGCTTGAGCATCTACAACGGGTCGAGCGCCCCCATGGCCGTTCCTCATGACGTACCCAAATCATGGATACGGATGGGGTCAAAATAAGGGCGTTGCTGTGCAAGAGCAGCGCCTAAGTTTTGCCACCATTCCGGGAGAAGCGTCCGAGCGATCATACGGAACCATGGAGTCAAAGTGTCCGCCTGGTGCTGTAACAATTTGTAGATATCTTCCCGTGTGCATGCTTTCACTGCGGCGACCTCGTTGGCATTCGGCTCTACGCGCAATCCAGTGCCCGTACTGCCGTCCAGCACGACTTTCTTGCGTGCAAAGAGGATATAGTCGACTTCGTGCTCGCCCCAAGCGGTATTTGTACGACAAACAGCCCTATATCGGATGCGTGTCAAGTATGAAAGGTCGTCAGGATGGAGACCGGTCAGGCCAAGTTCTTGTTGAAGCTTTCTCAACGCAGCACGTTTCACGCCAAGCACCGGGTCCGAGACGTTGCACTCGTCCGGGTTGAAGAGAGGGTGCGAGCAGCAGGTGTTCGCCCACAGCAGAGGAAACGTGACCTTTGTTGCCGCTCGCTGCTGCAGAATCAAGCGGTTGTCTTCGTCGAAGAGAAAAACCGAGAAAGCTCTGTGCAAAGGTAGGTTATTCGAGACGAGATGGGCGTCCGCTTTGGAACAGCGTCCGATGACCCGGTCTTCAGCGTCTGTGAGGATGAGCTCTTCCGCAAGCAGAGCCCGTTGTACTTCATCTATTCCAGATATCTGAGCTTCCATTCCCAAATAGGATCCTGTGGAGCTCTTTGGATCGAAAAAAGTGCCCCAGAGTCTGCGGAACACCAGACCCCGACGATACATATGCACATTGCGCGCTAGAAGGTGCGAATGGATTTGCTCCAGCGCTCGACTTGGCAGCGATGGACAGCGATCCATGGCGGGCGTCAGCGCTGGCGTGCATATTTTTTTCGATGACAAAATGTTTCCATGGACCATGGATTCCAGATTGTGGGATGGATGGATGGATCTTGGCTATCGGCAAAGCGTCTTCCATAATGCAGCCTATCTCCAAATTCCATTATTTATGCTTCCTATAGGGTCTGCTGGTCGTTTTGTATATTCTATCGTGTGGCAAGTGCCTGCCTTGCTGCACCCGCAATAGCGCTAATACCGCTGGTGCAGATGCGTCACGGGGACAGATCGGCTTTGCCATACGACTGAGAGCGTCGCCCCGAGGCATGGAGCACCCAACTCGAGTTCGGCTTTCGTTATCATTCTGGGCGCCTGCAAGCTCCGCAGCTAGACCTACTGCCTGCGACAGCGCGAAGCGATGTATTAGGAGTCCATCAGGATCGGCGCGATACCCAGATGCAGACTACCTGCTCCTAGTCCCGGAGTATCCTGCGTTGCGGAAGAGTCGCTCAGATCTCGCTAATGCACCTACCATTAGATAGAGCCTGAAGCACTAGCCTGGCGGACTCGTTCGGCTCGCGGGACCTCTCGCCAGGAAGGTAAACTTTCGAAGATACGGAAACCTTTTCCCGTTTTTAAGGTTTACCATAAAGAAAGAAAAAAATTGTTATCTCGTTGCTGGTTATTGATTAGTCTCTGCACTTTGCTCTATGTAGCGTGGTCGATACGCGCACCTCCATATCTGGCAGGCATGAGAAACAACGCGCTTTTCGCCTTTGATTGTGCATACGATCCTGACAGTTCGCCGGCTTGGTGACCTGACGGGCAAGTTGTATTTGCGTTGAAATAGTAGCAAATCATGTGTTTCATATTAATTGTTTTTCAACACTCAAGTGAGTGTATTCCAGTGATATTTCGCACGTCATAGAAGACGCGTTCAACGGGCGTTCTTTTTCAAGCAAAAAGGAAAATTATGGACATGGAATTCGGGCATCCGGGGGAGCGGGGGGCGGTGTCGCCTGCTGCGGAAAATACATATGGAAAACAGTGCCGAGCAGTGCGGAACAGGAAAAGGCAGAGAAGCAGAAGAAGGGGGCCAGACGCCAAAGGCTGCAAGAAAGACGACGGAGCGACGAGATAGTAGTGAAGGCCTCTCTTCATAGACATATCAAGGATCTGCTCAAGAAAAAAATGCAAGAGACCATCAGGAACCGCATCGAATCTTAATCCGTGAGTATTATTAAGACTTTTTAAGGACTGATGCATTTGGTGAAGGAGGTGTATCGCGACGTGACGAACAGCACAACAGCCGAGGTTCCCGAAGAATTTTCGAACAAGACCATCATCTGCCACCTGTTGCTTGGCGCCGGGGAAAAGTCGAGGAGAAGCGAGCGATTACATGCCCTCCACGACAAATACACCAAGTACCGCTCCAGCGGTAATCTATACAGGGGAGACTTGCGTATTTATGAATACGGAGCGATGAAGTACCTCACGAATCTGAAGCACCATATGATCGTGAACCTCGAATGTTTCATGACAAGCGACGTGTTTGCACAATGCCCGGGCCTCTCTCCTGAGGAAAGAGATGGGCCATCATCGACAGCATCACAAACGATTGTCGCGATGAACAGGAGATTGAATTTGTCGACGGGCAGACATCACGCAGGAGAAAGAATGAAGCTTCTGTAATGCATTCGGTTGTACAAGAGAACCGTGCGGTTCTGGGGCTGGCGAATCCAGCGGAAAATGTATTAGATGTAAAAAAGATAAAAATAGATTTTATCCCCTCATCTTGCGCTATTTCGCGTTTTTGGACCTAGAACCCGAACACAAAGCGGAGATGGAGCTGGTGGTGAGAAAAAATGAAGAGTCGCAGAAACGGAGGGCTTTCCTACTGAAGAAGCGCTTCGATGTTGTTGCGATATTCAAGATCAAGTGGCTCTTTGTGACAATCGACTCCAGCATCCTTCATGCCGTCATGAAGGAGACCAGTCGAGAGTTCGACGTGAGCAAATAGGAAATCACGGGTGAAAACCGGGAGACTCATTGGAAGAAATTTTTCGATTTCAAACGTCTCAACAGGAGCAAGAAAAAGGTACTCTCGGGGATGATCGAAAGCGATGGGGTATCGATATCTGTACACTATAGGCGCTTGAGGGCGGATCGTCCTGTTCCATCTTTGTTGTCGTCCTCGGCGAAGCATGAATATAAGAAGGATATAGATCCTGCGACGCACGAGGTGCATGAGAACGACTGTGTCGTCGGAATCGACTGAGGGAACACGAATATTATCACCATCGCTGCATCTAGTTGTGGGGAAAATGATATCAACGACAACTTACGGCGGAAAGGCGTGCAACTTTTAAATTACTAGAGAGCGAGATACTACCGGGAATCTGGGATAATCAATGCGAGGAAAAAAGTGAGACATGGAATGCATGAGTGAAAGAGCACCTAGAAGCGATCAGCAAGGTGACGAGCAGCGGAGCGGACTCGCAAGCTTTTTGGGGATTCGTGAAAGTTCGCGCTGCTCATTGGGAGGTGCTATGGAAAGAATATACAAAGCCCCGGTTGGCTTATCCACAGATGAAGCTGCACTGTGGGAAGCAGCGTGCATTCGACAACTTCTTCGATGAATTGAGCGCCCTCAAAGAGGAAAAGAGTCAGAGGTTCATAGTAGCTTATCGAGCAGGACGCTGGGTATTCGGAAAAGGGTTTTCACCCGCTCCACCCGCATGAATGTACAAGGAGTGCGCATACCGTATTGCCACGACACCAATGGAAGAATTCCGAACGTCATACACACACCACGAGTCGGGGTGTGCATTCCAGCGGGTCGAGATGGAAAAGTGTCAGAGGAGCCCTGCATCCATAGAAAAGTACGGAGCGCTGACGGAAGAGCAAATGGAATAGAGGGCACGATTTAGAGGACTTGATGCTTGCGTGAGTACAACCAACGAAAAGAATCAAATGGAGTTTGTGAACCAAGACTTTAATGCCGCTATCAATATAAGGAGATGCGCAGTGCCGGAGAACAGACCTGCAGAGCTGATGAGAGAAAATCTTTGTGGGGTAGCCTCTGGGGGTAGAGTTGCACAAGGAGAAGTTGAAACCAGTAGTAGGGGGCTGTCAAAAAAAGACCGGTAGGCGTCTGCACATCAGTCGGTAGAAATATATAGTCTATGGCAGTCCGTATGCCACTCGCCACCACATTGCACCGGTTATGCAGCGTATGCCAATTGAAAGCCATTCGCTTCATATATGTATGCATCGGCACGTATGTATCAAATTGCTATTATTACGTGAAACTTCTGTTGAAGCTGATACGGATTTGCCAGCGACGAGTGCGCACTGTACGCAGTCTTCATGGGAACTCTGCGTCAATGCTTTGAGCTTCAGAGACATGCAATGCGCTAAGCGTCAGGGGTCTCGCAAGTACACGATCGAGGAGGTATCCGAGTGTCCACGCTGCATCGCAAGAACGCGATGCGCGACAATGCGGTTCATCTTGCGCTGAAGCACACATAAAAAATGTTTTCGGAACCAGAACGCGCAAAAGCGCGATCGGTGACCGACCGAAGGTCGTTTCTTACGCATCGAGTAGAGACCAAGACGCTGGATCATAAATTGGACCGTGGAGGAAAACGCCTCAGTCGAAGATTGACCTACTTCGAATGTCGCACCCGAAATCTGTTCTCCGAGCAGGGGAGCGATGCCTACTCAAAGAGTCTATGGCGCAGAGCAACGCTGTTTCAACCGAAACAGCGCTGCAGGCAGCGTTGTTGAAAACTGAGGCCGGCAAGGGCGAAGCATTCGAAGAGACACGCATCGCTGTGCAGCTCAGTGAATCTTTACAGTGACGGGAATCGGAAACTCAGGTTTGCCTGCACGTGCCTCGTTCGGCGACTTGCACTTTGTTCACCGGGAAATGCCCATCCAGGCGTGCGCGTCGACCACAGAAAAAGGCGCTTTCCAGACGGCTGCAAAGTCCATGCAGACTCTGTGGGCTTGAACTGCGCGCAACTTCGGGGCTGTGTAATCTCGGGAGAGTCGGCGATGAAGCGCTCATCAATCGCGCGGTCCAATCGCCGTCATGAGCACGTACGCATATCGTTTCTGGTTGCACTCGCAGCATCCACAAACGGTACATCCGGATTCAGAAACGGGTGCGCGAGCAACTCGGGGATGCTGGCCCTTCGAACGGGATCCCGCTGCAGACAACGTCGTAGCGTATCCATGAGCGCTGCGGCCGATGCCTCCGAGCCTATGCCCTGGATCCCAGCCACAGGCGGGTACGCAATGTCGTACGTCGGGTCCGTGATGCAGCGGAGCTTTTGAATCACGTTCAGGTGTGAGAATGGCGTGCGGCCGTACACCATTTGGTACAGGATGCAGCCGAGTGACCAGATGTCACTGGGGCGTCCCAGCTTGTAGCGGCGCCGCGAGGGAGCCGCCGCCGTCTCGCCGCTGGCGCCAGCGGAAGCTGCCTCGTTGGTATCCAGAATTGCCTCAGGGGACATGTAGTTCAGGGTACCCACCTGACTCTCGCGGACAATGTTGGTGGTGTCGTTCTGAATCGCCTTGGCGATGCCAAAGTCAATGAGCTTCAGGACACCCTCAACGAAAAGAAAGTTGGCTGGCTTGAGGTCGGAGTGCACGATGCGCTCTTCATGAATGGTATGAACCGCTTCCAGCATCTGCTGCCAGTAGAGACGCAGAAAGTTCGCATGCAAGGGTCGTCCAGCGTTGCGCAGTAACAGCCTCGCGAGGTCAATCTCGCCATACTCCATGACGAGGTAAATGAGACCAGCGTGCTCGCGCACCTCCGAAGCGATCAGCTGGATGATATTGTCGCGGCCGCGGAGGCGCTGCAGCAACGCAATCTCGTTGCAGTAGCTCCGGAGCGTCTCGCGATCGGCCTTGCGGATGCGAATGCGTTTCAGCGCGAAAATCTTCCGGGTTCGCGCGCACATCACCTTGAACACCTTGGAAGATCCCCCACGCCCGACGATTTCTAGCTTGATGTACGGGTATCCACCAACGTGCACCACAGTGTCGGCGAGGCTTGGCGGTAGGCTCAGCAGGCTCGTGCCGTCACCACCGTCAGATGGAGCCACATTCTCCTTCCCAGCGTCCAGGCGTCGCAGCGGTCGACGGGGCGCCGCTGCAGCCTCAGCAACTGCCGATCCCTGCACGGCAACAGGGCCGTCGACGGAGCGCTGCATCCCGCGGGGCTGTTGCGCTGTCGGTGCGTGCGCTTCTCGCGCTGCGGGTGCCACGCACGCACCTGTTCTGATGGACACGTGTCCTGCTGATGCATCGTTTCCCGCGCATCGTCGCGATTTGCTGTCGATCGGGTTCGATGCCGCGGCAGCCGGGCGCTCATCCGGCGCCGCCTGGGTACCATCAGGCACACCAGCAGGCACATTACGAGATATAATGTGAGGCGCTTGACTGGCTTCGGGGTCGCCTTGAGCGCGCTGCATCGGCCAGCGATCGGTCGTCGAGGATTGCCGGGCCGGCACCGCATCCACTGCGAGTTCGATTGCCTGTGGCGACTGCCGGAGACGCGTCCACGGCGGGGGTGTCGTCGAGGCAGCCGGATCCCGGTCGATGCGCGGTGATGAGAGCGCCGCCTCTGCACCGCCTGCAGCGTCGAGGGCAGTGCGAGCGCGATGCTCATCGCGAGACGCTTGGTGCGGTGGTGAGAGCGTGGCGCGCTGCTCTGGAGCAGTCTCCACGGAGCGATGCCAAGACATGGCTGTCGCTGGGGCGTCCTCATCTGGCGGTGGAATGCCGGCACCAGTGCCGGTCGCGGTGCTGAACCCGGTCAGTGCGGCTGGGTCGAGCGCGGTGGCGAGCCCCGCACCAGATGGTGCCTTGCCAACCCGCGCAGCAGGCTGTAACACATCCGCCGTGATCGTCAGCAGAGAGGCGGCATCGGGCGCGTCGGCGCTGTGGCCGCTGCTATGGTGCGCGCTGCGCACCACTTCTGGCACGGCGTTTTCAGGGTCCGATGACGCGCACAGCCAGAAACACGTGCCGCGCATAAACTGCTCAGCTGCCTCTCGCCGAGCAGCTGCCTCCTCTTCGAGCTTTCGCGCCTTGCGCTCGTTTCCCAATCGCCGCTCGAAACGCGCCCATAGCTCGCAGATGCGCGGGTCATGCTCGCCAATGCGCTCTGCTTTCAGGTAGCGAAAAGTATCTCGTAGCTCCTCGGCGTCCTCCTGCTCTGTGAGTGCCATTTGAAAGCGGACGGCTCCCAGCCAGAGCTCGACATAGTCGCTGTTTCGTCGGTGGCCTCGCGCAGGCACCGCCCGCGTTGCCCGTTCATAGAGCCGCTGCAGGAGGCGCAACACTGCACGCGCCCTGGCGTCGGTGGTGGGGGTACGCGGTGGCATCCCGCTCGGCAGGAGTGCCCGCTCCAGCGACTGCAGGAAAGACAGCCAAGTACTCGGACACGACGGCCGCGCGGCGAGTGTCCGCAGGTGCGTGGTGTCGGCACGGGCGAGCGCAGTCTCCAGCGCCTCGAACGCATATTCCCGATACGCTGGTGGAACCAGAGTCAGAGGCGAGGATCCGAACACCTCGCGGAACGTTGCAGTCCAAGACGCGCTCGGCAACGCGCTCAAGGTGCGTGGATGCGGCGCTACGGCTGCAGGTGTCTCTGTGCGCTGCGCTTGCGGCGACGTAGCCCCTGGGTCGACTGGTGCCGGTATCAGGTGATCTGCGGCATCGCCTCCTGTGCCGACGGCCGCCACAACGTGCAAGCGCAGTAGCGGCGGCGTCATCAGGCCCTCGGCGCTTCGCGTCGGTGAGCACGGCGAGCGCGAAGCACTGCTGTGCGTCTGCTCCGCCGACTGGCGACGACCTCGAAGCTGCTGAACGCGTAGGCGCAACTTCTCCAGGGTCTCTCGTGTCGGGCGCTTCAGGTGACTCGAAGCCGATGTCTCGCTCGTCGCGCTGCTGGCCTGGTCGGGTGCCTGCGCATACGCGTCCGTCGCCACTGCGTCCAGCTGTCCCGCACGGCGGTTTAACGCTTGCTTCGACCCCAAAACCCACTTTTCCGAGTCGCTGGCCTCGGGAGTCGCATCACGGCCGCCTGACATGTAGAAATCAAAGCCAAAGCGACGAGCGGTTGCCGCCTTGCCGGAGCCAGAGCTGCCGCAACGACCTAGAGAGCGACACAAGGGCACTGCTGCTGTGGACGCGGGCCACAGCGCTTCTGCTCCGCCCCGATAGCGGGCGTTCAAAATTTCGGGCAATCGATGCAGGCGCTCACGACATCATGAACATTCTAGAACGTAATTGTACAGAGCAAACATATGCCCGCAGCGGGACGCGTTCCATCATTCCTGTCCGATATCGCCGATACCGTGCGCGAACACGCCCGGATACCAGCGCACCGACGTGTGCTCCACCGCAGATGCGCTCACGCTGTACCGACTCCAGAACGGTTTTTCTTTAAACAACGACAGCTTCGTGGAGCCAGCGACCTGCCGAGTGCCGGACGTTCACCGAACGACACCTCGATTGCGAACAGGAGGTAGCGCGTACCCCAATAGCCGGTATCCATAGCACGTCACAGCTACCTGTAGGGCGTCGAAGGCGCATCCCTTGGGGGCATACGCACAACTGGCAGTACGGATGCACGTATGCATACGGCCGTCGATAGAGGCACGTCGATCACGTCCATTGCATCGAAGGATGGGCCGATCCGTGTACGTGCAGGTAACGCGCACATTCTGTACCTTGGGCGAGAGCGCCTCAAAGCGACATGCGCTGGGCGACAGCACGGCGTGTTCGCAGTGTCGTGACTACCACGGATGTGCTTGCAATGACACCGCGCGACGACTAAAGCGCATCCGCCCAGTTCGCAGCGATTATCCGCAAGCAGCCTCTGATGTCGGCGGGCACCCAAATTTTCGCAAAACGCGCAATACGTCCTCCAAATCACTGTTGCCTGTTGGCGGCGTCTCGATGGCGACAAGGATGGAACTGGTACGCTTCGATCTGACGGGGCGGATGCATCTGCCCGGAGACGGAATGCAGGACACCACTGCGGGACCCAGGTCCCGGGCACGCTCTATGGACTTTGTCGAAACACGTGAGCGAACGTCCAGAAATGTTTATTAAAGTCACACGAGGTGCTGCACAGGTACGCAGCTCGAGGTCGATGCCGCCATGCACGTCTCGTCCTCAATCCGAATCCGATGGTGCGTCGCGGGACTCGGCATCAGGGTGCAGGCTCACGCCGGTGATCCGGTGCCGCCGAAGCGTTTTCGCAAGGCGCTCCAATGAAAAGCGCACTCCAGCGCGGCCCGCAATGACCCACTCGCCCAGACCGGCAAAGGTGCGCACGACCTGTTGGTTCCGGATCAGCAGAATCGATGGTAGGACCTGGACGCCGAGCCGCTCGCACATGGACGGAAACCGTTCCGCCTCAGCGACCCAAAAGCGCGTCTCCAGATGCTGCTGTGCCAGGGAACGCAACGCGTGTGCGAGCGCATCCTGCAGCGGCTGGGTTTCGGGCGCTGTTCGCAAACGCCAAAACACGCCAACAACGCGCTCTGAGGATCGGCAGGCCTCGAGGAGCGCCTCCTCGTCATCAAGTTCATGCAGCCTACCATGCCCGAGCGCGCACCATCGGGAGCGCGCAGCCGCTGCTCGCTTCAGCGCCTCCAGACGACGCTCGCGCAGCGCTTCGAGCTCGGGGTCCGTCTCGGTCGTCGTCGCAGAAGCGCCGAAAGAGGCGCCGCGCTCCTGCTCCCGAAGCTCCCCGTCCAGGATAGCCTCCACACGCTCGGCAACTGCCTCGACAACACGCTGCACTGCGCTTTGGGAGCCAGTCGCAGGCTCTTTCCGGGCAAATCCCTGCGTGCCCCCGAGCGCTGCCACACTCGACGACTGCGACGTCGGCATGGCTCCAGTTTCGACAGCACCTTGGCCGTTGTTGCGTTGCTTCCCACGCCCGAGCGCTGATCAGTGTCAAACAGGCACGCTGTGACACCCTGGTGCTCCGAGCACCAACGCAGGTACCGCCTACTGGTGCCAGACGATCAAAAAAGTCCCGAGTCACCACACACCGCCCTCTGATCACAGCGCCTGCCTCTAAGCGTCGACGCTGCCTTCTCGAGTTGCCGGTGTGAGTAGCCCCAAGTTGCCGCTAGAGCACACTCACAAGTCCGTGGAATCCTATAGACGGCGCTCTTACGGGAACACTCCACAGACGCGGCAGTGATGGCCGTACGCGCGCATCCGCTGCACGTTCGATTTTACCATCGCATGCAGGATGTGCACACTGGGGTGCGGGGTGCCCGCTTCAGAATCGCCCCTCGCTGGACACGGGCAGAAGATGGCCGTCTGTACACCTAGCGCCGCGGATCTCGGTGTACGCCGTCGAGCGCTGCGCGCCAGTACAGTACAGGTCGCACTGGGAACGCATCTTGGAGCGAATCAACCTTCTCGTGAGAGCATCTGCATAAAGCTACGTCTTGAGTTTCGTAACCAATTGGTTAAGGCCTCCGCTCAACAGTCAGCGACAAATCATGCTTTTGCGAGTCCTCCGGAGAATAAGCTGCAGAAAAATATGCACGAACAGCGGCATGATATGCAAAATGGTTCCGCGTGGAAGCGTTCTTTGATTACCCGAAAAGAACAGCTACACCTTCCAGCGCAGTATCGTCGTCACCATTGATCGATTCATCTTCAAGATCCATGGTATACAACTGTGTCCGCTTTTTCCAACTCTGCAGTAGCCTTACCGAAAGCGGCCTGTGCTTCTGGGACGCCATCTTCGATGAGGGGAACGCCATCGCAGCTTCGTTCAACTGCGTGCTCGCCCCGTGATTGAAGCTGCGTCTCACAGCCACGTTACCAAGAGCTCGCATACGCTCGCCACCATTTTCGCCGGGAAACATCGAGGCGTTCGGATGCTTACTAGGGAGCTCGCTCGTAGTGAAACATGCCGGACTGAAGCCACGCCTGTAGAGTTCATCGTTGACTGCGGCGTGCACCTTTCGCACGTCTTCGGGGCGGCTGTACCATCTCTCGTCTGTCAAGGCCCTAGCGATCGAGTTTTCCAACTGCAGTAGCGACTCCGTGTCTATTGCCAAATAGCCCTCCGCCGGGTGTATCCAGAAGCTCAAGTGCTTTCGCAGGAACGCGAAAGCTTTCCGAGACGCACTCTCAAAATGCCAGTCCAGACACTTGCGCAAAAAATCTCGGGCCCAATTGAATAACTGCACGCGTCGGCTGCAGCTTTCGAGCTTCAGCATCGCGACAGCTAACTCGACGAGCGCAACAGCGGCTTGGTCAAAAGCTTCGTTTGCGGAAGATGCTTCGTTCGCGTGGGGAGCGCCATGGAGAACCTCATCCATCGTACTGGATTCCTCATCGGAAACCTCTTCATAAGCAAGTTGACCAATGCGTTCAGCAGTTGCCCGCAACAGCGGTAACCAGATCTCCGTCACATCAGTTTCCCAGATATCACTGCCCTGGTGTGCTTGTGCCTCGCATTGGAGCAGAGTCTTCATCACGTGACGCACAATGAGGGCTAGATACTCGATGTCAACTTGAGGAATCCCTCTTAGACAGATTTCTCGATAAAATTTCAGGGCATCCGGATCAGGATCGAGCGCAAGCATCCGCTGGAAGAGAAGCAGGCCTCGTGCGGAGATGTGAATGAACGAACGACGCGTTTTCAGCAACTCCTTTCGGTGCTGCCTGGAGTCGGCGATCGCCTCAGGAAGCAATCCGGCTCTGAGCATCCATTCCATGACCAACCGGTACCACTGAGCGATCTCGATTCGAGAAGGGGCAAGCACTGAAATGTCTCCACGACCATCAGGGCGTAGGCTGAATAAATGGTTCAGAGCAGCTACCATTTGAGGAAGCGTCGTTGGGAGCAGTTCTCCAAACATGACGGTTTGCTTCCATATGCTATGTTTCATGCTTACGCTTAGCATTTGTTCAAACAAGGTCAAAAGTTGAAGAAGACAGGTGCGATTGGTGTCTGCATCAGCTGAGGGTGCCAAGAAAGCTATAAGGAAGCGTTCCGGATCTCGAAGGACTTCGTGCTGAAGAGCCATTGTTTTCCAGATTCCCAAGGTCTCCTCTAAAAGCGCGTTCAAAACAGGTATGCTCTTTTCCGGAGAGTCGAGAGAACACACGATAACTGGAACGCACTTCAAAAGCGAGCATCGAGCTGGAAAGGGCATCGGTGCCTCACGCAGCGCTTGTTGGATGGACGGCAGCAGTACTTGTGCGCCCGAAACTGTTTCGCTCCCTTCTGACCGCAAGAGAAGCGCTAAGATTCCTCTACACAGAGCGTCAAACCACTTTTCCCTCCGATGCAAGCCCATTGCAGACCACCGAGCATGCTCTGTGCATGGTAGCTGTTGGATACGCTCAAGCACTCGCAGTGCCGCTTGTATGGTGCGTATCTGTGCGCCTTCGATTCTGGCGAGCAGCGGGGCACACCCGAAAAAAACATGCAAAATCATATGAATCTTATTGGCATCTTGGTCCAGGTCAAGCGTATCCACCATGCTCAGGACAAACTCAACTCGTTCACCAAGCTGCAGAACTTGAGTCAGTCGAGCGTTTTCCTCGCCTCCAACCTCAGAGCTAGCGCCTCGCGAGGATGTCTTAGAAACCCCTGGAGGTTTCGAAACACCAGATCCTCGTCCAAGGCTCGGAAGCAATGGCGCGAGGACCTCACTCATTGTGAAAAACATTACTTCTCGTGTCTCATCTAACAGCATTTCGATAAACAAGGCTGATTCGGCATCGCTTGGGTACTGCCCGTTTCGAACAGAAAGCAGTCCCCTCCAGAAACTATGCAAATGTGCCGGCTCTTCGCGAAAGCAGAATTGCTCCATGACCGGGCCTGTGCTTCTGCGATTTCTGTGGCAATCCATGCGGTCTACAGCACGCGTAACGACCCAGTCCAGACACGCATCTCGCCAATTCTGACAGATTTTTCGAAGAAAATCTCGCGTTCGACTCCTCAGAGACGAATTCAGTTTTGGCTGCTCAGCGTTGCGCGACAGAACAAAACTCATGAGGCGCCAGCGCGGATCATTTGCGTCCAAGACCGAATTTTCCACGATATCCTTTCCTGTGAACAAATAGGCAGGTAGGCTTGTGTCCATGCAGCACCGCATCCACGCCGCATCGAGCAGCACAACGACGCACTGCGCGGTGAGAACCGTCTTCAGCACCTGATCGCGGCAACAAAAAGCCAGCGCAAGTTCTGCAATCGAGGCCCACGGGTGGCTCACTAGTCGCCCTAACAGAAGTATGAATGATGACCATATTGCAGGGCGTTCTTGCAGATGAGTGAGCGTCGACTCGAACGCGAGAAAAGTGAGTTCTATGACCGCTTGAAGCAAAGATAGCCTTTCCTCCCATCTGATCGGAGCATCTATGAGCAATCCGACGTCACCTGTATATGCTTCGTCGAAACATATGACGAAGCTTATAAGTGTTTCCAAGAGAGAGCCCAGCACGTCACGCTGCTTCGGCAGCATCGGCTGTGCCCTGGTGATCCAGCAACCGAGCGCTTCGATGGCTAACCAGTCGTAATCTGCACAAGCTACAAGCCGGTCTCCAAACATTTGTTCAAATCTCCGCCTGAGAAACAGCACCAGGCTTGTCGGTACGTCCGCCTCCAACAGAAGCTCGACTGGAAAACCTTCCAACAGCTTCAACAGAAGCTGAAGCGATGCCCTAAATGCCGGTCCGGGGTCCGTGAATTCGCAGCGTAACATATGGAGCGCCACAAGAACGATACGGCTGCCTTCCTGCACAAGACGCTCACCGATCGCATCAGCAGTCAGCTGAACAGTTGCCGCGCCTGCTGACTGACGTATTCCCGTCTCTTCAGCCACTGCGGATAAGATTTCTTCAATTATCGTAGAGAAAATCTCCATAGATTCAGCGCTTTCCAGAGGACTTCCGAGCAAATGATCCAGTACCCGAGAACCATAGCTGCTCTCCCAATACTGCACCACAATTCGAGCGAGAAACTGGGCGACCTTTCTCCGCTCTCCACAAGAAAATGCTCTCTTTCCAGCTGCTAGTGTGCCATGGCAGTGATTCCATAACTCAACTGCAAAAGCGCAGAGCGTCTGACACATATCCAGGGTGTCCGTACGCGCGCTTAGAGCCTCAGCCTGCGAACGCTCGATAAGGTCGACCAACAGCTGAAACCCATACTGTACAGCGGCCGTTTCCACTACTCTAGCAAAGTTCGAGTCTGCATCTGGAACAGCAGATCGTGTCAAACTTTCATAGCATAGATTAGCTGCTATGAGGTCCCGTCCCAGCGCGAAAATCGTGTCTGCGGAGAAAAACTTTGACACATTACAGAGGAACGTATGGGCTTGTCTGCGGCTCTCTCCGGTGCTTTTTCCCCAGTGCAGCACTGCCAGAGCTGAAACAACTTCCGCCGTAAGATCAGACGCCATTTCCGTTGCAAATCCAGAAATAGTCCCCTTGGCGCTCAGAAGCCACGCAGCCACCACCGCTGTTCTAAAGTGGAACGACGTCGCGCGCGTACAGTAGTTGCGAGAAGCCCGCCCTAGACCGGACGTCTCCAACTGATGTGCAGACGCCTCCCAGTGCTTTTGAAGCGGCCACCCACTACTGCTTCCAACTGTTTCTCATATAGTTCAACTTTTAGAGGTTGTCCAACAAAGTTCTCTTGTGTAAGCTCTGGAGGTCTTCTCTCCAGCACCGCACAATTCCTTATATTGGTTGCGGCGTTAAAATCTCGATCCACGAGCTCCATCCGTTTCTTGCCATCACTCCCTGTACTTACCAATGCAAGTAGCCCATGAACTTTCGCTCTCCTTTCCATTTGCCCCTCCGTCAGCGGTCCATACTTTTCTACATCCTCAGGGCTCCTCTGGCACTTTTCTATCTCCACCCTCAGGAGTGTACAGCCCAGCTCGTGGTGTGTGTAGGACGTTCGAAACTCATCTACAGGTATCGCAACAAAACGTCTTGCGCACTCATTGCACGTTCTTGTTGACGGAACTGATGTACACCCTGTTTGGGTCTTCCATTGCCCTACTCCGTACGCTACTACGAGTCTCTGACTTTCATCCTCCTTAAGGGCACTCAACTGATTGAAAAAGTTGGCAAATGCCCGCTGCTTCCCACAGTACAGAATCATACGCAGACGAATCCATCGATTCCTTGTATACTCCTCCCACAGCGCATCACAATGCGCAATGTGAACTTCCATAAACTCCCGAAAAAAGCTTTAAAGTCCGCTCCTCGGCTCGTCACCTCGCTCATAGCTTCCAGGTGCTCTTTCACTCCTGCATTCCACATCTCAATTTTCTTCCTCGCATTCATGATTTCCGATTCTCGATAGTATCTTGCTCTCGAGAATCTCAACAGGCGCATGTCTTTCTGACGTAAGTTGCAGTTCGTACCATCTTCCGCGCGCGTGGGTACTGCGATGGTTATGATATATGTGTTCCCGGGCTCTGCACCAACGACAAAGTCGTTATCTGGCACCTCCTGCGTCGCGGGACCCGCCTCCTTCTCATGTTCATGACTCGCCGCACCAACGACGAAATCGTTCTTCTGCACTTTCTGCGTCGTAGGATCCGCCTCCTTCTCATCTACACGCTTCGTCGCGGGCGAAGCCGAATGCAGACCAGAAGGCGAGCCCTACCGCGCAGGAGGTGCAGAAGAACGATTTCGTCGTTGATGCGAACCCCGGGAACACGAATATCATACCCATCGCAGCACCCAAGTATAGGGAAGATGCTAACACCGGCAACTTACGTCAGAAAGACATGCGTTTGGTGAAGCCCTCAAGGGCTAGATATTACCGAGAATCGGGAATCATGAATGCATGGAAGAAAATTGAGACGTGAAACGCAGGAATGAAAGAGCACCTAGAAGCTATGAGCGAGAAGACGCGCCGAGGAGCGGACTTTCGGGCTTTTCTGAAATTCATGGAAGTTTGTGTTGCTCATTGGAAGGCGCTGTGGGAAGAATATACAAAGCCCCGGTGGGCCCGTCTGCGTATGAACTCGTACAGTGGGAAGCAGCATGCATTCGCGAACTTTTTCAATCAGTTTAGCGCTCTCAAGGAGAATGAAAGTCAGAGGCTCGTAGTAGCATACGAAGCATAGAGCTCGGCGTCGAAAAAAGGGTGTAGGCGATCTCCAACGACAAGAACGTACAAAGAGTGCGCATGCCGTTTCGTCACGATACCGATAGATGAGTTCCGAGCGTCGTATACAAACCACAAATTGGGGTGCACGCTTCAGAGGGTCGAGATGGCAAAGTGCCAGCGGAGCCCTGAGGATATGAAAAAGTACAGAGGGCCGACGGAAGAGCAAATGGAAAGGAGGGCGAGACTTCGAGGATGGCTTGCACTAGTGAGTTCAACTACCAATGGCGAGAAACGCATGGAGTATGTGAACCGAGATTTTAATGCCGCTATCAATATAAGGAGATGTGCGGTGATAGAAAGAAGACCACCAGAGTTGGCACGAGAGAATTTCGTGGGGCAACCTTTCAAAGTGGGACTATATGAGAAACAGTTTGAACCAGTTGTGAGTGAGCGGTACAAAAAGACTGGGAGGCGTCTGCTCATCAATTAGATATAGCTTGTTCCGGTCGGGTTTCCCGCCGCTACTGTGTACTGCCGGTGACGTTCGACTTTCGAACAGCGTTCGTTGTCGTGGGTGGTTTTCGTGAGTGCAAAATGGCTTTTTGCGATTTGAGTGTCTTCACGACGGAACTGTCGTGCGCTACAGGTAATGCACGTCTTCGCAGTCGCCAGGCAACCCTGTTCACCTTGAAGGGTCGCGTTCACAGGACTGCGTCGGATCTTCGCAGGACTCACAAAATCAGTCGTTTGGTGAGCATGAACGTTAGCGAAACACTCACAAGCACCAAAGCTGTTCAAAATTTGGAGCCATTAGGCACCAAAGAGAGCGTCCTGGATGCTGCAGTCTCGGCGAAAAAAGTCCAAGCTCCGGGCACCGCAGCACTTTACTTTGCTTACGGCAGCAATATGTGCCCCCGAGTACTGGGACCCGACACTGATCTTCTCTATTTGTTGCGACGAATATCGTCGTCGTCCTGGGAAACCGGAGAGCCGGCCGTACTGGAAGGGTTCAGCCTTGAGTTCAGCTGCCCTGGCGTGGAAGCCCTCGGAGAACCAGCATTCGCCAACATTGTGCCTGCCGTCGAGGCCAATTCTGGTGCACCCCGTGAGCAGTATGATACAGAGGTTCACGGTGTTTTGTTTCGATTGACACAAGCAGAATTAGACCGCATCCTATTATCGGAAGGGGTCGGGTTAGGGCGCCAGCGCGTCGTCAACGTCACAGTACGCACCTACCGCAACGTACTCTATGAAAATGTCAAGACAGTCGCGTATGTATCATGGGAGATACGGAATCCACAAAAGCCCTCGTCACGTTACCTCGAGCTCATCCTGGAAGGCGCTAATTACTTTCACTTGGATATTCGGTATGTTCGAACGCTTCTGCGCAAGGCCTCCGGTGAGTACACCTCTGCCGCGCTCCCAGCCACGAATAATATTCAGAGCGACATGGTGAAAATGCTTCAGGACATACAGGTTCCCCAACAGATTGTGGCGTTTTATCAAGAAATGCACCACCTCAAGGGAACGGTTCGATTCATCATGCCTCCGATGCTTGACGAGAGCTCACGGGCGACTAGGCCGCTGTTGCTGTTCTTCCCCGGCCTAGATGGCACTGGCATCAGTATTGCTACACAGCTTAGAATGTTTCAGTCAAAATATGATGTTCGCATTTTGGTGATTCCTCGGGACAACCGAATGCCGCTGGATGAATTAGGGAACACAATTCTGGATTGTTTGGAGTGCCTCTGGAAACAAAAGACAGAGGTACTGATGTCGAAAGAGGTATCGCACGAGCCTCAGGTTGCACCGGATGTTCTCGCTGAGAGCATGGGCTGCTTATTGTGGTTTGAGTGTGTAAGAGCTTTTCGCAGACGAGCGAATCTCAAATGCGGCGCTGTTGACCCCTGCGAAAGCCCTACTCGCGCTCTGGCAAGGCACGTCATGCTGGTGAACCCAGCAACTAGTTTCAGCAAATCAGCTCTCGCTCCAGTTTGGGAAAATATCTCTGCATTACCCGACCCCGTTTACCACGTTGCTCCGTACATATTTAGCCCTATTCTGATCGATCTGCTCCAGCTTTTGGCAGAGCCCAGTATGGCGTTTCAGTCACTCCAGCGAATGGGTGTCCTCCGCGAAATCTTGCCCAAGGAGACGCTCCGTCATCGGGTGCGACTCATTCGCGACTTTCGCTATGCAGCCGATGACTTTGCGGCTGCAGCAGAGTACGGTGCTGAGCAATACACAATCGCAGTTGCAGCGAATGATGCTCTGCTGCCCTCTCTAGCAGAATCAGAGAGTCTCCTTGGAAAGCTTACGCTGCCTTTTCTCGAAATTCAAAAAACGGGGGTCCGGAGGATGAGTAGCCTTCCTGCTACTGTTGTTCGGTACGTTGCAACTCAAGGTGGGCACGCGCTGCTCCAGTCGGGGAGCTTCGATGCTTACCAGCAGCTCATGGTTAAGGCTGAACGCGCACATGATCGCATTCGAAGAGGTCTTTTGGAACGAATACCCAAAGCTGCGAAAGATTCACATACCCGTTCGTCTCCGAGCCAGCATACAACGGACGTCACCGACAAAACAATGGGCTCAGGTTTCGTAACTGAAACCCTCGACAACGACCAAACACTTGTTGCCAGGTCGCCAACAAATGGACAGCTGGATCGATATGCGATACGGCAGAGGACTGGCTCGTCCGTGCGGGATTCAACCACGGGCTCACGGTTTTTCCCGAGGAACAAGTTCGCGCTCGGCGAGACGCGGTGGCAGCTTCAACGACAGAGGCGTCTGCTTTCGCCAATTTTTCTGGATTTCGACAAGGTACCCTTATCATCATCAACGCGTCCGGTTCTGTTTGTTGGAAATCATACCCGTTTGGGGCTCATCGATTTACCATTTCTGATTGACCAAGTCTGGAAGAGCCGGGGTGTATTCGTGCGGGGTCTGGCACATCCCATTATATTCGCGATGCAGCAGCGGGGTCAGTCTCAATGGGAAAGTGCGGGAGATCGGCAGCGCACGCGAGCCCGCGACTTTGCGACGAATCTCGCTGCACTAGGCGCTGTATCTGTATCACCGCGAACGGTTTACAGTCTCCTTCGGAACGGCGACTCTTTATTGCTTTTCCCAGGCGGCGCCCGTGAAGCATATAAGAGACGTGGCGAAAATAATCAAATTTTTTGGCCGAAGGATGAAGAGTTTGTGAGACTTTGTGCACGCCTCGATGCTGTTATTGTGCCTTTTGCCTCTTTTGGCCCTGATGACAGCTTCGACGTCGTGGCGGACGGAGAAGAACTCTTGAACGTACCTTTTCTGGGCGGCTTTATTCGCAATCAGTTTGAAAGAATGGGTGTTCGCGCTGATATTGTGCGTGCTTGGCGCTCGCCGCTTTCCGAGCAGCCCTCTGATGCGGCGATCGCAGACCTGTTGATCCCGCTGCTGCGACCGCGGCCGCCACTGCGACTCTACTTCCAGTTTTTCGATCCGGTATATCCCGATGCATCCCTTGTAAGAGATCGGCAACGAGCGCAGAGCATCTATGAGGACATCCGCTCTACAGTCGCGAATGGTTTGCGTCATCTCGAATGCATCGCCAAAAGACAGGACGCATACCTCCATTTTCATCAGCGTTTCCTGTACGAAAGCCTTCATCAGGGTGCACAGGCACCAACACTGACACCCTGGTCCACTGTAGATGCGCATTTGCTGCTGGACTGATGCTTACAAGTTGCTTGAAAGGAACGTCAGCATGTGGCGCTCCCAAGATAGCTTCCTTCTCGGGCATCGGCGGCGATGCACCTCATTTTCTCTCCGGAAATCGGATACCCACTGGAAGCGGGCATTGCGGCGCCGTTTCATATGCGCTTGCACAGGTGCAAGCGCGGCGACTTGTGTGCAGGCACAATATGCTGCCGTGCACGCACGTGCACGCTTGCATCTGTTCTTTCTGAGGCTGAAGGACGTTGACATGAACCAGGGATACTCCATGGTGCGCTTGATATCGACGTGCTCGCCTCGATGAACAGCCGCACACCGCTCTGATCTGCAGGCGGGCACGTTGCGCATCGAAGCATGCTCATCGCTCAGTAATGTCGATTGATGGAGCGTGGTTATCGGTTACGAATTTCCACGGAAAACAGTACTCGGTTGGACTGCAAGGCGCTTTAGCGTCACAGGAATGCTGACCGTACTTTACATGTACTCTGCACCTGGTGGTGTACATCCATTGCTCTCTCTCCTCGCAGCCGCGTCGTCCAGGTGGAGACCTCAGCGTTTTAGCTCAATGCCGACACTGTGTAGTAAATGATCATTTTGAAAAGTTGCTCAACACAAAGCCGCCGGGCGCTCCGGAACAACAGCACATTACCGTGTTGATTGAATCGTTTACAGCTCGATGGCGAAAATGGTTGCAAGCATCGTTTCAGGGGGAATCACACCATGGCGAGCAGCTCGCAGTCGATATTCTCGCCACACGACAATTGATCAGCTTATCGTACACCACTTAGAGCAGCCGTATCTGTTAATGACGCATCTGCTCTACCAGTTTTTGCGCACACCGGCGTGCGTAATGCATGTTTATCGTCCTGAACGCATCGATGGGAATCGTACAGGATAGATTCTTGCATTCGTTGTACGCTCTCGTCGAGGACCTAGAGCGCAACGCTTACGACCTGCAGTACGTTCAGCGCCATAGGCTAACACCAAGCGACGCAAGCTATCGGTCATTCCTTTTTCCATATCATTGAACGATCTGGTTGATGCTTGCTACAGTGCAAACGGAACCGTCGGCTACCAGAGCGCTATCATGTCCACCTGTCAGGGATAATCCGCAGTAGCCACCACAACTCTTGTCTCCTGCTTCCGAATGAATCGTATAAAAGCATGTGACTCTGCTCGATTCGGCGCTGAGCGTGTCGAACTGAGTTCTAATGTCGTCATGCAGCGTTTCGGGACGCCTCATGACAACCATCATGCCCAGCTCCCTATGAGACCGTGCCCTGGAAAGTTGAGCCGCTCCATCTTGTTTCCGTTCGGGTTATGGTTTCGTCGTTTTAATTAAGAGTTATAGGGACCGCTCCAATGTCCTGGATCCCAGGATCTTCGCCCATAAGGAAGTCTTTCTCTTCATTTAAAGTGAGTGGTTGCGAACAAGCATGGTTGCTTGACTCAGGTCTAGGTTCCACGAATGGCTTGCAGACTGGTTTTACTTCGGTCTCGATGATATCTGTGAGATTCGTTCCATTTCCTCCATGGACACGTGAAATCCTGAAGGAGCTTCGCCAATGCTCTTCGTGAAGTTGGTCGAACGCCTCGTAGTCGTTCGCTGAGACCAGCTCATCCTTCGACTTCTCCTTTACTTGGCCGAATAGTATGAAAGTAGCCACCATACTCTGCATCTGTTTTTTCCTAGTGACTCATACGTTCTCGGAGGGAGATGGGGCTGAATCTCATCTTCTCCACGCAAGTATTTCATGTTCATTAAGCATCCTTTCGAAACCTTCTACGTCGCGAGGGGGCGCACGCACCGGAGCGGGTCTCTCCGCTCCCTGCCGCGCACGAGCAGAGAAGAAACAAAGCAGTTTAGGGTTGGTGAAAGTAGTAGAGTTCAAGTCGTCAAAGAATGATTTGCGGAAGAACGTTGGAATGGTTGCGAACTATTCTTTTATGGGCCCGTGAGCTTAGAGATAGCTTTCGACATCAACGCAGACACTCTCGACAGTAATTGGGAGAACGTACTTGCACAAAGAGCAGGTCGACGCCACTAGCAGCTGCGTTCTGCTTGACCGCTTATGAACAGTAGAAGTTGTCGCTGTCAAAGGTTATGATAGAGGAGCATGGGATGAGGAAGCCATGAAGAGCTTCACAGAAGGATGAAGCATCTAGTGATGTCGATTGTTTCACGATCTGGAGGCCACATCACGATTAAATTGCCGCTGGTGCTGATATTGTCGGTATTGCGAGCTTATTGCTCATTTTTGAATACTGGTTTGGCCCATTTTCAGTACTCATGTACAGGTCTACCATTCTTGCCGCCAAAAGTCTCATCGGGTGAGAGGAGCACCATTCCATCTCGCATGAGGCGTTCGCATTTCAGAAGGATATGCTTCGTGTGTTGCTCAACACGACGCAGTCTCCAAGACAAACATGTTTTTCATCTTTGCATCTCCGCGGCTCACCAGCACAGTTCTAAATAAAGGCACGGAAACTTGGTATCCTGTGGCAACTTTGGCAAAGTATCCTTCAGAGGAAATGGAGTGGAAGGGAATGGTGAGGATACTGTCTTACAGGTAGAGTTTGATAGGTTCTGTTTGCGGTGCACGATGTCCATGATAAGGACTGCGAGAAAGAGCAAGAAAACTCACCTGGCAGGCAAACTTGACTGAATTGCACAAGTAATGCTGCTCTGTTGCGAGCCAGCAGTAACATCCCAAAGTCGTTCCAAACCGTCCAGCAATCCGTAGGACACATACGTGCCGTCAAATACCTGCGATGAAGACAACCAAATATGTTCGTACTGGCGCAGGCGTTCCGGAATGCACTGCCATGACTGTAAGGCACGTGCACAGCATCCTGCACAAACAACATGGTAAGCATAAAATGGAACCGTTTCACTAACTGAAGTGAACACTGCAAAGTTTGTTCCTCGTCCAGCTGCCGGCAACATCAGCCTTTGCTGACCTTTTCCATAATTGTTTCGATTTCCTTTTACTGATTTCCAGCTTCAAATAAAGCGGCCTCTCCTGTCCTGACAACTCCGTTGTCAGCAGTTGAAGGGTGCAAATAGCGGCGTTTAACTCGCCTTTTCATAGCTTCTGGTTAATTTTGAAGCATTTCACGCACAGGCGAAATTTATTCTCTACACTGCACGTGCTTTTTTCATCATGTTTAGATAACGCCTTGGCGCACCGTTTGCAGCTGTGAAACATCGATACGGCCAAGTGTTCCCATACATCCACTACAAATCCTCCTCCGGACGGTGCTCTGCGGCGCGCGAATCCTTGCTTCATCACTTTTAAAGTCCTTAACAGTGTAGACCACCTGGATGCCCTCTGTTTCAGCACCCAGTGCCGCGCGCCTGGATCATGGGCTCCCTCTGAGCATTCCCCTCGGCAAGTTTGCTGTGTGCTGTACGTGCAAGCGCATATTGCTCTATTCGATGGAGGATTTGTGGAACGCGATTTCACCCATTCTAAACCAATTTCCGGAAGGTAAGTCCAGAGTGGAGAACAGATCGAGAACTTTGGATCTGTCTACGCTTCTTTCTTGCGAGGCTGGGACGCACCTTCCACGGGAAGCTATCTCAATTACGTCTTAAGTCCATTCCACGGCTCTTCTCCATAAAAAACAGAAGAACCGCAAGCTTCCGGGATCATGTCCTGTGAAAGCATCACGCAAGAGCCGAAAGCATTTTCGTATACAGCCAGAAAAAGAGAAGCATATCTTTATCAGGTAAAATCAGTTATTGGCATAACGGGTTTTTTGAAAGTTCGAGATGAGCTTGAGACCATGTCGCCAAGGAGCGGCTTCGGGCTTTTTCTTTCCTCGTAAATCCGGCGACACGAATTGTCCCGCCAACGAGTGCGTTGAAATAGAAAGTTCGAAAGCTGAGAGCACGCATGATCTGTGCAAGCGACTCGTGAGGAACGAGGAAAACAGGACATTTTTTGGAACAAATTGTTTAGTATTATAGGTTATTTTACGAGCCCTTGCTCGAGCGCGTCGCGAATCATCTTGATGACGGGAAGGCATCGAATTCCGGTGGCGGAGACTCGAGGAAGTCACCCCGCATACCTGATGCAGAATTTGGAAACTGCATTTTAGTTCGTGACCTCCTACAGCAGCACATCGAAGACAACTGCGGCGGATCTAAAAATCATTCGAGCAAAATACCACAAGTCACGAACATCGTGATTAGTTCTGTGTTTCATTTCCATTTGACACTGATGTAGCCACGCACCGTTGCTCGCTTCACAGAAGGGGGCGTAGCTCGTGTCGTCCGCTAGCTCCAGTGCGAGAATGCCCAGTGGGTCCAACGCCAGTCGGCACGCAAGGCTTGTAAGCGAGAAAAGAGTCACTCTGCTGGTGAATTTACACCGAGGCCAGAAGAACCGCCCTCATGCGGTGACTGCTGTGGAAAAAAAGGTCCAGACCCTGGCACTACGCTGATACCTCACCGATCCCTGTCGAGCATCCGTCACACCGTCGCACATAGAAACTGACCGGCACACGCACCTCAGATCGTACAGGAACGGGAACAAGTAGAACCGGATGGATCTCCAGGCATTCGAACGAGCACCTACATCCAGCGGCACTGCGGCGCAAGGCACATGACTTGAACAGCGAACCCGAAGCGCACGAGTGCACCATGCTTGAAATAGTCATTTTGTTCATGGTTACTTTGCAGGCTCATGATTCCTTTTGCCGATCGCTGCGTGACTCGGTTATACAGAGAATGCTAGACCGTCTTTTTTATTCACTGAAGACCAAAGCCCTGCGCATTCTTTATCGCTGTGTCCAGCATTGCACGCATTTTCTCTCGAGACGAGTAATCCGGCAAAAGCAAAACGTTGAAGCACGTATGCGCAGTCGGTAATCGGTCTGTGTCTGCACCTGCTCGCTGGATAACAAAGTGCAGTTTGCCCAGGCCACCCACCGGGGCGCGGTCGGAGCCAGTGACAAAGGCTAGTAACCTGCGCCGATCATCCTCCTTCATGTTGTCGTGAACAATGGACCAAAACCACCGAACAGCCAGCGACTCCGACGTGTATCCACCTTCGTATTTGGTGACGCGCTCAAGAGCGTGAAAATCAAGTTCTGGTTCACCTCGAACGACAATCTCCAGTTCGTCTGGCGAAAACAGCATGAGCGCTACGCCCCGGGAAAGCATCATCGAAAATCCCGCCGCGAACGCGTCAAACTGTTCGCGAACAGAGTCAACGAGGAGATATCTGGCATATAATCGCACGAACTCTTGCCTATTTTCTCTCGTGACAGGAATATTTCGGCCATTCGGAACAAGATCGTAAGTGCGGATTTCGCCCCAGTAGTTATAATCAATGGAGAAGGTCAAACCGAAAACGTCCTCGACAGGCTCCTTGCCTTCGTACGCCAGCAGCTGCTGTAGCGACTGCGCTACTCGCGGAAAAGCGTCTCGGAGGTCCGCTACGTCCACCGACATACCTAGCAGGCGCTTGTACAAAATCGGTGGAAAATGCACTTCGAGTATGATGCCGTTGTAAACAGCCAGCCCGATCAGCAACCCAACGAGCATGAATTCGATCTTGGATTCAAAGCTGTGGGGATTAAACCATATGTATCTCGTCTCGGCGTCGTACTGAAACATCCCGTAATCGGGCGATAGGAGTTTCTCCATGAGCATCATCATGTACTCCTTGCGAACGCCACCTTCATCGACAGCCGGTTCACCAATGAACTCAACGCGAAGCGGTTTCAACAAATCCCGCGAATCTAGAGATCGGATGCAGACCAGCGTATCACTCACGATGTGCTCTCGCCGCACCCTCAGCACGCAGAAGGTGTCAGCTCCGAGCGGCTGCCCGATGATTCCAAAAGGCATCGGCAAAACGTGCTGGAAAAATGCTTGCATTTGCTCCGAATGCTGTGTGACGCGTGCTTCCTCGTGGAGAATGCGTGCTTTCGCTGCCTGATCGATGAGAAACGGAGCATCCTTGCAGAATGAGAAGCTCTCGGGGGCTCGACGCCAACGTTCATAGTCAGTCCAAAGGTCGACTATATTCGAAACTGCATCATTATAGAAAACAGTCCGCGGGAGGCGGTCACCAGCCGCTCGGTGGACTAGTTCCAGAAATTTCGCCGCAGTGATCGTCGCCTGCGATACGCGCTTCGTTGCCCGCAGAGATATAGATATCAGATCATTCATCGGTGTTACAAAGCGCTGGATAATCAGCTCTGCTGGAGCCTCCCGCAGCGAGTTAACCACTCGTTCCAAGGCGCCCGTGGTGCAACGCATCAACAAGCTCAGTGCGCGCGATAGAAGTGCCGGTGAGCGGTTCTGTGCGTCTGCGTCCGCAAAGATAGGATTCTGAATCAGCGCCAGCATCGCTAGAGCTGCCTCGGGATACCTACGAGCGGTAGGATCTCGACCGCAGGCTTCTCGTGCATCCACGGGCGGACGATGTTGAACAGGAAAAGGTGGCGTCCAGAGAACGCTCTCGTTGAACGTCGATGACACATTCGGAGCTTCAGTGTACTCTTGCAGCATCTTGGCATCACCCATTGCCAGGATCGCCAGATACACTTGCTCTCTCGCCAGGTTATAGAGTGTTGCCTTGGATCTCTGGGGCGTTGCATAGAATCGCTCCACTGCACGCAAATCTATCGAAGGCGCTGGTGAGCCTTTCTGTAAGAATGGCGAGCCCCTGGGTGCCAGCGGGCGATACACAGGTATCGGCACTTGGCGATCGCTCGGACATACGACGCCGTACGTTCGATTACCGCTCGCACTTACGCCGCACCAGATAAGCTTCCCGGCATCTGACGCAAGGCTGAGAAGGTTTCTAGTCGCGCCAGCCAGGTGCTCTCCGTCTTCGCTTTCTGGATCGACTTGCAAAGCAGCTACACGTAAACGAGGCGCCTGGATAGGCAGTGGACGGAGCTTGTCGGAGACGTCACCGTCACCAAGCTGACCCGACTCGCCTGCGCCCCAAGCATAGAGGGTCCCCTCGGCATCAAGGGCGAGCGAGTGGGAGTCGCCTGCCGCTATAGCGACAATATGTTTGTCAACCAGCGGGCCGTGCACAACGGTCACTGTGGATATGTCTGCCGTAGAACCATGGCCTAGCTGACCGTTGCGTCCACCACCAACGGAAACGACCTTTCCCGATGCCGTGAGAATCAATGTGTGACGGGCACCACATGCGACGTCTACGTAAACGTCATTCGGAAGGGCCAGCGGCACTCTCGTGGGCTGCAGAACAAATGCTGCTCCGTTGGTTGCGGCTGGGTTACCTAGCTGACCATCTCGGTTGTCTCCAAATGTGAAACACGATCCCGATGAAGTAATCAGCGCAACGTGATACGCACCAGAGGCAATCCTGCACACAGGTTGACCGTAGAGAGCGTGAATACGCCTTATATTCGTGAGTATGCTGGGCTTTGTCGACACAGTGCCGTCCGGGTTAGTTTCGGCAGGATTGGGGTTCCCTCCAAGGAAGCATTCGCCCGCCCAGCTGAGCGCCAAAAAGTGATGCCGTCCGGCGGCTACTTGCACGATCTTGTAGTCCCCGAGTTCAGAGACGCGATCGATTTGCACCCTACCTTCTTCAGACTGCAGAATATAGTAAAGTGACCCATCGCGCCCTACAGCAAAAGCCACGTGCGCACTGCACGCTACTGAAACGCACTCCGTGGGCAGAGCCAACCGCGCCGGGGTCCCCGACTCACTGAGGAAAAACAAGGTACCCGGGCGCGTGAGCACAACCGTAAAATTTGTACCACCCACCGCGTATACTGGCTCAGGAATGGAGGCTAGAGCCCACTCAGTGGAGCTCGAGAAAGGAGGCTGCAGACGCGGAACTGCAACTACGTTGCCCAGGGACACCGCTCCCCAGACGAGGAGGTGCGTTAGCAGCGGTTCGGTCTGGGGCCACTGCACAGTTGCAGCACATGACGCTTCCCCGCGCTCGATTTCAGAATCAGAAACAGACAGACAAGGCGTCGTCTGCTCCGTAACGCCCTGCGGGGCCGCTTCCGACTCGTCTCCGGAGCTCTGCTTTCGAGCTGCTCCTTCACTACGCTGCTCTGGGTCGGTCAAGAAAGGTTTTTCGTCCATTACACCTAAATGATGCACAAAAACCGATAAGACTTTATTTGGAGCTTCCCAATGCTTTTCAGTACCTTAACGATAACTCCTGAGACCCTCAGGAACATGACATTCCAAGGTATTTCCGACTCATCACCCCAAGGTACGCTTGATCTCATTTCTCGCGCTTCGGTAAACTTCGCGGCTTTCGATGAGCGCCGATCGCGATGGATGCCCTAACGAAGGCAGTCTGGATGGTTATCGTCATTCAACTCAATTCTGTTTCACACTGCTGTGTGGATTCGTATGCGTTTTCGGAATTTGTAACAGGCGATCGACATCACGATGCAATGTACCCTATGGATTGTAGACGAATTGCCAGTCGGATGTATTTATCACTGAACAGCGCATGGAGGACTGCATTCCTCGTGCAGCTCAGCTGTACCGCGATACTTAGATGGTCGAGGAACTCTTACAGAACCAAGAACCTGCGCCCCATTGTAAAAAACTGATATTCTCGAAGACTAATTTCGGTCGATGGCGGAGAACGACGTGTCGTTGAGTTCAATGAAAAGCAAGAATGGACGATAGTAGCCATCATTGTCGTCTCTGTAGTCCAGCAGCTTGTTCGTGTAGATCTGAAAACACTGGGATACAAGCGCCAACAAGAGTCCTGGTCCACGCACGGCTATCTTCCACCGAAATCGAAAAGACAGTGTTCCTGGAACGTTCTGGTCGGCACGATACGGGGATTCGTCAGTTCGTTTTCCCGGTCGATGATACTTCCCACGGACGAGACGGTGAGCGCGTTAAAGGGTATTCGAGGAGATGGAGTCCGTTCACTGTACGATCGAACTCGTGGATAGCGACCACGTCCTGTGTTCTGGCTGCAGTAGACTCAAGTTGCGGCCTCAGTTTCGCTTGTACAGAAGGTTCATCCAACCGCATCCACTTTGCCGAATCATTGAAGACTTTCCCTGATGTCTGGCGAAGTTCTTCTACTACACAACGTTGTATTTCTCAATTCCCCATGCGTTTGAGCTTTTACCGATTCTTTTGGAAAACAGCAGCTTTTTATTCCTCCGTACACTCCGTGGTGGGGGTCCACGGAAGGGCATTTTTTGTGCAAAGTAATATTCGCTGCACTGGGAAAGTCGCTAAAGCGTTCAGCGCAAGGTGACGCCAAGGTACATTCCGTCTTTCTTCCGCAAGTCCTTCTCCCCCGGGAAGGTCCTCACGTAAGAGTAGAAAGAAGTGCGTTCATTGTAAAGAAACAAAAACCCGAGGAAAAGTATTGAGAAGCAAGTCGGGGATCCCGGAGGCTTGGTGTCGCCGGATTTCCACAAAAAAAAATGTGAAAATCCTCTCCTCGCCGACCATCGAGCGAAGAAGAGCGAGTGACGAAGAGGAAGAAGAAATGTATTGGGGGATATGCAAGAAAAGATGTTTGTCCAACGGTACGATGACGAGACTGTAATGGCACAGAGGGCACGAGTTCTATGAATCCTTGCATCGATGAGTTCCACCGGAGGCAATAAATACATAGAGCTCTTGAATCGGAACTTCAGTGCTGCCATCAACATTAGGAGATGTGCGATCCTGAAGACGAGGCTCAAAGAGCTGATGCGATCCAACACCATGGGATAGCCTCTCAGGTTCGAATTGTGCCAGGATAAACTAAAAGCAATAGCGGGCGGCCGGTCGAGAAAGGCTGGCAGGTGTCTGTGAATGGACACGTATTTACCATCCACGTTCGTGAGACATTTTTGTTTCACTGAAATTCATGTTTTTTGCACACACAAGCACACGCTGCGTCATTCGATAGAAAATTATCGGAAAGCGATGTTGTCCAAAACGGAATAAATGACGGGAGCAAAAACCAGACCCGAGAACGAGTCGAGAAACTGCGATTCGTTAATGCTCCCCTCGTGTTAAGCGCTGATGCACCCTTCACCGTTAGCGATCACCTCGACGCCGCAATTCCCAACTCAAGACCAATCTCGATGCAAACAGAACAGGAGGGAGCCTCTGCAAGCATATCCCTTTAGAGTTATTATGCAGCTTTTGAGTGCCGTTTGGTGCATAGCCATGAATGGACGCGTATTTTTCTGACGAATTGAATCAATCATTTAACGTGACAAGTTTCGAGAACCTCCGGCTTGAGCTCGTAAACAAGCCGCCAATAAACTTAGTCGAGTATGCATTCTCGCCAATCCAGCGGCGCGAAATGCTGCCCCCACATATTGTCTTGAAGCACCAAGATCGAAAACTTGAAGCATGGGTGATTTGAATAGGCGACACGTAAGGAGTGGAGAGGACCATATACTAATACACTAGAATCGGGTACTTATTCCCATTATTTTACGAAATCTTGTCCGATTGCGTCGAAATCCACCTTGACTCCGGTGCAGTAACAAATTCCAGCAGCAAAGCATCAAACGAGCCACCGCGAAAAGACGTCTGAGAATGCTCGAATTCCTTTGATTTCGTAAGGCGTAATTGCTGCACCTCGAATTCCAAGTGTATATAGTTCTATAAGATAAATAGGAAAGAACTGATCCGCTGGAACAACGTGAACAACTCAGTGTTCCGTTTTTTTCTGACACAGGTGTTGTCCCCTCTGAGGAGATCATGGGAGCCCGCCCCTTCTCTGCCACGAAACAGCACGATCGCGGTGTCACGCATGAATCGCCAAATGGCGCGCATCTTCGCCTTGCTGAAGCGTGCATGGTTCAGGTGCGCTCTCTGGGTCTGCATCCCAGCAACTTGAGGGACTTCTACGGCGATAGAGCGTCTCATGGATGCTTGTGCAAGACACAAGCGCTTAAGGAGACTCGATAATGTCCAGTCAGGTAGTTTTGGACCGGATGAGAGCCTTAGAGGAGTGCGTGAAACGCGCGAGTCTGTGTCCACTGGACAGAGGCCTTTGCACTTTAAACTGCCTCGAAATCGGGAAGCTCGAAGTCTCATTATCGCGCAGAATCGTCTTGAAAGCTCCTTGGGTTCAGTGCAGGTTTCTCGCAAGGACTTGAGCTCAGCTTCTGCGCTTCAGCACGGCCGCTACACGCTTCGGCGGAATCGCGGCCGCGTGCGGTACGCTGACCAGCAGTCCTCTTCAGAGGAGGTCGCGAGCTCTTCAAATGAGTCTTCCCGAGTGGAAATGAAATATGCAAGGACCAAAAGATCGAGAAGAACCATGCGTAAGTGGTCTCAAGGTTTCAGCGAGCCTCAGACTCGCCGACGACGTGCGACGTGGAACTCGTCGGACAGCTCTTACGAACCGCAAGAATCTGGGAGGCGCACAGGTAGGCGGAAAGCTCGAGACTCTTCTGATCTGATTGATAATGAATGTACTTCGAGCGAGGAGGTTAACGCGATGTTCGCTGAGGCGGAAGAGAAGGAACTTGCAGAAGAGGAAGAGCTCGAGAAACAGATGGAGCGCGAGCATATTGTAGTATCTAGCAGTGACGGTTCGTCGCAGGAATCAGATGACCCTGAAGATGACGATTTCAAATACCTTGAGCCGCGACGATCCAGGCTGAGAGCGCGACATACGATGATATCGGCAAAACCTGCATTGTCCGCAAGTGGAGCGGAGGCTTGTAGGGAGCCCCCCTCCGTGGAAAGAGGCACAAAAGGAGGATCAAACAAGACTATAAGAGAGCTCAATACCAGGACAGAACGAGCGTTTGGAGTGAATCCACTGCTTCGTAGCTTTTCTCGCTCTCGCCCTGTGGACTTGGACTCCGACTCAGACGCTGTGGATCTCGACGAACACACATGGGGTGAACGCGAACGTCGCCGCCTTATCTCCTCCAAGAACAGTATACAGCCCGTCAACATGGAGCTAGGCGGTACAACGAGTGGTAGCCTCGCCGGAAGGAGCCCCTTTCGTGGTGTCTCTTCAGAGAATACGGGTAAGGCTGCTGTTGAACCGGTGAAGATAGACCCAACGCTTAGCTGGGAGCAGATTGGAGGTCTGGACGACTACATTCGAGCGCTCAAAGAAATGATTGTTTTACCACTTCTGTATCCCGAGGTCTTTGAGCAGTTCAAGCTGGAGCCACCGAAAGGCGTGCTGTTTCACGGACCTCCTGGCACTGGCAAGACTTTGATGGCTCGTGTCCTTGCAGCAGCATGCGCGGCAGGTACACGAACTCCAGTAGCATTTTTTATGCGGAACGGTGCAGACTGCCTCTCCAAGTGGGTCGGAGAAGCGGAACGCCAGCTGAGATTAACCTTTGAGGCGGCCAAATCACACCAGCCAGCGATTATTTTTTTCGACGAAATAGACGGCCTTGCTCCAGTACGGTCCAGCAAACAAGACCAGATTCATTCGAGCATCGTCTCGACGCTGCTAGGCCTCATGGATGGGTTGGACGCCCGTGGGCAGATCATTGTTATCGGAGCGACGAATCGCATCGACGCTGTGGATCCAGCACTACGACGCCCTGGTCGTTTCGATCGTGAATTCGTCTTCAGTTTGCCGAACACCGCAGCCCGCAGACGGATACTTGAAATACATACCCGTGACTGGATGGAGCCGCCCCCGCGAGAACTGCTAGATAGCCTGGCAAAGCACACTGCGGGTTATTGCGGTGCGGATCTGAAAGCGCTCTGCTCTGAGGCTGCCCTTTATGCTCTGCGGCGTCGGTATCCTCAAATATACAATTCGGTGGAAAAGTTACTCATTGATCCACGACGAGTCCAGGTAGGTGAAAGCGATTTCATCAGTGCGATGTCCATGGTCGTACCGACTGCACACCGCTCTTTGCGCGTTTTTGGTCGACCGCTCGACAAGGAGCAATCCATCCTCCTTGGCCACGAGCTGGAAATGATTGTACAGCGCACTCGTGAAATGAGCATGCGTTCTCTGTCAGGCAAAGGAGGGCGGTTGCTGATTTATGGTGCCCCAGGAAATGGACAGACGATACTGGGGCAAGCCCTACTGCACGAAATGGAGGATCGTGTTCTGTATACCATGGATTTGCCCTCTCTGGTTGCCGATGCGTCGGCTCGTACACCAGAAGAGGCACTTGTAACGACGTTTCGTGAAGCATTGCGATGCCCGGCTGCTGTCATGTATATACCGCACCTCGAGCTATGGGCAGGGCAACATCGAGAATTCCTACGGAGTTTGTTGCTCGTGAATTTACGGGACCTACATCGAGACTCGCCTCTCTTTGTGTTCGCGACTGCGGAAACTGACCGGGATTTGCTTTTAGCAACTCAAGAATCCGCGTCGCTAACAAGATGCGATGATGAAGTCGAACCGGACCTCGCAGAGATCTGTGAATTCTTTGTGGCAGAGAGCGACGCTGCATACTTTGTAGGGAGTCCACCAGAACATGCGCGTCGGCGCCTGTTCGAACCCCTGATCCAGCAAGCAGCATCACCACCGAGCTGTGAGGCGGACTCGCGCGAAGCCGCCACCGTCGACCCGCAGGTGCTTGAGGAACTACCGCGCGCACCCATTCCTAATTCCCCAAAAGCAAATCCGCGAGAAAAAGATCGTCTCATACAGCGCGAGGAACGCACTCTTCGCGAACTGCGACTTCTTATGCGTGACTTTGTGGAGCGCCTTCTTTCCGATCGAAAGTATAAGCCATTTTGGAAACGAGTGTCCTCGTCAGAGGCTCCTGACTATTACGAATTGGTGAAAGATCCGATAGATCTTTCCACAATTTTGGACCGGGTGAACGCTCAAGAAATTCAGACGATGCATGATCTAGTAGCTGCATTTGAGCTGTTGGCACAAAATGCGCTGCAATACAATCCGGCGGATGATGAGAAGGGAATGCGCATCCGTTCGAAGGCGACTGCTCTATTGGATATCGTCCACCGCTGGGCGGATCTTCTCATGGATCCCGAGGAGAACGAGGAGGAGTCCACGATTATTGCCGAATGCGCTGCAATCGTAGAGCGCAGGAAGCACGAACGCCGAATCCTGCAGTTACAACGACGCCACACCCGATCTCTCGGAAGCGATGGCGTCTTGAGCATTTCGGAGGCTGCCCACCTTGTTTCCCAGTCCCGCAAGCACCACCGCATCCACGAAAGAGCCTCTGACACATTGCATGGATCTCTCCAAGATGAGCAGAACGGCCCTATGCGTGCGTCCCAAAAAAATTTCGAGGATATCGAGACGCAGCCAAACGCCTACCTTTCGTCGATGGACAACGCGCACCCGCATATCAACGGGAGCGCTACGGAGTTCGCGCCTTGTCTTCGTCAGTCAGAGGGGACGAGCTCGACTTGCTTTCCCCGCGATGTGCAATGCTCACCACTGAGAGATGGATTCGCGACATCCGAAATGGCGACGCCAGCAGCGTTAATCGTCACTCATGATACCGGACTTTCGGCTGGAGATCGCTCCTCCACACCAGAAGTGCAAGAACAGACGTTGAAGGGAGTGCCCAGTGATTCGCCCAGAATTGTAGACATTTCGTCCAAGGAACTCGTGCAGGAGATTGCTCATACAGATTCCGAAATAACGAACTCGGCCACTGGAGCGCTGCATGACGGAAAGCGCCCTAACACGCAGCCCACAGCAAACCAGATGCTCTCGCCTTACATCAGACCACCCGACTCGATGCTTCTCGATACACTGGAAACGATCATAGCAACATCAGCTGGTTTGTCCGCAGAAGAGCTGATTCGCCTCTATGAACATCTTGCGCACTGCGTGCGACACAAGCACGCACGCACTGGAGATCGCATCGCAGTGCTGTCCGAGCTGCGTGACATGGCTGCACGCAGTCGGGCGCCCGTAGATGCGCTACGAGAGCCATCTCCCTGATGGCAACTCTGATCCGTTGTGCATGCGCTGCCTCTGCGCTTCAGGTGTGTGCGCGCGGGGAGCGCACTGCCTCGAGTCGAGCGCTGGCGCTTGCACACGCATCTGGTGATCCGTGCCGAGGTTCTCGCTATGCGTGAAATGGCATTGCGTGCATGCCGGGATCTCGCAGGTCGCAGCTCACGCATGACGTGTCGCTCGTTCCGCTGCTGCGTAACCTGGAGCGGCCTGGGCCCTCGTTTGATGAGGTTAAGGTGCTCTTGATGGTGCAGCAAATGTACAAATATCGAGAACGGCTCGTGTTGGGAAGCAGATGCGCACCATGAATACGGTAAGCTACTCAGTGGTGGTGGGACCTTTATCGAGCACGACACGGTCGCTCAGAAGCATGCGTTTACATGCTTTGCGGAATACATATGTACAAAAAATCCAGATTCTTTTGCGAAAGACCAAGCGTATGAGGTTCCGCCAAAGAACGAAAGCAAATGTCATGAATGGATGGACGCGAGTCACAGACCGGGATGCGAATCACGACGGAAACATTGGCGCGGTTCCTTCTGCTCCCTAAAGGCCGTGATGTGTAAACCAATTGTTCTCGCGGATCGACGAATGGTTTCTGTTGGCGTTCTATGCAAGTCGCACAGCGAATCGATGTTTGAGAGAAAGATGGCAACCGGACTCGCACGCCCGCTACCAAGACGGAGCTTCGACGGGATCCCCATCCGAGTCAGTAAAGACGCTTCCATATCAGCGAGGCCGTCCTCTACCGCGGCGACTGGCGCGAAAGCCTCCGATGGAACACCATTCAGCTCTTGAGCGCCACAGTGGAATCACAGCGTCTTGCTCGCGCCAGTGGGTGACACAGACTCGAGGACCATTAAATATTTGAAAAGGTATAATGGTCCGCTCGCTGACTACCGCCAAATGTCGTACAGTCATGGAATGCTTGCATGGTGCACCGATGTCGCCCAGAAATGGAATGCAAAATTGTTGAAGGGTGTTCGATGCTTGAGACTCTTCGACGAGTGCACGGCGTGCATGCGAGAGCACCAGCAAGCACAGCAGCTGCTGAAGGACTGAACCATCCCCTAAAGGTCGACATATACTGCGCAGAAAGCGGGATGCAAGTTTGACGCCCGGATCTTACAGCGCAAGGAACCAGTTCATGAAGATTTCGAGATGTGGCTAGCGGACGCAATTGCCGGCCCGATCTGCTTACTCGGATCAACGGCTAGCATATTGGTGCTTCTAACATCAAGCAGGCTTCGTGAGCGCACGACAGTAAAATTGATGCGGAAACGTAACTTTCAGTGCCTGTCAGCAAGCCCGAAGCCTTTGCCTCAGAAATTCCATCCAGTCTCAGGGCACAGCATCCAAGCCGAGCACTTTTGGATGCGCACATACAGCTCGTAAACGAAGCGCTGCCGTCATCGAGCGGTTGCTCGCTACGAAGGACTCGAGTTCCCGAGTTCGATCCTGCCAGGGGTCATGTCGTTTCTGCTGATTCGCCGCATTCGCCGACGGCGTCTCCTGCGACGAATGAAGAGCACCAGGAGGCCGACAATCAGTGCCGCGACCGCTGCAGAGGCTACCGTCACAATGCTCGCGATCGCAGCAGTGTCTAGTGCGTTTCCGCTGCTGGGTGCAGTCTTATCACCAAGTTGCTTCCAATTCATCGAGAGGGCATTGCGGGAGGAGCAGCCCATAACACGTACAGGTGTGCCCGTTTCGCTGGTCAGATATTTCGCTAGATCCGCGCTTTGAATTCTTGAAAGGAATCTACCAGCGAAAGCAGGTCCAATAAGCATGATGTACTGAGCGAGCGTTCCGCGCGCGAGAGTTTTCCCATGACCACCGCCACCGGAAGCCGTCTCATAGAGCACGATGTCTAGCAGTGGAATCGACGAACTTGCAAGAATTTCCTGTACGCCCCGTCGCAAGGACGAGTCAATTGCCACGGTAAATTGTTCAGGAGCATACCACGAGAGTTTCGGAAAGTATATCAGAACATACATGGGCAGAGATCCGGGAGTCGTGGGTAATCCTCCTCGCAAAGCGCGGGCAGGTGCCTCTAAAGGCCTCTGCCTCCATCGCATTCGCCAAATATCTCCGAAGACGGTCTCGTTGCCGAGGCCCCCAATCAACACTAGACTCTCATCATTCACGAGAGTCATCGTGTGGAAGCTGCGCGCGAGGGGCGTATCAGAAGCTGCAGAGCTGTTACACTCTTGAAGTCTTCGCCAGTTTGCCGCACCTCTGCCGTCAATGTGCACCAACCAGAGATCGTTGAGAGGAACCAATTCGCCCGGATGGCACGCTGTCCGATTACCCGAACAAGTGCGGCCTCCAAACAGAATCCAACTCGGATACTGCGACAACCAGGAGGGCGCGCGAGTAAGGGTATGCCCCTCGCGCGGCAGCGGCAGCGCTTGTGAATCAGCAGATGGAGGAACGTTCTGCCACTCTCCTGATGCGGTGCGGAATATCCATAAATCGTTGAAGACTCTGTATTCTGTACTGCTGCCATTGATTGAGGCTCGAGAGCCACCGAAGTATAACGAATCTCGGTCGGAAAACGGAGCAGCTGCAGCGGCTGCCCTGGCTGCTGGATAAGTAGAGTCCTGCTCTGGAGGCCCAGACTCTGCGCAGCTCGCCCCCATACGAGTCGGAAAAAGGATATTCCAGGTGCTCTTCGGGAAATCGAACATAAACACGCACCGCGAGTAGACTCCATTTCCGATATCACCACCAAAGTAGAGTATCTGTTGGCCGCGCCTCGTCATAGATATGGCTTGTTTCTGGATCGGAATGATGCCGCGACCCCATCCTGACGGCCATAGCGAGCTCATTCGGTACAATGGAGAACGCTCGATGACCTGCATTCGATCCGCCCAGTTCATAGGCCGTCGAAGAATGTCCAATAAGTAAAAACTGTTCGTCAACGCTTCGCTGTCAGCAGTGGTGGTGCTGGCATCCGCGTCAGCTGTGAGGCCCCCGAAAACGACGAGACGGTGGCCCGCAACAACCGCCGCTTGGAAACTTCGAGCTGCAGGTACCGATCCATCGGCCAGCTCAGATCTGCACGACTCTGAAACGGGGTCGAACAGAAATACATCGCCAAAAGGTGTCGCGTCGAAACCGCGACCGGCGTATATATAGACCAGGTCTGTTGTTCCGTTGAAGAAACTGGGTGCTGAGTGACCGTATCGAGGCTCTAGTGGGTAGTGACTGCTGCGCAGTTTCGACCATTCCACACAGACAGCAGCGACCATGGAACAAAGACCACTACACCCGCTCGAAGAGGATACTTAAATTTGCGGAGAAACAGATCGCTGCTTGCGCCATGTGCTACCCAATCACCAGTATGAACCATTTTGGAACCTAAATGTATATTTAGTTTCATTATAACCCCATGGCGGCACGTGCGGAGACTTTTGACCTGATCGTTGCTCCTTGCGTAAGGCGCTTGTAGTCTCCCAAATCAATCGTGCTCAACCCCCAGGTGCAAATAATCAAATGCTTTTGTCGCGGTTTAAGGCAGATGCATTCGATGGGCATTCATTTTCAAAAATTAACAATCCAAGGGAAAGGTATTGGCATGGAAGTCGAGGTTCCTGAAAGCTTGGTGTTGCCAGATCGGTGAAAAATCGGAAAAAACTTTTCTCCCAACAATCGAGCAAAGAAGAGCCAGTGCTTGAAAAGAAGTTGAAAGGGAGGCGGTCGAGAAAAAAAGTTTTGCCCAAAGGGACGATGACGAGACTGTAGTGGCACAGAGGGCATGAGTTCTAGGAATCCCTCCACTGGTGCGTACAAGCAGTAGCTAGAAACGCGTGTAATTCGTGAGCTGCGACTTAACCGCCGCCGTTAACACCAGGAGATGTGCGATGCTGAAGACGAGACCCTCAGAGCTGACGCGGACGAACTTTGTGGAGCAGCCCTTCTTGGATCGAATTGTACAAGGAGTTGAGGCGGAGAGCATGCTGCCGGTCAAAATGACTGGGAGGAGTCTGCGCGTGGGTAGATATGTGTGCTCCCAATGTTCCTAGAACGTTTATCGTTATGCTGAAGCGCATGTAAAAAGTAGTGTTGAATTCTTTCTTGTACAATAATGTGGTGCAATTTGCTGCACCCACGAGTTGAGATGAAAGAGAAAGATCAAAAACATTCAGAAATGCGATGTTTGCGCATACTGCACGTTAGGAAAGAAGAATGCCGGAGGTTTGTACGATGAATTGGATAATGACAGCAGTCAGTTTACGAACGCTCGGTCGAATGCATTCCAAATCATCTTGATTCTGGTGACGCTGTAAAGTTCAGCTGCAAAAATCGATGGAGCAACATCGAGAGCGAACAGAGATCCCTCGAAGTACTTATGAATTCCCAAGCCCTAATTGTAGCCCGTTGTATGCCAAGGCTGTATAAAAGTTCCTTGAAACATCGAAAGTCCGGAATGGAGCGAGCTGTTCAGTGGTTAACTTAAATCTTAAACGGGTTTAGCACTGCGGTCGCATGGGCTATAACGCACTCCATGTCCATGCCGCCGTCCCTAGCATGCCACATCCTGCTCGTAAGCGGATGCTGAGCATTTACACAAGTTGATTAGTACGCATCGAACAATCAATCCTTGCCAACGAAAGGGAGCTGATGCCTCCCCTTCAGCGCTCCGCATTTACAGATGGTTGCGATGAAAACGCTGGCAATTCTACTGGAAATCACAGGACGGTGGAACAGGCTTCGTTTTACTCGAAGCACAACTCTGGTCACGTATTTCGCTCCGGCACTCTCACATTGTGGCCACAGAGCGTATCACTCACAGCTTGAAACGCGTGCTGGAGCCCATGCAGTATGCGTCTTCGGATGAATGAGCGCTGCGGAAGGTTTCACTCAGACGCCTCCCGGAGCTGTCCTGTTAACGGTTGAAATTCATATCATAGAGCAGAATTGTAAATCGAGCTCTTGCACCTCTTGTGGCACAGGGACTGATAAGCGCTTCGCCCTCAATGCTCTTTATTCATTGCAAAAAGCAAAGCTCCCAAACGCTACTGGATTGAATGCGTACAATGCAGAACCAAGACTGTAGCGTACTCCCCGATGCTACGGCATCGACTGCCACTTTCATGCTTTACATCCTCAAATGCTGCTGCCAGCTGGGGTCTATGAGTTTTCGGCATAGATATTCGAGGGAAGAAGAATATGAAGGCCAACCTGCCCCAGCGCCGCCAAGCAGTCCATCTGGGAGGATGTTTCAATCCAATGTGCCTCTTTCGCGGATTTCAAACCCTCGTGCAGAAATAGTAGCTGCGCTGGAATGTCATCTACAGAGTCAGACGATGCCAACCCGTCACACTTCCGGTCTAGTCTTGCCGGGTCTTCCTCAAATAGTGGTTCAAGCGACAAGTCCCAGATGCTAACGGAGCCGTCGCCACATGTCGCACAGAACATCGAAGGCTCGATTCTGTTCCACTCGAGGGAATAGATCGGATCCTTATGGTATGAGAGGCTCGCCACAGGCGTCGAACCTTCGATACTGCCGCTCATCCGCAGGTCCCACACGTGAATCTGCCCTTGGTCGTCCCCTGATATGATTTGCTTTGGATAGCGGCGGTTCCATGCGATGGCGTTGACATCACAGGGATGGGCTTCCGTCAGTTCTATAGCGGGACGATTCGCGGCCCGAAGATCGAGCACTTTAATGGAACGATCGCATGAACAGGATGCAATTAGAGACGGCTCCGTTGGACTCCACTGAAGATCTTCGATTGAAGCACCATGTAATCTAAGCATCCTGTCACCGTTCGGTTGCAAAATTGCCCAGCCCGATTCGTTGCTTTGGATGATAGCGAGCTGACCATATATATCACCGACAGCTAGCATACCGACTTGGAGCGTCGACCAATCCAGGGCGAAACCCTCCTGGCCACTTCTATCCAGCAACCGAAAGACGGGTTCAGTTGGTAAGGCTTCGCGGAATGGGACCGTATCCGCCGCTTGTGGAGGTAGCGCGGTGAGAGCATCGGCAAGGTTGAAAATTGACACCCCGGAAGACTCCCCCCAACAGGCTGCAACGTGTGGCGCCTGCGGCAGGCAGCGGACCCTATTCGTGCACTCACCACGTGGTATCCTTACAGCGCTGATTTTCGGTCGTCGCCTCCTTGTGGATCGGTCATCCGCTCTCTCGAGATCACTCGAGTCAACTACGATTTCACTTTCTGTTTCAGAATCACTGCCAGAACTGCTGCTCGATCCGTCGCTTGCGGTTAAAGCTAGTCCACTCAAGTGCAAGAGATAAAGAGCATTCGCGTCTGCAAAGCGTGCCTGCGAGCCTAGCAGGAGCCATAGTTCACCGTCGTCCTTGAAGTTTTCGGGGACGCGGCACCAGTCGAAAGAGAGACAGGGCCACTCCAAGGTAAGCCGATGCAGCTGTTTATAAACGCTCAAGTCATAAACAGTCTCCGTAGACTCCGTATACACAGAACCTGTGCCAGTCTTTGTCTTCCTCCTGCAGGAGGTATTCTTGCTCGCGCTCGTCGAAGGGAAGTTGCTCCGCTGGGCTGCTCCTTTTCGCCGGAGACCTTTTGGCATGCTGCTTTCGGAGCTAGGCAATAGAGTCGAAAGGCAAACTATGGACGTCGCTGCATAGCGTCTCAGTCTGCCGGCGAACGCCAATGCTGCTGCACGCAGTCAAAATGGACGCCAGAACCGCATCGAACGTGCACTACATGAAATGTTTCCATCCATGGCATTATAGAGCGGAACGAGTTCCAGCGAGGTAAGACGGCCACACACAATCAAGCATGAGCGTCTTCTCGCTGTCATCAACACAGGCTTTTGCCGGGTTCTTTGTGACGAGTTCCTTCGTCCCTCCCTTATATCCTTCTTTGAATACGTCGGTCTCCCCTTTCCCTCGGCATCTGTTGTCCGCAGACGGAGGAGGTTCATGGCAGCGTTACTGTCCAGACTCCGCACGTTCCGACTGTTGGCCGCACACTTCATGCGCACGCAGGCGTTGCAATCTATTTATCGCTTACTGCACTCATTTTCTATGTTTACGGCCTCGGTGCGCCTCTCGCAGGGATGACACCTGCTTATGGTGAAATTCCCTCACATTTCCGCCACATATTCTATCTAGAGCGCCGCCACGTAGCGCGCGAACGCGTGCTTCATCCGTCGGTATGTGCCCTTGACATGCACAGGAGGCTCTCTTCAGTGCCCCCCTCTGTTTGGTCGTCTGGTACGGTACCCCACGATCACGGGCTTGCTGTGAGCGATTCCAGGGGTGCGTTTTCTGTCCAGCGCACACGCGAGCACACGTTGTTCCATTCGATGAAGGATTCGTCGAATGCAATACTATCTCTGATGAAACAAGAGCCGGAAGCAAGGTCGAGACTGAAGAACAATTCGAAACGTTTCGATGCATCTACGCTCCGTTCGTGCAACCAGGTGACGCACGCTTCACCCGGGGAGATCACAGCAATGACTAAAGGCCGAGTCCGGGACCCGTTTCCGCGCAAACGGAAACTGCGGGAGCCCCTGGGCATCATACCCAGTGAGATGTGTGGTGCCGTTGTCGAAAGCCGTTTCGTCGATAGCCACAAAGAGAGGAGGATTTTTCTCGCGAACGCGATCGATTATTTGACGTGAACAGCCCAGTGAAGTTGCAACACGAGCTTGTGAAATAGCAGTCGAAGGATGGCGTCTTGGCAAGCACTTTTCCTCGTCCATCCAGGGGCGCGACATGCTGCGCACGCGAGTTGCCCTGAAACAGAAAGATCGAAGACTTGAAGAATGCGTGATCTAGGCATGCTATGTGTAAGCAAAAGAGAAGTGCCGCGGCACGTACGCGTCGAAATGTTTTACGATATCGGCTATTTTATTAGCCCGCGTTCGAGCGCGTCGCGAACCATTGTGATCATGGTCATGCGAAGTATTCCCGGGGTAAAGACTCGGAGGCATCACATCGGAAAGACGTCCGCGGATTCTCGACTGTTTGCGAATCCTCACGCGGTTATCGCTGCTTATCGGATGTCGAGCATGTACATCCCAAAAGTTCGGAAAAAATGAATGGCAAGAATAGAGTACGCATGTCAGTTTCCTTTCTTAATCCAACACGAATATCGAGCTTGAAACCCTGTCCTGGACTCTCTCTCGAACAGAAACATCGTAGGGAGAGTATGGATGAAGGGCCTTTTACGCAATATCTGAATATGCGGAGCATCTACCATCGTCAATCTGCATCTTAGGCCTTGGAGTATGCAAACACGATGACCAAGGCGAAGCAGAGCGAACGCGATCGATTTTTCGAAGCGGAACATGAAAATTTCCACTGTTTAGTGTAGAATCAAAATGGGTTTTCACAAGTTTCCAGCAGTGCAGAACAGTTGGTCTTCATTTTCAACGCAAACGAAGGCGCGGAGTACTTGCGTTCCAGTCTATATATTTATTGCACCTACTAAATCGGCCACAACATGGAACAGTAATTTTAACAGTACGGAAAATCACCCTTCCCGCAGAGCTTATTCGTCCCGACAAGAGGCCAGCACCTGCTAAACCGTATGGCGAATTCAATCCAAAAATTTTTCTGACTTCCAGCGTCAAGAACGCAGGGCCTACGTATCTTGAGGTTAAAATGTTCAAGTCGAATTTCACTCGAAATACACGGTTCTCGGGTAAGATAGGAATCAATGGTTCCAGAGTTCTCAAAATCGGGATCGAATAAACAAAAAGAGTGGGACTGCGATCTTCTTAGAGTTTTCATCTCAATTTTGTCGCACCCGCGCTGCGGTGCGTACAAAGAGTGATCGAAATGACTATGCAAGATACCATAGATATCGAGGTCGGATTGTCCGTAAGTTACATTCTTTACTAAACCGTGCATGGATCGCTGCATTCCTCCTTCAGGTACGTATACCATAATATTCAGATGGTTGAGAAGCACTGAAAGAAAGAAGTATATGCACTCCGCGTCGAAAAGCGATATTTCCAGCGACTACTTGGTGGCGATGCTAGAAAATAACCCGTGGATCGAGTTAGGGAAAGCAAAACCTGCGATAATGGCTGCCACAGGCGTCCTTCTTTCCCACAAGCTTGTTCGTGTGATCCTAGAACACTGGGATACAGTCTCAAAGAACGAGTCCTAGTTCATGCGCGGCCATCATCCACCGAAATCGGAACTATAGTGTTCCTGGCACGACGCGATCCGTAGAAAGCAGAAGATCGTCGGTTTGTTTTTTCAGTCGATGAGACTTGCTTCGGACGACACGGTCGGAGCGTATATGGGCGTTCGTGGAGCAGGGCACCCATTGTGTGTATCATCTAACTCGAAGAGAACGATCACATCATCATCTGTTCTAGATGCAGTGGATTCATTTGGCGGCCTCAGTTTCGCTCGTGGTGGAGGCTCATGCAACAGCACCCTCTTCTTTGAATCATTGAAGACTTTTCCCTGATGTCAAGCGTAGTCCTGCTATCGGACAGCGTGACATTTTACCATTCCCTTGCGATCGAGCCTCTGCCGATTTTATCCGGATAGGTCTGCTTGCCATTCCTCCGTGCTCTCCGTGACTAAACCCCATCGAAGAAGCGCTTTCTATCGTGAAACGTAACCATCGCTCCATTGGGTGAAGCGCTGAAGCGTTCAGCACACGGTGACACACCAGGGCACATGTCGTCTCGCTTCCGCAAGTCCTTCTTGATCCGTGAAGATCCTCACTTAAGGGCATGAAGAAGTGTGTTCGTTTTGAAGAAATACAATACCCGAGAGATGAGCTGGGGTGCACACTTCAGAACGTCGAGATGAAGAAAAGCCAGCGGAGCGCTTCGCTGGTAGAAAAGCACGGAGTGTTGAGAGAGCAGCAAATGGCGCAGACGGCACGTGTTCGAGGAATCCCGCCACAGTTGTGCTCAACGAGAGGCAAAAAAAACGCATGAAATTCTTGAACCGAGACTTCAATGCCGCTATCAATTTCAGACGGTGTGCGTTGCTGAAGACGGAACCCGAGGAGCTGAGGAGGTATAACTTTGTGCGGCAGCCTCTCCCGGCGGAAGTCTATGAGGTGAAGATGAAAACGATAGCAGTGGGCCGGTTGAAAGAGACTGGGAGTTGTCCGCGAATGGGTATTAGTTCACCTTGGAAAGAACTGAAACTATCGCTCCACCGATCGTATGCAGCGGCCGCTTTGTGCGTTCCCTCTTTTCAATATATTGAGGCAAAATAACACTCCGGAGGAGCTTTGATAGTTCGCTTTCGTCTGAAGACTTTCATCAGAGTACAGTGGGCTCACTGTTTGAAGCTCTCGCTGAAGATAGCACTTATCAGTCATTGATTGCAACCGTTCCCAAGATCGGATATCGACTGTTCGGAGATGATCTTGTTCCCGGTACTATTGGGCATGCTTAAAAATACTTCCGCACACTAGCGCACTTTACGGAGCAGATTTTCGTCCCGCTGCAGCTGAATCTCTATGGAAGTATCACAATTTTAGAGGAGCCGCAAGAAACCCAGCACCACTCATTACTACGAGGGAGCTCTTTCCATTCGAAGCACGCGTTCGACCTGCGTTTGCCTCGCACGCGTAAGCGTGACGGCTGACGCGCTCCTACAGCAGCGACTCTCCATACTCAGGGCTGCTGGGCCTTTGAAGAGCATCAACGGGCGGCCAGAATAGAAGACACATCGCATGTAAGGCGTCCGACATGCGCTGTCCGCATGCTCTATGTCGTGAAAATACCAATATCGAACCAGGAAACAAGCACTCCGAACATCATGGGCATCGAGCAACGACTACAGCGAAGACCTTTCCACGCATGAGACTAACCTTTTCAATCCAGCCCGAAAATGGAATTTCATTCAGTAGAAAAACCGTGAAGTACACGCTTGTCTCGGTTATATATGCATGCAAGCATTCATGTGTGCGAGCACTCGCGCATCTACGAGCAGCCTCTTGGTGATAGAAGCGGCACACCATCCCGCTGTGGCAAGCCGGCAGTTGGATCCACGAGACCTCGAGCTGATGCGCTTGAAAGCGCACAGTGCAGCCGTTCTACCACCATGAAGCGATCGCGGCTGGAGCGCCGCAAGCATCCACGATGCGCCGGGTACATTCAAGGTAGCTGGATCAAGCAAGCGTTTCCCTCAAACGGGAAGGCTAATTCGGTGCTGGTGTATTGTAGGTACTTCTGTGAGGGAGCAGAGGTCTCGTCCCTGGTACTGGCAGGATGCGCGTTCATGCGAGAATATGGACACATGTATCCTTGCCACCCTAGTAGACTCGGACGGCCAGAGGCGCGTCGCGCACCGATTCCGGTCTGTGGATCCGGGAGATGCGCTCGCATGCTGTCGATTGGGTTCTGCAGCCACAGTCGTCCAGAATACGGATCGCTGACTTTTGCGGTGTATCTATTTTTAGGTTCTAAGGATTCGGGTGTTTTTTTGCGAGTTGTGGTTCACTTACAGCATAGACACGCCGTAAACGCTTGTCGCGCGCGGCACCTGTCGAACGTCCGAACTTTTTACAATCCTATGAAATTCGGCAAGAGGTTGAGGGAGACGGTCGAAAGGGCCCCCGCTGAGTGGAGGGGTCTCTTCATTGACTACAAGGGCCTGAAGAAACTACTGAAAAATGAAGTAAGCTTTTGCCAGCAGCCAAGCGCTGAAAAGGCGATCACGGTTGTCTCTGAGGCTACGCAACAAGGCGTGAACGCAAATAGTGCCGCGGAAGCGGAACCTGCGCAGGGGCCCAGCGAGAGTGCCCTCGTACCCGAGTCCAGCGTCCCACCAGGGGAGCACCAGGGCGAGTCGGTGGTGTGTGCTGCGCGAACTGGAGAGTTCAGAATCCAGGGGCACGTTGGGGCCTCAAAAAAGCGCGTGCGGGTGTCGTGCTCACCGCCAGTCTCAAGCACTGCTGACTCTGACTCAGATACCGATATTTCGGATGCACCACCTCTGGAGTTTTTGGAACAGGTCAATAGAGAGCGCATCCCGCGAAAACAAGATAGCCACGGATTTTTTGACTTGCTTCATCAAGAGCTGGATAAGGTTAATGATTTCTTCCTTGAGCAGTTGGAGGATTTAATTATCCGGAGCGAGATCTTACAAAGAGATACGGCAAATTTTTTCGTTTTATGCAAATCTCAGCGAAGTTTCCACTTTAGAGATATTGAAAATCTATCGCGTAGACTTTACAGACTTCATGATGACCTCGTGCTTCTTCAAAACTATGCTGCCGTGAACTATTTGGGCTTTCGAAAAGCCCTCAAGAAATATGACAAGAAGAAGAATACTCGGCTGCGGAGAACATATCTTGCTGGTGTTCTTGGGACGCCTTTTTTCCTGCAGAGCGAGAATTTGCGATCTTTGATCTTGGAGACAGAGCGTCGGTTGAGTTTATTACAGCATCTTGCATCATCGCAGAGTGACAATCAGGATACAAGTCCCGCGAAGATGGCGTCGCCTTCTTTCAGAGAATCAGCCACTGAAAAGGATATCCGAGAAACTGCGCACGAGGAACATCCAGAACCAGTCAAAGTCAGGCAAGCGGAAAGCCTAGATTCTGAAAAATTATCTGATTCCGGCTCGAGATTGAGTCAGAGAGAAGCTGCTGTTCATCAGGGTTGATACAATTATTGTATCGACAGGAGCTGGTCCAAGCATCATAGATTATGCGTCAGCTGATCGCGAACTTGCTCAAACACGTACGTGCTCGGAACTATGATTGCATTTCGTTGTGCGTATCCGCTTTCCGCTGCGTTACTCCATTGAAGTGATCCCGTCTTGTCGATCTTGAGAGTCTCGTTTGCGCAAATTAGCCATGAGGAATCCAACGAGTACGAGAGACGCCCCGAGCAAATACATTGAGCCATATTTTGTGCGTCTTAAGATTGCATCGGCCAGGACCGAGAAAGGAATTGTCAGCGACAAGGCTAAGGACGCCGCCAGAGCAGAAGCGTAGCAAATGGCAAGCGCCCACAGGTAATTGCTCAGAACGCCACCTACCAGAGCGTTGGTAAGCATTAACCATAACGTCCTCCGAGGGGGAAAATCGATGCTTTCTACTCTGCAGAAATGGCAGATAAGAACGATCGGCCATCCGAATGCGAGACATATTCCCCCGAGTGACCCTAAAAAACGACTCACTTTCAGCTCATGCTGCAGTGCAAACTGTCTCTTAATAAGAACAGTTTGAAATGCGTAAAGTATGGCGCCCAAGAACGCTAAGGCATCGCCCAGCGCTGTTCGCGTGCCTGCAGAAGACGCATCGGACGCAGATACCAAGCACAGGCCTCCAACATTCAGCACGACAGCAAGGATGTGGAGCCTGCCGAAACGCTCAACTTTGAGGAGCGAGCCGAAGATGAGCACGAACACGCACGAGAGCGACGAAATGATGGACGATGACGCAACTGAAGTGTAGGTCAAGCTAAGGTTGTAAAGACAGTTGGACATAAACCAGAATGGAGCAATTTTCCAGCTGCTTTGGAGCGTTTCTCCAATACAGCTTCGAAGCCGTTCAGCAAGCCCCTGTTGAAGGGACAGCTGGTTCCCCAGGTTCTGAGAAGCTGTCTCAAAATCACGCGTTCCCGGCTCGACAGATTTTCTGAACACAAAATCTCTCTCCACAACCGTCTCCGTTGCGTTTTGAAGCTGCCCAGCTCCAAATTTACAAGGAGGAACCAAAAAAAGCAGAACGAACAGCGACTGCGAGAGGTAGCTGTAAAGAACGGGCTTTGAAAATGAGTCTTCCCGAAATACTATTTGGATAAGCTCACTCGACGCCACCCAAAGAACGGCAACGGCAATAAGTAACAGAATCCCATACAGATGGGTATAAGCCATGATCCAAGATACGAGTGAAGTTTAGCCAAGGTTTTCAGTGCTCTGCGTCATGGTCGAGCTGCGTTAAACAGAAGAAACTTGTTTTGTCAAATTTAACTAGACACCTAGGTGGACCACGGCGTCTCGCGGGATTCGGATGAGTAGTTCTGTGGCTCGCCTCGACTGTATCAATCCGCTGGTCGACGTAGCCTCCATGAACTTGACGAGGATTCTGGCAACGCAGGGATAAAGAGCGGTCTCGTTTCCTCGAAAGACGCTCGTTACGAAAGTAGCATTCATTGGGAGAAAGCCGCTAAATCAGAGTTGACGTTGAATGCTGCTCGCTCAGGTCTTTTGTGCTCCCTGCTGAGCATTAACTCGCTTTAGAGTTCCGACATTTTCGGTCAATTTCCGCTATTTCATCCGCTTATTTCTGGCAAACTTTTCCGCTCTGAGCTGCTTTCGATCTGGGTAGCCAGCGTTTATCCCGTGCGAGAATCGCTTCTCACAGGAAGCCACAGATTGCTGTTCTCGACCAACGGAATGTCCGTATGACAGTAAACCTGTGGGACGCAGAAACCAGCTCGTTCCAGGCTGTGCAAATCGCTACTTTGTATGGTTTAAGTTTGATGAATCCTCTCTGAATCCTCTATACATGCAAATGCGAAAACCCGGCTTTCAGGAAAGGAACCGTAGATCCTCCGCAGAAACCTACATATACCACAAGCTCCTGACTCGTATCAGCGCCAGCAATAGAGTTAAGATCGACCAAGCGTGCCTTCTAGAATCGGGCTCGCTGTAAAAGCTCTAAATGGCACTGGATGCGCTGCGGCATGCGATACTCGAAGAGCACATGCACTGCATGAAATGTTTCCATCCATGGCATTATAGAGCGGAACGAGTTCCAGCGAGGTAACACGGCCACACACAATCAAGCATGAGCGTCTTCTCGCTGTCATCAACACAGGCTTTTGCCGGGTTCTTTGTGACGAGTTCCTTCGTCCCTCCCTTATATCCTTCTTTGAATACGTCGGTCTCCCCTTTCCCTCGGCATCTGTTGTCCGCAGACGGAGGAGGTTCATGGCAGCGTTACTGTCCAGGCTCCGCACGTTCCGACTGTTGGCCGCACATTTCATGCGCACGCAGGCGTTGCAATCTATTTATCGCTTACTGCACTCATTTTCTATGTTTACGGCCTCGGTGCGCCTCTCGCAGGGATGACACCTGCTTATGGTGAAATTCCCTCACATTTCCGCCACATATTCTATCTAGAGCGCCGCCACGTAGCGCGCGAACGCGTGCTTCATCCGTCGGTATGTGCCCTTGACATGCACAGGAGGCTCTCTTCAGTGCCCCCCTCTGTTTGGTCGTCTGGTACGGTACCCCACGATCACGGGCTTGCTGTGAGCGATTCCAGGGGTGCGTTTTCTGTCCAGCGCACACGCGAGCACACGTTGTTCCATTCGATGAAGGATTCGTCGAATGCAATACTATCTCTGATGAAACAAGAGCCGGAAGCAAGGTCGAGACTGAAGAACAATTCGAAACGTTTCGATGCATCTACGCTCCGTTCGTGCAACCAGGTGACGCACGCTTCACCCGGGGAGATCACAGCAATGACTAAAGGCCGAGTCCGGGACCCGTTTCCGCGCAAACGGAAACTGCGGGAGCCCCTGGGCATCATACCCAGTGAGATGTGTGGTGCCGTTGTCGAAAGCCGTTTCGTCGATAGCCACAAAGAGAGGAGGATTTTTCTCGCGAACGCGATCGATTATTTGACGTGAACAGCCCAGTGAAGTTGCAACACGAGCTTGTGAAATAGCAGTCGAAGGATGGCGTCTTGGCAAGCACTTTTCCTCGTCAATCCAGGGGCGCGACATGCTGCGCACGCGAGTTGCCCTGAAACAGAAAGATCGAAGACTTGAAGAATGCGTGATCTAGGCATGCTACGTGTAAGCAAAAGAGAAGTGCCGCGGCACGTACGCGTCGAAATGTTTTACGATATCGGCTATTTTATTAGCCCGCGTTCGAGCGCGTCGCGAACCATTGTGATCATGGTCATGCGAAGTATTCCCGGGGTAAAGACTCGGAGGCATCACATCGGAAAGACGTCCGCGGATTCTCGACTGCTTGCGAATCCTCACGCGGTTATCGCTGCTTATCGGATGTCGAGCATGTACATCCCAAAAGTTCGGAAAAAATGAATGGCAAGAATAGAGTACGCATGTCAGTTTCCTTTCTTAATCCAACACGAGTGTAGCGTCTCGATGCCACGAAATTGTATTCTCTCCCGGACACGAAACTAGGATGCTCAATGTCGTGTTTTCCTGAAAGACCGTTTGAGGTTCCTCTGATCGACTTCATATTATCCTATCGATCCTGACAATCTTGTGCTATAGACGGAGCGGATTCTGGTTCACGTGTTGCTCCAAAAACAGAGGTTTATATTGTTTTTCTACGACTCCGAATCTTTCTGCGAAATCGGAGAAATGGTGCTTTCTGCAGCTGGTACTGGTTCAATCTCGCTCTCGCAGAGAAGCAGGGTGCCAAGTTTCGCTTCGGAGAGTGGCTTACGAAATCAATATCGTCTCATTCACGTCTCGAACGTTCATGCGGAAAACATTATGATGTCCGTTGAATATTTTCAGCTGAGAAAGAAATCCTGATCTTTCGTTCTGTAAAACAGTGCTCAGCAGTTTCTGTCAGCATCTCATTCAGAGTGTTCACCACTTGGGTTGCTTCGTATCCACCAAGATGGTTACTGGTCCGTCATTTACCACGGAAACGTTCATATAACTTCCAAACACACAACATTTCACGGCTTCGGGATTGGGCATTTTGCTTCTCAAGGTCGTGAATACTCTCTCAAAAAAGGCCTTTGCTTCTCGGGGGGCCATGCTACGGTGAAACGACAACGACTTGTTGCTTTTGAAAACAGCATGCAACGTAAACTGCGAGATCAGAAGCACTTCACCGCAAGTGTCTTTGACACTTTGCGCCCAGCGGACGCGCTCCTCTTTCGAGCCCTCACCGCTGCTTCCGTCTGAAAATATCCGAACCTCAGCTATGCGGCGACAAATCAAGTCGACATCCTCGTTGGTGTCATCCTGGGCAATACCGACGAAAACACAGAGGCCGCGGCCGATCGACTCCGTCTTTCCACCGCCTGAAACCGAAGCCTGTGCAACTCGCTGAATCACTGCCCTCATATCCTACTTACGGCAGGTGGCAGAGAACCAACTGGAGCGTCTGTCTAAACACCAAAAGTTACCATTTTGAATACGGTTTGCCTAGCCAGTTTTACGCGCTTGATCGAGCATGCAATTCCATTCCATGCCAACATGGTAAAGAATTTGGTGCTGTCGTTGTGCAGTTTTTCGAACGCTGCTGTTTTTTTAATGAGAAAATATATTTGGGAACCGTTCCGGAGAGGTATATAAGCTTGTCGAGCCATCCCTATGTCCCTTAAAGGTGTGGCTTTCTTCCTACTCAAAGGTGTGGCGGAACTCTCAAAGAACGCGACGTCCCTTTTGAAACTGGCTTCCGCCGTTTATTTTTTCCAGAAAAATGTTGGCGAGCTCATGCTCTGCGTGGGCCCTTCTATGTTGCCAACTTTGAGCGCAAACGGGGACGTCGTTATTATGGAACACTTCACTCCGAGGTTCAGAGAACTAAAGAGAAAAGACATCGTAGTTGCTGTCTCGCCGTTGAATCCAAACATGAGCGTTTGCAAGCGTGTGACCGGTTTGGAGGGCGACAAACTTGTGGTAGGACAAGCTACAGCCGAAGCAGTTTTTCAAATTCATCCTGAGATCGTTGAAAGAACGGAATACGGGAGCTTTGTTCGGGTTCCGAGCGGCCATGTATGGCTCGAGGGAGACAACGCGATAAACAGTACAGACTCTCGCCAGTATGGTCCTGTATCTGTTTCTCTGATCCGCGGTCGGGTTCTCTGCAGAGTGTTGCCATTGAATGCGGCGGGACGTGTTGATTAGAACGATACCGCCGTGTGGAAATCGTCTCCGCGAAGCGTCGCGAGCGAAAAGGAAACTGCATTGTGTCGCACTCTGCACCATCCTGGTATCTGCTTCAAGTTGCGCACGCTGCTCCTTTAAAGTTGGTTTATTTTCGGCAATCAACCCTCTATGCTCGTTGCAGAAGAATACTGCGATCGCGAGGAACTCCCACCCTCGAGGAATCATATCACAATGACTGCGATGTTGCTCCATCCTCTCGTGCTTCCTCGATATTACTTGCGCAGTCGTTTAGAAAGCTACTGTACTGAGAAATTTTCAACAAGTTAGGCGACGGTTGAAAACAGCACTGAATCTAGTTGGGCTGCGTACACGCACGGAAACGGCAGGAATTGCTCAGCGTGCTGCTCGAAGCGGGAGAGCAGTTCGCCACCGGTTTCGGACTAATGGAACACTGGACTGCGCTCTATTCTCCTGCTTTTCAAGCTTTCAGAACTTCTTTAAATGTGCAGCCTCGTGACTCGAGTGCAGGAATAAGGGCTTGCGAATTAAAATGTGGTTTTACAGTTTACGGAAGTCTTTCCACGGAGGCCTCTTCGACTCTTTGCCGATGGAACTCGATGTCCACGAAATCAAGATGAAGCGCTACCTTCTAATAAGGGTTTGTAACATAAAGGATATCATTATCCAGTTCATATGCCCAAGCCTTCGCTCGTCCCCTTTCCTTACACGTAGCATGGTCAATCCACGAAGTCTTCAAGTCTTGAATCATTCTGTGTTTAGGCAACTCTAGCGCGCAACATATTGCGCTGCTGTGTCGTCTAGGAAAGAGAATTCAACAGTGTCCCTTGACGACTTCTTCACAAGTTCAGAGCGAAGTCTCATTGAACTTATCACGACGAATAATCGATTCCGTTAGATAGAAAAATCGGTCCCTCTCTGCGGCGACCGGCGATACTGCATTCGACAGGAGAATGATACCTCTCAGGATGTGTGCGCCTAGAAGCGCCGGTCAATTCTGCTCGCAAGCGCAGGTAACTTGGACTCGGATCTCAGTCGTCGCAAGAATCGCTTCCAGTAATGCGTGCGTCTCCGCCTTCAGTGAAGCGAGCGTTGACAAATCGAAATTCCGCTTCTATTTCTCCAGCCAGGATTTTTCCTTCCGTTGCTTGTTTCATCATGGACAATATCGAGTTCTACAATTCATTCCTAGAATAGAACGGATTGCGCTTTCAAGTATAGCGACTAGAATATTCGCCGAGGGAGTCGCTCAGAATAAACTCGTGATAGCAGGGTACGGTACCGAACTTGGAAACTGAGAGAAGCGCCTGTGGAAGTCTTAAATACATGCCACGGAAATGCACCGAGCCATGAAGCAAGCGTTCACAAGTCGCATGTCGGCACTTGGGGAAGTACGTGTGGTGAACGTACGGGACCAACCGAACGCAGCCAGGTCCCACCACTGCGAAGAGCTCACCGAGGATGTGTTTTAAGAAGTTGAAAACGGCAATTGGTACCTAAATAGAAAAAACATCCTCCTGTACATGAAAGAGTCAACAACAGGTGGAAGCAGGGAGACAGGGAATTTAACGTTGCTACCAGCGTCATTTGACTGTCTGAATCGGAACTGGGGAAAGTAAAGACCAACATATTTAGAGCAGGAGACCATAGAAAGGAAAAGAAGCTGTCCCTGCGAATGCCGGCAAAAGCCTTTGTTAAAGACCGCGAGACGAGAACCAAACTTTGATAGGAATTTCCGAGCGAGCCATGTGGAACACTTTCGATCTTAGTCTCACATGAATGTACTGCAGATGGTGGGCACGCCCTTTATAATGAATAAATGTCTGATAATGCCTCTTTACAACTTATATTCAGGAGATTCTAGAAGAAGCAACCGTGCCGTGGATCTTTGATACTGTAAGTGGGAGGAGATTTGGAACTCCTACCTCTTCATCCTCTTGACTAATCGCGCACAAAAGCACTCCGACACTTTAACTTGACTAGCTACAACAGACTAATATTTCGTAACCTCAGGTTACCCCTGGCTCATCTTCAAAGAAAATAAATTTTTCCAGGAGGTACTAAATATGGACAACGTCCAAGAAAAATTCAAAATACGTCATCGAAATCGCCCTGCTGCGAAAATTAGAAATTCGCTCAGATCTGAAATTTTTGAAAGGCAAATTTCGCTCCCGTGTGCCTTAATAGATGTCTCCCAACAGAATGATTTAATGTATTCATAAGCTCAGCCCAAATCGTTCCGGCCTGCGTGAAAACTGATAATTAATTTTTCTTCGTATTCAACGATTAGACTCAACACTGGGCTCGTCGAACTTGACCATCGTAAAATTTTGCTGCTTCTGTTGATTATATAGGATTCGTTTTTACTGGACCGTCTGCCAAGATCTATACGCAACTAGTGAGTATGGAACCTTTACCGCATACTGAGTGCCAGTGGAGTCTAAGTTAATCTTTAATCTTTTTTTCAGGCTGAGGGCCTGCAGCCTTGTTTCTGAGAAAAATACCTGTCAGAGACCCCGTTGAAACTACGGTGAGCGGTGGAACCATCAAGAGTTACTCTCGGCATCGTTGCGTTTCTCCATATAGAACGCTTTTGGAGAATCCGGCCAATAATGAGGGAACTGCGTTCTGAGACTTGACGGAGATTGCTCGAAAAACAAAAAAAGTATTATTGTCATGCGTGGTTCGAACCGCGTCAGATATTCGTGCGCCTCTTAATGCCAAATGTGGTAGTCGGTGTCACTATCGCATGCTCGCATCCCATCCTGGCTATCTGGTAATGATTTGAGCCTTCGCAATTACTAGTTGAATTGCATCTATCCAAGCAATTGGTATCTCAGAAATCCTTTCAGATCATCTCGTGGAATTACACACTTCGAAATAAAACTCAATAAATCCATTTGCGAGTACTGTCTGAACGAAGGCCTTTTGCGCAAGTGAAGGTAGATATCGCGCTTCGTAGGCTCTTCCACTAATTCCTAACCACGACGAACTTGCAGGAAGCGTCAAACTGTCCACAAGAGATATTGCATTTAGCCGTGGTCCCGCCTGTCCAAAAAAACCGGTGCCACGGCAGCCACACTCGCTTATCAAGTTTACGTTTGTCACAGACACTGCGTGACTGCTCGAAGGCGTCTGCAAACAAATACAGTCTTTCATGCGCCATTCCCGTTAAAAGAAGCTGCTCAAACGGACCCTGTACAGATCATTTTTACTTGAGTACATACATTATCATAATTGACATCGAGGCAAACAATGGTCGCCGCCGAGTGACTCGCCCAATCTAAGCTCTCCTAGAAGATCGAGTCGGCTAAAGCACCCAAATACTGAGCCATTTTCTCATTCTTTGCAGTACCATCCCCATCCTTGTACATAATGGACAAAAAACGCGTCGCAGGGAGGCTGCCAAGCTCATGTGCAGCTTGAAGAACAAAAAATGCATGTTTCGCATTTCGCTGGATTCCTAGACCATGATAAACCATCATCCCAGCGGTGTAAAGGCAGTCAGCTGCGGACTGTATGTTCTGCTCCTCCGCGTGGATCTGTGCTGCGTCAAAGAAGAGTCGCAACGCCTTTTCATAGTCGCGCTCCACCTCGAATTTGCCCGCATATATCGCCTCTGCGAGAAACTGCATTGCACCTGCATGTTCGAGATCAGCTGCGATCGCAATATGATGGTGAAATCGTTTCAAACTCAGAGCGATAGGGCCGTCATATACTTCGTGCAGGAGCGTGCCGCAGAAGATGCGTGCGAGGACAAAGTGTGCATCTGGGTGACCTTTGGAAGCTGCTTTCTGGAGTTGGTCCATACCCTTTGCATAGTCGATGTCTTGTCCGAGATCTCCCATGATATATATGCAACCCAACTCATGTTCAGCGTGCATGTCCCCCATATTGGCAGCATGTTTGAGACATCCCAAGGCCTTTGCAATATTCGACGGTTTTGTTTCTCTGTAGTAGGCCGCCAGCTGTACATATGCGTTCAAGTCGCCTTCATCGGCTGCCTCCTCTAATAACTTCAGCGCTTTGGCTGGATCAGCCCTTACTGGGTGGATGCCTTCCAAGAAGAAAGCCGCGAGGGCAGTTTTCGCTTCGGCAACTCCCGAACCCGCTGCCAACTGAACATAATGAAAAGACTTGTCATAAAGATCGTCTAAACTATCTCCAACGCTTCTCCGGCCTTCCGCGTCTTCTGATTCAGCTGAAGGCAGAGACTCGGTGCCGATTGTGATACGCGCCCTCTGCAACTCATTCCGCAGAGCGTCGGGAAACGCCGTAAGATTCGAGTCACGCATTACTGATGAAGCGAGTGCACGCAAGTCTCCAATAAATGCTGCATTCTGTTCCCGCGCTTGCAATGTTGCCTGTTCCTGATATGTTAAACCTAGAAGGTATTGAGCATGTGGGAAGCCTGCTGCGGCTGGTAACCGCAGAAGCTCTCGCAGCTCCTTAAGATCTTGAGTGCTCCTTCGCGGCTTTTTAAAATACTTCACTAGAGCGTAGGCCACCCGCGCGGTGGCGCTTGAGAGTGACATAGCCTGGTTGTCGTCGGATATATACTGTTGCGCAAACGCAAGCGCTTCCTCACGGCCCCGTTTCTCGAGGAGCTCATCGAAAACTTTTTCCGAAAAGATGCGGTGCTCCTCACCTAGTGTGCTGAGATAGCGTTTTAAGCTTCTTACACTGAACTCTGTGCGAGCGCTATCCTTCTGGAACCCTGTGTAGCGCAGAGCCGAGTGAAACGAACGGGCAGCACCGAGCTCCCTCGCAGTTTGGGCAACAGTACGCGAACTTGGCCTGCTGTTACACAAGACAAGTAGCCGCTTACCAATAATTGCCAACCGATTTGCACAAATACGGCTCATTAGCTTTGCCATTGTGCAAGCCCGTCGGGGGCTACTGAAAACATTCTGAAAAACGAGTCACTAGTGTTCTATATTGAAGTGTTGAAGTTTTTCATCTCAATTTTGTCGCACCCGCGCTGCGGTGCGTACAAAGAGTGATCGAAATGACTATGCAAGATACCATAGATATCGAGGTCGGATTGTCCGTAAGTTACATTCTTTACTAAACCGTGCATGGATCGCTGCATTCCTCCTTCAGGTACGTATACCATAATATTCAGATGGTTGAGAAGCACTGAAAGAAAGAAGTATATGCACTCCGCGTCGAAAAGCGATATTTCCAGCGACTACTTGGTGGCGATGCTAGAAAATAACCCGTGGATCGAGTTAGGGAAAGCAAAACCTGCGATAATGGCTGCCACAGGCGTCCTTCTTTCCCACAAGCTTGTTCGTGTGATCCTAGAACACTGGGATACAGTCTCAAAGAACGAGTCCTAGTTCATGCGCGGCCATCATCCACCGAAATCGGAACTATAGTGTTCCTGGCACGACGCGATCCGTAGAAAGCAGAAGATCGTCGGTTTGTTTTTTCAGTCGATGAGACTTGCTTCGGACGACACGGTCGGAGCGTATATGGGCGTTCGTGGAGCAGGGCACCCATTGTGTGTATCATCTAACTCGAAGAGAACGATCACATCATCATCTGTTCTAGATGCAGTGGATTCATTTGGCGGCCTCAGTTTCGCTCGTGGTGGAGGCTCATGCAACAGCACCCTCTTCTTTGAATCATTGAAGACTTTTCCCTGATGTCAAGCGTAGTCCTGCTATCGGACAGCGTGACATTTTACCATTCCCTTGCGATCGAGCCTCTGCCGATTTTATCCGGATAGGTCTGCTTGCCATTCCTCCGTGCTCTCCGTGACTAAACCCCATCGAAGAAGCGCTTTCTATCGTGAAACGTAACCATCGCTCCATTGGGTGAAGCGCTGAAGCGTTCAGCACACGGTGACACACCAGGGCACATGTCGTCTCGCTTCCGCAAGTCCTTCTTGATCCGTGAAGATCCTCACTTAAGGGCATGAAGAAGTGTGTTCGTTTTGAAGAAATACAATACCCGAGAGATGAGCTGGGGTGCACACTTCAGAACGTCGAGATGAAGAAAAGCCAGCGGAGCGCTTCGCTGGTAGAAAAGCACGGAGTGTTGAGAGAGCAGCAAATGGCGCAGACGGCACGTGTTCGAGGAATCCCGCCACAGTTGTGCTCAACGAGAGGCAAAAAAAACGCATGAAATTCTTGAACCGAGACTTCAATGCCGCTATCAATTTCAGACGGTGTGCGTTGCTGAAGACGGAACCCGAGGAGCTGAGGAGGTATAACTTTGTGCGGCAGCCTCTCCCGGCGGAAGTCTATGAGGTGAAGATGAAAACGATAGCAGTGGGCCGGTTGAAAGAGACTTGGAGGCGCCTCTGACTAAGTGTTATTTTAATCTTCCTGGTGGTGGAATGTTTTTAGTTTTACTGAGCCTATGGTGCAGATTCCACGATGATTTCGGATACGATTTTTCGTCGTTGCACTTGCGAGGGTGCACCGGTCAGAAGTAGAGCCGCGAACTTTCCGCTGTTTAAGACGCCGAATAAGTTTCCGTGGGTAGAAGGGCATCGTTTGCTTCTTTGTGTCGACCGGCCAAAAGAGTGGAGCCTGTGAGAGGTACGTCCACCACGACGAGGGATCTGTAGGGCAGAAGCCTGCCAATGTCTGCAGAGAGTGTCCGGCGGCCGGAATCGGCGGTTTCGTCGGGAACCCCTCCAGAAGAACATTTTCCGACAGCTGCAGGTGCGTCTTCCCCGACTGTGACCACTCAGCTTGGTGAGAGAGGGGAACTTAGTACCGGAACCACGAGCCGAAGGTCAGTGTGTCCCCTTTTGAGTGGAGAAGATGCAGCCCCAGCACTTTCGCCCGAGTTCAGTGCTAGACACCTGGCAAGCGAGCTATTGCTGGAATCACAAATGGGATTGGACTATTCTGGACCAGAAGCTTCAAGGCAGGAAGTGGATTCGTTGAAAATCGTACCTGATTCGACGGAAGGTTTGGTACCACACGTCGAAGAACATGAACGCAGTTGGATGGTTCCTGCAAGGAACGGGAGCGCTCCTGGATCTCAAGAGGCTGAGAATTTACCGGGTGGAAGCTCCCCTAAAGAGCACGACTTTCTTTCTGATCTGTTGGCTGACCTTCATGCAGAGGCTGGTGCGAATAAGAAAAGTACACTGGAGCATCGCTTGCCTCATCGATCTCATGATGAGCAGCATCATACTCTGAACGCGTGGGATTTTGCGGCTCTTTACGGTGATGCCACCCCTGATGTCGTTGCTGCGATTATTTCATCAAGTGAGGGCCTTGTACCGGACGACGGGAGTATTCGACCAGAGACAATATTTTCAATGAGCGACGGCAACCAGGTCATAGTTCGGGGCGCATCGGATTCTCTGCAGGATCAAAATTGGCTCAACGAAACTTTATACCTCCAGATATCTACGGATCCATCGCATAGTGGATTTCAGTACGCCGCGAGGCCGCGGAGCAGCTCCAGCATTGGAGACGAGCACTCTCAGTTCTCTATCGGCTGTAGTCCCCTTGTCCAAGAGGTAACCTCGTCCCAGTGCACGGTGGGTAACTCGAAGAGGGGCGATGTGGAAGCGGATCTGTCTGGTGAAGGTTTGCATCAAATGCTCCTTGGGGAACGTGTTAGAACCAGTTCGTTTCATATACCCGGTCACGATACTGGGAATCAGTGTCCAAAGTCCTGGAATTTTATTCGGGGAGAATCCGGCTCGTCCGGAATGCCAGAAGTGCGCCGTGATCCGTTGGTGGTCGTTCAAAACCCGAAACGCCGTCGCAGGCTAAAAGACCAGCCCAGTGACGACCTGGAGTCAAATCAGCACTCCGTGCATGAACCGAGCCCTGAGCGAAAAGATCGAAATGACCCACCTAGCAGTTTAGAATGGTGTCACATAGAAGCGTTGAAGACCAAACTCGGGCTTCCAAAAGCTCGGCTTGAACAACACCCTCTACTGGGACATTTTCAGATGCGTTCTGTCGATAACATTGTTGAGGACCGCCTGCATGATAGACCGTTATCAGAGAGAGGTTTGTGTCTCGGAAGTGAAAACTTCCCAATCCCTGAAACCGAGAAGATTGAGCCAGAATTTTCTGGAAATGGAACAGTCAACGAAACAGGCAGTTTGGGCGCGGAGAGCGGCAAGCTGGCGGATTCGGCCTCCATTATGCGAAAGCGGCGCCTTGTGTGGACACCGCAGCTGCACGAACGATTTGTCAAAGCAGTGAATTTGATCGGCGTAGACCAAGCCATGCCCAAGATACTCGTCAGTTTAATGAATGTGGAAGGCCTCACCCCAGAGCACGTGAAGAGTCACCTGCAGAAGTACAGGCGTAATCTTCGCCGAGCCAAGAGTGAACAGAGAACTGTGGAGTCTCTGGCAAATTCCGATACGGCTCGCCATGAGCAAACCCAGTTGGCGGCGACGCTGAAAGATGATACTGAACCACTAGGTACGTCATCACCGTTACATTTGCAGTTGGGAGCGATTGAGCAACCAGGATCTGGAGAACCGTTCGAAGCGCGCCGTGGAGTTGCCGACAATGTGCACGACTCCGTTACAAAAGTAGCGGATGCCTGCGCGGGAGAAGATTCCACTGTTTCGCATAGAGGCTACGCTAATTTTAAGCAGAACAAGGAGGATGATTTTACAAGAGACTTGAATTCCCACGAAACAAACGCTTTTGTCTTGAAAGGCCAGAACTGTAATCAAGCTCGGTTCGACGAAACTGACTTTGAGAATACCTCCCGAAATATCAGCGCAGGAGAGGTGACAAGCGAAGCCCAAAGGCCTGCCTCACTGCAGTGCAAGGAACGAATGAACGCGAACACACTTTCGCAGTGTCTGTTGTCCGCTAAGGCTCGTATGTCGGATTTACTTAAGCAGCAAATAGATCTTCTAAGAGAAATGAGGCTTTGCGATGCGCCGCACCGCGAAAAGTTGCAAGCAAAATGTGAAGCTCTTGAAAGCGCTTTGGCAGATATCGAGGGAATGCTAGAGCTGGGAGTAGAGGGTCATTTGAGCGAGTGAGTGCTTCGACCTCTATCGAGGTATTGTAATCCTTAGATATTGTCAGACTGACGGCTGAGGCGGAACTGCTTACAGCAGCAAATCTCTGCCCTTCGGCACGCTTACACCAGTGCAAGCTCTTGTATCTGTAACGGCATCTGCTGTGTCTCTTCTTCGTGTTTTCCCGCAGGAACTCGACAAAAAGATTTCACCCCGTACATTCGAGAAAGGTCACGTAAGCACTACATGATGTCAGTGCTTGCATTTGAAAAACGAACTTACTTTCACATGCAAGTCATTCTACGAACGGCGGGTACAGGAACCACCCTTCTCGTAGTCCACATACTACGTGGTGTGCATCCAAAATAGAACTTATCAAACTCGCTATCGACGACTGTTTCCTCGTCAATCCTTTCCGTGCGATACGTTCTTCACGAAACGCTACCAAGGAAGCAACAGTGCGGCAACTTTACGCAACGCTGATACGAACGGTGGAGAACAGACACGGATGGAAAAAGTAAGATGTATGCCTCTATGGGAGAGCGGTGCGCGTTGCTCACCGAACTATCAGAGTCGCACCCAAATACAAAAGCTTATTGCCGCAGCAACGAATGTTCGTCTCACTCGACGAGACTTCAGACGTAGTAGATCTGCATGAGGGCACTCGAAGAGGGCCCCATTGTCGCCCGTGCAGAATAGACGAGCGAGCATTCCGACAACGTCAGCCCTGGCGATGATTCCACTGCTTGGTCGCCTACGAATCGAGAAAAGCACAGGGTAGTTCGGCAACGCTTCTCGTCACCTAAGCAGTTCGTGGCTCCCCGTTACCGCTATCTTCCATCCTGCTCTTTTACAGCGTTGCTTTCCGTCATCCAAAGGCGGTCCAGGAGCACGTGCCCGAGACTGGCATTGAGCGACTATTTGTGCCTGCCGATTCTCCGAGATTCGATCCTATGAAAGGCATCTTCTCTGCTGAGAAACGCCAATATACGCTCCCGGATCGATAGTCGAGTCGTTCGCATCCGTGGAACCGTCCGTCGACGAGTCCTTCCGTGCTGGTACTATCCCGGAACTGGGCTGCTGACCCTCTGCTCGAGCCAGGAAGTGAGCGGAAGGGCTCGCTTCGGTCGCACCGCCGGCCCAGTACCAGTGAGTCCCGAGGGATAACATTCGGATGTAGCGTATAGGAGAAAAACCCACGGAGAGACGAGATCAACCTGCAACCATGGTCAAGGCACTCCTACGAAAACACATCACCTGGTAGAATCTCTCCCAAAGTGAGACGCTGGACGTTGTTTAGCGAAAAATGCCTCCTACTCTGGGAAGATTCGTCTTCCTTCTCTCGCCTTGACACACATCCTCAAGCGACTGTTGGTAGGATTGTAGGAGACAGGACGGGCAGCTGTCCAGAGTCTGCCGTTACGTATTCAGTCCAACCCTGGTGCGACAACTGATGCTCTCGATGGAAGACGGAATACATACCCGGCTTTTCTATGGCTGTATCTCATCGAGAGTCGGGCATGTTCGACGCTACGAGGCGCACCAGCAAGCGGAATGTCGGCGTCACGACCTGTCTTGACACACTGGGCTTCGCATCGAGCAGGGAATGATGCTCCAGACGCCTCTCATAGAGTATACATGATCGTCCGGATGGGTCATACGGGCGCACTTTGGCTAAAGCACATGCATCCGTGTTGAGGTCGCCAACGTTTCCGGTTATTCGGAGGGGAAAAACGTGCACTCGCAACTCTCTCGTTGCATTCGATGAGGAATTGGCAGACGTGTTGCGTCTGTTCTTTGGTTGTAGCCTACGGCGCTGGATATGCTGTTGGGCGCGAGGGTCGCACTCGTGCCGCATGTGGAGCACACAAAGAGTGCAGCAACCCATGCTGCACGATGCCCGTCTTTGCGTACAGGACGGCATACATATATTGCGAGCACAGGTGCGCACTGAAACCTGCACGGGAGAAGAGCGTGAATCGACGCTGGATGCACGGGATGTCGCACAAAAAGCTGACCGAAGGTCAGGTTACGAGAACATTGACCGTGGGCGGCTTGGCTTGGTGTGATTCGACCAGGAACAACGCGCACAAGCACTTGCTGCAGCATGACTTGAAGGTTTCGATCAGCAGTCGGGACTATCCCACGCTTCCAAAGCGACCAGCGGCTTTATCTTCGGAGGAATTTGGAGGGAGTCCTTTCGCAGCTAGTGTGGGCATTGTGCTGGAACGCTGAAGGCTTGCGATGAAGAAAAGCAGTATCGGCCAGGAGAGAGGGTCGGGTTTCCATCCGAAGCAACGCACAAGGATGATGTCGTCAGCGACCCAGATATGCTAGAGCGCCGAATGCGTACACCGAGAATGATTTACCATGGCAATCGGTGAAAGATAAATATGGTCCATTATTCGAAAATACTTAGAACAGTTGCATTCCCAATCTCGTCTCTATGAAAATCAGGAAGGAATTTGGTAACCACCACCATCAGCTATTACGAAGCACAGCATCTTCCGCTGAAAGGTCGCAATCCATATTTGAATCGAGCGGATTTCCTTTCGTTTGGTACACGAACAGACTCAGACGTGCGTGCTTCTCGGAAACCGTTTCATTCTTTGTGTCTGTGCAAAACTAGTAGCGAATTCCACATGCAAACATTTGCTCTTCTTCAGATACTCCCGCGTCTCTGAAGCAAGGATCGAGTTCGAGAAACATTACCCTAGTATTTTCTAGGAAGTCCGAGAGCCCCTAGGTTTCGAGAAAGACAAATTCTTTCAGTTATGTGAGCGACGTATCCAACCCCAATCTGCATACAATTCCTTCGTTATCAGCCATTGTTTCGTACCAGCAAACGATACTTGTCTTCCAATCCCGCACCCCTCGCTCCTGCTCCTACAATTTCACCACTGGCATTTCTATTGACGATTGGGACTCTCTCTTGCATACAAACAGTCCACGAGCTCTATTGCATCAGCATTCGCCATCCATCAAATCTGTCAAAGTGTCCTGACAGGCATATCGGCAGCGCGACGAATCCCAGTACACTTGTTCACATTGCGGATCCGACACACTCAGATCTCTCCAGTGTGGGTAGGATATCGGCTGGCGTACAGTCAACTAGCCGTGCCATATTCGATCAGATGCGAGAAAGCCATCATAAACCGGGGAAGAGACTTCAGCTTCTTTGCAGAAGCTTCCTCGCTCCGCCGACATAGAGTCGAACTCAAAGCCGAAAGAGCGCCCGGATCTGTCGAGCTACTCGCACGATGCTGATCCTGATATGAGTGCATGCGCCTATGCTGCATATGCCGATGCAACCTCCGCATTGAGATAGGACGATTTGATTGAAGCCCTGCTTCGCAACTGGAGACTTGACCCCGGGTTTGTAGTCGGTCCAGGCGCCCGAAGAGGTGTATGGGGATCTCAACTGATTCCCAACAGCAGACACGTTCCCAGGGAATGCAGGTTCGATGCATCGCTTGGGCGACACAAAACTGAGCGGGGAAAGCACAGCCATACGCATTTGTGCGGGCAGGGGCTCGAGTCGCCGTCCTCCTGTCGCGGTGTCGTGAAACATCACCGGTGCTGCGGCGGCGGCACGGCGCGCCTGGCCTCCGCGACAGGCTGCCCAACTGCGCCGCTCGCTCAATGGACATGAGATCTTGTTCAGGGATCGTGCTGTCGGGTCTAGCACATGCACTCAGCTCGTATGCTCGACGAACGTACAATCTCGTTCAGTTGCATTAAGTGAAGTTCTATTGCATGCACTCAGCTCGCATGCTCGACGAACATGCAATCTCGTTCAGGAGCACAAAGGAAAGGTCTACTGCATGCGAGCGACTCTTGTTTTGGACTAACATCCGAAATGGCTCTGGGGTACTGTGTCAAGGTCTCCTGCATGCGAGCGACTGTGTCAGTTGATTCGACTTGTTTACGGCGAACAAGGGATGCCTGGCTTTTAATATGCGGCACACGAAACCTCTAACTTCTCTATTCATTACGCAATTGTTCTCGCAAATAATTGTCGCTGTATGTATCTGCGCTTTGATTGTGAATTTTTGGCATCATGATCACCGAACGCTCTATACTCTGGATAATTTTTCACGAGAGCAAGATGATTCGAACTTATCTCGCATACGGGATGTATCCGACGCATGGATATCAACAGCTCTTGCAGCTCAGAACGAATACCAGGAAGTGATCCCAATTCGTCTCATGCAGCCTCCGTCGACACACAACTCCTTTCTCTCTGTTGCTGAGGGCTACGGTCTCTGCAGCACACTTTCCTTCGCCCTCCAGAACTGGACACTGAGTGATCAGATTATGCACAGCATTCGTCAAGTGGAACTTGATGTCTTTCGCATCGACTCCGAGCTCACAGTTTGCCATCCCTGCTATGATGAATGTACTTGGGCATCTTGGGCATGCAATCGTAGCCTCAACACGTACGCTACCCCAACTGTGCCGCTCTCTTCACCGTATTTTGGATGCGATCCGGAAATAAATCTTTCCTTCAAAACAGCTCTGGAGAAAATCTGGCGTTCGTGTCGAACGTACGTTGACGAGCATCCGCAGAGAAGGGCTCGTGAGCTCCTCATCCTGCACTTGCAGCTGCACGTAGATAGTTCAATCACTGAACTGGAAGAAACCCTCGATTCCAATCCTTGGATATCACAGCTAGTCACCGAGATTCGTGAGAGTATACCTGAAAAAGCGCTTCTTCCCGCTGCTTTCGATGAACCGTTGGAGGTCCTGATTGAAAAAAGCGTTGCTGCGTTTCGTGAGCGGACGCCAGTTGTAGAATACCCTGCTCTATGGGTTCTACCAGTCATCGACCTACTGAATCCGAGCAATGGGAAACGAACGCCTGCAAACAGCCCTCTCTTCTCACGGTCTGCTTCACCCCTGAGAAAAGTTGGGGTACCAAACGTGAACCCGCTGGAATACCCAGAGAATCGACTGAACCATTTACTCCAAGACGGAACCTGCCTCGTTCATGCGGGCGGAAGAGCTGCCTCGAGGATCAGCAAGAACTTCACCTATTTCGTCGGCTCTATCTTCAGCTCTCCTGCGCACATTACTGAAGCATACCGTTGTGGGTTCGCTGTTCGTGCTGCTATGCCATCGAGTTCACTTCGGAAAGAGGCTCTATGGGGAATGATCTGGTCCTGGAAAGCAAACTCTAGTATCGCAGCGTTGACGAGCGAAACGCCCGAAGGATTTCACCAACCCGTCTTCATGGATGCCACCGACTGCCGTTGGACGACGCAGAGCCCAGATCTAGAGTATGCTGCAGATATTTGGCTATGCACAACAGATCCATCGAGAACGATTGGCGAACGCACTTCATGGAATTTGGTGGCAGACTTGAATAGCTCCTGCCTGGTGGATATTCCGCGCACAGGCTACGAGAACGCATTCGCCTGTGCTGTGCTTCGCGAAAGAAAACTTCGCGGTGCAAGGCTCGGTGTAGCGAAAACCGTTGGCAACGTTGCTTAAAGCAGTGGACATTGTGAGCTACGGCGGAGTGAAAGCCGCTTCGCCGATTCTCAGGCCGGTTGCGTCGATGCATGGGCAACCATCCGAGGGTTCTACTGCACGAGGAAAGATCTTGCGTGCTGTTCACAGAAAATCGCTTCTTCCAGCTAGGACCTATCAGCAGCGCTTCCTTTACCACCATGGTCAAATCTATGGCTAACAGTGCATCATTGCACTTCGCTGGATTTTACTTCTCTTATTTTTTCGGCATAGCCTCTTCAAATAGATCGAAAAAGTGTTGATCTGCAGGTGTAACTTTGCGGCCGGTATTCTCCTGATCCCTCATGAAGCTTGTTTGTGCAGCGGAGCCTCCGCTACCAGAGCTTTGAGGCATTGAAGCCCCCGTGAAGAAGGGTGGAGGTAGCGCAGGATTCTGGAGTGGGCTGATCGCCATTGGATACTGCTGCATGGGGGGCAGCTGCGGCCGGTAATAAGATGGTGGCCCATTCCCTAAATCTGACTGCGGCGTTGTACCGTGAGACTGTACATGAGGAACCGGTGGAGCGTAGAACTGCGGTGGATACCCGGGTGGACCAAAAGCCCCTGGGTGCACACCCGGAAAGGCCCCAGGCACTGGAGGCGGCGGATACATAGGGTAAGCGCCGTGTGATGCATACGGCGGCAGCATACCATAGCCACCGGCTTGATATGCAAACTGCTCAGTGCTTGGGGCAACCAGTTCTGTATCTGTTCGATGTCGGGGATCGACGCCATCCGTGCTCCTCTTGCCCTTTGCAGATGCGGTAGCTGTACCTGCAGCTTTGCGTGGGGCAACGCCTCGCTTGCTCCGTTGATTTGCGCTCGTCGTCGAAGAGTCCGACTCGGATTCTATCTGATCATCTGAGTCGCTGCTACCCTCAAGCAGCGCAAGTAGATCAAACTCTTTTGGTTTCGCCGACTCCTTCTTTTCAATAACAGCTGGAGGAGCTGTGCTGACTTTCTTACGCGAAACTTGGCGCCCACGATCAGCCTGCTCGAGTTGGGGCCCGTCGCCTTCATCTTTGATTGACGCACCAGTCTGAACTCTGGTCACAGCAGTATTATCCTCCGTTTGGTTCAGCGCTCGCTGTGTAGCAGAGCCAATAACTCGAGATTCTCCGTGTTCATTGCCTGTCTCCGTTTGCGTGGCTGCGACAACCTGAGTCGAGCTAGCGTCCATTGGATGCGCTTCAGTGCCTTCGACTGAAGCGATCTGTGCAGCGGCTTGTTCATTTTTTTGCATTCCGGGATCATTGCGTGAGGTCGAAACCAGTTGCGATGACTCGGCTGACGCGTCTTGTGGCTTTTCATTCACAATTTCTTGTTCAGTTGAGTCTAGTTCATCGCCACGGATTCGCGGGATATCTCCCATCTTAACGCGTTCTAAATGATCGAACATTTCATCAAGAACGCTCTGGGATGGGCGAGCCACATTTGGCATAGGTTGGCCCACACCCACAGATTGGCACTGCTTCAAGTATTGCGCAACCCCTATATCTTGATCGAGATATCTACGGTAGATCTCAAATGCAGACTCTAGAATTTCCGGAGCATCGACACTGTAGAACTGTTCCACCAGATTCTGCACAGCTCTAGATAAAGCAGGTAAGAGCTCTGCCAAGTCTCTCAAACAAAGGCGCACCGCTCCGCGCGCTGGAAGGCAGCTCGCATTTCCAAACTCGAGCCTGACCGCCAACAGCAGGTCTAAATTATCTTGTAAGTACGGCACTTCACTGATTAGCTGCAGAAAATCGCAGTCTTCAAAGCGTGACGGCCCCCGCAAACGTCCACTGCGCAAACTCGGCGCATCACGCATTTGCGATGCACCAGGGGGCATCGTCTGATAAGTATTCACACCCGAAGCCATGAAAGCCATCCCTGGAGCCGCGTAAGGATTCGTATCCTGAATTCTCTCCGGCCAGTCTATTTTCTGTTTCGTCAGGCACCAACGCTCAAGATACTGCGAATACGACAGGATGACGGGCATGTTCATAATAGCGTCTGAGGTCTGTTCGATGTAACCATGAAAGCGGAAAACATTGCTTGCGTTATTTGCCAAAAACGACGTGAATGCCGGGTTCCCATCCTGGAAAATCCGGTGAAACACAAGCATGGATTTCAGTACAACAATCCAGTCTTTCCACTGAAGGCGTTTTCCAAGTTGATGTAGAATAGCACCAGTCGGTGTTAATTTGTCCATAATATTTCCACCCATATAGGTGCCGCGAAGAATGACCTGAACGTGTTTTTCCTTAGGTTCGGAAACCACGTGATTTGTCGCTTTCACAACAGCGACTTTCCAGACGTCGCTTTTAACCCGCGCTTTAAAAGCTTTCCAGGAATCCTGCGTGGACGCCAAAAATCCACCCTCAGTCCGTGGCTTCGCGTACGCAGCACTAACGTCAGGCATTGGCGCCGGCGGCAGGCCTGCAGCACTGGCACTTGGCGCACCTGTCGGGGCCGCCAGTGCGCCATACGGATCGAGACCCGCATAGTTAGAACCGAGGCGAGCCGACTGGGCACGAGCTTGGCCATACGCTTGAGATGAGTTCCGCTCAAAGTCGTAGCTCCGCGTGGAACCAGGTCTTGAACTTGACTGTTGCCCGGAGCCTGTGCTGGTGTTCAGCCCGGTCGCGCGCATCGATCCACTCTGATACCGTGAGCGCTCAGCCGGTACAGTGCCGTACACCGAACCCGCCGTTTGTCCAGGTGTCGGGGTGCCAACACGGAAGCTCGTGCCGCGTAAGCTGCTTGGTTCGCTAACGCTACCGTGTTTACCGCCTCCTGAGGCTGAAGATTGACTCACGTATACACCAGGTGATGATCGCCCTCCCGCGGTTCCACTGTTTACCCCAGAACCGGCGGTCGGATCCATGCCAAAACCAAAAAATTATCTATGCTCCAAAACACGAAAAGTACCTCGTCGCTCGACGAAACGAACTCGTACTACCTTGGAAACAGACACACAACAACTGTCTTGACGGCTCCGAAGCGGTTGTAGACACGTCGGCTGCGCGAATCCGAAAGATGGACAATTCTGCACAGACCCTTGGAGATCCAGAGCGAGTCTATTCTGTACGCGGCCCTCCGCAGCCGCAGCCGCAGCCGCAGCCGCAGCCGCAGCCGCCGCTGTGCAGTCCAACGTCTGACGCTGCGAATCGCTCATCGAGCTCACATTCGGCAAGCAGCAGTGCGGAAACTTGATCGCTGCAATTCGAACCTCGCATGTGTTTTTCCGACAATCTGTCGGGCTTCTCGCCAGCCAGGAAGGGTATTCTGAGGGCTCTTGGGGACAGAAACTATATCGGAGAAAAGGTGTATACGTTGGTTTGAAGAACATTTCCCTGGGGAGTCTCCTCGAGTACGTCTCTCAGTGGAAAGCGCGTGAGGTACCGATGGGGAGCGCTTGAAACCTCCACGCCCATATCAGAATAGATTTGAAAGGGCTACCTACCCAACTTGCGCGCGTACGCTAGAGGTGGGGTCTCTTTTCAATGAGATTAACTCCAGCCGATGTGGGCTTTATCTGTGATTGCTTCATCTAGATCTCCTTGAACTCCTACTTTAGGGACAGTGGTCCCTACGCTCGTTCCATCTCGGTCGGCAGCGTTAAAGTTCCGCTTTTGCTACTTCCGGCTGTTGTCGACGCATTTTACCACAGTCGGAGTCAGCCATTTACGCTTCGTTCGTCAGTTAAATCTTCTTCGTATGCCATGCTGGGGCTGTCTTCTATGCGATGACAACTGGTTATGGACAGGTGTTCCCATTTGTCTACCACAACTCCCCATTCGAGCGGCGTCCTGTTGCATGTTAAGGGATGCCTCATGGCTCGGAACAGGCGCCTGGAGTGAACAAAAACTCATCTAGATGCCCGCCACCGTTTCTGCGCTCGAAGCCGTACCCCACGACGGCGTGCGTCTTCTCGGGGATCCTTTCCGTTAAGTATGCTGTCCACTGCACGCGCAAGCACGCGCTTATCCATTCGACAGGGGATATGTGCAACGATATGGTATCCAGGATGAAACGAGCACTGGAAGGAAACTTCATGGTAGAGATAAAGTCGAGATATTCCGATCCGTCTGAGCTCGCCCCGCGCAAAGCGGTGAAGCAGTCTCCACTTGGTGCGATCGCTGCGATAACTCAAGTCCTGATCCAAGACTCTTTCCATGTAAACAATAGGGGCCGACTCCTGTAGGAGCATACCTCCCGCTATCTACCTTGTTAATACTGTCAGATGCAGTCTCTTCGATGGCCCCGTAGAGGAGCGGATTTGTCTTTCAAACGAAATGTATTGTTCGACGTGAAAAATTCTTTGAATCTTTGGCAAGCGCTTTTTGAAGAAGTCGCCAGGGCAGAGCGTCCAGTTTTCTCCTCGTCAATTCAACAGTGCGAGATGCAGCACGCAGGTGGTGTTTCGAAATATAAAAAGAAAAAAATGAAGAATGCGTGATTTGGACATGCAGCACACATAGATAGGAGAAGCGTGGAAGATCTTACGCATAAGCTCGAAAAATGCCACCTATATACAGACACCGTGTTCGCGGGCATCGCGAATCATCTTTTTTCCAGTGTCGTAACAAATCTCAAGCGCACAGAGTTTGAGCCAGTCGTGAAAGAGAACCGAGAATCGTAAAACTTCATATGGAGTCTTAAGCCATTTTTGCTGTATTTTGAATGTCGAGACAGCACATCTAAAAGTTTGGAAAGAATACTGAAATATAGGTACAGAGCGAGCAGCTCAGTGCTCCGTTTTTGCAGACCCGGGCGCGCGTCTGGCCGGCATCAGATACTTGCTTGCAGACTATGCAAAATAACTGTTATTCGCTTTTTGCTCGCAAAAGCCTGCCTCGCGGTCACAGGCACACCCGTCCGACATTTTGTCTCTTTCACGTATATGCAATGTTCATACATGCTCAGACGCGCTTTTCTGAACGAATCCGAGTCGAGCGACAGGGCGCCGCGTCCAGTGCGTCAGCGCTGGGACTCGGGCGGAGTTGCTTCTCAAACCGCCTTGTCCGCTTCCGTTCGGCCTTTGTCGACTCGGGTGCGTGCTCGTGGGCCGTATCCAGTGCCTCCTCCAAAACGCTCAGCCAGCGCTGCACGTCCGCGAGCTGGACCCTCCTGGGGAGCCCGATGCGGTCCCGCAATAGCGTATGCAATTCGGTTGGGTTCGGAGACTCAGCGGGCGCGCTGGTCAAGGCGTTATGCAACTGATCTCGCAAGTGCTTCACCAGCCAGCGCAGGTGCTGGCGTTCGCTGTCCACAGCACTCGTCTGGAAAACCGCTCCGGGAGTGCGCGCCTCTCGCAGTGCAAGGGCATACTTTCGGAGCGCTAGCCAGTGAAGCTCTCGAAACAGCGGGAACTGGTACTTGGGTAAGACGCGTAGACGGTTCTCCATCTGGAACACGCGGTGCTGCATGACAACGCCGCCCAGGTGGAGAATGTTGCCTCCCAGCACAACGCTGTCCGCTGGGGTGTACACAGCATGCAGCCATCCCGCCGGAATGAACAACGTGTTTCCCGCGTCGAGGTCAATGACGGCAATAGGGCTCAGCTCCTCAACAAAGTCTAGCTCACGCAGCGCCTGTTGCGGATCCCGCTGCCACCGCTCGTAGAGCTGCAGATGGCGCTCTGTAGGCGGCGACACGTAGAAGCGCTTCTTCCCGCGCAGCACGTGATAGAACACCGTCGATCCGCCAAAGTCTATATGCCACGAGGTCCACGATCCAGCGCCGCTTAGAAGGTAGTACTTATCAACATGCGGGCGCGGCTCCGGATACAGCGACGCCCAGTCCGCTCGGCGAATCAGCGCCGGCACCACGAACGCTCGCCCTGTCGGTGTTCGTGATATCTCCAAGGAGATGAGGTTCAGCACCCGCTGACGTAACGCTGGCGCGGTTGCCAGGTAATCCAGGTACTGCCCCAGGCTCCAGCGGGGATGCAGCTCACTCTGGCTCGCGACATCCAGCACTTCGCAATGACGCTCAAGTCCGTACTCGCGCCCGACCTCCTCGGGATGGTAAGCACGATGTGGAATGTGCATGTCGAGCCCGTCGGGATCGAGCACGACACAGGGCGCATCGGGCATGCGCTGCAATTCGCCACCGGTGCCGTAGACAAGTATCCCCAGATGCGCCGCTAGCCCGCCAGCGTCGCTGGTGGCGTCCTTCGCCCAGCTCTGAGCCCGGCGTTCAGCGGCCGCTCGTGCCGCCTCGCTCAGAGCGCCGGCGCAGGTGCCGCCCCGCAGGGCACCGCCTATATCGCCCTCATGGAGGCGGGCGTAATCGGTGACGGCCGGACGTCCATGCTGGCTCCGCGGGCGTTTCGGTCGCTGCACTGGAGTGAATAGGTCCGTCCCTGTCCCGGAGCAGAACCGACAAATAAAGGTCTTAGATGCCCGCACACGTGAAACGTCCAGAAATAGACAAGAGATGTGGAACCAGCCGTACGCGCAGGTCGGGTTGTCGCACGCTACCATGATGCCGTTGCGGCGCGCGTCGTACGGCTGGCGACATATGCAGAACCGCGTACTGGTGGTGCGCTGGTTTTCAGGTTTCGTGTCCTGATCTGTAGCCAAGCATCCGCAAGCGCTGTGCTCGCTGTGAGATGCGACATTGGTGGAAGCACCAATGCTATTCGCAGCGCTCCGTGGATCGGGACCGGGATCGGGTGGATACGATGGCATCGAGTCGAGCGTCTCGGGCGCTGCTGGTGCCGCACTACTCGCTGGCATTCTACCCGCCGGGAGCATCTGTGAAGAGCGCTCACCGCAGGGGCTTGTAGCGCGCCCTCTTTTCGCGATAGCGGCGAGCCTTCGCGTCTCTGCGGCGCACGCTGACGCTGTCGCGCAGGATGTGCACGAACTTGGTACGCTTTCGGATATGGATGATGGTGTTGTACATATTTCAGCAGCTGTAAATGCGTCGTTCGCACCTATCGGCATTTCGGGAAGCTCAACACGAGCAGGGACACGTTGCATCGTATGCCGCAGCACGTGTCCGTGCTGTCTGCATGCGTGCGCTGACACGTCACGAGCACGCATCTCGGAATCGGAGGTCACAAGCGGCCGCTGCGCATCCTCGATGGCGTCGATGATTGGTGAACGCTCCGCCATCATTGGGTGCGCCCGCAGCGCCCTGCCTACACGTGTCTGGTGTCAATGCGTACCTCTCTGATCGTCTGGATGCCCGCCTTGGTGCAGTGATGGGGTTTCACGAAATCTACGCTTGCCTAATCTCAATTCTTAACTGCTCGGAAGTCTCCCTTCCTCGCTTGCTATGTAGATGCGTGGGTACCTTAATCGTAGCTACTGGCCTGTGTTCACCGGGAGCTGACCCCTGCCGCCTCGGAAGCGCTGGAGTGGCGCAGCGCCTCTGATCCGTCAGGTTTGCAGTCTAGAGGCTGTGAGCGCGTGCAGTCCAGCGCACTCCGTCCGCGATGCGTCCAGGTAAAGATGCTTCGTTCGCGACGGTTGACGTGCTCGTTCCTGCAAGCGGCTGCGAAGACGTGGGGAAAATGCAGTCTTGGCGCAGATAATTTTGCGTCTGGCGGCGTTCCGCGTAGTGGGCTCAGTTATGGGTCGATATGCAAACAAGTCACGTCTAGCGCGGCAGAAACAAACGAACACAAGGATAACACCCTGTGCATGGGATCGCAGGCACACACTCGGGGGCGTTGCGTCGGCCCAGTACGCAAGTCGCAAACGCAGCTCCACACTGCGCTCTTCTGTACAGTCCAAAATGTAAGGGTACCAGCGCAGTACCCGCTTATTTCCTAGTGCGAGCTCTATACTTGCTGCGGAACTCTGGAGCCAAACAAACGACAAGAGCGAGCGCCCTGCCGTCAGTGTTCAGGAGATGTGATGCGGGGTCGCGTGGCCAGCAGCTCCGCAGTGTAATTCCCTCCGTGGAACCAGAACTACTCAATTGGTCGGGTCTCGTGCGACGTAGACGAGCAACGAGGACGCTGTGGGCCTGTCGCGACCTCGATTTGTTCTGAGAGGCGCTGGAGCCTCCGTTGCTACTGCGACACTCGTCCGGAAACTCCACCTTATGTGTTATTCTGCGCCCAGCGTCCAATACTGAGGCGGAGTCCTCCGAGTTGAAGCAGCCAACGCTTGGCAGCAAGACCGGCCTGTAGCTGCCCGGAAACGACCTCAGTTCGTCGCAGACAGGCCTGCACTCCTTCGCAAACTCCACACCCCCGACGTTCTCGTGGTGGACGCTGCTGTCGAGGGCGTTTCAGCGCACACACAACTGGGTACCACTCAGGGGTACCTTTGTTTGAAAACAAAGGCCGCGCTGGATTCGCACAGTATATAAGGCGCCGAGCGGCCCTGCTTCCTTCTCACAGATACGTAGGCCTGCCCTCAAACTCAGTCGGTTTGATCGAAGATTCGACTCACTAGACGACTGTCGCGTCCCTGGTGGACGTCTGTACAAGCCGAGGCGCTCACTTTCGCTAGGCTCTGCTCGACACGTGCTTGCGACTGTCACAGCCGTTGTCGTCGTCTGTATTACCAGCCTTACCCCATGCAAGACTGCAGCAGCCGCTGCTACAGTCGTCTACGCTACCGACGCAGCTTCTGCTACGGCTAGGTCTCCCGCAGCAAGCGTTTTGAAACCTTATAAAACTGATAATTCTAACCAGAACCCCCTGTGCGCACAATTCCTGCTTATAACCAGGCAAAAGACCACCGTTGCTCTCCAGATACCTCTATGTTCGGCTAGCCCAAACCTGGTCTCCTCACGAGATAGATAGCAAGCTGCAAACGACACAAAGAGTAGCGGGCATTGCCTCCCCAGTTCGTAGCTCGTCGAGGCGCTGCCCCGTGGACGGATCGCCCCGGAAAGCTCCGTATCGATCGATGGAATCCACAGTGCGCCTTTCTGAGGAGACGTGCTGGCAACGCTGTGCCCTTCGAAGCGGAGGCTGCAAGGATTGCGACACTTCTCATGCTGAAAAACGCAACACCAGTGTATGTTGTGAACACCAAGTCGCAGCACAAGCGGGGTCGCGACACCCAGCTTGCGAACATTGCAGCGGCTAAAGCGGTAGCGGACGTGGTGCGGACGACGCTGGGGCCGCGAGCGATGCTCAAGCTCATCCTCGACGCTATCGGAGGTGTGGTCATCACTTCAGACGGGAACGCGATCCTGCGAGAGATCGACGTGGGGCACCCGGCGGCCAAGGCGATGCTGGAGCTGTCGCGCACTCAGGACGAGGAAGTCGGTGACGGAACGACCAGCGTCATTGTGCTGGCGGGGGCGCTTCTCCAGGCCGCGGAGCCGTGCCTAGAGGCGGGCGTCCATCCTACTGTCATCGTTGGAGCGTACATGCGGGCGCTCCAGGATGCGCTCTCAGAGCTGGAGCAGCGGTGTGCAATTGCAGTGGACTGGAACGATGAGGCGCAGCTGCAGCGCGTCTTGCGTGCCTGCCTCGGCACCAAGGTGGCTGCTGTCTACCGCGAGCGCGTTGCCGCCTGGTCGCTCGCAGCGGTGAAGCTCATTGCAGAAAGCAGCGCGCCTGCTATCACCGCAGGAGCCGGCACCCAGCGTCCGCTCGATATCAAGAACCTGGTCCGAGTCGAGAAGATCCCCGGTGGCGACCTCGATGATTCCGCGGTCATCCGCGGTGTCGTCCTCAACAAGGACATTGTGCATCCGCAGATGCGGCGACGCATTGAGAATCCGCGCCTGCTTCTCCTGGACTGCCCGCTGGAGTACCGCAAGGGCGAGTCCCAGCTCACCGTTGAGGTGACACGCGAGGCCGACTGGGAGGCGCTCCTGCAGTCCGAGGAGGCCGTTGTACGCCAGCTGTGCGAGCGCATCGCGGCACTGCGCCCCGACTTGGTTATCACCGAGAAGGGTATCAGCGACTTGGCCGCTTACCTGCTGATGCGGGCGGGCATTAGCGCCCTCAGACGTGTGCGAAAGACCGACAACGAGCGGCTCGTGCGAGCAACCGGTGCGCGTATCGTGTCGCGTATCGAGGAGGCCAGCCAACAGGATATCGGGACGGGAGCGGGCCTCTTCGAGGTTCGACGCCTCGGCGAGGAGTACTACAGTTTCATTGAGCAATGCACGGCACCAGGCGCGTGCACCGTTCTGCTGCGGGGCGGCAGTAAAGACACGCTGAATGAGCTCGAGCGCAACCTGCACGATGCACTGTGCGTCCTACGCAGCCTCTATGGTGACCGTCGCGTCGTTGCCGGTGGTGGTGCCACCGAGATGGCGCTCAGCCGGGCTCTGCTGCAGCGCTCTGCGCTCGTCGAAGGCGCTGCGCAGTGGCCTTATCGACAGGCAGCTGAGGCACTTGAGGTGATCCCTCGAACGCTTGCCGAGAACTGCGGCACCTCTGTGGTCCGGCTCCTTACGCGGCTTCGCGCAGAGCACGCAGAAGCCGGCCACTCGAACATTGGCGTAGACGGTACAAGTGGCGAGCTCATCGACATGATTGAAGCGGGTATTGTGGACGCCTACGCTGTGAAAGCGCAAGCACTTAAGACCGCAGTGGAGTCTGCGTGCATGCTTCTGCGTATTGACGACATTCTGAGCGCTGTTCGTAAGCGAGAGGGCAGCGGCACCGCCACAGGAGCAGCCGACGCTACCGAAGACGCCAACCCCACGGACTAGCGAGCATCTGCGGGATGTTTGCAAGGGTGCAGCTGGTGTATCCACTAGACCGGTACAGTAGTCTGGGTCGTGCCGACTGCAATCGCGTTCGGGCATACGCTGAATTTCATGCGAGTTCGTATGCTTAGCATCTTCTTCACTCTGGCTGTATCGCTAGACTTTGTCATAGACTTGGTTGCTTCTTCTTTACTACATTTCTTCTCGTGGCAGTAGAAAAGACCTCTTATTCTCTATTCGGTGACTGGAGTTTTTGCTGACTGTGAGAGATGTTTGTATGTGCAAGCTGCCTACTCGGTTGCGTATCTGCTTGGAGACTTTCCCTGATAAAGATTCAATCAGCAGACAGTTTTTTTGCTCTTTCGTAGGAGGGAAAAGCTTTTGACAGAAAGATTTTTGTATTGAAGTTTCTGTGCGTTTGCAACTCGTCCGTGTGATCGAGCACCCAGTGAGACCATTCCAGATTATTGCAGTAGCGCTGTTCAACAGGATATGAACCTTTTCATTGCCGTGCACAGTAACGAACTCGTGCCTTTCAGCAGAAACCACAACGTCTTGTAGAATCCAGTGTTCTGATTCGGTAGAAGAATGCTTGACGGCACGGAGGTTCTCTGCTGGTTACGCGGCGATACCCATCCCTGGGAGCTTTATATATGGGGCATAAGTACGATCTGCTCTTCTCAACAGCAGCTCTTTGGGGCATGCGTCTCCACGTAACGCGTACATTTCCATTTGATCTGGACCGTTCGCGACCAGCGAGTGGACAGAGGCGGAGAACATATTCTCTGTGCATCGCTCGAAATATTGCTTTTCGGCGGAAAACGAGGTGCTAAACGACGCACCGCCCCGAGATGCTGTGGCGGCTGCCCTGCATAGCTGTTGACACTCGTGCCGCAATGCGCTGATGAATGTTCGCCTTTGATTGTGCACATGAGCTGGGCATATCGAATTGTTGTTCTAGGGGCAGCTGCTCATTGTCAAAAACGAAAGTAGGAAATTTTTAACGGAGAGGCAGGGGTCGTTGCAATCTGGTCGGGTTTGTGTCGCGGATGTATTCCACTAGCTGTTTCCAGTAGAGACGCCACAGTTTGCAAGAGGTATCCAGGATTGATCTTCGATTTATTTCATTTACGGTACTTTGACGGCATCATTTCAAAGCTGTACGCTTTGCGCATCTGTTTCATCGGTGCTGAGTGCTAGCTGCGAAATGAGAGACTCGAAAAATCGTTTTTCAATCTCTGGCTCGTCACATGCAGGAGCACTCTGACGCGGGTGGAGTGTTCGATACCGAGCACTTCACTTGCCCTGCGAATTGCGTCCAGAACGTCGCAGTCCAAACATGCAGCTAGAACGATAAGACGCTGGATTTCAGTATCATCAGGAAACCGTCGACTTATGAGTACCCGGATGGCTTCCTCTTCGACAATTGGCTTGGCTGCACGTGAGAGCGATGATGATGCCCGTTCCTCGCCGAGCACAGCTACCAAGAAGCGGCGCATCTCACGTAAACGCTTTCGAGTGTGCGGCTCATGCAGAGGAAGCTGCTGAACATGGCTAGCGCGCCGCGTTCGATCTTCCGTCTCTGATTCGATGGAGAGCGCTTCGTCAATCGAGCATCGCCAAACTTCCGCGGCTACGGCCTCTTCGAGCTCCTTAATTTGCGACCAACCGAGGCCGAAGAGACTCCGAAGTGCAGCAAGATTTTTTGCTTCGTAAGCGATCATATGTGCGAAGATGGTGCTCTTGTACATCCGCGAAACATAACAGCGATATGCGTCGCTTAACGACTCCTGCTGCTCGCGCCGCTTCTGCGGTATCACTACTTTGCGCATAACATTCGTTACTTGCTCATTACCGGCAGCACATTCATCGATGCACGGGCAGAGCCAGTTCCGATACCAGCGGAGGAGCGCATCGGTTTCGCGGAGTGCACGTCCGTAGTCTCGTTCTTTCATGAATGCATGGATATTGAAGAGAAATTTTTCAATGTGTTTTCGCGCTACTTCTCCGATGATTTGGGGGATTTGCCTCTTGTTCCGGTGATTGCATTGCTCGCACAGCTCGCCAAGGCGTCCATGTGAAAAGCCTTGCAAATGATTCAAAAAAGCGGGAAATTCGGGTCGTCGCTCCGTTTCTCCCGGTGCTGATTCTGCTCTCGAAAGCGATGCACAGCGTATGGCTAAAACGCTGCCGTGGCAGTCCGCATAGAGCGCCTCGAAAAGCGGCGTTCCCGACGTTGCTTCCGAGCCTGGTGCCGCTCCATTCCTCGAAGCATCGATGCCTTCAGTTCCTGGACAAGCAGCCTCGCGTCTCATGAAAAACCTCTGCAGCGCGCACCACCAGGATGCCTTAGAGGCTGCCACTGACGCGTGCTGCCCCGTTTCTGTCACCGTTTTAGGGGAAACCTGTGCGCCGTCCGCATCTGTTTTAACGTTGGATGATGCGCCCCTCGGTGGAGCCCATGAAGGTCCAGAGAGCCTATCAGAAGCAGCAATCCCCGACGATGATTCTAGCCGCGCATTGGCCACGGATGGCATAGAATGTTCAGGCTTCTGAACTTTCCGCGGCCTTCTCTGCGTCAGTCTAAGCGTGAACGATATCATGGCAAACGGTACAGCGAATCCGAGAAGCACGAAACCTGCAATTGCTCCCGGAATTTGTCGCAAGATTGTCTGGGGCGACGACAGTGCTTCTACAGAACTCTTTGCAAGCACACATGGGTTTTGCTTGGAGTCGGCGACGCGGTAGTAACCGGATGCTTGTTGCAGCCGCTGAGGTGCTACGCGCACAGATACCTTTTTCGTACTCTGCTCCGTTACGCCTTGCAGCGAGCCATGCGCGTGCGAGTAGCTATGTTTCAAATACTGTTGCACCTGGAGAGCAGCTTGATTCAAAAGAGTCTCCATCTTTACAGCGCGCGCATGCCCCGGTTCCAGCTGAGCGGTGACGTGGACTCCTTCGCAGCTTTTGAGTTGACCCTGAACGACACCACGAATCAACCAGTATCTATGGAAACCTCGCCTCTCACACGCCGATCTAGGTCTCGCTGATGCAAAACGAAACTTCGCTGCTTGGCTCCGACAAGCAGGTACGAAAGCGAACGCCAGCCGAAAACTTCTTGGCATAAGTTTCGGGTAAGGAGAACGTTGCCTGTGGTCGTTTCTTTTCCCAAAACGCAAACCTGAAGCTTTTCCACCGCCATTCCCAAAAAGCGAAGTTCTCATGGACACGGGAGCCCGTGCGTTGCGTTTCCGTGCGTCGCCTTGCCTTGCTCAGCTTTTCGGAGGACCTTGGAATACAGAACCCTTTCTTCCCAGTAGCGCGCACGGATGTGCAATGCTCGCGGGAAATCGTTATTTGGCGCGAAATCGCTAGTCGACAGCGGCGCTGCCGGCGGGGTCTCGCTGCTCAGCCATCGCCATGGGTCGTAACCTAAAGAATCCCAATTGTACATTTATAACCCTAATTGTACATAAATCGCTTCCTCGAAGGCCATGGACCGTATCGCGAGGGAATTCGGCCCTTCATCGTCAGGGTCCTTGTACTCTTCCAGTTCAGTTGTGTTCCATCCCAGGTGCGTGTCAAAAAACGCTTTTTCGTGGTTTCTAACAGATATACTCGAAGTGCATTCATTAGAGGAAATAAAAAATGCAAGGGGAAGGTATGGACGCAGAAGTCAGGGATACTGGAGGACCGTCAATGCCGGATACAAAAAATGTAGGGATTCCTCTTCCGACCGAGTATCGACTGAAGTAGAGCAACTAAAAAAGAAGCAGAAGAAGGGACACAGACGAGAAAATGTGCTACTTCACGGGATGATGACCAGACTTTGATGGCACAGAGGGCACACGTTCGAGGAATCCCTGCCATGGAGAGTTGAACCAGAGGCAACCAACGCATGGATTTCGTGAACCGAGACTTCAGCGCCGCCATCAATATCAGACGATTTGTGACGTTGAAGAAGAGACTCGAGGAGCTGACGTGGGCAAATTTTGTCCGGTAATCTCTCATGCTCGAAGTGTACAAGGAGAAGCTGAAGCCGACTTCAGGAGGCCGGTTGAAAAAGGCTGGAGTAGGCTGGGAGTGGATATTCTTTTAACCCTCGGTTTCGAAACTTTCTCGCTCCATTGCCCGAATACGATAAAACAGTTAGATGTTCGCTCTGCTCCTGCATGTAAATAGTTTATCCAGAATTTTCTGACGTGTACGGCCTCGACAATCGATGTGTAGCGATATGGTCTTGCGGATTGAATCGTGGTCGAAGGACCCGCGGTGGTATTTTCGGAATGACACGTTTGCAGCTTGGCCGGGGATATTCGATATGTCACCGGAAGCAAGATGATTCGTGACGTATTCGAATAAAGGTTCGTAAAATAACCGACATGGTCATCCAGTGGATATGTAGAAACCTCTACAATTCTGTTTTATGTACGCCCAGCATGGTAAAACCATGCATTGTCCTAGTTTTCGTGCTTGCAATCTCAAGCAAACTCGTGGGTGCAGCCATTCGAGCCGCAGATTGGATGGCGAGATGAGTCGACCTCTTCCCTCAACTACTAGTTTTCATGCTCGTGCCCATGGTCAATTGAACTCCTGCGCCAAATAATCGATTTCATTCGAAAAACAAATCCGCCAACGGTGACATCTACAGAATGGTTACCCGCTGCAGCATGAGACCCCCATGGGGTATGCTCCTCGAGGCTGCCGTCTCGTCTGATTCGCTCGAAAACGGTCATAGGCTCGGACTTTAGTTATCATAAAAACCGCTGCCATCGGAGAGAGCGTCACAGAATTGCAGGAAGCAAGCGTGAAGGGATCGAAAGTTCTCGACTTGTTCGCCAGCCTCGAGTTCCTTTTCTGTGTAGGTTTCGTCTTCGATAACACCGCGAACCACGAATTCTCTATCAAATGGAACGACATCCGCTTCCATATACAGCTGATATACTACTCGGGGAGAAAATCGCCCAGAAAAAGTATGTGATTGCAGGGTACGGCAGCAAGCGTTGAAACAGATGAGGGCATCGAGGCGAGCCTTCTGTAACAGTCAAGTTCATGGATGGAGCAACGAATCAAGGCTCCATGCTCCGCAGGGCAGCGCTCGTAGGTGGAGACGATTTGGCGCCCATATAGGGATACTTGACTACAGCCAAGTGTGACCATTGCGTAGAAAACACCTAGCCTGTGCGCAAAGAAGATGAAGATGGCAAGCGAGGCGTAGATCGAAGCATCCGCCTGCCCATGAACTGTGTTGACAACCACCGAAAGAGGAAAAATTGTATTCCAAGATCATCATCAAAATCTTTCAACTGTTAACAACGGAGTTGGAGAAAAAACAGACCGGCTTCATTAAATCCAGAGTTCCGAGAGAGAAGCTGAAGCAGTCGCAGAAAAAGAAGGCGAAGGCTATTCGGGATGGCAATTGGAACAGACCCAAATTTTCAGCGTGTACGCCTTACATAGCTAAATGGACTCATTCCAATGTACTCAAATATCGATACAGAACTTGCCGCATTCAGCGGAGCTGCGCCAGGTCGGGACCGCCTCCGTCAAAAAACGCTTCGCTACGTGCGAACCTCGAACCGCTGTCGAGTGGCGATAAAAGGAGATGGTCTCTTTCTTTGGACAGTTTCTACCAGCTGTCCGCTAGATAGCGCTACGTTGCTTTTGATTCGCCGAGATTTCATTCGCTCACGGCGTAGTGCAGGTCTCAGATCCATGCTATGTTTAAATTGACTCTGGAAAGTTCTTGCGTTTGAACGCCATTGCGACAGGGCGAGCGCTCTGCTCGATGATGCTTCCGATAGGGGATGGATCCAACCAGCTACGAATGTATTGTAGTCCTCGGCCGGCGCAATAGTATCCTTTTATCATTTCGAATTGGAAAGAGCGCAGTGCAAAACTGCGTGCTATTCTCGTCGCAGCCTACTGGCCGAAAATCTGGAATGAGAATGATTGTTGGCGTTTGGACCCATATTAGAATAAAATAGCACGATTGGAAACGCTAAAGCTTCGGTTTCTTCCCTCTCTCATTAACGACAGCATTTGCGGGCTTTTTCTGCGAATGGTTCCTTGTTCTGTACCATATCCAAGGAAGAAATCATACGGCCTTTCGTTTAGGTCCAGCTCCGTAATGAACAGTCGAGAGATATTGATGACGGCATTAAAGTTCCGATTTCTCCGCTTCTGGATCTTCTTCACGCATTTAACGCACAGGCGGGAACTTCGATCATCGCCTCGCTTCAAAATTTCATCGTCTCAGCGTACACGCTCGGTGCGAACGTCGCAGCGGAGGCGCCTTACGATGGTCAGGTTTTCCCATACGTACAAGAGATCTCACGCGTTGAGGCAGGCCCTGTAGTAGGCGGAGGGTTTACTTCCTTGCCCGGTACATGCCAGTGCTGGTTACAGACGGCAACCATCTGTGTTCTACCCCGTTTCCATACACAGTGCTGCACCTGACAATCAGGGGCTTCATCTGTGCTCTCTCGTCGACGAGTGCTATGTCCGCTGCACACAGGCAAAAACGCACGCTGTCCCATTCGACAGAGGGTATGTGGAACGCAATACTGCCCCATCACGCAGAAAATAACGAAAGCAAAGACCACGTTAAAGATCAGGTTTTCAAATTTCTTACCGTGTACGCTTAAGTTTCCAAAAGCGATAATGCACGCTCCACTGGAAGCGATCGCTGGGGTGACGGAAGTCCACTTTCTTGGCGCTGTTCCATGCCAGCACGACAGAAATAATGGGAGCGTCTAAGAGCATGTCCCGTGAGTGGTAGCATGCCTTTGCTGAAGCGCGATTCATTAATGGCTTCCAAGCAAGCGTAATGTGTCTTCAAACGGAACTAATTATTTAACATGACGAGTTCACTGAACTTCCGGCATGAGATTGTCATTAGCCAGCACGGGACGACGTGTCATTGGTTCGTCCTCTATCCAATGGCGCTCGTCGCCGCGCTAGCGAGAAGCGTTGAAAGAGAAAGATCGAGTCTGTTATGGAGGTGTGATTTGAGCATGCGACTCGTAGGGAAAGCAGACGAAATGAGGCTTGCATGTATAAATTAGATCACGATATCGGTTACTTTACGACAGTTGTTCGAGCGCGTGCCGAGTCACCTTAATGATGGTCTCGGAACGAGTTCCAAAGGCGAATATTCGAGGCAACCACTCCAAAACAACGACCGAGGATCGTAAAACGTCGTCTGGATTCGTAGCCTCTTATTGCTGCACTTGGAATGTCGACGCTGCATATCTAAAAAGTTTCGGATTCGTTCTATAGTCAGGGACAGAGGGAGCAGGTCAATTTTCCATTGTGAACGGACCCGGCTTTCGATGCCGTGCAGGCTAGTTTACCGATTAAGAGCGCATCATACAGTGCAGAGCGGCGTGCTGCGCAAGAGCTCACGCCAAATCCATTTGCATGGTGAAAGCAAACTTTATCCACATCGAAAACGAATGCATGGCTTGGAAATATGGTCCGGAGCCTGTGCAGCATTGCTTTAGTTGTCGACGCATGCGATATGCCGCTTCTACGCCGCTATTCAACGCAGAGATTCCGGGGAGGCATCGTCGCGAAACATAATGTCGCAGTCAATTCGTGACGGATAAACGCAACGTACTAGTCAGCGAGACGATTGCGTAGCTAAGCGATGGCCATGACGGCAAGCAAAACTTGGGGCCGGCTGGGCACTCGAAAGAGGATTAGAATCCTGCAAGGCGCGGTGACGGATACAATCCTCACAGGCATCCATTGGGCCTCGCTTCGCACACGAGTTCTACTCCCGGTCCGAGGAATCGACCACTGTGAAGAAAGGAAATTTCATGGTTTTTCGTTCCCAGTGGACAATGCTTGCATTCCATTTCGTCGCATTTATCCGATTTTAATAAATACTGCTTCTCGGCCAGTTTCATTTAGCGCCTTCCTGGACTAGTATCAACCGTCTTCAACAGCGAGAATTTTTTTTGCTGCCTAGTCCTGGCAAAAAATATACTGGATAGCCGTAAGGCTGCTCTCTCTGCGCAGGACGCAAACATCTGCCAAAGACGTGGCTGCTCACCTCGGCACCCTCGAGCGTCGCGCACCCGCAGCACCGCGCTCACGATGAAGGCACGTCATTCAACGCTCGCAGAGCTCTGTTCAGCTCCTCCAACGGCCGTTCGCTTCTTCGTTTCAGCTCCTCTAGCCGAGTCCTCAGTGTGGTCACTTCATCGTCCAGCTGCCGTGAACGAAACTCCTCCTCGGCGAGCAGCTCACGCATCTCTTGAAGCGCGTGCTCCTTTTCGCGCAGCCGCAGCACCCGGAAAACGCGCAAAGGCGACAGCTTCGATGGTGCCAGGTGTCGGCGACCATCGACAAGCGGCGGTTGTTGCTCACATAAATAATCCAAATATTTGAGCTTCTCCCTCACACCAAACGCATCCAGCAGCAACGTTGCCTCACTTACGGCCGAGGGCGCCACGAGTTGCACAAACTGCTCGCGAAGCGCTTCCAAGCGCTCCGCTGTCAACGACCCTCCGTCCACGACACGCTGAAGTTCATGAAACGATTCCAGAAACGCACCCTCAGTCTCCGCAAACAGGTGCTCAACTGCGAGCTGGACAGCTTGTTGATAACACGCTAGACGAGCCTCGGTGCTCATACGCGTTCTGGATCAGCTGCCAAGAATGGCATGCAGCAGCAAGCGTGCGTTGCCCGCCAACAGACGCACGCCACTGTCTCGAGTGCGATCGATGGACGCCGCCGGATCGCGCGCCCGAATTCGAATCGCACACGCAGGGGGCGTATGCGTCAACGCTCATCACGCATGATCGAGTGCGCGCTCGATGAACGGCGCGTGATCCGTGAGCGAGAACGCACGCAGTGATCGCTGCGCTCGATCATTGTTGTTTGATTCGATCGTTGTTGTTTGGCTCGTCGACGCACGCGATCGCCGCGGGCGCCGCATCAGCGTGCAGCTCGACTGGGTGATTTCGGCGGCAACGTGTCCCGCCGGCGGATCTGTTCTTGCTAGAAAGCGATGATGTGCGGTTAAGGCGACGCGACTTCCATAGAGTCGAATGCTACGATTATTGCGCGTATACTGTCGTTTAAGTGCATCGCATGCGGTCTAGGGTCAATGACAGAACGGGTGGGATCGAAGGTGAGGTTCTTGTAAGGGATCACCAGCACGGGCACGACCTCGTTGGTGACGGCAGTAACCTGCAGGCGGCGGACAGCACGCTGTTGTGGACGGCGTTTTCTGACGCCGCGGAGCACCGCAGCGCGGCTTCGAAGACGGCGACGGCGCCGGCGAGTGTGTCGCAGGGCTTGTTCGCTTCCGGGCAGTTGCACTGTGGCAACGGAGGCGTCGTGGACAATGTCCGAGCTGGAGTTACTGCCGCGAAGCCGTTGAGTGCTTTGGAAAAGCTAGCTACTTCAGAAGTGAACGCTGGAGTTGCGCTGCGACGTGTGCTCCAGCGAGTTGCTACTGAGCTCTTTCCGAAGCACTGGAACCAGGCTGTTGCGCGATATGCTGCAGAGCTTAATCAAGTAAGCGCTGAGCACACCAGATCATTGACAGATCTTTGGGCTTTTCTTCTCTACAACGGCATACGCGCTCTCGAGCAGAGCGTACTCCTAGTCAGTGGAGCCCAAGGGCAGCAAGTATTTATCGATCTTTCAGTCCGTAATACATGTATTACGGGAGATATCATTTGGTTCTTTATTGCGGAGTGCCTCTACCTTGTAGGCAAGTATGCAGAGAGTCTCGTTCGCCTTGTGTCGGAGGTGGATATCTCTGGTCAACCGATTGGCAATGAGGAGGCTTCGCGGCTTGTCCTGGCTTTGAGAAGCTGGCCGTGCAATGGGCATCGAACTGTTCGGTTTGTTGCCTGTAGTTTGACTGGGTTCTGGCTCTCGGATGAGACGAGCATGCAGTGCCTGCAGATGCTCAAAGCAGAGCACAAATTCGGGATTCGTGAGCTGGTTCTGAACCACTGCCCCGTCGCGCATCCAAGTGCAACGAACACCGCCGGCCTCCTCGATGGCGTTCAAATTCTTCATCTGGCATCGACTAGAATTCGCAGCATGTGGAGTCTCGCAGAGATCGTGCGTACGCTCAGCACAACCGTGAGACACTTGTGGATCGATCAGCCACCGCTTATCGTACCGCGCTGGCACGTCATACCGTCACTCAAGGCTTGGAAGCGAACAAGATCCGGTGTGCACGCATCTTCTGACTCTTCAGAGGCACAAGAGCCTCTGGAAACGCATACCCGCGCACATAAGCTCGCCGTTTGGACACCGCGTCTTCGCTCGTACTCTCGGGCAGTCTCTGGTGCGACATCGCCGGCCGCTGCAGGCGCGACGTCGTCGCCTGCAGGCGCCCAGACGATGGAAGGTGCAGTTGACGACGAGCTGCAGACGAGGCGACTGCGGGCAGCTCCGATCGCCCGGCAAATGGCGGCGTCTCCTAACCCGGTAGTCCATGGAGTATATCCAGAAACCACGGGTAATCTGATGCTGTGGTCGGATCGCAGTGCACAAGCAGAAGTAGCGGAATCCAAGCTCGAGATTTTTCTTACGGTTCAGGTGCCAACGCTTGAATCCCTCAATGGTACTCCGTTGAACAAGGAAACGCGGAGCAAATACGCTGAATACTTTGATACGGGTCTATCAGGCTTCGGGCATGAGCGTCAGAGCCATATTGTTTCCCGCGTCGAAGCACGAGAGAACGGAAGTGATCACGCGAAAGGCCCGAGACGCGGATTTGGTATGGGGATCCTTGAGCGGATCGCTCCTCTCCGTCTCCGCTACGATAGACCGCGAGCGCGTCTCGTATTGCCGCCGTCATATCGACCGCGGCAGTTTGAGTACCACCCATCGGTACCGGGTCGCGTTGCAGTGGGCACACTCCAAGGGACCGTACTATTCATGAATACGAGCGCCTCCGGGGAGCCGCTGACGGAGATTTCTCTCACTGGATCCATCCCACAAGCTCGAGCGCTTTTTCCGACGTCGAGTGATGTTTATCATTGGCGGGACGCAACTACCCACCGCGGCACTGTGCTGGGGCTTTGTTGGCTACGGCAGCATCCGGAGACGCTTCTTGCCGGTGCCGATAACGGAGCTGTGGGGCTGATTCGCTTTGCGGAGGATGAAGGCTCCTTGGCACACACACTGAGCAGATTCCCGGAGTTTGTGGGACTCACTTCACTGCACGCAAACGCTTCCGATGAAATGTTCATCACCAGCGGCTACTCGATCGACGTTGCTTTGTACGATATTCGCAAGCAGCAGCAGATTCGACTGTTTCATGCTTGCCATCGCAAGCATATTAACGTCGTGAAGTTTAGTCATCACGCGCCGACGATATTCGCTACCTGCTCATTTGACAAGGGCGTTGCGCTCTGGGATACTCGCGAACAATCGCCTATCTATCGACGGCAGATGCGTCGTGGTAACGTGATGATTTGTTTCTCTCCCGACGACTCCCGGCTGCTCGTTTCCGGTGAAGATAACCAAGTTGTCCAGCTGGAAACCTATTCCGGACGGACGATGAATGTGCTGTCGATCGATACACGTGGCTGTACGGCGAATTACACTCGCTCCTATTATATGCGCTGTTTTGAAACGGATTTTATCATTACGGGCTCTTGCGAGGAGAGCATCGTCCGAATTTTTCAGGCGGAAACGGGTAAGCAGCTTTGTGATGTGGAAATGGATTGCATCCGGGAGCAGCTCGCTGAGCCTTTGGCCACGTTTCCCGAGGAGTTAACACGCTCTCGAGCGTTGCCGGGTGCAACTTTGCCCGTGCACCATTCGTATGTGCAAAGTCTGCGCCCGGATCCGTTTCGGCCCTTTGCGTTCTCGACGCTACTCGCTTACTACCAGGTCAATGTGTGTAGCGACATCATGGAAGTCAACCTTCTTGGGTGAACGTGTCGCGTCTACGTTGCCAGTTTCATCGACGACGAGAAAGGCGACGACAAGCAGCATTGACCTCAATGCTGTGTCGCGTTGCGATTTCTGTGCAGCGTCGATGCCGATCAGGGCCTGAAGGACCATGCCACTTATTTGAATGCATTTCAAGTGATTCGCAAGACACGCAGGCGGGTGTAGTACGCGTGGCGATTCCATGGCAAAAGCATCACCTAGCGCTTGTGTTGGTGCACCACGCTCCAGCCCAGACGCAACGACGCGCTGTGCACGGTCGGAAACCGCACGACAGGCGGATCCGGATCCATCTGGACCAGAAGACCATGCAATGAGGTCTGAGGATTTTCGCAGCATCCACCATGATCGCGTTGCCCCATCAGACGCGATCCTGAATATGCTCGTGCTACTGGTGGGCATCCCCTCATCCTACGGGCCGGTCGTTCAGTCGGCCAGGGCTCGTTCGATCAGGGCCCTAGTTAAGTCCTTATTCAGTCCCATGACTGAGTCCACAGTACCGACGATATGGTGTACGAACTTTGTCAGTAGCGGATGTTCCACCATGAGACCTCCGGAACACGCAAAAACGGCGCCCTCAGCGATGAGGCGCTCAACCACTGACTCTGGTATTGGATGGAAGTAAACCTCGGCCCGGTCGATCGCTTCATACCGCTTTCCGGTTGAGAGGTTGCTTACAACGATAGACCCAACCGTTATCGCTGGAGCGTTCGCGTAGGACGCGATGAATTGACGAGCTTCAGCCGGGTCCTGGGGCTTTTCTAGTATGCGACCCTGGTGGACCACCACCTGGTCACCGGTAAGGAGCAGCAGAGGCTCCGCTGTAGTCCGACTGCTCCCCTTTTCATTCTTGAGCATCTTCACAAGCGCATCGGCTTTGGCGTTGCCAAGGAGTCGAACGAGTTGTTCTGCCTCGGGGTGACGGATCGCTTCTTCGTCGATCCCCGGCTTGAGGATGCTGAACTCGTAGCCTAGCTCCTTCAGCAGCTGTTGTCTTGAACGAGAGGAAGAGCCGAGAATCAGTCTAAAAGGCCGTGGGTGCTGGTTCATATCGCTGTCTAGTCTCGTAGTAGCTGGTCGGCGGTAACACGCCTAACTATGAAACGATGTCGGCTGATATACGGCCAGGAGAAGCCGAACAACGTTTGCGGCACTTGGGCGCCTGCCGGGAGCGGTGAACCAGCTGGCCGCTTCTGGAGAAGCATCGAACGTTTAAACAGAATGAATCACTTTGCGCATTCGATAAAAAGTACTCCCGATATCGCCAGTATTTCACTGTTCGGCGATTTTGCTGTTGGTCGCTTCGAGCCGGGCTCAGTGAGCGAATTTCAGAGGAATATTGCTCTAAGGCTGGCAAGTGCGTGTATCCGCGAAAGACAAGAGCTACGTTCCGCTAGATACCGATTCCATTCTTCCATTCAGCGATATCGGAAGTAGACGCATCGATCCTGAACGATACGGTAGACAGGCACGGCTCTTCCGCCTTGGATCGACTCCCGCGAGCTGATTTAAAGTTGCAATCAGCATCTGGTAGCCCTCGTGGAGTCGAGATGCGGTTTTTGGTACACTACTGAAGCTTGTTACCTCTTTCCGGCGTATTAAGAGCGTTCAAGCGCTGCGTGAGAGGCCAAAGCTTCCCTCTAATGAGCTGATGCGTACCTTGGACACATCATCGAAGACGTACTTGGCAGAAAGCGCGGCAATATGGATGCTAAATCGCTGTACGTGTATTCGAATCCATAAAAGCGCATCATAAAGGAATAACGTATGTTCCTGATGCGTTAAAGCACAGGCAATACATCCTGCGCGAGAAACTCTCGTGCCATCCTTTACGGGGTCAAGATAATATTTCCGCTCATTCCGCTGGCATAGCGGGGAACTGGTACGCAAAGCTTCCATTGGCAGACAGGTGCTCTTGCTGCGAATTGTACAGCGAATATGTGGAACTCGATGCCCCTGATATTCCCGAAGAGAATAAGCCAAATGGAATGCCAGTTTTGTAGTCAGCCGGGTGCAGCTTATACCGGCCATTGCGGAACCGGAAGCGTGGCAACGTGGCCAACGCATATGCTGAAACGTTCCTGGAATATTGGATCCATCAAAAGTGGCATCTGCGATACCGCGAAAAGGTATGCTCACTGGAATGGGTTTTGAAATACCTAGAACGGCACGCATCGTTTGCCTTCTCTGATTCCCGTCGCCGGTATTCGACAAAAAGATTTCACCCCGTACATTCGAGAAAGGTCACGTAAGCACTACATGATGTCAGTGCTTGCATGTGAAACACGAACTTACTTTCACATGCAAGTCATTCTACGAACGGCGGGTACAGGAACCACCCTTCTCGTAGTCCACATACTACGTGGTGTGCATCCAAAATAGAACTTATCAAACTCGCTATCGACGACTGTTTCCTCGTCAATCCTTTCCGTGCGATACGTTCTTCACGAAACGCTACCAAAGAAGCAACAGTGCGGCAACTTTACGCAACGCTGATACGAACGGTGGAGAACAGACACGGATGGAAAAAGTAAGATGTATGCCTCTATGGGAGAGCGGTGCGCGTTGCTCACCGAACTATCAGAGTCGCACCCAAATACGAAAGCTTATTGCCGCAGCAACGAATGTTCGTCTCACTCGACGAGACTTCAGACGTAGTAGATCTGCATGAGGGCACTCGAAGAGGGCCCCATTGTCGCCCGTGCAGAATAGACGAGCGAGCATTCCGGCAACGTCAGCCCTGGCGATGATTCCACTGCTTGGTCGCCTACGAATCGAGAAAAGCACAGGGTCGTTCGGCAACGCTTCTCGTCACCTAAGCAGTTCGTGGCTCCCCGTTACCGCCATCTTCCATCCTGCTCTTATACAGCGTTGCTTTTCGTCATCCAAAGGCGGTCCAGGAGCACGTACCCGAGACTGGCATTGAGCGACTATTTGTGCCTGCCGATTCTCCGAGATTCGATCCTATGAAAGGCATCTTCTCTGCTGAGAAACGCCAATATACGCTCCCGGATCGATAGTCGAGTCGTTCGCATCTGTGGAACCGTCCGTCGACGAGTCCTTCCGTGCTGGTACTATCCCTGAACTGGGCTACTGACCCTCTGCTCGTGCCAGGAAGTGAGCGGAAGGGCTCGCTTCGGTCGCGCCGCCCGCCCAGTACCAGTGAGTCCCGAGGGAGAACATTCGGATGTAGCGTATAGGAGAAAAACCCACGGAGAGACGAGATCAACCTGCAACCATGGTCAAGGCACTCCTACGAAAACACATCACCTGGTAGAATCTCGCCCAAAGTGAGACGCTGGACGTTGTTTAGCGAAAAATGCCTCCTACTCTGGGAAGATTCGTCTTCCTTCTCTCGCCTTAACATACATCCTCAAGCGACTGTTGGTAGGATTGTAGGAGACAGGACGGGCAGCTGTCCAGAGTCTGCCGGTACGTATTCAGTCCAACCCTGGTGCGACAACTGATGCTCTCGATGGAAGACGGAATACATACCCGGCTTTTCTATGGCTGTATCTCATCGAGAGTCGGGCATGTTCGACGCTACGAGGCGCACCAGCAAGCGGAATGTCGGCGTCACGACCTGTCTTGACACACTGGGCTTCGCATCGAGCAGGGAATGATGCTCCAGACGCCTCTCATAGAGTATACATGATCGTCCGGATGGGTCATACGGGCGCACTTTGGCTAAAGCACATGCATCCGTGTTGAGGTCGCCAACGTTTCCGGTTATTCGGAGGGGAAAAACGTGCACTCGCAACTCTCTCGTTGCATTCGATGAGAAATTGGCAGACGTGTTGCGTCTGTTCTTTGGTTGTAGCCTACGGCGCTGGATATGCTGTTGGGCGCGAGGGTCGCACTCGTGCCGCATGTGGAGCACACAAAGAGTGCAGCAACCCATGCTGCACGATGCCCGTCTTTGCGTACAGGACGGCATACATATATTGCGAGCACAGGTGCGCACTGAAACCTGCACGGGAGAAGAGCGTGAATCGACGCTGGATGCACGGGATGTCGCACAAAAAGCTGACCGAAGGTCAGGTTACGAGAACATTGACCGTGGGCGGCTTGGCTTGGTGTGATTCGACCAGGAACAACGCGCACAAGCACTTGCTGCAGCATGACTTGAAGGTTTCGATCAGCAGTCGGGACTATCCCACGCTTCCAAAGCGACCAGCGGCTTTATCTTCGGAGGAATTTGGAGGGAGTCCTTTCGCAGCTAGTGTGGGCATTGTGCTGGAACGCTGAAGGCTTGCGATGAAGAAAAGCAGTATCGGCCAGGAGAGAGGGTCGGGTTTCCATCCGAAGCAACGCACAAGGATGATGTCGTCAGCGACCCAGATATGCTAGAGCGCCGAATGCGTACACCGAGAATGATTTACCATGGCAATCGGTGAAAGACAAATATGGTCCATTATTCGAAATTCCCATATATCTAGTTTTCAGCGATCACCTCAACAGAAAGGACTGCATTCCCGGAAACATAGACATTCGTGCGTTCGCTCGTCCACAACAGATAATACCGCTCGTTTCGAGAATCAGTTCAACGGATGCCTGAATGTCACCCACCCGCGTTGCGAAATTATTGAACCGTGCTTTTTTCCATGAAATAACCTTTCGAGCCGGACTTACTCAAGCTCCTGCAGGCATGCGTAGAAGGTTGTTTTTCGGAAGGCCAGATTGATCGAGTAGTAGCCTCCGATCAAGCTCCAGCGTTTTCTACAAACATGGCAGATAGCTTTTACTGGTCGGCGGCTGCTGAATAAAGCTCGTTTCGCATAGGCGCGGGCGTATCGCTGGGAACCAGGCGTGCGGCCTCCGTTCCTTTTGAAGAGGCCCTACGAAGGCTCGCAGCCAGCGTAGCAGAGATCCGAGTGCGGACCTTCCTTCACACTACATGTGTTCATGATGCAGCAATGAAAAAGTGTTGTGGTACTGTTGTCGGTGTGCTTTGGCGGGTTCTCGCACTAGGGTCCATTACTAGACCGGATGTCAGACAAAGGCGTCTCCGCGAGGCGACTTGCAGTCGAGTCGTCTTGCGATGGACGCGGAGTTTACAATCGGGAGCGTATGGCGTCTATGCCGGAGTTGGTGCATGATCAATGACGTACCAAGACTGATAAAAGTATGGACAACCAAAGACGATGTGCGACTCCGGACTGATGCAGCGGAGGTGTCACGATCTATCGGGATACAAACACGGACACAAAAACAGAAGGTCCATGGCGTGCTTCGAGAGGCGCTCTTCAGTGCCGCAACCTACGCGATGCAGATACCGCCCGACTGCTGCTCGGCTCGTTGCTCGTTGCAATGGAGCTCGAGAGAGGGTCCTGGTCTCCTCAGATTATCTTTCGCTCAAAATCCATTATATTCAAGATACCTGTCTCTAGGGGAAGCCGGATGCATTCCCGCAAACGAAAGCTGACCTGCTCCGATGCATTCCGCACGGCATCATCGCTGAGACAGCAGGTGCAGATAATCAGTCGTAGGATGCTCACACTGAGCTTGAACAACGAACCTCGATGGAGAGCGATGTACGTGTTCAAAGAACGCCCCCAAACGCCGGGGTAGTCCACCTGTCTAGCTATTCATCTCCGGGACACGACTCGCGAATCATCCAAACCGTGGTTTGTGATTCGTCTACTAGCGAACACAGTCCGAGTTACGAGAAGGGGCGTCCCGGTTCCGAGGCGCCACTCGAGGGCTCCCGCGCAGCCATCTCAAGAGCTATACATTAGAGAAGACTGCTTCCAAGCGGCCGTTCCTATTCGTTCTCGATACGCTCGAGCAGAGGCGCCTTCTAAGAAGCCGTTACAAGCACGTCCCTGTGCGGCGAGAAGTCGACACTCCAAAAAGCTTGCAAAAACACTCGCTGCTGCGATGCCAGCCGCATCTGCAACCGTTGAAACGGCCAGTGCCCATTCCCGTGCCTGCGGATGGGTCCCATGTCGAATACTCCAGAAGGTATTGGCGTAGGATGCACCACCGAGTAGACCCTCAAGAAAGACGATGCATCCAATGGCTCGACTCGAGAAGAAGCCCTTCGTGAAAAACCGCGATCCAGAAGCAGCTGCCGAGAGGAGCGTGAGATTCATGCCTTGTACAACAGGAAAAATCCACAACCGGCTGATTCGCACAACCGCTATACTGCTACGCGAGACGAAAACTGCCACCTGGTAGATAACTTGAAAACGCCGGTAGAGTCCATGGTCACCACTTGCTGGTGCATTATCCAAAGATCCGACTTCACGGAAATAGGGGCTCCCGTCAAAAGTCGGTAACACCCCTTGATTGATGCTGTACTCCGCAAAATAAACCAGGGCGAGGGGTAGGAGAAAACTGCGCCATAGCTGCAAAAGAAGGGCTCGGTGAGGCTCACCCGACACCCCCGCTTCGGTGGTTGCATACTGCACTTCTCCACGCGAGTATGACCCCATCTCTGCGTCTGAGACAGCTTTCATTGGCCTCCAGGTTCCAGACGTTCGCGATACCTGCCACGAATACTGGGGTGACGGCAAACATTGATATGCAGCTGCGATCATGAGCGGCGCGAATGCTAGCGCCAGCAGCGATGTCTTGGGACGCCAGCCTAATCCGCTTACAAGGAGTGCGTAACTCGCTGCGCCTGCAACTCCAGCAAAACCGGTTCCGGAGCTCCATCCTGTTAGAGTCTCGGAGCCGTACACAGCCGACAGCGCGAGAAACGTCGCCTCTCCGAGCGCACCTGCAATACTAATAAAGGAGATGGACACAAGCAGCAATACCCGCGCCAAGACGCTTATTCGTTCGGCGCACACAGCCGCTAATAAGAAGGCAAGCGTTCCCGTCACAGATACGAATGCAACGAGTCCGCCATAAGCACTACCTCGAAACCAAAAACCAAGTGATACCTTGACGAGCAAGCCCGGAACCACGTCGGCGAATAGCACTGCACCAGCGTGCTTTTCTAACAAGTCTTCCGCTGCACTCAGAAACACGACATATGCAAAGTTATTTATAAGACCAAAGATGAAGAAAACAAGAGCAGTGCGCCAGTTCGGAGGTGTCAACGACTCCTCTGCGAGAGGGTTTCGTGAGGGCACCGCTGCTGCGTTGACCCGGTTGTCGAAGCCGTGGCTCGTGCTGGAGACGCTTTCGCCCGGAGCCTGGTTCTCGGTCATCCGCGATACTTCCAGAGACTTATGGGGCCTTTCACCGCCCTAGTTCGCCTAAGCGAACCTAGTGCCACGGGGCTTTGCGGATCCGTTTGACGGGGTCCAGTACCCAAAAGCCTCAAAGCGCGCGATAGCCAGATTGCTGCGGGTACGTTCATGGAGATCGCTTTGAGATATGATCGTGAACCTGGAACTAGCTCCAGCTGATTAAGGCGTAAAAGTGGCAAGATGATCTTTTCTGTACAGATTTTTTCGTTCATGCGTTCTTGTAAGGCAGCGTGGGGCATAGCATGGGTGCGTCGGATGGTTCCGCTTCGGTATCCGTAGCGACTCGACGACACTGCTGCTTGCGTACGGGGTTCGCGCGGAGGAGTGGCACTCATGGACGCTGTTGAGCAACCGGGGTTTTCCTTGATCAGAAACGAAGACACATCGCAAGGATGTTACGAAATGTTTATAAAAAGCAGTGAACCAAAGAAGCACTGGGACGTGCGCTGTGAACAGTGCTGAAAACGGTCACTTTGACGAAGTCTGGCGCACGCGTCTTTTTTGTCTTCGGTCTGCTGAACACCCTTCTGGGAGCCTTCAGAAATGAGCTTGATCGTATGGGCGCTGGTTGATAAGCTCGAACACGCGCTCATCTGAGAAGCATTCGTCAACTCGGATACTGTGGAACTCTACCGTGAAAGTCTGTGCGCCAGTGAACCGCAGCCCGAAAACTCAACGAGGCGTTTGCTGCTGATCGCTCGGATAGCTGGCGACGACCCCGTCACGAGACATTCTCCTTACCAGCAGGCTCCAGTAGCTGCATTGGCGAGTGCTCATCAGACCAAGCAGCATCATCAACACCGTCGCGGATGTGAGCGCAGCGACGCGTCTCTGATTCAGCCCTTAGCAGAGACAACAGACCAGCGTTTTGGCGTCCGTAAAACTTATAAATGTTTACAGCGAAAGGAATCAGCTTATGACGATCCTCTAGCACTGCACATGCGAATAAGGAATGCACTCTGTTGTGCTTGGAGCGCAGCATAAGCGGACGGTGTCCCGCAGACCGTCTGCCTGAAGTACTGCCAGCACCTCGTCCAGCTCGTAAGCCCCGCCTCGTACCTTCTAACTCTACAGCGACACTGCTCATGGAAATAACTCGCAGTGATTGTATTGATGCTCGGATATCGTTCTCGAGCAGCAGGGTATTTATTGGCTTGCTGTCAAGCAGCACTTTGCCGGAAATCCGATCATCGTGTTTACAAAGCCGCGTGTCGCGATGTCTGCCACCGAAAGCTAACGAATAAGCAACCTTTTTCTTTGCGGAAATTCAACGGAACACGAACAGACGCGTCATCATTTTGGGCATGCACCATGTGTCGAGCTCGGTCACACCAGATGAGGCTCTCTGCTCACCAGTAATACGTTTCTCTGTGGCTAGATACGTATGCCTGGGCGACTGCTTGTGCGTAAGCACGTCCATGTTCGTTTGCAAGTGCTTCGGAGTCTGCGTATGCATATGCTTTTGCGTATGCATATGCTTATGCGCGTGCGTCAGCACAAGGCAATGACTTCACCTATTGCCACCAGGTTCTGGCGAAAACGGAGCACAAAACAGCCCAGCTCACGGGAGCTACTAGCGAGCGCAAACGGTTGCAGCGCGATATCTTCCCCGAGCAATGCATCTCGTTCTCCGATCCCTGTACTGCCTTCCATTACACAAGTTATTTCTGCGATAGAGAAAGCGTTTTCCGGGAGCCGTCGCAGCTTTTTGCGCGAACTTCCAGTATCGTCACTGTGCAATGAACGAATACGAACGATAATGCCCCATACGGCTGCCGTAAAAAGTTCCAGTCGCTGACCTGGTAGGACGGGCATCGTTGAGGCGAGTCCAAACAGTCGGGCTCGAATGCGACTCGCGAAACGCACACGCTGCTCTTCCGGGGCGGTGATCATGAGCGCCCCGCTGCTGGCAAACTCTCCGGCATCGGACTTGGCTCGCTGCCGCCCTCGAGCGGATAGCCGCACCGTGCCGAAACAACGACTTGGGAGCGCATCGACGGCAAGGCGTTCCGGTAGTGTCTCGATGCTGTCGAGAACGCAGTCCAGGGTATCGCCGTTTGTCCGCCAGAGTGTTACCGCTTGGCCGTCATATAGGGTGCCGGTCAGAAGCGTCCCCATGAAGGTCGTGCTGTCCGCAGCGAGCACCGCAAAGATCCCAGGCTCCCTGAGACGCGTCACGCGTGATGCGGCACTAGAGCGCAAATACCTATCCATGGCTCCCAAAAGTGACAAAGGCTCATACTCAGGTGGTCGATACCATTCACGGAGCTGAGCAGGCGCTGTACCGTCCACGGTGTTCTCGCCGTATCGACCGCTGCACGGCACGTAAACGATTTGCTGCCAGCCAAGTTCGCCGCACAGCATGTGGTCCAGTCTTCTCCGCAGAGCCACAAAGTGTGACTCGTCGTAATGGCAGCTATCCATTTTGTTTATCGCCACCACGAGCTGCTCAACGCCAACATGACGAAGAATCTGGGCATGTCGCCGGGTCTGACCACGCTCATCCTCGATGGCCCAGTCAGACGCACCTGGACGCGCGTCAATAACCAGAACCCCAAGATCCGCCAAGAACGCTCCTCGAAGAAATGCAAGCACAAAGTCCTGATGCCCAGGGCAGTCCAGAAAGCTGATCGTGAAGGTTCCATCCGGAGGCGACGCTTGACGTATAGCCATGTCCACAGTGACCCCGTGCTGCCGCTCGCTCTGCTCGCTGTCCAACATCCAAGCAAGATTAGGAGCTTCTTGGGGCGTCTGGAAAGCTCTTTGGTCAGCATGGGATAATTCTGTCAAGGTCGCGCCTCCTAGTTGTATGAGCATTTGCGCAATGAGCGTTGACTTGCCAGCGTCTACATGACCAGCGAATACAACAGTAAGATGACGGCAGCTCTGTTCCTGGAGTGCTTCAGCTAGGCGTCCTCGGCTGGAGGCAGCGTCACGCTTGGGTTTGCTCTCTTGTGGGTGCGCGGTCGGCGTCATGCGCACCGTCGCAGGTTGAGGCTGCTGTGCTGGGAGCGTCGACGTCTCTACAATCTTCGCAGAGTGCAATACACGCTTCCCCGCAACAGGATCAGACCTGTTCGACGCCTTCATGGTTGCTTTGCTGTGCACACCGACTTCTGGTGCGGTCCGAGATGCCCTTTTCGTCTTCACTGCAGGGTCCTCCCGGCTCGTAGTCGACTGGAAACTTCGCGCCGGAGGAACATGGGCACGGAGCGAATCGCCTTCCAATGAAAGAGATTCTTCGTCATCATAGGTGCCGTCATCAAGCTCGTCACGATAGTCGTCCAAAGCTTCGGCAATCTCTTGCGTCCAGCGGGGCATATACCTTTCCTACCCGCACAAGCGCAACGTCGAAAACGGAATTGTTTTCGCAGTCTACATACGTGGCAGAAGACCATGGAACGCTGAAGTACTCGCTCTGTTCCTGCCTTTCGATATTTTCTTGGAAGTTTTGTATACGTCTAGCCTTGGCGTTCAGAGTGAAGCAATAAGAGCATATGGATTCGTACGTTGGTTTAGAATTCTGGGTCGTGGATTCGGGTTAGCTCCTTCGACATTTGCCACTGGAATCCGTTACGAACACGGGTAAAGAGATGATTTACGACATCACCGAATCAGGGGTGATAGCGCAACAGACATCGTTATCCAGTGTATACAGGCTGGAATCCAATGTCATCTTTTCCTTGCGTTTAACATGATGGGGTCACATATCCGTCAAGTTTTCCAGCTTTCGCTCTCAAGGCAACTCGTGAGCGCAGGTATTCGCCGCACTGGTTCGACGAGGAAGAATACTCGACTTTGTCACTCTTTGACTTGTTCAAAAGCTCACGTGACGATACTGCTCTGGAATCGCCCCGTATAATACTCGACTCTGTTCAAAACATGAATCATACCGTTTTTGTAGACACCGACGAATTCGTAATCACCAGCACCAGCATGATCCACCTAACAGTATACGCCCTTAGCGACTCCCGTTTCTTCTATTCTGTTCCATTGGAAATGCAAAAACTGGAATTGGACTTGAATCATCGTAGCGATCGACTCCAGTGGGGCATGCGTTACCGCTTTGCACAAACCGAGCGATCGCTGATCAAAATTGCTCTACTTGCACCCCAACATGGATTTCCTTTCCCGTGCTTGGTTCATCGTTGACAACACCATGTTCCGGGAAACCGCCATCGAGCATGACAGTGTGCGGTCGCGCATGTATCGGACAGAGTACGAAAAGCGAGAATCGACCAGAAGAAGGTTACGATCGTCGGGCATGGCTCTGGACGTGGAAACGGAGGGCATCGAGTCGAGCCCTCTGTCCACGTCGAGGTCGTATACCGAGCAATGAAGAAAGCCTTCAAGCTGAGGTGGCCACCAGGGTAGAGAATATGGGAGACACATGGGGAAATGTTAGCAAAATACAAGTGTCACCGTTGCGAAGGGCGCACCAAGGCTTACGACAAAGAGCGTAAACATAGCGAGAGAAACCTTCACCGGAATCGTCGTCTGTTCATGAAACGCATAGCCCACAGCCTGAACCAGATAAGTCACGACTCGAACGCTGTCATGAACATCCCTCCATTGCTGGAAGCGGATCTAGGAGTAAAAGAGTTTCCAACGTATTAGACGCAGTAGATAAGCGCGCGGAAAGGTAGCTGTCGCAGAAGAAACCAGGATGGGCTGGTATTGATGACGCGAGGAATACGCCAAAGATTCGTGTGTGTACGCCTCAGTTAGACGACTCGTTCCATTCTACTCTGACGAGGGCGCAGCGAAACGACGCGAGCTCTCAGCCGCATCGTACAACCCTAGCGGGGTGCGGATGCTCCAGAGAACCCTGTCCACGTACAAGCTTTCCATGATTTTAGATACCATTCGCTAGAGGTAAATATGGATTGACTAGGTAGCTCTAATTGCCGAGTTGCAGCTTTCAGAGGCATCTCAGGCGACGCGAGAACTTTTCAGTTGGACACAGAACGCGCTGCGTCTTTCGGTTCCGAGTACGTTCAGTTCCAGATCCGAGACTGCGTCCTGCCATGATACTTGTCCCGTGCGCATTTAGGATAAGGGAGGGCTTTTCTGTGGTTTGTCCCCGTTAAGAAAGGACGTTCGGAAAGGTGGAACCTTCCTATACAACATATGCATATGGGTTAGTGGCGATACGTCGCCGCTGTGCATTCCGTGGAGGTTCGGTCCCAGTGCCGCCTCCACCGCAGTCGAATGGTGTCCGTGTGAGTCGATGCCTCACGGCCTTGCATTGCACACAAACATGGAACATGGAAACGTGATCTTGTTAGAAAAGCTCCTGGGCAACCAAGCTGAAGCCTTACTCTACTTCAACGACGGTAGGAGTGCACAGTCTCGCTTCATATCGCCCGTAAATGTGGATATCATCGAGGACGCACCAATCGCAATGTGAACGGGCTCCAGCCCAGGAAACAATAGACTCGACATGAAAACACGGGAATGAAACAGCACATTTGATGTTGCCGCCTTCCTAATCCATTCGAAACAGCTCACGTGGCACAATTGCCTTGTTGAGTAGCGTCGCTCATTTTCAGACAGACCTGAACGGGTGTACAAATTTAGGGGTCAAGAGCAAGGTTCGCTCTGGAATGCGCGCCCGGAGGCTTGCTTTGGAAACAAACTTAAACAAGAAGCTCCTCTATACCGTCCAACTATGTGTCATGATGCGTTTTTTCATCATCAGAGCAAGATATGCTGGACAGAGCACCTTGTCCGGCGCATGAGCGGTACGCCCACCGAGTCCTCCGGAATACACGGGGGATACCTGCAGCGCTCGCTGCCATACTCCCGTGTTTGCAGGACATCGGAGTTCAGCTTCGCTGCAACAAGCACAAAACGCCTTGATTGTTTGTCTGTCCTGAACTTTTTATAGTGTCTTCGGAACGGTAGCAGAGGCATATTTAACTTACGGAGACTTTTCGGGAACGAGGACCCACAGACGCTTTTCTCGAGCGGAAACCCGGTGCAGACACCGTCTCTGGTATCCCTGAGTTGGGGTTCACGCGAATCGGCAACCAGTGTCTGGTGTCGCTTTGGAGGGCCCATTCAAGCGCCTTGCTCGGTACGCTTCACGTGAGCGCTGCTCGAAGAGCCGAGTTTGCCGGCGAATCCCCGAGGAAAGCGAATGCAGCAGGTGATACCCGGAGCGGTTCCCGGGCGTCAGTGGTTGCTTGCGCTCCGCCGGCACTCGAGAGCGCTCTTCCGGTGTTGGAGCAGCCGTTGTGGTAGGGTGTACGATGTCATCGTTATTGGTGGAGGCCATGCGGGCACTGAGGCAGCCGCCGCAGCCGCACGAAAGGGTGCAAGAACAGCGCTCTTGAGCCCGAGGCTGGACAGAATCGGGGTCATGTCGTGTAATCCTTCCATCGGAGGAGTCGGCAAAGGCCATATGGTGCGAGAAATGGATGCGCTTGGCGGCCTCATGGGCAGAGCTTCCGACGAATCATGTATGCAAACTCGTGTACTTAACCAGAGCCGAGGTCCAGCGACCCGCGCCCCGAGACACCAATGTGATCGTCGACTCTACCGCTTGGCGATCCAGAGGGCGTTACAACAATTGACCGAAACGAATCTCACACTCATCGAGACAGCCGTACAGGACCTTGATATTGAGAGGCTGCAGCCGTCGTCCGCGCACGCTACAGAACCCGCCTGGCGTTGTCGTGGAGTCATCTGCGCTGACGGCAGTATGATACGAGCTACGGCCGTTGTACTCACGACGGGCACATTCCTCAACGGTCTCATGTATTTAGGTGCCGATAAGACAGTAGCGGGAGGTCGACTTGGCGAGGACTCGCGGAGCGATCAAATGTTCATGGGCTCTGGCGAGTTACACCAATCAACGGGAGCGTCCACCTCTGAGGCAAGCCGTCGAGTGTCGGTGAATGATGCACGCGGGAGTCTTTCGCAGCTGGGCCATACGTTGGCGAATGTGCTCCAGTTGCGAATGGGACGCCTCAAAACCGGCACACCGCCGCGACTTGACGCCTCAACGGTGCGACTCGACGGACTCGAGCGGCAGGACAGCGATCCCGCCTTGCCGAGGTTCCAGTTTATGCCGCCGGAGCCCTGCCACTTGGAAGCACTCGTGGCTCGTCTGCAGCCGTGTTATCGAACCGCTACCCGACCAGAAACGCACGAGCTCGTTCGAGAAGCCACAGAGGCAGGGCTCTCACCGCAGTACCGAGGCGGAGGCCGTGGACCTCGCTACTGTCCATCGTTGGAGGCCAAGGTGCAGCGCTTCGCCCAGCGGGATGCGCATCCTGTTTGGCTAGAGCCAGAGTATACGCCCCAGAGTGCTGCACTGGAAAACTTGCCGCAAAATATAATCTATCCAAACGGTATTTCGATGGCATTGCCTCCGGACGTCCAGCAGCGCATCCTTCGAACTATTCCGGGCCTGGAGCAGGCTCGCATCCTCCGTTATGGGTACGCTGTAGAGTACGACTACGTGGATCCCCGTCAGTTGCGCGGACCCACTCTGGAACTGCGCTGCTGTGAGGGTCTCTATCTGGCGGGCCAGATTAACGGCACAACGGGGTATGAAGAGGCTGCTGCTCAGGGTTTGGTTGCTGGTGCAAATGCCGCCGCCAAGGCAGGCTTCGGGAACGCTCTCCTCTTAAGCCGCGGTGATGCGTATATTGGGGTGCTCATCGATGATCTGCTGCGCACTGGAGTGACCGAGCCGTACCGCATGCTCACTGTTCGCTCTGAGTATCGCCTGCACTTGCGAGCGGATAACGCAGACCTCCGTCTGACCCCGATTGGCATCGAGTGCGGGCTTGTTGGACCTGCACAGACAAAATATTTTGAAAAAAAGCGTGAGCGACTCGAGGATGCGTTGCAGCAACTGAGTCGCATTCGCTATTCAGCGGCAGATTGGAAGAAACGCGTACCTGAAAGCCTTGCAGCAGTGCTGGGTGCTGACGGACGAGTATACTCCGCACTGGAGATGCTTGCGCACCCGGGGATCCAACTGGTGAACTTACGCCTGCCAGTAATGATTGATTCTGATCTGCACGACGTGATTGAGGCACAGTGCTTGTATCGACAGTATCTTGCTCGCCAGGAGTCACAGGCGATGCGGCTCAGACGCGACGAGGCATTATCATTGCGAGGTGTGGTGTTCGCGGATATGCCGAGCCTCTCCGCAGAGGCCAAAGAGAAACTACAGCAACGACAGCCGGCAACACTGGGTGAGGCTGCTCGAATCGAGGGTATCACACCGACTGCATTGCTTTTATTGCAGGCACAGGCTTTACGAAATGCACGGGAGTCGTCGAGCACCAGTCCCTGATGGACCGATGTGCCGAGACGCTGCGGCTGGTACGGTCTCGGAGTGAATTGTGGCTGCGTTAACTGCACGTCATGCACGATTCCAGGCGTTGCTCGTTTTTAGAGACTTGTTTGCTAAGATCATGTTTTTGTAGTACCGCGTGGGCTATGGCAGACACTGGGAATTTTAGTGGATAGGAAGCTGCCCAGAAGAACCACTTTCGGTTGCGCATGGACGGTAACAGAGTTTTGCGGTGTCATTGAACAAATGGTGCACGCTCTGGGGATGTACAAGTGCACGCGTTGCCGAAGACGCTGCGTCAATGCCTCTCTGTGTACGCAGCGTGCATCGACCTTGCAAGCGGGGCCAGCTGCGGTGACGCAGTGCCCGCCCGAGCACGACACTGTAAATGTATAGCTACGCTGATGACCGGCGATTTTCGGGTGCATGTGCTGGTACCACAGTTCTCTGGTGCCGGCCAGTCTCGGGAAGAGACTAGCTGATCGCATGGCGTCCAAGAACACCCGACGCATGCCTCGTGCTCGTTGTCACCGCTTTGAGAGAACATTGATCGCCACGAACTCGGGCGGTAGAGATGAGTATCTGGAACCTCTCGCGCTGCAGCTTTCGTGCATGGACCAACACGCTTTAGTCATTTTTCAGCGAGCGATCACGCCACTGCTGCTCCCGTCACACAACATCGTTCACCCCGAACTGTTGCGTGCCATGAACGCTTCGCAATGCACGTGACCGACTACTAGGCGAACCCCTTTCTTCCCCAGAGTGCCTCGAAAACAATCCCATTTACAAGACACCTTCCAACTGAGCATCAATGTCCTCGTAAAGTGCCCGAAGTTTGGCGAGTCGTTCCTCATCCGGATGTCGCCAGATGCCGCGCCCGGCTGCCTCCAGCAAACGGCCGACGATGTTGCGAAATGCCTCTGGGTTACTCTGACGTAGCCGCTGAGCTATCTCCTCATTCAGGGCATACTGATCGGCGGCTTGTTCGTAAACAAAGTCGTCGCCAAAGTCGGCGACACCACCCCAGCCCAACAGCGCCGTCATTCGTTGTGAAACCTCGTAGGCACCGCCACTGCCCTGCGTAACCATTTTCTCTGCCCAACGCGGATTCAGCAGCTTCGACCGGTACTCTAAGCGCAACAGCTCTTCCAGATCTCGAGGTCGGCGAGTCGACGCATTTCCAAACGACTCCACGAACGACGCTGTGACTTTTGCGTTGGCATCGCCGGAAACTCTCCGCTTTCGCATTTGGGCTGCTCGCGCTAGCGCACCGGTGTTTGCATAGTACTCCTGGATATCGGTCAGGCCGTACTCCACGGAGTCTATCTGTTGGACCACGCGATCCACGGTGCCCAGCAGACGCTCGAAGAGCTCTGGTCGCTGTTTCCCCCGCTCACCGCGACCGTAACTGAATGCGTTCCGGGAGACGAAGGTATCGGCGAGCTCATCGCCCGACTGCCATGTAGAGGTCTCGACGCGGTCTGCAACCAAAGAACCAAACTCTGACGGAGGATTCGACCAGAGACGTCGTGGGCGTCCGGCTTCGCGCTCATTATCGTAGTGCTTTTTGATGTAGTTCTGTTCTGGGGTCTCATCGGGCACCGTGGCCGCCCGTGCGAAAAGATCATCCAGCAGACAGACGACGTGCTCGAAAGCATCGCGGAAGATACCACTCAGGCTACAGAGCACGTCAATGCGCGGGTGCGAGAGCATCGACAGCGGCACCAGTTCGAAGCGCACGATGCGGCCGGTAGCTTCACGAACAGGCTCTGCCCCGACCAATTCCAGGACTGTACCGATGGACTCACCGCGCGTCTTGATGGAGTCGAGTCCCCAGAGCATTACCGCCACCGTCTCTGGGAAAGTTCCCGGATGTTTCTCTTGGTGCTGGGCGATGATGGCGCGGGCAATCTCTGCTCCCCGCTGAAAGGCAATCCACGTCGGTACTCGATACGGATCCAGCGCGTGAATATTGCGTCCAGTGGGCAAGACGGCGGGTCCATCACGAATCAGGTCACCTCCGGGAGCCGGTGGAATATACTGACCCTGCAGCGCTCTGATAATGTTCTGGATTTCATCCGTCCGCTGCTGGAGCAGACGCTGCAGCTCCTGCGGCTGCCACGAACGCTGTTCCGCCGGCTGCTGCTCCGCTAGCGCCGCGACATACTTCTCCATATCTGCAGCACTGGGCGGCATGCCGAGGATATGCAATCCTTCTGCAAAGAGACGGTTCTCCAGTTCAGCAAGATAGGTTTTCAACTTGGCTGCGTCGGCCGCCAGTTGGTCGAGATCGTTTGCCTCAAGTCCCTGGAGCGGGAGATCGCAGTCGAGACCCGCCTGCTCGATGGATGCTCGCAGGCTCTCAACAACGAGGGCGTCCAATGCCTGCTTCCCGGACGCGGAAGCCGCCTGGAGTTCCTCTTCGAGCTCCCGTAGCTGATCACGCACGTTCAGAAGTTGACCGTAGAGGCCAGCACGCCCATACGGAGGCACACCGTGCGAGATGAGCGTCGCGTAGGCCCTGCGCTTCGCCAGTGTACTTTCACTCGGATTATTCTGGGCGTAGACGTAGATGTGGGGCAAGTCTCGAAACAGCAAATCGGGAAACGACGTATCATCATTGCCGAGGGGTAAGCCAGGTAGCCACTCTGCGGTGCCGTGCATGCCCAGATGGATCACTGCATCAAAGTTGCGACGAATCCACAGATAAAACGCTAGATACTGGGGATGTGGTGTGGCGTCGCGTTCAAACAGCAGTCGCATTGGATCGCCTTGGATGCCCACTGGAGGCTGAACTCCCAGCCAGATATTTCCGAGCGAGACACCTCCGAGGCAAAGGTACGCACCTAGACGTTTGATATCGGAACGCGTCAGGGACCCGCCCCAGTTCTTGGCTACCCGCGTGGCAATCTCCCTGGGCAGCCAGGACTGTAGCTCATCGGCGTGCACGGTGGTGATCTTGTCCACCGGCACGCCGCTACCCTCCACGACTTGGTCTGCAGCGCGAATGGCCTCAAGAAGCCGCTCACCGGACTCGTCTTCCAAGAAAGATTGGTATACTTCGGGGGCTCCCAAGTTGAATCCGGCCTCGTGAAGCGCACGCAGCAGACGAACCAGCGAGCGTGGTACATTCAGCAATGCCGCCGTGCCCGTTGCACCGGCGCCCGGTGGAAAGCCGTACACTACAACAGCGATGCGTTTCTCCTGGTTCGGTTTGCATGCCAGACTCGTCCAACGACGAATACGCTCCGCTAGGACGCGCACACGATCCGGGAGAAGCACGATTCGATCACCAACGAGTCCACCGAGCACAATCGTATCGATCGCTCCATCCAGTTCAGGCAGGGCATACAGCACAATCGACTGGAGTCCAACGACTCCGTTCTGTTGCCATGACTCGAGGTCCTGAATGAGCAGCGGCGCCGCCACCATATACGGTACACCCTTGGCGCTGAGGAGGCGTCGAGCTACTTCTGTCTGTCGACCTGCTTCCATGGTGCCTGCTGGTCCGCCAACGAGCGGAAACCCGATCGTACTGACAATAACATCAACGCGTGCTGCATCGGGTTCACGGAGGGAGGTCTCACGAATGCCACGACGTCGTTGCGCTAGTTCATAACTGGTCGTGAAGAGATCGCGCACAACCATATGTGCCTCTACGCCATTGATGAACACAGGCACAGGGAGGATACCTGCCTCCTCGAGAGCCAAGATAAGTTCCCGAATATACGACTGTTCAGAGATGACATGCTTGCGATAGAGCAACAGGCCGGCTCGCGGATACGCTGCTCGCTCAGGCCAAGTGCGCAGATACCACTCCAGATACGCTGCCGGTGTCCGAAAGTACGGTGTCGATGATGGGGCCCGTGGATGGGTCACCCCAATGGCTGGAACTTCGACGACTTCGGGCACTGGGGTCACCAGGGGGATCTCCAGGACCTCTCGTGCGATGTAGAGTATCATCGAGACAATATTGGCGCGGCCTCCGGCGTTCCAGCGGGCGTAGACCTCGAGCCAACGTCGCAGGTCCTGTGCCTTCCCCAAGGGAATGTATTTGAGCAGCTTCGGTCCAGTCTTCAGGAACGAGAGGTACCCCGCCATTTTGTCTTCCTCACGACCAGCGAGGCCGAGTTTGCGGAGGACCATGCGCAGCGCCGCAGGCAGCGAACTCGACTTGGCGTCACCGCGTTTCGCATCGCCCATGGTAAAAGCGCCCACCTGCGTACAGGACATCAATTCAAGCGAGCATTCGTAGACAAAGCGAAGCGGAATCGATCGGATGTGGTCACGGAGCCACTCGACGGCATCGTAGTCAAATAGGAGCGAACAAAGCACCGCGTCGGTCTCTCGTAAGACCTGGGCAAGATATTGCCGCCCGGTTTCATCCTGCAGGTCACGGTCTGTGAATACCAGTACCTCCAGCGTTGGAACCTGCCGATGTGCCTCCTCCGCTGCCGCCTTATAGAGCGCAATGTTGAACTTCTCGAAACCGGTAATCAACACCAAACGACGCAGCGTTTGTACGACAGGGCTCGGGGTGGTCGTAGCTCCGACCAGCTCCCGTTCTGAGGCCACTTTCGCGAGATTGGCGCTCTGTTGTTGGCTTGCATCCGTCTGCTGCACCGCCACGAGTAGACGGCGCTGCCGGCTGCGGCTGCGCGGTTGCACCCAGAAGCTGGCACGCGACCGTCGCTGTGCTCGCCACTGATAGCGGTAAGCGTGAACCGAAGCGTGCACTCGCCTGGGAGCACCCCACTGGAACAGCAAGCGAGCGTGTCGGCACGTGCACGCTGACGTCAGCGGCTGCTCGGTAACAGCGGACACGCGCTGCCCGGCGCAGTGCTCGACATAAGAACAAGAAACGAGAAGTTTTTGACGACTGATGTGCCCTGCAGGCCAGGGGTTTGCTCCGAAAACGCTTTGCGCAGTGTTCTTTTCCAAGTTTGTACGGAAGCAGAGATCAATGTCTTTTGTTGCAGCTGCTCCAAGCGACTGCCCGCCCTTCATACGGTACACGACAATACTATGCTAACGGTAACGCAAACGCTCAGTTACAGCACACAAGTTGCCTGAAGAACCAGCAAACACCAACTCCCGGATGATCTGCTTGCAACCGTGCTTGCTATCCAGATACAATTCGATGATACAGAAAAACGTTTACTGGAAAGTGTAACGGAATCGAGACGTTGATCTCGTGGCTGTCGCCAGCGCTGGAGATCGCACCCAATCGCCCGTGCGGATCTTTATCGAAGCGGTGGAGGTCGCGATTCGTACCCTTCCAGGCTGGCATGTGTGTCGTTGCAGTGCGACTTTTTGTTTTCATGACCCGGGATGGATTGCGTCCGACGCTGGATGCGACGTATCTACTCATGAGCGTGTTCGATGCGAATAGGATATGGAACTGCTCGTTCGGTTCCTTTCCGTCGATCCTTTTCCGAACTTGGTTTCGATGTACCGTTTCGAGATTGGACGTGCAGCGATCAGTGCTTTCGGATTCATACGTAATTTTAGGATTTTCGGTCGTTGATTCGGAGTGGCGTCTTTGACGCTTTGCTGTTGGAATTCATAACGTGATCGCAATCAAGATGATTCGAGACGCGATCGAACGAGGATTCACCAAAGAACCAATATCAGGATCCAATGCGTCCACAGATATGATTCTCTAATCTTCTTGTCGTTTCTGTCAGACCAGCATGTTCAAATCACGCGTGCTTCAAGTTTTCAACCGTTCTGACTCAAGGCCTCTGGTGGGCGCAGTGATTCTCACCCTTTGAGTAACGAGGAATCAAACTCGAGGTTATCTCACACCGAATTCCTCACAGGATCATGCCGAACGTTTACAAGGCTTCTCCTGCAAGTTCATCGATTCCGTTCGAAACACGAATTCGGCTATCTTTTGTGGCCATGGACGAAGCGGTACTCCACAGGAAGATGAAGCTCCGCATGAGATCAGCGCCCACAGGCCCCCGTCCTTTGTGTTCCCATTGAAACCGGTGTTGAACTTTCTCATCGGAGCGATAAGGTCAGATGGAGACTGCGTCACCGCGCTGCACGGAGGCGGCGTAGAGGGATGGAAATCTTTCGATTTTCTGTCCAGCCTGGATTTTACTGCCTGTACTTGTTTCTTCATGGACTACATCGATTTCCGCAAATCTCTTTTCATCGAAATACAGAAAAGAATCAATATTGGGCTATCAGAGAAACTCAAGCTGATTCTCCGTGGTTCGACCAGACTGAACGCCCCCAAGGCCGTCACGAACAGGCTTAGGGAAACAAACGCGTATATCGATCACACAGCTTGTCCTCAGCACGAATTTGTGCTCGATGCTTTCGGCATCATTCACGAGGCAATCCGGGCTCGTCGGAACCTGTTTTCCACGGGCCTTTGGCTTCCGCGAACTGCGAATGTCCGATGAGGCATACTGAAAAGAGATGAACCAGGCCTGAAGAGCAAATGCATCATGCATGCGTATCAAGGGAGACACGCGGTCCACACACGACAGGTATGCCAGCGAAACAACTCTATGAACGAAACAAAGAAATCCTGGTGCTTTTCGAAACGAGGTGCGATTAAACGCCGGAGAACGTCTCCATTTAAAAACGATACACGTTCCTGAATGAAGCTCGTGTTTTGGGTGTCCTCATAGAAGCGACGCTGCGCACATCGTCATTCGAAGATGCTATGGTCTGAACAGGATACCGCAGGACGTACTTGCTTTTGCTGAAACACACAGAGCGCGTGCAGAAAAAATGCGTTCTTTTTTCGCCGCGAGCTCCTGCAACACGCTTGTGTCACGCCCAAGATCGCGTATTTTGGATGCGTCGAGGATCTTGTCGACCTGGAGAATGTTGTAGAGGTACATTCCAGACTGAAGACAATTCTTGTTCTTGATCGTTTCGAGAAGGTGCTGGGTACACCTTATTCGCTCCGTGCTCTCTTGGACGCTGCGCGCACATCAGCTCCCCAACTGAACGACATGGCGGATGACGCGGACCTCATTCGCTCGGTGTCTCAATGCGAACTGTATAGCATAGAGAAGTGTGTTGTAAGATGCTCGGGCAGCGACCCTGAACCGTGTCAGGGTCCATGTCCAGCGGTGCATCAACGATTCGATGAAATGAATGCGAGCGGCCGACTACTCGCTTACGGTGCTTGGCGGCACGACGGGGCGCTTCATGACCGGGGCTTCGTCGACGGCGACCAGCTCGGAAGATAGATGCACCGTAATGAACCTCCGTGGAATATTCTGCGAGGGCGAACGCGCAGATGAGCAGATAGAACTGGCGCCTGTCAGCATTCTGCCGACGAAGCAAAGGCGCTTTTGCAGGCCGACGACTGCCCCGATGCGCATGAAGAGAAGAGATTCTCGCCTTTTCCGAGCGCATCTCTCTGTCAGTTGTACCAGCGCAGGGATGGAAGCTTCTTTCGTCTACTTTTGTAGACGGGCATCCGCGCCGAGCTGCCGCAGCTGCGTCCGATTGAGAATAAGGTCATCGAAGACGAAGAGGAGCTGACTCCATCGAACTCTATGGAGCAGCCTTTCAGGCACGAAATGTGCCGGAGGCAACTGAATCCGATAGCAGGCAGCCGGTCAAATACCGGGAGGCGTCTATGAGTGGTTTTAGTTTACGCTCCATGATCATGAAGCTTTTTTTCCTGTTTCAATGATGACGTATCGCCATACCTGCAGGGCACGTTGAACGTGTGGTGCGCGTTGCTCGCACGCACGCATGCCCCGATGCGTGCACGCACGCATGCACGCACGCATGTCGATACGCAGCCAGCGCTGCCGTGCGTTTATCATCGAAAATCGCTTCTGAACTGGATACGAACAACGTATCGCGATTCAGGCATTCCGTGGAGGTATCACGGGAAAGGCGGTCTCTTTCAAGCAGGTATTATACCAGCGTTTTTGTTGAAACGCTTGAACAAGCTGCTAGTAGCCTGCAGAAGTCTCCCTCATGCAACAGAAACCCGAAAATATAGCGTTTGTGTCGGCAGCTTGGACCCGGCTTCGAAGTCAACGGCCGATTCTTGGCGGTACGACCCGGGGGCTCACGCTGCCGAAACGAGCGCAGTGGCTGCCCTCTGGGGTATCCCTAGTCGTTAGACGACGGTGGCATCATTTGAATCCGTTTCGTGTGTGTGCCGCTGCGGATAGCGATGAGCGTGATCAGAGCCCGGTCGGCGGTGGCGAGGAGCCACCCACGGGACCCGGTAACAAGCCGGACAAACCTGTGGGCTCGCGTCCGTATATCGCAGTGATACCCGCACCGAGGCCGGTGTTGACAACAGGAATTATAGGCATCAACATCCTGACATACTTGGCGGAGCTCTACTTTGAGGTTGAGGGAAAACTCAGCGGGGCGAACTCTAACATCCTATTGGCTCTAGGCGCAAAGATCAACAGTGCGATCGCTGCAGGCCAGCTGTGGCGATTATTCACGCCGATATTCCTGCACGGCGGCCTGCTGCATCTCCTAAGCAACACCTATGCATTGTACGCAATCAGCTATGAATGTGAAATGGCATATGGACCGCTTGCGTTTGCCGTGATCTACCTCGCGAGTGGCGCTTGGGGGAACCTGCTTTCCTACTGGTTCACGCCCTACTTGTCCGTAGGCGCCTCATCATCCATATTTGGTCTCTTTTCCGCTTATATTGTGTATCTGGTGAACAACTATGCAATTCTCGGTAGACAGGCGCGTCGCCAGATCACTGTGCTTGTTGCGCTCGTGGTTTTCAACTTTGCATTTGGAAGCACACCAGGAGACGCTATCGACAACAGCGCACATCTGGGTGGTGCAATTGCCGGGGCGCTTCTGAGCGAGATCGTTGTCCCCGAACTGATCCTTCGTGATGCGAACGGCCAGCTGCTGGAAAATTTGAAAGCGGAAGAGGTTGAGATGCAGTTACGAAAAGGAGGGAAGATTGAGGTGAAGCGCAAACCTGCTGCAACAGTTGTAAGCGCTGGTCTGTGGTTCTCTCTCTTGGCCTGCGGTGCAGCGATCTTGCGCTCGAGCCCGGCGGAGAATTTTGGTGGTGGCATGCTCTGAATGTAAACCGCAGAACAACTTGTATCGATAGATGGCGGGAACAGGCGCCGTTCGAATCCCACCAAGAACAGGGTTTGCAGGGAGTAGATCACTAACTTGAGTTAAAGCATGACTGCCACGAAACAAGTTCCTTTGGGAAGCATCATACGCGCTCACAGCTGAAGCAGCTATCGCCCAATGCAATCAAAAGACTCGATTTTTTTGGCATCCAGAATCAAGTTCACTATCGTCGATCCCGGAGTGCAAAGCTCATGAGCGCTAGCACACCAGAGAATAGGCGGTCATCGCATCCAGGGATAGCGTCGAGCGTTGGCGTGCGGTGGCTGTGCGGTGTGCGCACCTGCGCTCTGTCGTCGAGAAAAGGGCACTCGAGCAGATCCATCCGAGTGGTGACGCTCTGAGGCCCCCATCCGAAGCACGGCAGACACAACAGTATCGAGGATGCAGTTTCGGGGGGCATCGATGCGCCAGCACGCATATGCGCCAGCTCAGAGCCAAAGTTTTCCCCATTGATTTGTCTCTTGTCTTTTAAAAAGCTCAGTTCTGTTTATAGCAGTGAATTCTGGAATATCAGCACCATCATGCTTTTATATTGTCCTTTCCTATTCTTGCAGGGATGCAGTAAAAGGCCTGTCTCTGATAGATTGACGAAAGTTCGTGAACAGAGTTGGTGTCGTCATTGCTCGCTTGCGACAAAGCAGTATTCGTTGTGAAAGTCATTCATACGACGGTCAGCAGGCGAACGAATCATGCATCTGGAGGTTCGTATGGTGAACGTCGAGCACGAAAGACATATCGTACTAAGCGCCATCGATGCTGCAGAGCTCTCGTCATTCCATTCTTCTGCGCCTGCTCTCTAAGAAATGCGAACAAAGAAGCCACCATGTGTGAAGTTTCTGCACAGTTCATATGACCGGCGATGCAGGGATGGGGATAGAAGACAGCGCGATTCTTTGGGCGACCGTCGCGCCTAGAACAAAACATGATCGATTCCGTACTGCAACGCAAACGCTCATGAAAAGATGGACGGTGATCGTTTACCTCGATACAACATCACTCGGGAGATATGGTACACCTTTACATGGGTATTCAACGAGCAGCAACCCGCTGTTCCTTAGTCAGAGACAAGCGAGTATCATCACATGATCAGCCCTGGTGGCGATGCTGTCGAGTCCTCGCCGACAACTCGCCAGAACGACATGATCGCTCAACGCCTCATGCGTCCTCGATACACTTTTGGTGGCTTCTTCTCCAGATATTCAACTGTTGGGGTATTAGACAACGTCGCTTTCCGTCGCTAATACATTGGTCTAAGAGGCCCCCTGCTGCGATTCCTATGGAACTGCTCTTCGTGAAATGCAAAGCGCTGCATCAGGAGCCAAGTTCGTCATCTGGACTTGAATTTGCGGATACCAGCTAGCTCGTTGCGAGTCAGGATATGCGTCCATAGAGTTTCTGCAACAATAGTCGATTCAGGGACCTGTTCGATGCGGCGCTAGCGAAAAACGTGCCGTCAAAGCTCGCAATGTATCTGGGCTCACTTCAACTGAGATCAATGCTGAAGGTTGGTCCTTCCCGCATTGTCGAGAAAGCGACGTTCCAGAGACATCGCCCCTGACGAGAGAACTTGTTGTCTGCATAAAATGCACCGCGACAAAAAAAAAACTGCTGCCATACCCAGGTTGCGCAAGTCGCTCCCGGAAGCGTCCGAGCGTGGTAGAGCGCTACGCTGGCTACCTGACGGATCAATAGATGGGGGTAAAGTTCGAGACCAAGTTTCATCAGTTCATTTTACACCCACGTCACTGTAAAATACAATCGATTTATCACCAACGCCGCATAACCGAAAGCTCGGATCGCTTCAACCTCTCATAAGCACCAAACCGTTTGCGAGCAATGCTAGGCTTGCCATCCGTTGCCGTGCTCATCTCCGGCATTCAATACACCGGTATCGCTATTCCACCAGGCCTCGTCCGTAGTCGTCGTTCAGCGGCGCTGGTGGCAGCGCTCAACATTCACGATGACCCAGTTTCCAGCTCGTATCGATGTATTCCACACAACAACGAAAGTCCTCATCCATACAATGCCTGGCAGGTTCAGCTTCTGGGTACACAGCCGCGGTGCGCCCTTCGCAGCCGCTAACACTCGGTTGTCGTCAGGGATGCAAATGTTTCCGCCACACCGCCGCCTCATGCTCCCCTGAGCGCCGCTCTGAGGCACATCAAGACTTGGCCCAGCGCTCGCTTCTCGGCATTGACGGACGCCCACAGAGCGCTATTCGAGACGCCCTCACCCGCTGTCGATCCTGGTGCGGTTTCCCGGGATGTCGTCCCGCTTCTGGTTGATACCTTGCGCCGGTGCTCTGTCCGCTGTGCATACGATGGGGGCGCCATGCTCCCAGCCGCATCCGCATGTGGGATATTCGGTCATGTACAGGATGCAATACGTGCGGGACGGGAAATCCATACTGCACAACTGGATCCTACGCGTCGATCCGCCTATGCTTCGTCCATGAACAACGGTGACGCAGGCTCCACTGGAGTGCGGGTGCTGTGATGGCTCCAGCCCGAGTCCAAGGCGCTTTCGCGAGGAAACAGAAGAGACGGAGACGTCTCGCGGACGCATCCCACGAGATGTGATGTGCAGCCGTGGACTCGCGTCTCGTCGGTGTTCGCAACGAGACAGAGAGCGAGCGCGTGGACAGCGGAGATTGTTTCTCGAACGGAGTCGATGATTCGACGCACGAAGCTCAGTGAGCGTCTGGCACGATGCTGTGACATACTCGTCAAGCGGCAAGGTAGAGTGCTTTCCCTCGTCAGTCCGGACGCGGCACCTGCTGCGCGTACGTGTTGCCTCGAAACCGAACGATCGCATACTTGAGGCGTGTGTGGATTCGGCACGCTTTACGTAAGGAGAAGCGAAGAACAGACGCTTGCCCGTCTGCACTGCATCGTGATACCGTCCAGCTTACGAACACTGGGTCGAGGGGGTCGCGACTCCTCTTGGACTCGGTCAGGAGTACGGATAGCAGCGGCGAGGCGTCCGTGAAGTCACTTGGAAAAACTTCCGAGCCTCTCTGAATGACGCACGAGTCCGTGAGCCGTCGTCGCTGGACTTGGAATACCGAAGCTGTCCATGTAAAGCATAGCTCGGAAAAATAGATACAGACAAATAGAACGAGCAGGTCAGTGTTTCCTTTTACCTGAAACGTGTATCGTGAAAAACGCGACAACTTGGACTACTGGAGAGTTGCGCCCCGCCATGAAAGACGTCAAACAGCATCGTAGAAGCTTAGCTTTCTGGTTTCGGTAACCACTGAATTGTCACACTCACACAGTTTACGTAAAGTACCTTCCTCATCAATAAAAATGAGAGAGCAATCAAGTCCTCGGGACGCTCACGTCTCCTGAGCCTTGGCCAATACCATATGGCGAGTAGCAACCTCCAGCGTTTCACTTGTCCGTTGTGGTTGCTTCTGGTCGAACGATAGACGCTGGAAAGACACGCTGGCCTCTCATTCGTTTCAGCTGCAGTAACCGCGTATTTATGTTCACTGGTTTTGTGTTTTGCGCGGATTACTACAGGGCATGAGGGCGTACCAGAGCACGTGGCCCTGCGGGTTCGTCACGGTGCTTCCGGCAGACCCAGAAGCGCGAGCACTATGCCCGAGTGAGCACTGGCTTCCATGGAAACACGCCGAAGACGCCCGCTACCAGCAATTGATCGTCGATCTCATTTCGAAAGATGAGAGCGTTGTTGTGCTCATCCTCATAGAGCGAACACCAGAGCAAACCGCCGAACCAAGCACAAACGCTCCGCTCGAACCGCTCCTGGGTATCGCCTTGTCGTTGCCGTTACGCCAACCCACTCAAAGCGTGACCCCAAGTCTAACGAGCCTGAAAACAGAACACGAATCTCGACGAGCAGTGAACGAGCACCTCTCGCGGCTGACGCCACTGGAAACTGGTGCGCTGGACCCAGCACCTGGCTCCTCACCGCAGAATGTGCTGCATGTGCAAGGCACTGCACATGAAGGCCTCTTAGAGTGCCACGTTTGCTACAGCCAGACTAAGGCATATGCGCGCCTCCAGCGTGATGTACTGGTATGGCGAGTCACTGACTCCCCTGACAACGAAAGGTTTCCCGAAGTTCGGATTCACTTGCGAGCGGCAGGACGATGGTACGGCACTGGCCACCTGATGCAACAGCACTGGCCCAGCTGCGCGGCTTGCCTTGAACTAGGGCCTTTCTATCCTTTCGATAATGGAGTGTGCGGGCTAGGGACCCTCGCTATTCCCGGCTGGTGTACCACCGGGGGATTTGCAATTCTGGTTGACGAGCGTAGGACACCCTATCTTCATGTAGGTATGAATGCACCACGTGAAACAGATGCTGCAGCCTCACGTCGTGCCTGGACGGTAGGCCATGAGAACGCGCTGCGACAGGTACTTCCACTGCGAGACAGACGTTTTCCGCCTCGAGCCTTGGCTGGATCACACCAGAGCCCGTTACCTCTAGGTGACGACCTGCTCCGCATCCAGTCACGCTACGGTTACGACTACGAACGTGTCTGGCATCCATTATTGGGTACTCGACTCGGATACGAAGACGAACTTGTGGTCTATGTGCATCTAGTGGTTACTCCTCGGCCAAACGTGCGCGCAGCGCGTGAGGCGCTCCTCGAACGCATGGGTGCAGCGGCGACGGGGAGACGACTTTTGTCCCCACCTCGAAGCCTGCTCCAGCATCCTATTTGGACGACCTGGGCCCGCTTCAAGCAGAACGTAACACAGGAGGATGTTCTGAGTTTTGCGCAAGAGATTGCAGCGCGGAACCTGCCGCGCAGTGTGATGGAAATCGATGATCGTTGGTCCGAAGCCTATGGTGATTTTCGCTTCGATAGGGTCAAGTTTCCGCAACCAGCACAGATGGTGCAGGCGCTGCATGCTCTGGGCTTCAAAGTAACGCTTTGGTGCACTGCTTTTATTGAGGAAAAGAGTCAAGCGTATCTAGAGGGGCGTTCGAAAGGGTATCTGGTTGCCGATGGGGCCCTCTTTCCCTGGTGGCAACCGCAGCCGGTCGCTGCGCTCGATGTGGCCAATCCAGAGGCCTGTCGCTGGTTCTTAGAGCGGGCACGAATCCTACGTGCTGAGACCGGGGTTGACGGGTTCAAGTTTGATTCAGGAGAGCCGTGTTGGTTACCCCGGCAGCTCGAGGCGTACACCCAGCTCGCATATCCCGGTCAGTATACGGACTGGTGGCTGCAGCGTGTTGTTCTGCCACTCATTCTTGGAACAGAGGCGCCGCAGGTCACTGGTACAGATCACAGGATAGGCATGGAGGCGAGTGCATCGCTTCCTGTGACCAGGATGGATGCTGGAAGCGTAGCAGCATCCGATGCATTTCGCGCGACTCGAGAAACCCCTTACCTCATTCGGAAAGCAGCAACTCGCGAAGCACAGCCCGAGACAGAGAGCCCGCGCTTCTCGGTAGAAGCCGAAGCGCGAACAAACTCAGGAGTTGCCGCCCATGCCGTACTGTCTGCGACAACCTTGGACGACGCAGAGCAGGTGCCTGTTGCTCCCGCCGAGGCTCGCGCAGCGACAGCCACTGGACTCGCGGCGGGTGCCCAGCCAGCCCAGTGGATCCCTTGTCTGTACCGCATGTTCGATCGTTTCTCCCATGACGGGATCGACAACGGGCTAGCGTCGGTGATCCCCACCATGCTTACCAGTGGTGTGTTGGGATTTTGCTTCGTTCTCCCAGATATGGTCGGTGGTAACGAGTACGATCAAGTGCAGGCTGGCGCTGATCTCATGATGCGTTGGCTCTACGCGAATGCGCTGATGCCCTCCATCCAGTTATCACTGCCGCCCTGGAAATATGGAGCAAGCGTTGAGGCAGCGCTTGTTGAGGCTCTTGCTGTTCGGAAGCATATCCTCGAGGATAGCGGCCTTTTGGAGGCGCTCGTGCGTTCGGCTTGTGAAGAGGGAGCCCCCCTTGCACGGCCAATGTGGTGGCTCTGTCCTCAGCTCGCTATCTCGTGGGATATCGATGATCAGTTTATGCTGGGCGATGACGTGTTGGTAGCGCCAATGCTGACACCGCTGAGTGCGGTATACACCAGTGCAGCGATCGATGCTCTGAATGCAGACCAAGATACCCACGTACCCGGGGTGACGCATCCACTCGGGCCGACGCCGTCGACTACCGCTACGCACACACTTGAGCGCGTGCCGCAACAAGTGCCTCCGAGCAAGTCGCCGCGTTCCTCATCCTGTACGCCAAATATGACAGATTCACGTTCCCTGCAGCCTCGGCAACGTCAGGTCTGGTTGCCCCCTGGTAACTGGTGTGCCTATCACCCCAGCAGCAGTATCGGCGCAGTGCGGCTTGCTACGCCTGCTCCAGCACCGCTGACGGGTCCCTGCACGATCACAACGACAAGCGTTCTCCCGGTTTACGTGCGAGTCGGATCCGCCGTAGCGCGTTTCGTTTTCGCTGATGCTGAAGAAGCGGCGGCTCACCTGGTCGAAAGTCATGGTATCAACGACGCCTGACAATGGGCTATTGCGGGCCCTGAAAAATTGAAGCGTCAACCGTTCGCAGCGCTGGAGGATCATGCAGATCCGCAGCGATATCGTGGTTTGGTGGTGTCGGGCTTTACCACTTTAGAGCACATGAAGATCGTTGATATCTGGAGCATCACGATGCTTTGCTGCTGGTGCCAGTGCTGGTGCTGCTCCAGGAACCACTGGAAATGACTTTGTACAGGCGTCATCACCCGCATCTATGCTGTGACCTTGGCCGAGGAGTCTTCGTGGGGGAGCTTCCTGCTGCCCGCTGGGCCCCGAATAGTGGAACCCTTGTCATACTCATTTCAAAATGGTCTGAGATACAAGCTGAGCGAACGCATTGCTCGCCAGAGCGGTATCATTTGCGCACCAAGGACAAACAACAACCACACGAGGTTCAGTCCGCCGGGCTCAGAAACGTCAGGAAGGCGTCATCGTCTTAAGATGCACAAGTCTGTCAGTTTGTACAAAAGAGCGATCGGGCTGAACTGAGTCCGCCCGTTCGTAGGTAAAAGTGACGAGGTTCACCCTGGCTGGTGTCTTGGGTCGAATGCGGGTCCACACGGAGCACTGGTGCAAAGTTACGTGAGACGCTGGGAGGTTTTTCTTTGCCGTACCACCTGCTCCAGGAACAGCGAGCTTAGCACAACCAAGAGAAGTTGCTTCATGAGGGGAGGCGCTATGATGGCCGTCTATTCTCGAAACTGTCGACAAGTACAGAGGAGATGTGGCGCGAAAAGCACACGTGAGGTTAAGTGGTGCACGCCTTGCTGCAGTGCACGCGAAGACGCAGAGAAGTACAGCTGCTGCACGGGTGCAGCCTTGTCAACGAGGATGCCGTGTGTGAACGGTACGAGCAGTGCATCGTCGCTTCCGAGACGCTGCGCTACGCAATAGGGCATAGTTTGATACATGGAAGCTTCTCTTGGCCCGATACGGAGGCGACTGACCGTGATCGACGGTTCGGGTATCCGTCTCTCTGAAACGACACTGCACCGTAGTCAAGCGAGTCAAGTGCAGTTCGCTATGCATCCAATATACGGGCGAGGTCAGCGCCGAAAATCAGTACCAGGTCTTGCTGGTGTATCGTGGAAGAAGCAGCTGCATAGGAACGTATTGGAACTGTGTAAGACAAGCTGCGAATTTGATCACTGATCTATAGTTTAGAACCGGAATTCTTTACACCCACGTCACTGTAAAATACAATCGATTTATCACCAACGCCGCATAACCGAAAGCTCGGATCGCTTCAACCTCTCATAAGCACCAAACCGTTTGCGAGCAATGCTAGGCTTGCCATCCGTTGCCGTGCTCATCTCCGGCATTCAATACACCGGTATCGCTATTCCACCAGGCCTCGTCCGTCGTCGTCGTTCAGCGGCGCTGGTGGCAGCGCTCAGCATTCACGATGACCCAGTTTCCAGCTCGTATCGATGTATTCCACACAACAACGAAAGTCCTCATCCATACAATGCTTGGCAGGTTCAGCTTCTGGGTACACAGCCGCGGTGCGCCCTTCGCAGCCGCTAACACTCGGTTGTCGTCAGGGATGCAAATGTTGCCGCCACACCGCCGCCTCATGCTCCCCTGAGCGCCGCTCTGAGGCACATCAAGACTTGGACCAGCGCTCGCTTCTCGGCATTGACGGACGCCCACAGAGCGCTATTCGAGACGCCCTCACCCGCTGTCGATCCTGGTGCGGTTTCCCGGGATGTCGTCCCGCTTCTGGTTGATACCTTGCGCCGGTGCTCTGTCCGCGGTGCATACGATGGGGGCGCCATGCTCCCAGCCGCATCCGCATGTGGGATATTCGGTCATGTACAGGATGCAATACGTGCGGGACGGGAAATCCTTACTGCACAACTGGATCCTACGCGTCGATCCGCCTATGCTTCGTCCATGAACAACGGTGACGCAGGCTCCACTGGAGTGCGGGTGCTGTGATGGCTCCAGCCCGAGTCCAAGGCGCTTTCGCGAGGAAACAGAAGAGACGGAGACGTCTCGCGGACGCATCCCACGAGATGTGATGTGCAGCCGTGGACTCGCGTCTCGTCGGTGTTCGCAACGAGACAGAAAGCGAGCGCGTGGACAGCGGAGATCGTCTCTCGAACGGAGTCGATGATTCGACGCACGAAGCTCAGTGAGCGTCTGGCACGATGCTGTGACATACTTGTCAAGCGGCAAGGTAGAGTGCTTTCCCTCGTCAGTCCGGACGCGGCACCTGCTGCGCGTACGTGTTGCCTCGAAACCGAACGATCGCATACTTGAGGCGTGTGTGGATTCGGCACGCTTTACGTAAGGAGAAGCGAAGAACAGACGCTTGCCCGTCTGCACTGCATCGTGATACCGTCCAGCTTACGAACACTGGGTCGAGGGCGTCGCGACTCCTCTTGGACTCGGTCGAGAGTACGGATAGCAGCGGCGAGGCGTCCGTGAAGTCACTTGGAAAAACTTCCGAGCCTCTCTGAATGACGCACGAGTTCGTGAGCCGTCACCGCTGGACTTGGAATACCGAAGCTGTCCATGTAAAGCATAGCTCGGAAAAATAGATACAGACAAATAGAACGAGCAGGTCAGTGTTTCATTTTACCTGAAACGTGTATAGATCTCGTGGTGCGAAAAAACAAGATACTCGTGCGCTTGTTCGGCGAAACCTGAGAGCGTTCGCAGGATCTGTCTATATTCTGGAGCAGTGGACGCCCGCAGGTTCCAGGCCCCGGTCAAGACCCGTTCTTTTTCACGCAACGAGCTGCCGGAGACGCCCCTGCAAAAGCACATGTGCGCTGGCGTTTTTCCCATGGACGTCACGAATGCTACGTTTCGAACAACCGCCCAAGTCCAGAGCTCTTGAACGACTCCAGCAACTATCGTCACAGCATGCCTGTGCCGTTCAGATACAAAGCACGTTCTCTTGGAGACGCATTGCCCGTCCTTCCTGGACATCACGACGACACCTGCACCGTTCACACATTGGACACGTTTTTCTGGATACGCATCGCCCATCTTTCCAGGAGACGAGATTTTCGAGCGAGCGGGTCCGCAGCTAACGCCCGAATAGCATCCCGCAGCTGAATTGTCGAGTATGCGCTCATCCCACGTGGCAACGTCGAAGACGCAGCCGACGCTTCTGGTGCTGTGCTTGCGTGCTGCCGCGCAGCCAGCCGTGGTTTGGTACGACGCTCCGACTCCCAGTCTGGCTCCGCTGTGGTGCCATCGTTGGCGTCTGCTCGTTCGTAATCGGTTGTAGAGGGACGCGTACGCGTTGGAACAGGACGCTTTCGGCGAGCTGCAGTCAGTGCAGCGAGCATTCCACTCAGCGCCACATTGGTCTCCTGGACTTTTTCCCGTTGACGAGCTTGCTCCAACGCAAGCCGACGGTGATGGAGCTGGACTCCAGTATCGGCGTTCTCACCCTCGTCTGGCAGGTTCAGCGCATATCGCTTTCGAGCTCGCTCTTCCAAGAGTTTCTTGCGCTGCTGTGCCAGCACACGTCGTACAGATGATTCGGGTACAACCAGAGTCAGCGCGTATCGGGGATATGCCTGGCGCCTAGCTGCTGTCCACTGGAGCGTGCGCTCGAGCACTTGCCGCAGTCGCGTCTCTGCGGCCTGACTGAGCAGGGCAAGGCATGACTTGGCTGCCCGCAGGTTCCCGTGTCTCTGGAGCGCCTCCAGGAAACGCGCTGTTAACGCTTGCTGATCGAGGAGAAACGATTCCGGTGCGGCGTCTACGACCGCAGTGACAACATTCTCCTGTTCCAGAAGAGCTCGTTCTCGTTCCAAGTCTACCTTGACGAGACGCTCTACATCGTCGTCATCGTCGTTGCCAGTATCTTCAGGCCCAGGGCTTGCAGCACTTCCGTCTGGTTCATTGGCGGCATTATCTTCATCGTCATCATCATGCTCCCTTGTCTGAGTACCTGCTGCTGCTGCCGACGATACAGCGCTTTCGATTGCAATCATAGGGCCAGCGCCGGCTGCTGCATGGCGTTGCGAAGCGAGGGATGCTCCACCAACAACTCCGCCCGCCTCGCGAGCACTCTGCAACGACTGCGCGTAGGGTAGTGAGTTCGCACTCGGCACCGGCCTGGAGCCTGGCATGGATCGTCGCTCAGCGCTGGCTCCTCCGGGGCGCGTGCCCGAGGGAGTAGGGTGCGTTTTGGGAAGCGCAGTGACCTCGCTCCCGACGACAGCTGCCGGCATGCCCGTTCGGCTCGTTACTGGATCAGCGCTTGGTGGCTCCGTTCGTGATGCAGGTGCGGGAGCGTCTCCAGTTGCCGACCCAGCCGTCCCTGAAGTCGATGCTGCAGGTGCCTGCCGCGGTGCAGTGCAGAAGCGCACAAAGTCGCCCCAGAGATCCGGCACAGCACCATCCGTCGCTCGGTGAAAGAGTTCCCGCAGTGCTCTCCGAAATGAATGATAGTCTGTACGATCCTCGGCGAGTTCGCAGAGCTTATCACGAATCGCCCGTCGATACGAATTGAAGACATTCAACTGCGATGCATCCAGGCTATTCAAAGAAGCCTGACGTCCACGCATATGCTCTAAGAGTCGTCCCATGAAGTAACGCGCAAAGCGTTGGGCGAGGAAGAGCTCCGACTGGCGCTGCTGCGGCGTTCGACTCGAGTTCGGGTTCGCTGCTGGTGTTGCCCCCGAAGGCGCCGTTATCGTTGCTGTTGTTAGCGGCGGTGGCGGCAGTGGTGGTGACGTACCTGCACCAGTCGATGCTGCTCGTTCGCCTGCACCGGCTCGGGCTGCTGTCCCGATGCTTGCCGCACTCGCCACCGCGACTGGCGTCTGTGCTGCACCCTGGCGACCGGCGAGGGCGCTCGCACTGGATGACGTGCTCAGTGGCACGGAAAGCAACGATGCTCCCACTCCGTTCCCATTGCCACCCTGTCGGTAACTGCTTGACTGGATCAGCGACGCTAGGGTATCGATTTCCCGCTGTAGCGCCCCGTCGCCATCTGGAGCGCGTGCTCCCCGTAAACTAGAAACGTACTCGTCTAGGGCTGCACCGGGTGCAGCCGCTTCCGACTGATCCCTCGTTGGTCCGGCAGATCGTGCCCTAGGCGATGCCCTTCTCATGGAACGCGGTTGACAGGGGGTTTCCTTGCTGGAGTACGTCGCACCCGCGGACGCCTGTGCTTGCACTCGCAGGAAGCGTACGCGTTTTACGGCTGCTCGACGGCACCCCCGGCGACCGCGGAGAAGCTCACTCGAGTCTACGCAGTTGTAGACGCTGGTCCTAGGGCTCTGAAACTCCTGCTGGAAGCGCGTTTAGTAGGAAAGCGACTCGCTAGAAGAACGCCCCCGTAAAAGCGGTCGGTATATATAGACGCTGTTGGTTGAAGTGTTCAGCGCCGGAGCATGAGGCGCAGGATAGCGGCGTTCGCGTGCCCTGGAACTGTTCTCCCTGCAGTGCTCCGGGAAAAGTGTTTGCAACAGCCGTTTGTTTACACTGTGTGCTTCAAGTGAGGGGTTCACGAGGAAGGTTCCTGAGGACGAGAACTGGAGTGTGCCTGAAGGGTTCGCGCTCGCGCCTCTAGAAGTGGCTTTTGGGCGCGAACGACGCTGCTGTTGTGGGTGTACGCTTCGGCACCAGCTGACAGGTCACTGGTAACGTGGAGAACCCCTGTGAGCAGTTGGAAGTATTTGGTTCGTCTAGGTCGGCACAGGTGTTGCATCCTGGTTCGCTTTTCGCGTTCTTGGCTTTGTTGAGAGCAAGTTGGAGCACGGGCGGTAACGAGGCCGGACGAGCGCCTATAAGAACCGAACTTCAACTGCTTGTCCAGTGCTGTGGCCGTGCTTCCTTATAGCGTTCACTGTAGGAGGACCGATCAAAGTCTCTGGTGGCGTTACAGGCTTGGGCGGCGACTCGCTCGCGCAGCTTTACGTCATGGTCTACGAGTGCACGGTAGCGGGCGGGTTGCGAGCACGCGTTGGGGAGAACGCGCTCGAGAACCAGGCTCTCTGTCGAAGTGCTCGGCAGAACGACTGGTGGTTTCACCTCGAGTCGCTGCCGTCCCCGCACTGCGTCCTGGAGAACCCAAACGGGGCCTGGAGAGAGCCCCCTCGCGAAGCAGTTTTGGCTTGTGCTCAGCTCGTGAAAGAGCGTTCAAAATGGCGTCAGGTGCATCGCGTCACGGTTATCTATCTACCGGCCAAATATGTCAGCAGGAGACATCTTCAATCGGACGAAAAACCTGGCAGTGTCGTGTTGCTGAAAGAGCCCCGTCGAGTCGTCATTTAGGGACCCATAGGGATATCAGGAGAAAGAACGCGAGCGCACATCGGCACACTGATAATCATATGCAGCGCCACTGAAACGTACTTACTCATTCATGCGTACCGTCATCGACATGTGACGGAGTGCTTCGTCATGCTTGCACATAACGACGATCCGCGGGCAATTCGGTAAAGATACGCATTACCTTGCACCGCCAGCGTGGATTTGTATCCCCGCGCATCAAGTTGGTACGTGTGAGAACCGTACATCATTCGACATGGAGAAGCGCTCGGCACCTGCGTCACGAGATGCACAGTGCGATCCATGAGCTGTTTTCTACAGGCGTTGGAGAAGGTCGCTTTGTGCACACGTGCAGCCAACTGACGTATTCTTAACTGGTTTCTGAAACCGTCTATCCGAGAAACATTCTATAAGCACAGGATGGTCCTCTCGACAGAGGTAACCATCAGCCGGCGTATACGTGTTCGTGAAGCGAAGCACCGAGAAGCTGTATCTTATGGGTTCGTGCTCCGGAGCCGAGCGCTGCCTGCGGTAACAAGGTGAAAGCCGTTGACGATCTAAGGACGGCCTGCCTGTCTCTCTCTCTCTCTTTCTGAGAATGCTCATTCCCGCCATTGGGACCGTGTCGCATACGTACCTTCACAAGATTGATGGCGATGCAAACGGAACGGTTTCCTCTTGCTTCGAATAGAGACGCAGGATGCATACGCGGAGGCCCCTAACAGCGTCAAGGCGCATGCGACACCATTCCGAGCGACCTTCACTAGCATAGGAAGCACTCGCTATCCCGTTCGGATACTTGATCCAGGGTGCCTCGACGTCTGCTTCCGCGTAAAAACTGTTGTTCTGACATGCTACAGTCTACTTCGGTTCCAGCTTCGAAGACGTGAGCATAGCCCGTAATTTGCCTGCAGTCCACACAGCAATTCCGCTCCAGATCTGTATTTTACGCAATGTTCATGCAGCGCGCGTCTCGAGGTACGCACGCGCCTTTCGAAACAAGTGGTACAGCCCGGTCGCGCACACGAAAACGTTCACCGTTGCCAGACTGTAGTTCTTGGGTACTATCTGGAACGACCACCGTGCCCAGATCGCCCCAGTTGCTGCAAGCGCTACGTTCTGTGCCGTGGACACTCGATCAACAGGGCGATTTAGATCCCGGATACCAGCGATGACTAGCGCCCACTTCATAGCCGGCGCCCAGAAGAACACCGTGCGTGGCCCCGCCGGGCTATTGATGAACTGGCGAAGCCGCGACGCAGACGCCGTGGAGGCAGTTCCAGTGCCAGACTGACCCGGAGGCTTCATTTCACCCATAGTCAGCAGATAACGAATAAATCGTATACACGTAAGTTGCCAGCGCTAGCCCTCGTCTGATACCGTCCAGACAACGGCCAAGCAGCGTGCGCAAGCGATCGAGGGTAGGGCGTTAGAGCGTCGTGCGCTGCAACTGAAGCGCCAACGATCAAAAGCATCGAGATCGCAAAAGAAGTATGACACTAATGTATAGAACTATACAAAAGGTGAATGCGCCTCTGACGCTGCTGCATGCTGGTGTGTGATGTCCACGCACAGCACGGCACGGCACGGCACGGCACGGCACGGCACAGCACGGCACGGCACGGCACGGCACGGCACGGCACGGCACGGCACGGCACAGCACGGCACGGCACGGCACGGCACGGCACGGCACGGCACGGCACAGCACGGCACAGCACGGCAGCGGCGCGCGAAACGTCGAGCAGACCTCTGGTCGGTCATGCACGCACGCAGCATCCTCGTGCATCGAAGCTTTTCATGGCGGCAAGCACGTTGGAAATGAAGCAGGAACGATCATCCAGACGTGTACGTACTGTGTTCCATGCAGAACAGTGAATGCTGGAACAGCAGTGCCAACGCGTTCTTTCTGTTTCTATTTGATCCCCTCGCGGGTGTACATCAATGGGAATGCACCTTGGGATTGAGTCAAGGTCGAGCAACAAGGCTTCAGGCTACTACTGCTCGCTTTGGACGGAATGGCACCACTTGCACGAGTCTGATATGCTACGGTTAGCAGGTTGATGGACCATCATTCATGTAGTTCGTACCCTGAACGTACTGCACCACACACAGAACTTTTCAAGTCTGTCCATGGGACTGCATCCTCTTCAATCGGTAGCAATCCATAAGGTCTTTGATTAGTACCATCAAAGGAGCCATAAAATGTCGAGTTTGCTACTCGGTCTATATGAGTGGCGGGTCATAGACGGGGCTAGGAAGAGACAGCGCTCTTCTAGACATGCTCAAAAAACAGAATATTGTCCAACGATCATCGAAAGTCTAGAAGTATCGAATGACAGGCGCTTTCGAGCCTTTTCTGACCCGCTCCCTGCCATCAGCTCCAGTTCCTCCTTGTGCACTTCGACCCCGAGTAGCTGCCCCACAAATTTAGATCGCCTTAGCTCCACTGGTCGTGTCTCCAGCACCGCATATCGTCTGATGTTGACAGCGGCTTTAGAGTGTCAGTTCACAAACCCCGTGCATTTCTTGCCGCTCGTTGAACGCACCTCTACTCCACCTCCTCCTTCGTTTTCGTCACTTGCTTTCCTTCGCTCGATGGTCAGCGAGAAGAGGATTTTTCCGTTTTTCGTCTGGCACCCGATGATGACGGGCCTCGAGGACCCCCGAATTCCATCTCTATGCCTTCCCCTGCGACCCTTTAATTTCTTCAAAATGAACGCACTTCATACACACCTTCTATAAATCACGACAAAGCATTTGATAGCACGCATCCGCAGGTGAAACACTGTTCAGGTAAACGACTAGAAAACAGATACACCAGTGAAACACGGTTCAGGTAAACGACTAGAAAGCAGATACACCAGTGAAACACTGTTCAGGTAAAGGACTAGAAAACAGATACACCAGTGAAACACGGTTCAGGTAAACGACTAGAAAACGGATACACCAGTGAAACACTGTTCAGGTAAACGACTAGAAAACGGATACACCAGTGAAACACTGTTCAGGTAAACGGCTAGAAAACGGATACCCCAGTGAAACACGGTTCAGGTAAACGACTAGAAAACGGATACCCCAGTGAAACACGGTTCAGGTAAACGACTAGAAAACAGATACACCAGTGAAACACGGTTCAGGTAAACGACTAGAAAACGGATACACCAATGAAACACGGTTCAGGTAAAGGACTAGAAAACAGATACCCCAGTGAAACACTGTTCAGGTAAACGACTAGAAAACAGATACCCCAGTGAAACACGGTTCAGGTAAACGGCTAGAAAACGAATACCCCAGTGAAACACGGTTCAGGTAAACGACTAGAAAACGGATACACCAGTGAAACACGGTTCAGGTAAACGGCTAGAAAACGGATACACCAGTGAAACACGGTTCAGGTAAACGACTAGAAAACGGATACACCAGTGAAACACGGTTCAGGTAAACGGCTAGAAAACGGATACCCCAGTGAAACACGGTTCAGGTAAACGACTAGAAAACGGATACACCAGTGAAACACGGTTCAGGTAAATGACTAGAAAACGAATACACCAGTGAAACACGGTTCAGGTAAACGACTAGAAAACGGATACCCCAGTGAAACACGGTTCAGGTAAACGGCTAGAAAACGGATACGCACCAGTGAAACACTGTTCAGGTAAACGGCTAGAAAACGGATACACGAGTACACCGTACGTCAAGCCACGAGTGAGCGCTGTGCACCATGCGCGCCATGGCGCATCGGCTGCGACGCTGGAGCCTATACGACTATCATACGGTTTCGAGGCCGTTGTATTCACTGCCTAGCGCAGCTGCGTTTGGCAGCTGTCTTTTCATCCGTTATGTATTTATTAGGTGCTAATGACGAAAGCGAGAAAGTAGACTGCCCCGAAGACGGCAATCAGGCGGCGGCTTTTGTAGGGGTGAACAGCTCGCACTCCCTGGGGAAACAGCGCAAAGCGCGTTGGCGCTCGTACCGAGCGGTGCGGCGACGCTGGGAGCGTTCCGCAGCACGCGGCTGGGCTCTGCTACTGACCAGCAGTAACCAGAGCATCCAGCGGAACCCCGAACTGCAGACGGAAGTGAGCTCAGGAGCGCACGAGGTGGAGCTGGGTGGTAGTGCTGGTGCCGGTGTCGACAGTACCGGAACCAGACAGCCTGGCGTCGAGGAGGTGGCAAAGGCGACTGATGCGGCGAAAAGGGCGGCTGCTTGCAAGAATGATCGCATCGGAGCAGGCCTGGTCGAAGATATTGTTTCTGTGGAAGATTCCGAGGCCACCAATGACGCTATCACTCATGCAGGTACCGTAAGCGACAAACGGGTCGTTTCTCGCGATACCGGAACGTGCGCTGGTGTCAGTGCCCTGCCGCCTCTGCCGCGACTCTCCTCGAAGAATCGTCAACAGCGGTTGCAGTTTGCCCGCCGTTCGATCCTGGTGTCCCGGTCATGGCGACAATGGGAGCCACCGAACATCGCGCCTGTGGCTAGCGTGGACTCGCTGACGCAACAGCAGATGCCGAGAAGGCCCCAGAGGACATTCATGATGCGTTTGCCTGCACCGCCGCCAGGCTCGGGGCTGCTACGTTTTCTGCCTGGGTCGAAGCGTGCCGCATATCGACGAGCTGGACATCGTCTGTTTCAGGTCTTCCGCCGTATGCAGCACACGGCGCCCGCGGAGGAACCCATCTTGCCTTCGAAGGTATCAGACCTAGCGGGTGATCTTGGCCCTGATCCAGAGCATATGAGAGCCAGCATGGGCGACTTTGGCGTGCAACAGACGTCCACTGAGACGAACGAGAGCACACGAGCATCAGCAACACCAGCATCGCAGACGAAACGCAATACATGGAATCGAACGCAAGGCTCGCATGCACCCACTCTCCGAGGCCTGAGCCTCCTACCAGCACTCTTTCGTGACGGTAGAGATGGCACTTGCTCTAGTGAGCGTCCGGTTGTGCAGCGAGCGTTTCACGATCCCCTCCGAGTCACTCGCTTGCGCGCCCGTCGACTGCGTAGACCGTTGCTGCTTGCGTTGCGGGCATCGCTGCTCTCGGTTCAGATCATTTTTCGGTCGATGATCATGAACTTTCCTGGCATGGCAAGATGGTTGCGGGCACGTCAAGCCGCCCACGTGAACGCTATGATTCGAAAACACGCAGCGATCGCTTTCCCGATGCTCGAAGAGGTTGAATGCACACAACTGGAGGATGACGGGAGCAGCATCCATTCCGATAACGAATCGGGAGCATGCACGCCTGCGGAGCAAATCTGCATCGATGAGGACGGTGTCGCAGAATTCCTGTGTGCAGATGGCCATGTAGACGCATGCCTAGGAAACATTGCCGGTATGGCGAAGAACAACAACCCCGATACATCTCTGGCATCGCGTGTGCCGTGGCATTCGGATCTTGGTGATCCAGCGCCTCGCCTTACCGGTCCTGGAAAGGCGCAGGTATCGAAACACACACAAAGTGAATCCCTCACACAGGTGCTCGATGCAGCAAGCGTGGGCTCTACGGGGAGCGCAAATGCCGCTGCCGCCGCGTCTTGTACGCATCATCCACCCGCAAGGGCGACATCCTCCCGCGGGACATCACAGGCCCGGTCGAGACGCTTGCTCGAAACAGATTCGCACTCGGCCGACGACGACGACGAGAACGACGAGAACGTGAAACTTTTCCATGCCCGACCGTCTGCGTCCCTGCCACACGAAGAGGATGACAAAGATTCCCGAGATCGTTCGAGCTGTAGGGTCAGCACCTTGGAACGGCCTCAACCGAAACGAGGCTCGCGACCAAACAAACGCGCGACAGCTGGTGCCTTCAAAAGGACGTTCAACGCAGGATCGTCTTTAAGCGAGACCTCGAATGATCATTTTCGGGTCCTGGAGATAGGCGGTGTTTGGACGGAGGTTCTCGTGATCCACTCGAATGCGGCACAAGCGACGCGCGCATCCCCACAGGCCGAGCGCTTGCCTTCGCTCGGTTGCAAGTCGCTGTCGGTGAGCTCCATGGGATCCTCAATAGACCTGGACGACTGGAAGACGCCCTCGGGGAACGACATGATCCTCGATGATGGTACGGTATCACCGGGAAACAACCGCATTTCCGTGAACAACGGTGAACCTGCAGCCGCTTTGCATCGGGGATGCAGTGTCTCCCTGGGAACAGGCGTGCACCTGGACTCGACAAGCTCGGATGCGCCGACGATGAATGGAATGCGTCGCATCCGCAGCAGCAGCAGCAGCACGCTGCCCTACACACGTACGTTCATTCGATCCCAGCAGCACGGTGCGGTAGCGGTATCGCGTTCACAGCCGTCCGCGCAACAAGCACCCAGCGACTCGCAGCGGCATCTCGATACGAGTAGGAATCCAGTCCAACCGGGGCGTCGTCGCCGGTGTCAGGTTGTGTTCCTACCGGGTAATCCGGGCTGTATCGAGTTGTACGAGTCCTTTCTCCTGCAGTGCGCAGCGATGCTGGCTCAGGCAGGCAACCCGTCCGTTGAATTCGTCATCCATGGTGTTGGACTCGCCGGGCACGACCTTAGAGGCCTGAATCGCCCCGGACGCTTCTTCGACCTGTCCGAACAGACCCGCCACAAACTCGCCTACATTCGGGAACACGTCGGTTGGTCATTCGCCGAGGATTCGAACTACATCAATGACGACATCGACATCGACGATAACGAGGACCTCGTCTTGATTGGCCACAGCACCGGTGCACATATCATCTGCCGGATGCTGGAAGCGAGTCCAGCGCTAGCGGAACGAGCGCATGTGATTCTACTTACCCCAGCGATCGCTGAGGTTGCCGACGGTATCCGCACCGCTTTCCGTCAACGAGCGTTTATATTTCAGCGCGGAGCTCGACACATTACGGCGGGTTTGGCGAGCATGATCCTCCGCGTCGCGCCCGAGCGTATGGTCAGTGATCTCATTGATGAGTTTCTGGCACATCGGGCGACACCTCAGGTTGCTCGCCGTATTCGGGACCTCTTCCGACTCGCCGCCGACAAGTACCATCTTTTCCTGAACGTTCTCGCGCTTGCTGCTGACAAGTGTCTTCACATTGGCGACATGAATATCGCGCTGCTACGCCGTTTCGCGCGCCGACTCGTCATGTACTATGTGCCGGATGACCCGTTTGCAACTTCTGATCAGTGCGCCCGAGTTCGCCGACAAGTCCCCGAGGCACATGTCGAGTATGAGAGCGGTCAGATTTACCACGGCTTTATCTTGAGCGAGCAGCAAACCGAATACGTGGCCCGCAAAGTCGTTCACTGGGTGCTGGAGGCAGTGCGTCGGCCGCCGTCTACATCCGGTGCCGGTGGTTGAGGTGCCCGGCCCTGTTCAATCAACGATCGTAGCGTGGATCGAAACTGTGCCTGCAAGCCAGGCTCGATCAGTGCATCGATTAGGGCGATGAGTTCCCATAGCTCAGCAGCCGCGCGAGGACTTGCGAGGTCAAACGCATCTCCGAGGTAACGCGTGATCCAGTCGACGAAAGCGTTGACGGCGCGCGTCCAGGCCGCGCTCTCGGTGGTCGACGCCGCCTGTTGTTGTTGTTGTTGTTGTTGCTGTTGCTGCTGAAGGAGTTTGAATGCCTGCGTAAATAGCATCCGCAACAAGTGCGTGCCCTTCTCACTCGAGAGCGCCACCTGGGTCAGGACGCGTGAGCGCGCATGACCAGTGCGAAAGGCGTCCAGGAGTACGGCAAGCTCGTGCAACGACGTATACTGCAGAATGCCGTCGGTGATGATGCCCCAGAATGCTTCAGTTACGTGCTGATTTGCAGGATTTTCCAGTTCAGTACTGCAGTAAGCGGCGAGACGCCCCAGAAAGAGCTGATAGACGCGCTGGCGATCTGTGGCACGCAGTAATTGCCACACTTGCGTGAGTAACCGCTTGCCTTTGGGAATCGCGCAAATACTGTAGAAGAGCTGAGCAGTTGGCGCACCAGACGATGCGACTGCACCCATCGCAGACGACCCGTGCTCGTAGAGGCCCAGCAGCTTGCACAGCGTCTCCTGATAGGCGGTCTGCTGCGCAGCAGACAAGGACGCGAAGAGCGCTGGCGTCACTAGGCTGGATCCGGTCTCCAGCGCCATCCCGTGAAGCACATCGTACGCTTGCTCGATGCGACCACGTGCTTTGATGCGCGGGTCTTCGTGGAACGAGCCGCTGGGGTTTGCTTCACCATTCGCCTGCTCGGTTGCTTGCCATGTCGCTGAATCGGGGTCGAGTTCCAGGGATAGCACCTGACGGGGCGCTTGTGGCGTCCACTTTGGTGGAGCACCCAGCGCTGACGCCAACGCTGCTGCATTGGGCGGATGCCTCCGGGGCCCGCGGACACCTCCAGCATTGCCCGTGATGCTGGTGGAGGTGCTATGCGACGGTGGCATGCCTGCCATCGAAGGCGTCCGTTCAGCTTGTGCCTGGTTTGCCTTCCACAGTACCTTCGAGCGTTCGTGGACGTTATGCTGCTGACTTGCAGCAGCGTGTCGCCGAGCCGCCAGCTCAGTGGCATAGAAGGCCTCGGCCCGTACGGCGTCTTCGGACTCGGTCAGGTGCAGGGAGCGTTGCTGCAGGTAGCGAACTTTCTCAATCTCGTGCGGCTTCATGGCCTGGAGGTGACTCGATGACTCGCGCGGGTGCTGCACCTCCGCAGGTGCAACATGAATACCGGTCTCTGTCGCTGACCAACACGGAAAAGCGCTCTCATATGTGGAAGGATCTCGCGATCTCGCGTGCTGCTCTGCTCGTGGAACGCTGCCAGCCATATGAGGCGTCGTTGAAGCGGTACCTGACCGCAAGCCCGCTGACAAAGAAGAATTCCAGGGTGTCTTCAAGGCGCCGGTGCCCGGCGTCTCTGCTGTCGCCTGTGTAGGTGGTGCTGTTGGCGTCCGCGCCATTGTCGCAGACGTCGTGACTCCCTGAAAGCTGCGCTCCAGCTCAGTGACCGACAAGACGCCCGGGACGTGCCGCACGACCGGCTCGGTGTGTGCGTGAAATTGCGCCGGCGGAGCCTCGAATCCGGGGGCAGGCCCCTGCGGTGCACTGTAGCTCGCGGAGAAGAAGCCACCGCTGCTAGAGCTGTTCCCGCCGCTGCCCGTGCTGGGCACTAGCGGCCGACCAGCGAGCAGCGCCTCTTCCAAGGCACGTGACTCGAGCACCCTCTCCGTGTGAGGCTGGGCGATGGACCACCCGGCTTGGTCGTCAGCATCGATGACGGGGTGCGTCTCAGCGCATGTCCTCAGCGGCGCTGCACCAGGCTCCATGCGGGTGCTTTGCGGCTTTGGGTAACGCGCTGGTCTAGCGTCGACCGCTTGCGGGGCACGGTCTCGAACCTCGGGCACAAAATGGCCGGAACGCTTCACCACCATTCCATGTGGACGTAGCCTAGCGCCAAAAGCTATCGCTTGTCGGTACACGAGGGTGTACGCAAGTACGTGTTCACCCGTCGCCGCAGTGCTCCTACCGTGCGTTCCGCACCAAGCGGGCGTTTCGAAGCACCCGCGTTCGCAGCATGAAAACGTGGTGCGCGATCAGCGGCTTCGCCGCCGCCTTCGATGCTGGATAAAGATGTATTTTTAGGTAGAAAGTGACACTCGCTCCGTTCGTGCGTGTTTGCTGCAGCCATCTTTGCGTTTGTGTCGATCGCGTCGATCGATCGTATGCGTACATACACCGACGTGCAGAGGCTTCCCGGCCTTGTTCGACCGGCCATCTGTTATCGTTTTCAGCTTCTCGTTGTACATTTCGACCCGGAGAGGCTGCCTCACCAAGTTCGATCGCGTCAGTTCCTCGGGTCTCGTCTCCAGTACCGCACATCTCCTCGTATTGATGGCAGCGTTCATGCCAAGGTTCATGAACTCTCTGTGTTCATTGCCACTGGTTGAACACAACCATGGAAGGATTCCTCGAGCACGTACCCTCTGCGCCGTTCGCTGCTCTGTCAGCTCTCCGTGCTGTTCTACCTCCGAAGCGCTCCGCTGGCTTTTTTCCATCTCGACGCTCTGAAGCGTATACCCTAGCTTATAGAGTATGGTTCAGGTACGGAACTGACCTATCGGTGCTGTGACAAAACGATGTGCACGCTCTTTGTACGCTCGTGTCGACGGAGCGAGTATGCTCCCTTTTATGGACGCCCAGCTCGCTGCTCCGTATGCTACTACGGGTCTCTGACTCTCGTCCTCCCTCAGGGCGCTCAAGTGATTGAAAAAGTTGGCAAGTGCACGTTACTTCCCTCGGTACAAGTTCACACGCCAATGAGCTCACCGGAACCTGTTGTTCTCTTGCCAAAACGCCTCCCATTGCGCAACCTGAACTTCCACGAACTCCTGAAAAGCTTTAAGGTCCGCTCCAAGGTTTGTCGCCCCGCTCATCGCTTCGAGGTGATTCTTACCTCCTGTATTCCGCATCTCACATTTTTTCCTTGCATTCATTCGTTCCGACCCTCGATAGTAGCGCGCGTTCGAGGACTTTCGAAGACGCATGTCGCTCTGGTGTAAGTTGCCGTCGTTACCATCTTGCCCGCGCTTAGGCACAGCGACGATCATGGTATCCGTGTTCCCAGGGCGTTCCGTGCCGATGACAAAGTCGTTCCCGTGCACGTTGTGCGCCGCAGGGCCCGCCTCCTTTTCATCTTCATGCTTCGCCGAGGGCGACAACGACGACCGAACAGGGTGATCCACATTCGAGCGCCGATAGTGTACACCTATGGATACCCCATCGCTTTCGATCTTCCCCGTGAATACCTTCTTCTTACTCGTTTTGCGACGTTTGAAATCGAAGATATCCCTCCAATAGGTGTCGCGGTCTTCGCCCGTGAACTCCTCCCTGCTTACATCGAACTCGGGACAGATCTCCTTCATAATGCCGAAAAGGACGCCAGAATCGATTGTGATAAAGTGTGACTTGTCCTCGCATATCGGAACGACATTGAAGCGCTGCTCCAGAAGCGAAGCCCTGCGTTCCACTGAATCTTCATTTTCCTCCACGTCCAGCTCCATATCGGCCATGCGTTCGAGCTCTCGATTCAGAAACACGAAAGAACGCAGGATGAAGGGACAACATCTCTCTTCACCTTTTTTCATCTCTGATACCTTTTCTGTTGGGTTGACCAGCCCCAGTACCGCACGGTGCTCTTGAATTGCCGCACGAATCACAGAATCCACATTCGTGCTCGTCCATGATGTCTTCTCGTCGACGAACTCGATCTCCTGGTCATCCCGAGGATCGTTCGTGATGCCATCGATGATGGCCCATATTCCTTTGCGAGACAGGCCCGGGCACAGCGCGAAGACGGAGCGTTTCATGAAGCGTTTGAGGTTCATGATCATGTGGTTCTTCAGGTTCGTGACGTACTTCATCGCTCCGTAGGTGTCAATCTCTCGGTGGCCCCTGTATCGAGCACCGCTGAAGCGGTATTCGGGGTGGTTCTCATGGAAGGTTCTCACTCGCTCATTGCTCGTCGACATTTCCCCTGCGCCAACCATTAGTTGGCGAATGAAAGACACGTGGAAAAATTCTTTCGGAACCTCGACCGTTTTGATGTCGGTAACGTCGGAGAACAAATCGTTCACGAATTTCGTCAGTCCTAAAGAAGCGTTAAGAATACTACTGGAGTACGACTCGACAGGTTTTCTGATGGACTCTCGCAACTTTCTCTTGTAGGGTTCCTTGATAGGGCTTCCGAGAAAGGCTTTCACTACGACCTCGTTCTTGTGTCGTCTTTCGAGTTGCATTTGTCGTGAGGCCTCCTGCTTCTGATACGTCTTCTTCTTCTGTTCATCTGGAGTTGGCACTGGTTTCCGTTGCTTTGTCAAATCCGGCGGCAGGGGGCCTCCAGGATCCTCGAATTTCGTGTTCATTATTTTTATTTTTGAAAACGAACGCGGTTCGAAAGCGTCTACCATTAATCACGAAAAACACTTGACTAGACTTGTTTGATGTTCCAAAACTAATGAACTGAAAGACTGTACTTGGTTACGACCTCAACGGAAACCCAACTTTTTTCCGGTAGAACAACACGCTACTGATCAAGATCGCGTTTTCCTTCAACGGAGGCATATGCGTCGTGTCTCATGTCGGCCTGATCTCCCAGATGCGCTCATTTAGCGCAATGCGTGTACCGCGCAAGACGCCTCACCGATCGATGAAGGACACGTGTCCGACGCCCCGCATTGGCACATGCGTGTTTGCATCGCACTGCAGCTGAAATCGGGTGCCGTAGATCGGAAACTCCCGTAGAATGCACTCCTGCTATAGGCTATGTCGCTGGTGCCGACGCAAATGCCCATCGCAGTACCGCCCTGACATACATGGAGATGCAAGGGCCTAGCACGATACCCCGCGATGCTTCTATCAAAAGCGTATCCATCGCAGTATCCTACGCTCGTGCGGGTGCGGTGTGCATCACTCTACTCAATAGGAATTTCGTCAGTTTTATTGATCGTAAGCAAACAAGGCACGGTCTCGTTCCCGAACTCGTATATATGTTTACTCCCTATGCTTGTTATGCACACTGCACGGACGCTGGAACGAGGAACTGACCTGAATTTTGCTTCTATCCGGCGTCATGGCCTGGTACTGATGACCGTTCAAGTCATTTCCATTCTGCCGTCGTTGTCTAACTTATGGTGCCTGCTTCATCCTCCGGGTCCGGTGATCTTGGCAGAGGCATCGCACACAAGTAGCGCCCATATCTATCAGTGCGTTTGACCAACGCATCTAGTCTGGCATGATCGAGGCATATGACAAAGAGCGCATGCTGCATCCTGTTGCACCCTATCGGTTTACTTGCAAGAGCGTACCCTGTATGTAGTGGTGAAATCGCCAAACCGGGAACTTTTTCTGGACCCCTGCCGAGCCCTATGCTCCCGAATATTCGATGGCTACTTTCTGATTTCGCATTCCCAGTAGTAATACAGTAGAACATACGGATTTCTTTCTTTCTGTACGAATGAACACACACTAGGGTCAGTATGGAACGAAATGGTGCCACGACCATAGAGCGCATATATAAACTCACTTGCAGACGCCTCCAAAACTTTTTTGACTGGCCCTCTGGACTCGGGTTCAGCTTCTCCATTTACATCTCGAGCATGACACAATGCCTCTTAAAGTTGGATCTCGTCAGCTCCGTGGGTCTCGTGTTCAGCATCAAACTTTGTCTGATATTGATGGCGGCGTTAAAGTCTCGGTTCACGAACTCTACACGTTTATGGTAGCTTCTTGAACTCACCTTTGCTGAGATTCATCGAACTCGCGCCCTCTGAGCCACTACAGTCTCGCTATCGCCACGTCGCGCAAACACTTTCTCTCGCCTATCTCTCATCGTTATAATCTTCTTGCTCTTTTTCGCTTGATTGTCAGCGAGAAGAGGACTTTTTCAGTTTTTGTCGGAGCTGGCGACTCCGGGTGCCCAAAACCCTCGACGTCCATGTTCATAACTTTCTCCTCGCTTTTTTATTTCCGGAAGCGAACGTACTTCTCTATGCCCTTGGGCGACGACCTTCCCAGAGCGAGAAGGACTTTCGCAAGAATGACGACATGTGCCCCGGTGTGTCGAAGTGTGCTGAACGCTTCAGCGATTCGCACAGTGGAGCGCTCATTACGTTTTACAATTTGGAACGCTTCTTCGATGGGCTCGAAAATTACACCGTTTGGAAGAATGGAAAGTAACTTTATCGAGATAGACTCGGCAAAAGCCCAAACGCAAGCAGAACGGTGGGAATGCCATGTTGTCCAATAGAAGAGCATCGCCAGACGTCAGCGGCAAAAGTCTTTAATGATTCGACGAAGTGGTTGGCGCTGTTGTACGTGCCTTCTCTACCATCGAAACTGAAGCCGCCAGACGAATCCGCTGCGCCTAGAACAGATGATTTCGTCGTTCTCTTCCCGTTGGTTCGTACATAGAATGATCTTCCCCACCGCGAATACCCATGTACGATCCGACCTTTTCGTGCGAAGGATGTCTCGTCACCTGAAAAAATGAACCGATGCCCCTGTGCTTCATATCGAAAGTGACGCTCCAGGAACGCTGTCGTTGCGATTTCGGTGGAAGATGTCCGTGAATGAAATAGAAATCTTTTTTGCGACTGTATCCAAGTATTTTCAGGACCACAACAACAAGCTGTTTAGAGGCAGAGACACCTGTTGTGGCTATTACCGTCGCTTTCGCTCTCCGTAAGGTGCTCAAAGGGTCGTTCTGTGCAATTGACCACGAACCGTCTTTGAGAATATCGGTTTTTGCAACGGAGCGCATATACTTGTTTCTTTCAGTGCTCCGCAACCGTCTGAGTTCTATGGTATCATTGACCTGAAGGAGGCATGCAGTCTTCATGCACTGTCCAGTAAAGAGCATACATCTAACAGGCAATTCGTTTACGATCTATACGGTACATCGCAAAGTAATTTCTTCCTCGTGCTGCACCCGGCAGCGCAAGTGGAACAGAATTGAATTCGAAAGACACCATGCACGTACACACCTGAGCGAACTGACACCGAAGCGCGGCGTGTTGCTATCAAACTCGTGAGACTCGGGCGCGTTTCTGCTTTAGCGGCGGTCTCTTGACGGTGCTTTGGCAGCGCGGACGCAACTGAGGGAGTCTGGTTCGACTTACTGGTGTTTCTGCAGTCGAGAAACGCCAACGAAATCTGGTTCGGCGTAAAGCGCTGCGCGCTGTGTTTTTATGATGTCCTGAATGCAGGCGTTAGACCGGCGAGTTCAAGTGTCTGAGGAGACGGCTAGTGATGTCGGTGCGGATGCGGCGGACGAAGAAGAGGCAGTTGTAGGAGGCACGGACTATTTCAGTCTTCTAGGACTCCACTTCGATCCGAGTGCGCCGCCCAGCGCCCAGCAAGTCGCACAAGCTTACCGCCAGGCAGCCAAGCGCTATCACCCAGACCGAAATCCGGCTAGCCCAGCAACAGCTAAACGACACTTTGAACGTATCTATCGCGCCTACGAGACCTTGAGAAACGCGGAAACACGAAACGCGTATATAAGTTGGCTTCTGCGGCAGCGGTCTGGAGCCGATTTTTCGTACAGGGTTGCTCCAGAGCGGCGAAGAACGTACCTCAGCATGCGCAGTCGACGGCGTCTTCAGTTTCGCCGCGAGCTCGAAGCACGCGAACAGCGAACAAGTGCGTGCTACCGAAATCGAAAGCAAGAAAAGAACGTAGAATCTCTAGGGCCTTTATCGACAAACCGTCAGAGCGCCTCCTCTCGTGATGCTCCGGCCACAGAGTCATGAGAGATGCAACTGAGCCGAGCATTGCCACCAGAGCATGGATGTTGAACGGGCGCCTTTACGGTTTGTAACCATTTCACCGAGTCAAGATAGTCACCGAGTAGAAGCCGTGGCAGCGCTATCCATCCTGATGCGACGCCACGATGAAAAGCCCGTGTCCGCCACCTCGTCCGTGAGTTGCTGCGGGTTACCACCGGCGCGGTAGTGCAAGCGATATACCGCGTTGCGTTCGTGCGAACAGTGCTGTCTCTACGCGGCATAGGATTGTTTCCGGACATCACGGTACCCTGGAGTTCCAGAGGTCGAGCGACTTGCGGACCCCTGGTGCGCGCTACGTGTCGTCGCCGCGGAGAGCCCGTTGCAAGTTGCGTCGTCCCGAGCCTGTGATAAGCAAAAGCGGCCAGATCAACGTGAGTATCAGCTTTGAAGAAGAGTCGAAGGTTGTGCGCTCAAAACCTCGATAGAAGCGATATGCAAAATAGAGGTAAAGAACCGCTACCAACCAGTTGGGAACCAGTGGAATCAGGCCTGCGAGGTGCATTGAGGCACCTTTGCTATGGAGCCCCGAAGCGCTTGGCGCCATGCCTGCCTCTTCTGCCGCACCTGACGAGACCAGGCATAGTTTGATAGGTGCTGGCTTTGTGCGCAGGGCCCGTGCGCGTCGCAAGTTCAGGTGAGGTTCGCGTGCTCCGGCCCTGGTGGCAGCAAACGAAACTGAGTGACCAGTCCGACCAGCCAGAGGTACAAGTCCCCAACGGGCTGTGGCGGCAAGCTCAACGAACATGCCGACAGAACCAGAGATTCACTATATGCGATATTCGCTATTTGGTGGGACGTGTCCTAGCACACACCAAGTTCGTAGCGCTTACGGTGCGCGCTGAGCGCGCTCGACACTTTTGAGAACAGCGCTCGAAAGCGTGCACCGAGATCCACGGCGCTAGGTGTACAGACGGCCATCTTCTGCCCGTGTCCAGCGAGGGGCGATTCTGAAGCAGGCACCCCGCACCCCAGTGTGCACATCCTGCATGCGATGGTAAAATCGAACGTGCAGCGGATGCGCGCGTACGGCCATCACTGGCGCGTCTGAGCAGTGTTCCCCTAAGAGCGCCGTCTATAGGATTCCACGGACTTGTGAGTGTGCTCTAGCGGCAACTTGGGGCTACTCACACCGGCAACTCGAGAAGGCAGCGTCGACGCTTAGAGGCAGGCGCTGTGATCAGAGGGCGGTGTGTGGTGACTCGGGACTTTTTTCATCGTCTGGCACCAGTAGGCGGTACCTGCGTTGGTGCTCGGAGCACCAGGGTGTCACAGCGTGCCTGTTTGACACTGATCAGCGCTCGGGCACGGGAAGCAACGCAACAACGGCCAAGGTGCTGTCGAAACTGGAGCCATGCCGACGTCGCAGTCGTCGAGTGTGGCAGCGCTCGGGGGCACGCAGGGATTTGCCCGGAAAGAGCCTGCGACTGGCTCCCAAAGCGCAGTGCAGCGTGTTGTCGAGGCAGTTGCCGAGCGTGTGGAGGCTATCCTGGACGGGGAGCTTCGGGAGCAGGAGCGCGGCGCCTCTTTCGGCGCTTCTGCGACGACGACCGAGACGGACCCCGAGCTCGAAGCGCTGCGCGAGCGTCGTCTGGAGGCGCTGAAGCGAGCAGCGGCTGCGCGCTCGCGATGGTGCGCGCTCGGGCATGGTAGGCTGCATGAACTTGATGACGAGGAGGCGCTCCTCGAGGCCTGCCGATCCTCAGAGCGCGTTGTTGGCGTGTTTTGGCGTTTGCGAACAGCGCCCGAAACCCAGCCGCTGCAGGATGCGCTTGCACACGCGTTGCGTTCCCTGGCACAGCAGCATCTGGAGACGCGCTTTTGGGTCGCTGAGGCGGAACGGTTTCCGTCCATGTGCGAGCGGCTCGGCGTCCAGGTCCTACCATCGATTCTGCTGATCCGGAACCAACAGGTCGTGCGCACCTTTGCCGGTCTGGGCGAGTGGGTCATTGCGGGCCGCGCTGGAGTGCGCTTTTCATCGGAGCGCCTTGCGAAAACGCTTCGGCGGCACCGGATCACCGGCGTGAGCCTGCACCCTGATGCCGAGTCCCGCGACGCACCATCGGATTCGGATTGAGGACGAGACGTGCATGGCGGCGTCGAGCTCGAGCTGCGTACCTGTGCAGCACCTCGTGTGACTTTAATAAACATTTCTGGACGTTCGCTCACGTGTTTCGACAACGTTCATAGAGCGTGCCCGGGACCTGGGTCCCGCAGTGGTGTCCTGCATTCCGTCTCCGGGCAGATGCATCCGCCCCGTCAGATCGACGCGTACCAGTTCCATCCTTGTCGCCATCGAGACGCCGCCAACAGGCAACAGTGATTTGGAGGACGTATTGCGCGTTTTGCGAAAATTTGGGTGCCCGCCGACATCAGAGGCTGCTTGCGGATAATCGCTGCGAACTGGGCGGATGCGCTTTATTCGTCGCGCGGTGTCGTTGCAGGCACATCCGTGGTAGTCACGACACTGCGAACGCGCCGTGCTGTCGCCCAGCGCATGTCGCTTTGAGGCGCTCTCGCCCAAGGTACAGAATGTGCGCGTTACCTGCACGTACACGGATCGGCCCATCCTTCGATGCAATGGACGTGATCGACGTGCCGCTATCGACGGCCGTACGCATACGTGCATCCGTACTGTCAGTAGTGCGTATGCCCCCAAGGGATGCGCCTTCGACGCCCTACAGGTAGCTGTGACGTGCTATGGATACCGGCTATTGGGGTACGCGCTACCTCCTGTTCGCAATCGAGGCGTCGTTCGGTGAACGTCCGGCACTCGGCAGGTCGCTGGCTCCACGAAGCTGTCGTTGTTTAAAGAAAAACCGTTCTGGAGTCGGTACAGCGTGAGCGCATCTGCGGCGGAGCACACGTCGGTGCGCTGGTATCCGGGCGTGTTCGCGCACGGTATCGGCGGTATCGGACAGGAATGATGGAACGCGTCCCGCTGAGGGCATATGTTTGCTCTGTACAATTACATTCTAGAATGTTCATGATGTCGTGAGCGCCTGCATCGATTGCCTGAAATTTTGAACGCCCGCTATCGGGGCGGAGCAGAAGCGCTGTGGCCCGCGTCCACAGCAGCAGTGCCCTTGTGTCGCTCTCTAGGTCGTTGCGGCAGCTCTGGCTCCGGCAAGGCGGCAACCGCTCGTCGCTTTGGCTTTGATTTCTACATGTCAGGCGGCCGTGATGCGACTCCCGAGGCCAGCGACTCGGAGAAGTGGGTTTTGGGGTCGAAGCAAGCGTTAAACCGCCGTGCGGGACAGCTGGACGCAGTGGCGACGGACGCGTATGCGCAGGCACCCGACCAGGCCAGCAGCGCGACGAGCGAGACATCGGCTTCGAGTCACCTGAAGCGCCCGACACGAGAGACCCTGGAGAAGTTGCGCCTACGCGTTCAGCAGCTTCGAGGTCGTCGCCAGTCGGCGGAGCAGACGCACAGCAGTGCTTCGCGCTCGCCGTGCTCACCGACGCGAAGCGCCGAGGGCCTGATGACGCCGCCGCTACTGCGCTTGCACGTTGTGGCGGCCGTCGGCACAGGAGGCGATGCCGCAGATCACCTGATACCGGCACCAGTCGACCCAGGGGCTACGTCGCCGCAAGCGCAGCGCACAGAGACACCTGCAGCCGTAGCGCCGCATCCACGCACCTTGAGCGCGTTGCCGAGCGCGTCTTGGACTGCAACGTTCCGCGAGGTGTTCGGATCCTCGCCTCTGACTCTGGTTCCACCAGCGTATCGGGAATATGCGTTCGAGGCGCTGGAGACTGCGCTCGCCCGTGCCGACACCACGCACCTGCGGACACTCGCCGCGCGGCCGTCGTGTCCGAGTACTTGGCTGTCTTTCCTGCAGTCGCTGGAGCGGGCACTCCTGCCGAGCGGGATGCCACCGCGTACCCCCACCACCGACGCCAGGGCGCGTGCAGTGTTGCGCCTCCTGCAGCGGCTCTATGAACGGGCAACGCGGGCGGTGCCTGCGCGAGGCCACCGACGAAACAGCGACTATGTCGAGCTCTGGCTGGGAGCCGTCCGCTTTCAAATGGCACTCACAGAGCAGGAGGACGCCGAGGAGCTACGAGATACTTTTCGCTACCTGAAAGCAGAGCGCATTGGCGAGCATGACCCGCGCATCTGCGAGCTATGGGCGCGTTTCGAGCGGCGATTGGGAAACGAGCGCAAGGCGCGAAAGCTCGAAGAGGAGGCAGCTGCTCGGCGAGAGGCAGCTGAGCAGTTTATGCGCGGCACGTGCTTCTGGCTGTGCGCGTCATCGGACCCTGAAAACGCCGTGCCCGAAGTGGTGCGCAGCGCGCACCATAGCAGCGGCCACAGCGCCGACGCGCCCGATGCCGCCTCTCTGCTGACGATCACGGCGGATGTGTTACAGCCCGCTGCGCGGGTTGGCAAGGCACCATCTGGTGCGGGGCTCGCCACCGCGCTCGACCCAGCCGCACTGACCGGGTTCAGCACCGCGACCGGCACTGGTGCCGGCATTCCACCGCCAGATGAGGACGCCCCAGCGACAGCCATGTCTTGGCATCGCTCCGTGGAGACTGCTCCAGAGCAGCGCGCCACGCTCTCACCACCGCACCAAGCGTCTCGCGATGAGCATCGCGCTCGCACTGCCCTCGACGCTGCAGGCGGTGCAGAGGCGGCGCTCTCATCACCGCGCATCGACCGGGATCCGGCTGCCTCGACGACACCCCCGCCGTGGACGCGTCTCCGGCAGTCGCCACAGGCAATCGAACTCGCAGTGGATGCGGTGCCGGCCCGGCAATCCTCGACGACCGATCGCTGGCCGATGCAGCGCGCTCAAGGCGACCCCGAAGCCAGTCAAGCGCCTCACATTATATCTCGTAATGTGCCTGCTGGTGTGCCTGATGGTACCCAGGCGGCGCCGGATGAGCGCCCGGCTGCCGCGGCATCGAACCCGATCGACAGCAAATCGCGACGATGCGCGGGAAACGATGCATCCGCAGGACACGTGTCCATCAGAACAGGTGCGTGCGTGGCACCCGCAGCGCGAGAAGCGCACGCACCGACAGCGCAACAGCCCCGCGGGATGCAGCGCTCCGTCGACGGCCCTGTTGCCGTGCAGGGATCGGCAGTTGCTGAGGCTGCAGCGGCGCCCCGTCGACCGCTGCGACGCCTGGACGCTGGGAAGGAGAATGTGGCTCCATCTGACGGTGGTGACGGCACGAGCCTGCTGAGCCTACCGCCAAGCCTCGCCGACACTGTGGTGCACGTTGGTGGATACCCGTACATCAAGCTAGAAATCGTCGGGCGTGGGGGATCTTCCAAGGTGTTCAAGGTGATGTGCGCGCGAACCCGGAAGATTTTCGCGCTGAAACGCATTCGCATCCGCAAGGCCGATCGCGAGACGCTCCGGAGCTACTGCAACGAGATTGCGTTGCTGCAGCGCCTCCGCGGCCGCGACAATATCATCCAGCTGATCGCTTCGGAGGTGCGCGAGCACGCTGGTCTCATTTACCTCGTCATGGAATGTGGCGAGATTGACCTCGCGAGGCTGTTACTGCGCAACGCTGGACGACCCATGCATGCGAACTTTCTGCGTCTCTACTGGCAGCAGATGCTGGAAGCGGTTCATACCATTCATGAAGAGCGCATCGTGCACTCCGACCTCAAGCCAGCCAACTTTCTTTTCGTTGAGGGTGTCCTGAAGCTCATTGACTTTGGCATCGCCAAGGCGATTCAGAACGACACCACCAACATTGTCCGCGAGAGTCAGGTGGGTACCCTGAACTACATGTCCCCTGAGGCAATTCTGGATACCAACGAGGCAGCTTCCGCTGGCGCCAGCGGCGAGACGGCGGCGGCTCCCTCGCGGCGCCGCTACAAGCTGGGACGCCCCAGTGACATCTGGTCACTCGGCTGCATCCTGTACCAAATGGTGTACGGTCGCACGCCATTCTCACACCTGAACGTGATTCAAAAGCTCCGCTGCATCACGGACCCGACGTACGACATTGCGTACCCGCCTGTGGCTGGGATCCAGGGCATAGGCTCGGAGGCATCGGCCGCAGCGCTCATGGATACGCTACGACGTTGCCTGCAGCGGGATCCCGTTCGAAGGGCCAGCATCCCCGAGTTGCTCGCGCACCCGTTTCTGAATCCGGATGTACCGTTTGTGGATGCTGCGAGTGCTCCGAGCAACCAGCCAGGCATTCGAGAACAGTGAGAAACGCAGGTCCCATCGGACGCAGCCTCAACACAGCGCTTGTTCCATTGGTGATCGAAGCTTGCATCAATATGTATGGCCCATCCATCCATCCTTGGATATCGCCTCCGGCAGCTCGCAGTCCAAAGCACAAATGCTCGCTAGATGTGCCACTCCAGCTCCCCGCCGAGCGATTTTGGTAGGCTATCGTTCGGAAAGTCGTGGCGGAACGTTGGCACGATCTCCGACTCTGGCACCCAGTGTATTTTCGCGCGCGTCTTATCCTCAATGAATGGTGACAATAGTCGATAAAATATATGGATATGACGACTATAGTGGATAATGTAAACTTTTCCTAGTCGCTCTGGGTAGTGGTTCTGTACAAGTCGAATCATATCAGAGTAGCATCCTAGTTCAGCGTTATGAAAGACATCAAACCCGTGTCCGAGGTCGAAGACGACCGTAAAGCGCTCCTGACTATGCGGAAACGGCGACGAGTGTTCGTCTACGGCAGCGGCATCCGCCGCGTAACAGCAGTGCTCGAGCAGTGCTATCGTCGCTGCTCGAAAGGCATCCCGGTTCACGTCCCGCTTGCGGAACAGCACCATTTTCCCGTAGAGTAGCCGATGGCCGTAGTTGTTGCGCGCACCAGGGACCAGCGTGAACGGGAAGCACGCAGCAGGATTCTTGATGATCTCCTCTCGCGCTATGCAGCAGACCTGCGTTCGGCTCCTCCACAGCAGCGTATCCGTGAAAAGTGCATACGCGGCATCGACACGAAAGTCACGTGCGCGTAAAAACTGAAGAAGAACACGTCGCCGATGCTCCAGTGAATGGTTCATGAACGCGAGCATCGCGTCAACGTGTCCGCAAGCTTTCGGTTTCAACTGGTCGCCGTCGGCACTCGCGTCGACGGCATCGTCTTCGGTGCGAAGGTCCTGGCTATTGTAATCCGACCGAAAACGTCTGGGAAGAACGTCTTCCGTGACGAGTTGCCGCTCGAAGGCACTGAGCGCATCTGCTTGAGCTCCAGTCAGGCAACCGGGATAGCCTGTTTGCGGGTTCAGTACTGAGTCGTAAGTTGCGTTGTCACAGTGGTAACGGCCTCTCGCAGACTCATTAGAAAAAATTCCGAAGAAATTCATCGATACTACTGCAATACCGGTCCTCGTAAGGGCTTTCGGTGAGACCTCGTTGACTGGAGCGCCCTACCCAGCATGCCACACGTTCAAGAGCATCGCTAACCTGCGTGTCCCAAATATCGGCATTGCCGGCGGACTGGCCGCGCCCGCCGTCTGCGCTCGCCCAAGCTGGCTCGCGCTGCGTTTCGACCCCCGCGGGAATGCGTGCTTGAGCGGCGCGCTGCGTTTCGACCCCCGCGGGAATGCGTGCCTGAGCGGCGCGCTGTTCTCAGTATCGCTCCGACGCGGAGTTCTGCTCTGAACGCAGCTTCTTTTCGAGGTGCAACGCGGTGTCGTGCTTGGGCGTCGCAGCGCGAGCCGCCCGGCCTCGAGCAAGACAGCTCGATATGCCGCGTGGCTGCTACGACGTCGTTTACCGTGCCGAGACTAGGTCGCTCGCGTGCCGCGGAAAAGGCGATAGCTTGTTCGTGCGGGAGGAATGCAGAACCTAACCAGAGACTTTGGTTAAAAAGCAGCACGAACCGTGCTCGATGTCGACGGCGCCCGCACAGCTCAGGCAGATAATCGCTGTGCACAGCAACGTGCAGGCGCAACTGCAGGCCTGCGAAGTCGAGCATTCGGGCGCTGACTCGGAGCGCAAAGCAGCACGCAAGAACGACAAGTACTGGTCAGGGAGTGCGCAGTGTGCACGCACGCAAAATTCCCACAGCGCTCTAGTGAAGTGCGCTTGGAATGCTCGCTGCGCACCTGTACCCTGCACAGCACCAGTGCCGTCGTGCGCCTGGTGCCGCGTTGCGCGCAAGTTTGCAGGTGCACGCATATGGGCATGCACGCATAGCCGAATATACACGTGTCCCAGTGCATGCATTGTCGACTGTACACGTGTCCCAGTGCATGCATTGTCGACTGTACACGTGTCCCAGTGCATGCATGCGTGCTTCACGGCACGACAGCTGTGTATTCCTCTCTAGATATATGCAGTACGCATTTGCGCTCGCTGCAAGCGTATCGCGGAGCACAGACGCACTGTACACGAGCAATATGCACGCAAACGCGGACCGTCTGCTCCGTCCTTGCACATGGTTTTCGTATGGAGCAGAGAGAGCGTCGTTGATTTCGCGCTGAGGTCGCCCGGAGCCCAGTAGCAGACATATCCGCTTTGAGAGCCGTCACCGGGAGCATACCATTGCAGCCGCATGCTTCTCTTGGCAGTATGGGATCGGTGTCCGATTCGAATGCTGCTGGTATGGGGGCATAAGGTTCAGGGCTTTACGCCGAGCAGGATCTCGGAATGACCTAAACACCGCGCGCGCTAGCAATAACACCTACAGCATGGCTAGCGCACTGGTTCGAAGCGCCTGCGGATGCAGCGGCGAGCATTGCATATCGACAACATCCAATAGGGTCTTGATAGGCTCGGGCACGCCCCGCATGCAACTTTCGACACATTTTCGAGGCCGTTCACGGAACGTATGCAGCGTGGCGGCGGCATGCCCTCAGCGTCGTAGAACGAACGCGAGGCAACAGAGGCAGCAGGCGCAACCACAGGCACGATCGCTGCCGACAAAGCCGATACCGCTGGAATCCCGTCGCTGTGCCGTTGCAACGCTTCGATGCGGCGCGCTTCCGCCCGATCACGTCGTTTTCTGGTGACTCGCACGCGCCACTGAGAAAGCGGTCATGTGTCTTGGGTGCAGGCATCGGGCAGGCAGCGGCAGATGGGCGCGAAACTCCGCGGCATGCGCTCTACGTGTTGTGGCGTCACCAGGTGGCATTCTGGTGCTGGCGAAGGCGTCGGTATATGACGTACCGTCGATTGCTCTCTGGCGTCGCGTTCGCTACACGGCTCGGAAGAGCGTCGACTGCAAGCGCAGTCGCTGTCGTTCCCGATATCACTGACCCGATGGCTCTGGGCTGCTGACAGAAACCGCAGCGCTGCCGGAGCACTGCTCCAGCACGTTGGCCCAGGTCCAGCAATCTCGCTCGGACACGGAGCGCTTATCGGCGTTCTCGGTAGCTGCAAATCACCTGCGCCATCACGATACTGAGAACGAGCGAGAAACTCCTTGCGCTCGTGGCATACCCAAGTCCCAGAGGCTTAAAACGCCCGCGCAGGTGCAAATCGCAAGCGCCCGTTGCTTTCTCCTCGGATTCCCGTTCGACGCCCGACATTCCGCTGCACGCCTCTAGCTAAACTGCTCAACAAGCAGCTCCCAGGTTCCAGTTTCAGCATCATAACTAACGAAACGTGCGCCCTGCTGCTCCGCGTATTCTTGTAATCGTTGCCGAAATCGTTCAATCGCTTGTGGATCATTCGTTGGCTTTCCGGTTCGTTTGTCCATACGGAACACCTGCTCAAAACGCAAGAGCGCCCTTCGATTCAGGCCCTGTCCCGGGGGCGGGAGACCACTCCATCGATCGGACCTGGATGGCTGTTGTTGTTGTTGTTGCTGCTGCTGCTGCTGCTGAGCAGTCGTGCGGGTGCCTTTCGGCGGCATCGCGTCAGTATCGCGGGTCGGGTACAGGATGATCGTGCGCGGCTCAATCTGCACAATTTGATCCAGATTGGCGTAGCGTAAATCCACCGGCTCCAGGAAACGAATTTCGGCAATGTGGCGACGGCCTAGTACAAAGTTAGAGACATGGGAGAGTGCTGCTTCATCAAGGGACTGAAGCTCGGCGAGCGGCGGTTTCGTATAGTACCCTGGTTTCGTGAGTCGCGGCACCCAAGCTGGCAATCGATCGCCCTGATCGGACGTTGAGGCTCCTGACGACACCGGTCCCTGTGCGTGGTACTCGAAGTGCGCACCTGGCGTCTGCTCGGAGCCTGGTGTGGCCGCTGACTCTTTTCCGGAGCGCTTCTCCGTACCCTGGCTACTGCGCAGTGGTACGATGGGTGACATGTCGGCAGCAAATGAAGGCGTTACGGTACCAGGAGCGTCGACGTTGGTGGCACGTGTTCGCTCCGGAGACGCATCCCGATCCAGAAGGTTTGCGCTCGGGCTCGCCAGCACTGCTTCCTGCGTGGTAATATCGGCGAGCGTCAATGTCGGTTCGGTTTGTCCTTGTGCGGCTGCGTCGCGGATCAGCTGCCTGATGCTTCGTTCTGGTTTGCCATTCTCGGTCTGGCGCAGGCGTCCGGGTGTCCATACGCTCGACCAGGAATCGCCTGGCGTCTGATTCGGACGACCCCGGGCGACTGCTCGAGGTCGGTCAAACAACTCATGGAGCGGGACGCCACCAATGGAGGCTCCGTATGAGAAGGCTCGCACTTGACTTCTGGGCCGAACTCGATAGCTCGTCACGGGCGCGTTTGGTATCGATGCTAGTGGGGCCAGCAGCGACGCATGCGTGGTATCTAGCACAGGCTCCGAGGTGACTCGAGTCCCTTGCCATCGCTCCGCATCAGTGGAGATGTTGCCCGCAGCGCCCGAGAGTGTCGGCAGCGGGCCGTACGGCGATGCGCTACTGGCGTTGCTTGCAGGCTGCGTTTGAAACGGAATCCCCTGCGGAGAAGCGTTCGTGGCAGCACCGAAGGCAGGCATCGCACCACTGCCACTACCACCACCGAGGCCAAAACCTAGTCCAGACGGCATTCCAGTACTCGTAGCCGGCTGCATAGGACCCATATTCGCATTTGGGCTCGCCAAGGGTCGGAATGCTGATCCCCCAAGACCGAACATGCCCCCAGAAGTTGAGGCACCGCCGCCAGGCTGTGTGCCGCCTAGGTTCGACCCACTCGATGACACTCCAAAGCGGAATAAATCCCCAGTCGGCTTCGCACTCGTCTGGTTCGCTGCTCCGAATATGCCAGTTTGCTCCGAACGAGGTGTACTTGCGTTTCCTGACTGAAACGCGGGCGCTCCGCCTGCAGTCACCGTAGTGCTCCCTGTGCCAAAGAGGCCACCGGTACTGGTGCCGCTCTGTGCGGCACCAGCACCGGTTGATTGTCCACTTGGCTGATTCGCTTGCGCTGCACCAAATCCGCCCAAACTAAATCTCGGAAGCGAGCTCTGTGCGCTTGGTGCTTGACCAGGCTGGCCACCAGTACCACCACCGCCTCCAATACCACTGCCACCAGCACCGAAGCTGCCTGCCGTACCCGGTGCGCCGCCTCCAACCAGGCCCGCCGACTGCGTGGATCCGCTGCCGCTTCCGCCGAAAAACGACCCGGGCGCGTTGCCTCCGAGACCGCCTCCGAACGATGGCATTGTATTGCTGAGACTACTCGTATTCTGGGTCGCGTTCAGCGTACCGAATGATGTTCCAGTGCCCAGCGGCCGCGATCCACCGAAACCGAGGCCACCGCTTGCAGGCGCACCGACAGTGCCTGACGTAGGAAAAGCGCCCGAGGTGCCCAGTGCTGCACTTACCGCTGGCTGATTTGTATTTGATCCGGCGCTCGCTCCAAAGCTGCTGAAAGCACCGGTCGTTGATCCAGGTGCACCAGCAAAGGGTGAAGGTCGGGCATTTGCGTTCGATCCAAACAAACCAGAGCCAAAGGGCGCATTCCCAGCACCCGTTCCGCTCCCTGCTTGATTGGATCCGAATGATGTCGTAGCAGAGGACCCGACACCACCGCCAAAGAGGCCGCCTGACTGACCCGCGTTTTGTCCAGGGATACCGAATCCCGTACCAGAACCTGTGGCGTTTGCATTCCCGAAACCACCAGCTGAGGGTGCCGACCCAAATGCACCCCCAGTACTCCCAGCGGATGTGTTTTGTTGTTGTCCGAATGTCGTTCCCGAGATCGCCGATGCACCAAACGGGGAAGCGGCTCCTGAGGTACCAGCGTCACTGCGGAAAAGACCGCTGGGAGCAGTCAAACCGGTCGATGGCTTTGCTGCACCAAAAAGTCCTGTGTTCGTTGTGGAGGAACTGCCAAGGTTTCCAAAGAGCGAGCCACCACCCGTTCCGCTGGGTGCTGAACTACCTCCAGGGCCGCTTTGCCCCCGGTTACCCAGCTGGTAGTCTTCGAAACGGAGTTCCTCGAAGCTCTTCGATTCGAACCCGCTCATAAACACGATCGAATCGAAGAGTACCTGTTTGGTTCCGTGTGCCGTTGTTTCTGAGCTTGGTACTGGCCGAAAAGCCACCTGACCAGTGCCCTGGCTCGGTGCGGCACCCAGAGCAAGAGGCTGTGACCCTGAGGTGCCCGCTTGCCAGGCACTACCGCTTCCGGAGAGCGCACCCCCGCCAGCAGCGGCACCGGGGGCTCCGGTCACACCCGGGCGCAACCCGCCAGAAAACGAAGCACTCCCAAAAGGACTTGACCCGAAGGTGCTTGATGTGTTCGCGTTGCCCCCGAAAGGACTCATTGACGCTGAGCCCGTGTTTGGGCCTGGTTGTGCCGCTGGCCAGCCGCCAGCCTGGCTCAGCGCTGTTTGGGTGCCCGGCTGGCTCTGTGTGCTAAACAGCGACTGTGTTGGGGTTTGTGTCGGTGGATTTGCCCCGAAAGCACCCGCCAGTTGGTTATTCGACGGCTGCGTAGACGCGTTTCTACCGAACATGGTTTACCGCGTCAACGCTTCGTGGAAGCACAGCTCGTAATCGCTTTCATCCTGGTGCGGTGCATAGCAGTCGATTCGCTTTGGTGTGTGCACGATGCCGAACAGAATGTAGACGAATCGCCCTCAGGATCTATATTGTTTACTGAATAGTGTAAGGAGTACTGCATCTCTGATTCGGGTCAGTCGCACCACAGTACTCAGATGGTTGAGGAACTCTAAAAGAAAGAAGGATATGGGCTCTGTGCCAAAAAACTGGTATGCTCTATAACTGCTTTCGGTCTATTGTAGAGAACGACTTTTTGATCACCTGACAAAAAGCGAAAAAGCGAAGATTATAGATGCCATGAGCGTCTCTGTTTCTCAATAGCTTGTTCATGGGGCCTCAAAACGCTGGGACACAGTCGCCGAGAAAATGTCCTAGTTCACATACGGCTATCTTCTACAGATATCGCAACGACAGCGTTTCTGGAACGTTGCGGTCGGTATGAAGCAGAGGTAAGCCAGTTTATTTTCACAGACGATGAGACATCCTTCGGACGAAACGGTCGGATCGTAGATGGGTATTCGCTGAGAAGGTGCGCGTTCTGTGTGCGATCGAACTCGAAGAGAACGACGACATCATCATCTGTTCTAGGAGGAGTGGATTCGTTTGGCGGCCTCGGTTTCGCTCGTGGAGACGGCGCATCCTACAGTACCAACCACTTTGTCGAATGATTGAAGGGTTTTCCCTGGCATCTGGTGACGTTCTTCTATTGGAGAACGCGGTATATCACCATTCCCTTGCGATGGAGCTTTCGCCGAATCTATCGGGATCGAGCTGCCTTTCATTTGTCCATACGATCCGTGGTTCAGCTCCATCAAAGACGTGTTTTTTATGTTGAAAAGTAATAATCGCCTCGGTGACCGAATCGCTGAAGCGTTTCGCACACGGCGACACACTGGGGCACATGTCGTCTCTCTTTCGAGAGTCCCTCCAGCTTCGGAAAGTTTCTCACCTCGGAGCAGAGAGAAGCGCATTCATTTTCAAGAAATAGAACAATCCAAGGGAAGGTTATGGACATGGAAGTCGAGGATGCTGGAGCGCCGTCATCGCCGGGTGCATGAAAGAAACGAAAAGTAATCTCCTTCTCGTCGACCATCCCTCGGAGAAGAGCAAGTGAAGAAGAATAAAAAGAAGATAGATACGCGAGCAAAGTTGTTTGCCCAACGAGATGATGACGAGACTGGCATGGTACAGAGGGCGCGAATTCGATGACTCCTTGCACGGAGGAGTTTCACCAGCGGCAATAAACGCCAGGAGTTCATGAAACGAGACTTGAACGCCACTGTCAATATCAGACGATGTGCGGTGCTGAAGACGGGACCCGAGCATCTCTCGCGACCAACTTCATGCGGCAGCCTCGCAAACTCGATGTGTTCAGGAAGAAGCTGAAACCGGTATTAGGGGGCCAATCAAAATAGCCGGGAGGCGCCTGTGCGTGTTTCTTCATATCCACTCCATGGCCGTGGGACATTTTTTGTTTCTCTGATCACACGTAACTGAAACGAATGTAGATGAACGCTAGCTGAGCGTTTAGTGGCGCAGCAGCGGCGACCGGACATATATGGTGCGGTGGTACTGGATGCACTCCGAGGGTGTCATTTTTTTCGTGGTATCGCATCAGTGAACGTATTGCGACTCCCGTATGATGCAGATGGAAGCATGGAAGGCGACGAGTATACGAAAATTTCTGCGGCAAAAGACCTGCAGTGCACGGAAGAGAAGGAAATGTTTTTTAGAGCTTTCTTTTACCGAGACGTGAGTGAAATCTGTAGTGCCTCGAATCTACCAAGTCTTTACAATGCAAGTCTTATGAAAAATTGCTGCCGATTTCTCTGAATGTCCATGTTCGCCGTCTAGTGTGGCCTGTAACCTGTACCTCTTGAAGGCTACCCGTGTCTGACAGCGTTCTCTAGACAACCAGAAGGACGCAATCACCTCTGGATGCATCCACAGGCGTTCCGATCCGGCACTGGATAGCATCTGCTCGTGTGGCTTGGGCGGGGGCGGAGGCGGGCGCCACCAAGTGGGATACACTTGCCTGCTGCTGCATACGCTCGAATGGCGCTCCGACACTGAAGAGCAAATGCTCGCGTAGCATCTGCTAGATACGTCTGCTTTCTTGTGCTCCGGCCCGGAAGCGACATGAAAATTGTCGGTTCCTCACGATCTGGAGTCCTCGCTCAGCGGCCTGCGTAGGCATGCGACAAGTGCCGCGCACTCCTGAAGCTATATGCTCTTGCGGCAGAACCGGCCCCGGCTGAGGAGCCATTCAGAACGCGACAGCATTGAAGTGCTGCAGGCCCTGGTCGCATATATCTCGGACAGGAGCATTCCGGCATTCGAAAAGCATAACAAGCGTTTTTATTTAGCCGAACGCGAGTTCGATTGTCTCGAAGCCCGAGTTCAGCGGCAGTGCTCCGAAGCACGCTGGTGTTGCGGTGCACCGAAGCGGTAGATCCTCGTTACCTGCATATTCGCTGCAATGCACAAAAACGCCACAAATACCGCGTGGAATACGGAGATAACTCTTCGTCGACCACTTGCCCCAGATCATCTGATAATTTTTTCAAGGCATCAAAGCGCCTTGCCCTGCTTTCGACGCAGATAGAAACCATGGATACGTACCGCCTAAATGCACACCGTAGATAAGATTGACAAAAAGGTCACGTGCTGCAGACGCAACACAGTTCTTTCTCGCATGCCTGGTGCCGCTTGGCTTTACTTTTTGCATAAAGCGCCATTGTTTTGGGTTAACGGTCCTGTTTACAAAGGGACTTGCTTTTCAGAAAGCACGGACAGGTCGTCTCCGGCAACCGAAACTGAGCGCGCCTCGAAAAAAACGTTTCGTGGGCGCCGACGCTGGTCTTCGCTCCGTACGACCTACGCCAGCGCTCCATGGTTTCATCACCCGCGATTCAGGTTTCTGCTGTCCAAAGAAACGTTGAAAGTGGTTGGCGGGCACCCACAGGCTACTCTGACTCAGAAGACACTGATGACGGGAAGGATGAGCGCCTTTTTCGCTCAGGTCCGCGACGGATCGAGGTGCCATCAAGTAGCGAGAGCGAAACATCGACCTCGCCGCCGTCAAAGCTTGCTCGATCGACACCGTCTGCGTCGAGTGCCTCTACAGATGGGATAACTGCTGGTGCAGGTGTGGATGAAGAAGGAAACGAATCGGATTACGTCGCACCAGGTGTTTCCTTTTCTCGTTTAGCACGACGATACACGCTTGCTAGGTCCTGGCTACCCGGTGTGCACCGTGCCCTCTTCGCAACGCCCGATGAAGCATTCGGAGCTCCCTCGACGGACACGCCCATGGATATGAAACAGCATAATCGCTCCGTAGCGCGGACCCAGAGACCCGAGTCGCGTCACATACAGGCTACCGATGGAACCGGGGACCGCGCTGCAGCTGAGCGTTTAGAGCCGCTCGACGCGGCAACAGCGGCAACGCTGCAGCTGCTGCAGTCAAGCACGTCAACGGAACTGGGTGAACAACGTGAGCTGCATAAAGCAGTTGAGTTGTCGCGCAAATCCCTCATAGCGGATACCGCAAGCATGCATGCTACTGGGCAAGTATCCGACGCATTTCGCTCGCGGATTACGGAACAGACTCGCGCTCCGTCGCTTCTTGCGTCCGAAACGAACGTTCAAGTTGTTTCGGTGGCGGGCACTTCACCGAGAACGGCAGTTCTTCGATCCTTGGATCAACTTCTTGAAGAGCGAATGCGTGGACTGGATATCGCCACAGCTTTCATGCCCATGGCTCGCGTCATAGGTCCTCTCGTGTTTGCGAATGGAGGCGGGCCTGAACGCAGCGCGAAGCGCGCTGCTTGTGGGGTCGTATACCCTTCCATGAAGATGTGGACGCCTTCGAAAGGCACCGCTGATCGGTCAGAGCTTCATCTCGGCCTGGTTCGTGTTGCAGACGACGCCGCAATAGAGGCATCCGTACACTGCGAGGCGACCAGCCGCTACCAAACACTCGGTGAAGCACTTGCCACGGGAAATCGGCGCCATGATTTTTTCCAGGAACTGGTTACTCGCTACAGGACACAAAAGGATGAGCACGGTGAGATTGTTGCAAGCTTGTTGGACGCCCTGTATGGTGATCACGCTGGAGCTGCATCAACATGGTATAGGTTTTCAGCATGGCTGAGGGATTGTGCCTGCCCCAAGATGCAGAGCGTAGATGAATTTCGAGACGATTGGCAACATGCGCGTGCCGTTTCTGCGGTTTCCGCTGCATCCGACGGGCAAGCACTCGACGAAGCGCTTTTTTTGCTATCCGGAGGCCAGGTGCTGGCGGCAGCGCAGCGGCTGCAAAAGGCCGGCGACTTGCGCCTCGCACTCCTTTTGAGTCGCTGTCTGGACCCGCATGAAGACTTGGCATTGGATGCGGCGAATCAAGTGGAAACGTGGGAAAACGATGGCCTTTCTGAAAAAACGCTTGGAGCGCGCCGTCTTGATCTCATGTACTTGTTAGCAGGCCAAGTACAGCGTGCTTCTGGTCATGCCCTCGTGTCAATGGATGAACCGCCTTGGTTCTGTGGACCGCATTTGACGTGGATACGGGCCTTTGCCTTATTTTTTTGGTACGCACGCATGGATGCCAGTAGACGGGACGCTCTGCAGGGATCCATGGATGCCACTGCCGGTGCCGCTGATACGAATGATTCGTGTACCGACGCATACGCGGATGACGTGCGCTTCCGTATGCGGCTTAGCGCTGCGCTAGACGCCTACGAGACAGCCTGGAAGGCGGCGATGCACTTACGTAGCCGCAGTCGCGACCTAGATGATGATGAGGAGCAGGACGAGCACGAGGACGCGGAGGATGCGGTGCGACCGTCGGCAACAAGGTCACCGCGATCATCACCACCGGCGATGCACGCATCCTCTAGATCGCCATCACCGATTCCCAGATCGCCTAGATCGCCTAGATCGCAGCTACGTGCATCCTCTAGATCGCCTAGATCGCCTAGATCGCCTAGATCGCCTAGATCGCCTAGATCGCCTAGATCGCAGCTGCGTGCATCCTCTAGATCGCCGTCACCAATGCCTAGATCGCCTAGATCGCAGCTGCGTGCATCCTCTAGATCACTGAGGGCGGTAGCGGCTGCGTCACTCGCCCGTGTGCCACCGCCGCTGCCGCCGGCCCTGGATCGTGCGCATCGCAGGGGCGAGCTGCGGCAGCTGCCGCTCACTGCAGATGAGGCAGAGACGGGGCCCGAGGATCGCGTCACCACCCTAGCGGTATTCGATGCTGTCTATGTACTCTTGCGGTGGTATTGTCTTTCGCCTACGTTCTGTAGCAGGCGTTATCAGCTTATGCCAGAGTGCTTTGGTCTTCACAAGAGTGACTCTTTGGATTTCCGGCTTGTGTGGTTGCTGTGGGAGTGCATAGGCAGCGGCGCATGGGTATCCGTGCCTTTTGACTGGATTGATCCGCTTCTACGAGCACAGTGCTACGAGGCGTATGCGTTGCAGCTTGAGTCTGCCGGGAGGCCGCTCGAGGCAATCTACGTTCGGGCGACGCTCAGTCGCGGATCGGATCTGCTCCAGTATCTGTGCTATCTGTGGCCGCGTCTGCTTCGAGAAAATGTCCCCGACTGGCCTGTTTCGTTGCCTGTTGCAGGTGAGTTGCGAGGATCAGGACCCAGTTCGGAGGCTTCGTGGTCAACGGTGCGCACTGCCGCTGACATCGACTCGCTGCCGGTGATGCGTTGGCTCCGAGAGCGCGTCCGCCTGCCGCGGTGCTGGCTCCTGCAGGCACACTACCAATGGCTGGAGTTTGCGCTTGTGGCGGCGTTGTCGGATCTGGAGCATAGCGGGTCTCTGGCTGCTGGCATCTGGGATCCGCGGAAACTTGTATACGCGGCAGAGCTTGGTTGTGCCCTGCTCCAGACGGGAATCGCCTGGCTTGGAGCGTCGACCGCTCCACTAGGTCGTCTAAGAACGGGATCATTCGAGGCGGCTTGCGAGGACGCGGTGACCCCAAATGATGCCATGGATACCGAGTTGTCGCATGACAACACGGACGGGTCCTTGTCAGCGTTTAACCATGCTGCACGCGTTGGGCTCGGTCCGCGGACCCGACTCATGATGCAACTTCACCTCTGGGCTGCAGTGAGACTCGCGCCTCTTTTCCTCCTACAGCGTGGTATCGCCGGCTCGAGCGCTTGGAGCGGCGCGTTTGCTTCTCGAGAGCACGCAATGCGTCTAGCGAACGACTGGCGTCAGATGCTCGAGGCATTTCAAGCGCTCGAAGCGGCAAGTTCCAGTCATCTGACTGTACCATCGCCGACACAGGCGCATGATTTGACGTTTTCGGACCTCGGCGGCTTGTTATTGGATCTGATTGCGGTCAGAGAGCACCTGGGGATGACGCTCCGCGCGGACGGCGTCGAAGTGGAATCTCCTCTGGATCTGCCGGTAGCAACGCTTTATCAAAGACTGCAACTCGTCGAAGAGGTTCGTGGGAGCCGCTTCGACATCTCATGGATTTTGCGTTTCTGTCAGCGGGTGTTGCGTTTTGCGGAAACGCAGTCGATTCCTTCTTGTCGCGGTACGCCGGCACTGTCATTGTTGGTGTATCACATTGCAGCAGTTGCTGGCCGACTGCTCTGTTTCAGTCTGATCCACGGCGACGCGTGGTCAGTGCTCGAGGATCCTGCAGATCGATCTGCGGCTCTGACTCGAATTCGAGGCCTGCTCGACGTGCTGCCGCTTCTAGAGGGAGATCGTCACCTGCTCTGGAGCGAACTAGAGTTTGCAGATGTAGCGTCCATGCGACAGAACCAGCGCTGGATATTGCGAGACCCGCTGCGCGCGCTTCGTTTCTAGGGCCATACCCGGATCACCGAGTAGGATGCGAGATACGAACCAGGGATGATGGGATCGGGGCCTTGCGAACGATGGGCGTACGACTGCCAGACCGCCTCGTGTGGATGGTGTCGGGCCTTGAATTCAGCGTTCGTGGATACCGATTGTTAATCTGTGACGGCCACTGACGGCAGCGTAAAGCAGCAGAAAAAGCATTGTGCAGCGTTCTTTAGACGCTATTCCGTTTGCACACGTGGATTTGACCATACTGACGGGAGCACGCGTGGTCGTACTCCGGTGCTGACCCCCGATGCCGCCGCTTCGGATCCTGCATGTGTTCGCTCAGCGGCCGTGTCGACGGCATATCATCCCATGGGAATGAGCATCTGGTACTTTCGCTGCACCCCTGTTCTCATGCCAGGCTCGGACAAGTCCCGGCACACCGGGCGGCATCGCTTTGTAACTGCATCGAATTGTGGCAGCGTTGTGTATGACCACTGGACCAGCCATGCAGCGACTTCTTATCGCCGGCGGGGGGGGGGCCAGAAGCCGGCACCATTCTCAAGAGGTGCTTTTAGATCCGGAAACTGCCGCGCGTGTCCAAAACGGACGAGCCGGCCTTCCGAACCAGCTCCCAGGGGAAAGTCGTGATACGCAGTCGAAAGCGGCGTAGCCGACGCTCAAGCCGAAGGCCGCCGACGCACCAACCAACATCGGTTGAAGCACCCAGTGCGTCAGCAGCGCCCAGACGGTGTGTACCGGAGACTCCGCGTCCTGCCGGAGGTCTGTGCGCGCCAAGACGCGGCCCCGAAACAGTGGTGCTGTCGGGGGAAGCGACGCTGGACTTTCACCAGAAATCGGTGCCGTTGCGTCACTGCGTCCGTCGTCGGAGACGCCCTCAGTATCGAGTTCACTATCACGATCAGGTTCTTCAGAAGACATCGCGCTCAGCGACTGCACATAGTCCCGCCGTTTGCGCGGTGACCAGTAGTTCGGGGACACCGATGCTCGCATGGTGGCAGCAGCGCGTACGCAGAGCACCTGCGAACGCGAGAAGTGCTCCGCAGGCGTTCCGGGTGGAGCGACCTTTGGTGCATTGCCGCGCGCCACGCATGCTTGGCGGGAAAGATGTCACGAAAGCTTTGTGACACGCCATCGCCCTGACGCTCGCGTCGGCAGCGGCGCGCTGGCGTCGCATCGCATGTGCCGGGGGGCTCATGCGTGCAGCCTGTTCGTCACGACGCCGCCGTGACGCCAGCCCTGCATCGCTGGGGTACCCTGCGGAGGCGTTGCTTCCGTTGAGCATGTCTGCTGGTATGCGCTTTTTATCTTCAGAGAGCGTCCACCGTTCGTGGTTCAGTCCGCTGTCTCCTGACTCGCATGTTCACAGCAGTCGTTCTTGTGCTGTTCCGCTTGTATGCGCGTTCGAAAGCTCCGTCTCATAACACGACGCTTGTTTAGACCGACCATTCGAAATGTACATGGGTCAGCGCGTGATGTCTACGGCCTAGAACTTATGTTGGAAATGTTTTTATTGCCGTATAAGCGATACTACACGATGCATCTGGATTGTCATGAAGCAAATTGCCGGTGTTTTGGGGACTGTTTTGGCGGCGCGCCGCATTGGGCGCTCTATACGCGCACTCATGCCTAAACTCACTCATGATCTCATGGCTAGGACAATGTCCTGTGATAGCCTTTCTGGGACACTGTCTTTGCTGCTGCTGCTGCTGCTGCTGATGATGATGATAATGATGATTCTTATCGTTGACACCATTTCCATTTTGCACGGCTATCTGTGCTCGCGTCGGGCACCCGTTGGTACCTTCATACGAATGCTGGGTGCTCCTACTACCTTTTCAACTACGCGTGAGCATGAATGGTTTCTGATCCGAGTGCCTTGTGCCTTGCATCTCCTTGCAGTGCCTACTGCGATGTCGGGGTGCCTGCTCGCCCTGCTGCAAACTCGCGACGCACGCAGCTATCCAGCTGTCGTGTGGCCGGCAAGTACCAGCGCTTGCGCCAGTTTCCAAGGAGCAGACGCACCGGCGCCGGTAAGGTTGCTTTAAATCGTGCAAGCTCCTCCGGGTCATCTTTGATTGCTTCGTGAAAGCTAACAACATGAAGGCGTTTCTGCTCCATGCTGAGTCGGCGGCGCACCTGCTCCTCGAACCCACGCTGGACGCTGGTAGGAATTCGTTCTGCCACAGTTGCGATCACCATGAGCTGCTGACTCGTATACGCTTGCTCCATTTGGCGGGACAAGAGTCGAGCAGCCTGCTCTAGTCGCTGGCGATGCTGCGGGCACTGTGATGGGATAGCGCATGCCTCGACTTCGTCTCGGATGCGTTTTTCGAGCTCTTGAATACAGCGATCGTGTCTCTCGATGGTTCGTTGAATTGGAGCGAATGTCTCCGTCGGAAGGTTCTTTTGAAGGAACGGAAGAAACACCTCGTTCTGCACGAGTCTAAAGTCACGAAGGTTGGTGTCCAGCAACCAGCGAACCGCCGAGTTCAGCGACTGTGCCGAGCACTGGTTACCGCCCCAGTCGCACTTGGACTTCCGGACAGCGCTTTCGAAACGCTTCGCGTCGCGCACCAGGGCAGCCTGGTGCCACCGCCACCCGTGAATGTGAAAACGGCTCAGTCGGTTTTGTCGCCTCTCAAGCGTCTCGAGCTCGCACTGCGTTCGAGCCATAAAAACCGCGCTCATGATCTCCATGAAGTTGAAATTGAAAGTTAAAGACAGGGATAACCGGTCCGTCGCTTTTCTCAGCAAAGCATAGACTACGTATACTCTTGCACCTGAGCTCAAACGAGTACATGGGGGCGAACGGATGCGCACGAGGAGATCGCGCGCCACGGACCGCGGGGAGGCTGCTTGCGCGCGAGCGGGCATCGGCGATGCCAGGCCTCGTGCCGGTACCTTGCGGCGCACTGCATCTACCTGTTCATCCCCTGGACGGGGGTAACCGTGGTGTCGGCACATGGGGTGTCGCAGCTGCACCTGAAAGCATCGCATAGCTGTTTCGTGTCTGGATCGGTGACTGTGGCGTCGATGCGTACGGGTTCGCATCAAGCACCTGAGGCGTACTCGCCAAGCACAGCTCGTCTGAATCTAGCACCCATTTCCGACGGGAAATGTAGTTTGGTGGCTACGGTACGCAGTAGCGTTCTTGAAGAAACTGAGGTCTACGGTGTCTCCTCTGGTAAACCTGGCGCAACAGAGGAGTTCCGATTACGTTTCAACTTCATTAGCCATCAGAGAGCACCGGTTGCATGCTGTGGCGCAGGTACTGCCCGACGTGTGAAAGGTGGACGTTTTCGTGGGCCATGTGTTTGCCGCTCTGCAAACTGGCACATCTCAGAGCGCCCAAACGCAAACGAATCAACGATCCGCCAGTGAGTTCGGTGGTCTGCGATCCATCCTTTGGATACGCATACGCGAAGTATGCGTTTCACCCGGTCACTTGATTCGCAGACAGTACTTCAGACACATCGATATTGTGCGATAAAGAAAGCGCTTCTGCTCGTTATATTCTAGCAAGCATACTCCGCGTGTACGACTGTAGCGCTTCTGCTCCTCAGTAGAGCGGGTACGCGTGTCCGCGCTCCTTTTCCACGCCAGCGCCGGGACTCGGCGGCCCGCAGCAGCGCTCTCGGTAGGCCGAGTGGTGCGAGCCGTCTGGCGTCGACGCTGCCGCATTCGGCATCGCAGCGGCACCTGGGATACGCCCCAGCAGGTGTGCTTTCTGTGTGTGTTTGTGACGAACTCTGAGAAGTGTCATCATGGCTGGTAACGGCGGCGAAACGGACCGTTACACTTGGACACAGACCCTTCAACAGGTGACTGTGGTCCTCAAGCACGACATTGCACAGAAACGAGACCTCAAAGTCTCGTTCGACACAAATCGACTGCAGGTGCTCTACGGAGACAGCGTTCTGCTCGACGGCGAGTTGCATCGTCCGATCAAGCCTGGTGAGTCGCTTTGGTACTTGGAGGGAACCAGTCTGGTTCTGGAGCTGGAAAAGTCGAACAATATGGAGTGGTGGTCTCGGGTGCTCGTTGGAGACGCCGAGATCGACCCGTCCAAGTGCGAGCCCGAAACAAGTCGGTTGTCGGACCTTGACGGCGAAACGCGGCAGCTCGTCGAGAAAATGATGCTCCAACAGCGAGCCCGAATGTTTGCGGAGAGAGCACCTGGGAGTGGTGCGCCCGGGCCCTGAAGCAGCGACTGGAGTGAGACTCAGTGCGAGTGCACCAACTCGCTTTATTGCCGATCAGCGTCAGGTTCAGCCCTGTCTTTTACATTGAACTCGGGCGACGTGATCGGTCGATTGAGAACTACCTGCTCTCTGGGTACGACGGAAATGTGATGCGGCTTGGCGTCTCGTACGGCATATGCACAAGTTCAGTGCAGTCACGTCCTGCACGCTTGCGCGTTGAACCATGACGCAACGTGTTCGGACGCGCACTTTCCGGCAGACGCGTATCACAGAACCTGCGTTTGTCTCACGACACTGAAGCGTACGGAAATCTTCATTTGCGCGCTTCCGAGCAGAAGCACTTGGAGCTCGATTTCGGGGTCATGCTCTCACCACAGCTGGACGCGAGATCATCATAGTTCAATGTAAACCACGTTGTGCACCACGACGGTGTTCGGCCTGTGCAATCAGGCGCTCGCCGGCAGCATGGCGTGGTTGGCGGGCAAACGCGCGACTCCGATGGAATGCGTTTGGAGTCATGATATTCGTCGTGCAAACAGGAAGACGTTGTCGTTGACTTATCTTGCCCGCCGTAGCTCCGCTGGGATCTCGGTCGCGTCAAGCTGGGGCACCGCTCCCTGCAGCCATCGCGGAGGTGGATAGCCATCTGCTCGCTCCTCCGGCTTGAATGGTACCGCTTTTACCAGAGAATATCCACAGAGTAGCGTCTGGCGCGCCAACTGCCAGTGGTCTCGACCCAAGTCTTGCCGCAGCTGTGCCCAGCGGTCCTGTTCCAGGCTCACAGGGCGGGCGTAGAACGGTACCGATCGCTGCAAACTGTAGCGTTCGAGTGCGTGCTCGGCGTCTTCGCGCTGTCTGTGGATAACCTTCCAAGCAAAGTTTGGCAAGTTCTGTATGAGATGGATAGCTGCCACAAAAAACCACATGCGCTAAGCTCTGAGCACTCCGCCCCTGGTCAACCAGGCGTCCAAGAGTGTTTGCTTCTCTTTTCGCAGCACAGCGCAGAGGAAGAGCGCCACGAGCAGGTACGCACGCAGTCGTCGTTCGTAAAACTGGTTCGTAGACCAGGTGCTCGCCCTGATGACGTTCTGCACCGTTTGCTCTGTACCAGCAAAAGCGTGCGCTCCACGCTTCTCACTGTCGTTGAGAAAAAGTGAGCGACTTGCCACCGTCTTGTGGTGCTAACGCGATTCGAACGCGTGCGGGCGTTGTGCCCAGAGGATCTTGAGTCCTCCCCCTTGAATGGGCATCTTCGAGCGCCGGTGCAGCTGCCTGATGGCGATCTTGCTGCCTGCGCGTCATGCAAACCACTCGGAGCATAGCACCTGTGCGAGGGTGTCAAGCGCTCGCCGCCTCTTCCGCACCGTGCCGTAAATTTGCATCCAAATTCATATATAAAGCCGTTTCTCGATTGCGCCAGTGTCGGATTTTTTTCCTTGACAGAACGTTTACCTAGGCCAGCGTTCTCCGATTATGCGCTTTTTCCTTTCTTTTTGGGGTTTTCAGTGCACTGCGAAGTATCCATCAAACACCCTACCCCCCGCTGCATTCCCTATACTTCTTCTCGGATATTCTGGTCGTTTCATACTTCGCATCGTGTGTGCCTGGTGCCTGCCGAAAGCGACCGCAATGGTGCCTCTAACGCCATTGCGGTCGCTGAACGGATACAGAACTGCGCTGCCGTACCGCACAGAGGGCGTCGACTCGAGGCCCGTGTCGGACGCAGACTGAACGCTGAACGACTCGCTCTGTGCCCGATGTTCGTTATTTCTGAACCTTGTTTCGGTGTACTGGCTCGACATTCGAGGTGCAGCAGTAAATGAATCGGAATCGATCCGTATTTTAGGGTTTTCTGTCGTCTTTTTGGAGTGGCTTTGTTGACGATTTGTCGTTGGAATTATTTGCGTCACTGAATTCACGATGACGGACGACGAGATGAAACGGAGATTCGAAAAACGAATGGAAACCGTTTCCCGACGCATACGAATGCGCTTCCACGCTCCTGCGTTTCTTTCGTGCAGCAGGTTCATACTATGTTTATGCTTCAAGTTATCGATCTTTGTGTTTCATGGCGGCCCGTTGGCGCAGAAGATCGCGCCCCTTGATAGACGGGCAGAGCAGAAACTTGTCATCGTCAATTGATGACTGGATCAAAACCTCATCGCGCAAGTATACTGAGCTTGTCACGTCCCATAACCAACTCCGTTCAAAACACAAATCATTCTCTGCTTTAGACGTCGGAGAAACTGCACGCGAACCAGCATGATGCTTCGCATGGGATGCGCTCCGAAACGCTCCTGTCCTTTCTGTTTGCAGGGAAAAGGGCCTCGGACTCAGACTCTAGTGATCCCAGCGATCACTGCCATCGGAGCGTGCGTCAGCGTTTTCCAAGATGGCAGCGTAGACGAATCGAAGTATTTCGACTTGATCACCGTCTTGGATTTTCCTTCCGGTACTTGTTTCATCATGGACGACATCGTGTTCCACAAACACTCTGTCGAATGAGATAGTGTGCGCTTGCGTGTGCAGCCTGCAATGACCTCCGCGAGGCCATCGCTCCGACCTGGCGCGTTCTCGTAGGTTATTGAACTTGAACGGGAAACGAAAACGAGCGTCGATTGAAGCCGTCCTTGCCAGTCAAAGGCGTGTCGCGACTAGTGAAGCAAACGTTCACGCACTACAAAACGACACTCGGGGGACGAGGAGATGTCGTATATTCGTATGAGTACAGATGATCTCAATCAAATTCCGACGTGTCGAACGGCGTTCCGGGTCCGAATACAAAGAAGATACAAAAAGCAAGCGATGCACAGATCATAATTTCCATATGTGCATAAAACTCGTCGAAAAAAAGCCAAAAGCACAGCAATAAGGAATCGAATGCTGCCATGAACATGCTTCCACCGTTGACAGCGAAGCTGGAAGGACAGAAGCGAACGGCGTACTGAGAAGCATAGGTTACAGAGGGGAAAAACAAGCATTCACATATTTATCCAGCATCTGATGGTCTGGAGCACAGCGAAGAGCGTCGCAAGCCTTCAGCAAGGACGCCTGTGTTGGAGCACTTGCCCCATTGAAGTCTGATACGGGTATCATGGTACGCATTGACATTGAAATCGATGCATTATACGGGTTAGCGACGCTTGGACAGAGCTCTAGAGTAAATGGAGCCACCACAATGCTGCCACAGAGTCCCTGCGGCAGGCCCGTCGTCGTTCGAGCACATGGTCATGTGCACAACGAGTCGTTGCAGTTGCAGTGACTTGGTGTTCGTAGACCGCAACACCATAGGACGCAAGTGTTGCTGGCGCAGGTCGGAACGACGAGTCCACAACATGCGTACAGTGCACAGCTGCCGCGTTACACGGCAGCTGTGGCGCTGCTTCAGAGGCTAGAGACGCTGCTGCGACCTGACCAGGTGATCGGGAACCTGCAGGGGTAATTTGATCGCCACTGTATCCAGAGGCTAGAGATGCTGCTGCGACCTAACCAGGTCACATGATCTCTGAAACCGGCAATGTAATCTTGAATGTACGTTGCTGGATGCGCGTTGGGTCAACAGAAATTGTATTCCGCGTTTCTCGAGCTTCTTAGGCAGACATTGCGCTAGAGAACCTCCACAGTGCTCGGAAAGAGAAAGACCTACAGGTATCCTCCTGGACATGAACGCATCATCTGTTCCGGTTCACAGCGGAGAGCGTGGATCGCTTGACGCCTCAGCACCGCGATAACTTGTCTCGGTAACGAGGCTACGTACAGCACGACTGCTCGTCGCATCGGAACGGTTGGCCTCAAGCGGACGCTCGCAGCCGCCGCCTCGGCGTCAAAGACTCGCTTTCGTTCTCTTTTGAAGCATCGCCTGTAATCCATTCGATGCCACGCGTCACAATACACGTCATATGGGCATCAGGTCCGTAGACCTCTACCGGAATGCCGAGCTGCTCGCCAACCTCTTCCATCATACGCAAACCGGTTTCGTAGTTCGGACCTCCGCGTCGAACGAAGAGTTTCATTCGCGCTACCTGCAGCTTTCCTGCAAAATCCTTCAAGGCCTGAACAATACCAGTAAAGGTCGCTGCAACGTCGGTAAAATTCGCAATCCCGCCACCTATGAGGAGGCAACGCGGCCTCCCGTCCGGCTCATTTGTAGCCAGTTCGAGGATCGCTCGAGCAAATAGATAGGTTTCTTCTGGCTTCGGATTACCGCTATATTCCGCATAATTTGCAAGTTCGTCACCGTACCCGAGATCGACGACGGTATCGCTGTAAATAACAGAAGCTCCGCCGCCAGCAACCATCGTCCAAATCCTGCCCTTCGGATTCAGAACCGTCAGTTTGAGCGATGCGCTCGATGTGGCATCCAGGTTCGCAACCAAGCGCTCTTGAGGCCACTTGGAGCATCCCCAGGGTTCAGGAAACTGTACGTTCAGCCATTTGCGAGCGTTTTTGAATCCTGCGTACGAGTCGAGCTCGGCACGCAGGTCCAGAGGCCACACCTGCGGCTCGGGTGCAGGTTGACCATCATCACCAGGGAACGCAGCTATGGTCAACGGGTTCATCTCAAGGAACGTAAAGTCCAGATCATCGAATATGGCGTACAACCTATCTACATAGGCTTCCAAAACCTGGCGCGATTGCTCACGCGCAACGTCCGTAAACAGCTCGGCAAAGTGACGCTCCTGGAGCGTCTCCGTCGGACCCAGTTGCACCGTTCTAAGTTTATCCCAGTTCTCTTCAACATCCATACCACCAGCGCAGCTGAAACTGATCACGTTACCGTTGCGGACACTTTGAATACTCAGATAATACTCGACGTCGTGGGGAAGGTACGGCTCGACGATGCAGGTTGTGATTCGCCCGCGAACGCCCTGAACCTCGATCTCGCCCCGTCGCTTTATGAGATCCTCAGCGAAATCTACCGCTTGTTCAAGGTCCGCCTTTAGTAGCACCAGGTTTTGCTTTCCGCGTTTTCCGAACAACATATCCGGTTTCACGACGAGTTGGCAGGACGCGAGCCACGGCTGCTCTGGCAAGCTCTCCACGAGACTGCGGTTCGCTTGAACCTGCACCGCGCGTAGCCGTCGACCCATGTGGTGACTCAGGAGCCGTTTAGCGTCGTATTCGCGAATCTTCTTCCACGCCATAGTGTCGAACACCTAGAGCTTGCGCTCAAGCACCCGAATGCCAGCGCAGAAACGTATCGACCGCACCGGCGCCGGGGCTTGTTCTCAGCACTGGACGATGGGCGCGCTCCTGTCAGGTTGTTTGACGCAAGTACGCCTGACGGGATATACGTCAATGGAAGCGGTGCGCTTTGGTGACCAAGAGTCGGAAAAGTGACTTTGAGGCACGTGCTCTGGTCCAGGAGGTTACGCAGCTGTCTCGCATGAAAGGACTGGCTTGCCAAGCACCAGGTCTGAACGTCCAGTGTTTCGCGTAGCTTGCGGACGTTCGAGCGGTGGAGCTTTTCGCCGAGAATCGAGCGCGTTTCTCGCTCGACATCACTGATCGCTGGCCTGTTTGCCCGCCCGTATGATCGTCGGCTGGTTTGATGGCTACTTTCCCCAATTGTTATTGAAGCGATGCAGACGATTCCAGGCGACGCGGTCAAGGCCTATGTAGAGGCGGACGAGCTTGATCGCTCGCTCACAACCTGGATAGAGCAGAGCCTCGCACAACGAAAGAAGCGAACTTTAAGCGCACGCTCTCTTGTCCTCTACGGACCAACAGGTGCGGGAAAACGCACACGGGTGCAGCTGGCAGCACAGCGTCTGCACCTCCGGGTACACCCGGTGCACTGTGCGGCGCTGGTATCCGCGGACTCGCCTCGCCATGCAGTGAGGAAGCTATGTCACCTTCTCCGCGATGAAGCAAACGACATCTTATTGCTTGCGGATATCGGCTGGCTGATCGAAAACGCCGTGCCTTCTGGTGCTTCGGACACCAGCTCACCCGACCGAGCGCTGCTCGGCGACAAGTCCGGAAGATCCGTCTCTCGAAGCGAGCGGAGAACCGTCGCAGATGCAACCCTGGCCAGCAGCGAGTTTCATCTAAAATCCTGGTTATGGACAGTGCTTTGCACCGAGATGCGATGGCTCGGAACGGATGATGGGGCATCACGTGGCCCGGGAGCGCTGATCATGACTTGCTGGACGCACCTGCCGTGCTGGGGATGCGTTCAGCAGCCGGTTCCATTGCCCACGTGGCAGCAACGAAAGCAGTATCTTCAGCTTGCTGGAGGACCGGAGCCTCTTGCGGATATCACCCCAGGCTACACCTATGCAGAACTGCATGCGCTTCTCTGGACGCTGCGGATGAGGCACGGCTCGGGAGTCTCGGGTGCTGCTGATACGCACACGACTCCAGTGGATGCGCCTGCCTTGCATCGAGGCATCCCGCGGGATGCTTCGGTGCAAGCCTCGGGTCACTGTTCGAAAAAGACCCTCGACAAGACTCTGAACATCGAGAAGCAGATGAATCCGGACGAAAACGATTCTGGTGAGGAGACTACGGCGATTGCACCAGCGTTATCGCTCCCAGAGGAATGCCATGTTGAGCGTGACGCTTCGCATGCCATGCCCCTGGTGTTGTTGGCTTCTCGACAGGCGCGCCCTCGAAAGCAGACAGGCTTGGATGCAGCAACTGCGGACGAGGCTGCGGCATCCAGGGCGAGCACCGACCCCGATGACTCAAGGGAGGCGCGGGTCCACGCTGGTTGCTGCTGTCAGCACTCAAACGGCGTTGAGGCGGCGCTTGCTAGGCAACAGAGCGCTGTCGGAGAAGACCTGCTCGACCTGTCGGAAGTTCCGCCACCGGCGATCGTTCGTCAAGTGGGCGCCATCCGCTGGTGGCGACGACCAGCAGCAAGAACTCGCACCCTGCCTCTCTTTGGGCGCGCGGTGCGAGAAGCGCAGCGAACTGTTCGCCAAGCCCTAGCCGAACACCTTGCCGAGGACACAGGCAGCGAGCAACGTCACCTGCGTTCCGAGCGGAATGTTCTTGGCATTCTTCTGTACGGAGCAACTGGTAATGGCAAAACACACTTTGCAGAAATGCTAGCGCATCCCTGGCTGGACTCGGAAGCACATTTTGCGTGGCCTGCGCTAAACATGCTCCCCGTCCAGGCAACAGATATTGTTTCTGCACGTGTTGGAGAGGCTGAACGAGCGCTGCAGAGCGTCTTGACCGTTTGTGAATCCATGGGAAACTGCGTTCTCTTCATTGATCACATTGAGATGCTGGCGGCAGCGAGAGATGGCCCTTCGAGCACCCATGGTGTGCATGAGCGCCTCCTCAGCATTCTCCTCCAGTACTTGGATGGTTTCTACGCACGTCGTGGATGCCGTCGTTTTGGTTTTGTCGTTGCCACCGACGAGCCGAAGCGACTGGATCGAGCGCTCCTGCGACCGGGACGTCTGGATCTGCACATCGAGCTGCCAACACCGGATGCGCTCACTCGGATGGAGGCGTTCAAGTACCATCTAAGTCGCGCTATGGACCAGGATGCGTTACCTGCTGACATTGGAGAGCACGCTTCTGCGTTTGCGACGGCAACGAGCGGTCTCGATATGGCTGGGGTGCGTCAGGCCGCATCCGACTGGGTATGGGATCTCTGTCATGCTACAACGCACTATGTGTCCGCTTGATACCACGCTGATTCGCTGCTTTCACTCTATATCTTTGAGGTAAGGGGCAGGCTTCTGTCACGCGGATTCCGCATCCCGCCGGCAAGTAGCCGCTTTGGCAATGGTTGTCCTCGGTTGCGAGCCATTGTACGTCTGCACTTTGGGTATCTGCCTGTGTGATTTTCTGATGCTTGAACAGGTCACCATTGTGTGCTCGCTTCTGCTGCAAAGATCGAACGAGCTGTGGAGCAAGAGCGGGTGTCCGCATCGGTTTTGCACAACGGCCATGAACTGGCATCTTTGACGCAATCCACGCACTGGATAGGCATCCACTTGTGGGTCTAAGTCTTCTGAGACGGACTTGTCGTCGTCGCTGCCATCATGATCATCATACGAATGGACTTGAACAAAGTATCAATTACCTTCGATGAGAGGTCTTGTTGTTCAGGCGAGTCAAGAGTCGTTTTCACATACCAGTGTGTGTCCCGGATTGCACCATGTTTATCGACATTCGGGAAAGCGTCCGTCATACTCCATTACCCAGGCGTGCTGTTCGAGACGGGCTTCTCTACAGCGCTGAACCATAGAAAAAGCGTTTCCATGATGGATGGATACGAGCGGCTCCCGCAGTGCGCAGCCCATTGAAAAAACTTGCTTGTTTGCGCTCTATGCTTTCTTTTTCGAGCACGAGGTTACAGAGGGCCTCATAACACCCTGGCGTGACGTCGATCCTGGATGGAACGCGTTCGGGCTTGGGCGTTGGGTGTTTTGAAGCGGACGAGTGTCTCCAGTCGGTTATCGTCCGTTGGTGCTGGCTGGTGAGGCGGTTTGTTTTTCTTGTTGCGCCTCTCACGCACGCTGGCACCGTTTGCCTTGCGGTCGAGAGTACGTTCTCGCCTTTGAATGCAACTTGAGTCTTGTAATCAAGTTCTTGGACACGACTGTTGAAGCAGTTTGGTTGTCGCAGCTGTCGAACTTGTGCAGTGTCGTCGAGCAGTTCCCCAGTGGCGTTTCCCGCGTATCAAAGGACTGCTGCTCGAACCTGCGGCTGAAAGAAAGCGTCTGTCGCTTTTCTCACCGAAGACTGTAACCTAGAACCGTTGCCAGAAACAGCATCACCCGCCAGACTTCGAGACGGGAGTTGTCACGCACATTGCAGTCGACAGCCAAGGCAACTGCTGCACTGGTGGTCTAGAAGAGACGGTGCAGCGGCCCTGACGCGCTCTTCAAGCTGCCGACCGCGATGGGAGCTATTGTCAGCCGTCTGCGGAGCGTGCCCGCACCTGCCTCAAGGCTCCAACAGAGCGAAACCAGCAGCGTCTACCGTAGTGGTGGTAATGGTGGTAATGGTGGTGGTGGTGGTGGTGCTCCGTCAGCAACCGAAATAACGAACCCGACAACAGACACACCAGGGAAGCAGCGTTGGCGGGTTCGCACCCCGCCAGAGCGAGCGGCGTTCGTTCACCATATCCTCGTCGACGAGGAGGCAGAGGCGAAACGGCTTTGTGAGCTTCTGCGTCAGCAGGCCGCTCAAGGCGACAACGCGCTTCGAGAGCGCTTCGAAAGTCTGGCTTATCAGTATTCGCGATGCTCATCTCGTGACCGAGGAGGAACACTGGGCTGGATCCGTCCTCGAGAAACAACAGCGCTGTTTGACAATGCCATTTTCGAGACAAAGAAGCCTGCTGGGAGCATTGACGTGGTTCAAAGCGAATACGGCTGGCACGTAGTGTGGATAGGACAGCGCCTGGAGCAGCAGGCGGCAACGCAGAGCAGTGCCAGTTCGGTACCGTCCACGACGCGCCCGTCCGAGACGCCAACTTCAGCCAGCAGCGTACCAGGTACTGATTACCTGCGACAGATTGAAAAACTCAGTGCTGCGCTGCATGCTCGACCGATGCCCAACGTTTTCCCGTCGCCAGAGGCGCTTGTCGCCCAGAGACGACCGCGACCTGAGGGGGCGCTCACCCATGCGCAAGCCCTTAGCATGTTGCTCGCGCATTACCTGGAACCACAGACCTGGTCGGTGGAGGCATTAGCGAAAGCGTTTCGAATGGAGGATGCATCGAAGAGAGCGCTGATGGCACGGGCGTTACGAGCGGTGCGGCCCTGGTTGGAAACGCAGACACCCGAAGGCCTGCGCAGGCATCGGGAACTGTCGTAGCACATCGCTACCGGCTGGGGAGCGTGCGAGCGTCCTGGCTCCGTTGCATGCTTACTAGACGCCAGCGAGTATGAAGCCGTTCTGTCGAGGCATTTTGTTCGACACGGGACGCGACGCCGGCATCCAAATCTCGCCCAGTGTGCCCAGGATACGGAGCTTTCTGCACCGAGCGTGCGCATTGCTAGCATTGGAGCACTGGCGCTTTCCCGAATCCGCAGCGTGCAGTGGCTTGCTCGATGGCCAGAGTACCCGTTGAGAGCCTATGCAATGTGCACTGGCATGTGCTGAAGCACGGAAGCTGAAGCCTTTTTCGCGGTTTCGTCTCTGCATGTCGAAGAGCTGCACAGGAGCACAGCGGGTTGGTACAGGGAATGCACCATCGGAAACCTCGGCACAGATATATCCGTAAGCGAGTCGCGAATCATCACCAATAGTCAAAAGGGACATGCTGGGACTGCTTCCTGGTCGAAGCAAGCGATTAGAGGCAATCTCCCGTGACCGCCTCCTCATGAACCGAATGAACCTTTGTAGACGTAGCGTGGATCAACGGGTGTTCTGTGAATACTTTGCGATGCTATGTTTTATATCTGTATTTTCTGGTCCTTCATGGACGTTCCGTGGATCGACGGGTGCTCGGTGAACACTTTTGATACGATTGATCCCATATCTGTACGTTATGATCCTTGATGGACGTCTCTTGGATCGACGCGCGTCCGGTAAACACCTTTTGGAATCTTTTGCGACATTTAGGAATTAAACGAACAGGTCATCGACTGGGCGTGCCCAGGTCGCCAGCTTCGAATCTCCCTCGTTCTCTTCGGGGTGCTCTCGAATGGACGTTTTTCACGACCCGAATGACCACGTCTCTCTCCCAGGCGATTAGGACGTATTCACTATCTTCCATTGTCTGGAAGCAATAGAATGGGACCGGCATCGCGCCTTCCGCAGCGTCAGGAGCGCTCGGAGCTTACCGCGTCGGCGAGTCTCGAGACGCCGCCGCACGCGACATCAGCGCCACAACCAGTGCAGCGGAGTGCGCCGAAAGCACCGTTACCAGAACGAGTGGAAAGCCACAGCATTCCTGTTCCGGGTCGCGGTACTCGAGCCTCTCTCAGGGCACGGCTCCTGACACAGCAACTGGAGCGTCGGAGTTTGCAGCCGTCGCCGGAGACGCCGCCGCCCACCAGGCCGGGCAGTGTCCCCAACGAAACGGATGCGTTCGTCGCTGGCTCGCCAGCCGCTATCGCACATTCTTATGTAGAATATGCGACTAGTTTTGGGCCTTACGGAACTTTAAGTAGGAGCGCTCAGAACGCTTCGAGTTCTCCCGAACAGAGCCTCCCAGAGCGAAACGCGCGTACGCCGCGGCAGACACCCGGAGCGCCGTCGTCCGCAAAGGCGCAAGCTCCAGCGAACGATGCGCCGCTTGGGCCAGTTAGAACCGCTTCTCCGCGCTCCCGATCTAGTTCACCGCTGTCGAGTTCGGGGCCCGTTGGTATCGACGGCGAGCCTGCGAGCTTGAGCTATCGGAGCAGTCCAAGCACAACGAGAAGCGTCCCCAGCAACGTCGATGAGGAGCGTGGTGGTGCTGGTCACCCCAGCCCACACAACCTCTCTATTGAGGATCTGCAGGATATAGCGAGCAACAGGCACCTGTTCCAGCATGCAGCATCTGTAGAGGAGGTATTCGCTGACTTGTCCGTAGAAGAGCGGCGGTTTACGGAGCAGCTCGCGTCCCGTCTAGTTGCACCCGCCCTGGAGACCGCATCTGAATCCGCTGGGCACCCAACGAAGCACTCCAGAACGCTGTCTGACGCAGCGGGTGCAGCATCAACAACAGGGGCGCGTCCCGGAGACCGCTACGGTTTTGACAACAACAACAACAACAACAACAAGCCTCGTATTGTGTTCTTAGGCCGAAGAAATTGCGGCAAAACGTCGTTACACTCCGTGGTGTTTCATCAGACCAGCGCACACGAAACGCTTTTCCTGGAAAGCACATCTAGGATTGTGGCTCATGATGTGACCTACAGCCCGTGGATCTCCTGTCAATTGGTAGATACACCTGGCATCGATACTGTCTTCTGGGAGCATGCTTCTAGAGGGGACACTTCCGGTACCGCAGATTCGAGTGGACCAGCCTGCCAAGCGGAGGTAGCCACCGAGGAGCACCCCCAGACGCAGCGTGCTCAATTACCGCCTGTTGAATCTTCGACACTGAACGGCGAGAACGCTACCCTATCCGAGTCGTTGAGCACTGAACCTGCTTCGGTCGTTGTCGTCGACGCAAGTTGCAGGGAGGATCCGCGCGACGCGGCCTCGTGCGAAGCGCTGCCCACGAAGCGGTCCGTTTCCGACCCCGACGAGGCAAGTCCGTCCATGAGCGCCTCGATACCGACGCAACTCGAGCCTGCTGCTGAGCTGCCTGCTGCGCTGCGCACGCTTCTCGACGCAGCGGATGCACTGGTCTACGTTATTGACAGCAGCACCACAGCGGAAGCTTTCGCAGTGGATGAACTGCAGCGGTTATTGGCCTACTGGCGTACACTCTGCAGAACCGGTGACCACAGGAGCACCCGCTATCCCCACGTCTGGGTCTGTCTGCACAAAGCTGATCTCGCAAATAGCGCAGAGCAGGAGCAGACCGCCGACGCACTTGGCAACTGGGCGAAAACCGCCGACTTTTGGGATCATTGGTATCAGGCACTTGGGTGCTGTGCCCCGCTCCTACTCCAGAACGACAGTAGACGCAGCCCAGACGACGCTGCGCACTCCTTTGAGACGCCTACATCGTGTACCATTGAGGACGTGTGTTTGCAGGTCTGGCGTACAAGCATCTACGACGACTCGTGTGTTCAGAGTATGGCGAATCTACTGCGTGCACTGCTGCCGCAACTCTTGCTGCTACAGCGGGACCTTGAAGCATTTGTTCAGGATAGCGGTGTGTCTGGTGCTTTTGTCTTCGACACGTTCACGCGACTGTGCCTGGCGGAGGTCATCGGCACGGCCGCAGTGTCACGCTACCGAGCGCTGGCTGCCGAATGGACGCTATTGGCTCGCGAGTGGTCCTTGACTTGGCTCCCTTCGGAGCCGAGCAAGTCCGCATCACTTGTCGATGAAAGCCCGGAGCGATCTGCGGTCCACTGGACTGGTCTGGTGGATGCCCACGGCGAGCACGCGAGCATGCAGTTATCCAACGGCGATCAACTCTGTACACAAGTGCTTTCGCCGGTGCTTGTGCTCGTCTACGTTCAGGCAGAGGCGTCCTCTGGCGCTGAACACACCCGATGGCATCCAGGCAAAGCAACTGAAACGTTGGATATGGCCCTTGCGTCGATGCGGACGTGATACCTTCGTTGCTCCTAGGTCGTGGTGCCTCCTGCTTGGCTTTCGGACGCTCCACGACACGCAGGTCCGTTAAAAATGGAACAATAAACGACTCGCTGTGCTTCAGGTTGTCGACTGTTGTCCCAGGTTGGTAGCGATGTTCTGGCTCGAAATTCGAATCGGGCAATAAGGGCGTACCGATGCATACTTTGGATGCTTGCTCGGCTAGTCGGGGAGACCGCTTCGACACTTTGCCACTGGGGTTCCTGACGAAATCGGAAACCAGATGACATCACGATGTCATCAAAGAGGCGCTATCTTTACGCAATGCATAAGTACATGACACAATTATTTTTGTTTCGTTAAGGGTGACATGATAATACCACGCCATGTTCAATCTTTCAATTGCTCGGTTTTCGTGGCATCGTGGGGGCACAGCAACGCCTGAAGCTGGAATACCGAGGATAATGCCCTACGTCGTCTCTCGATGCCTTGATCATGAGCCTATGTATAGCGTTTTCTGGAATTGTTCCGTCCAGTGCTCGATTCCGTCTGAACACACGCACAACCATACATAGATATTGCTGCACGCGTTGTTGTCACTGGCGGAACCGCACGTCACAACGGTTTGGTGCCGCGCACGGCACCTGCTCACAGCGGCTTCCGTCGCTTCTCTCGGCATAGAAAAGGGTATCGGACGCGTGCTCTATATATCGCAGTGATCACTTCCAGTGGAAGGTGCGTCATCGGTCCGCACGTATAAAGTGCAGTCGAATCGGAATTTCTCGATTTGTTCTCCGGCCTGGATTTGGCTCTTACGACATTTGATTCGTCATGGACTGCATCCGCTTCCATATATCCGCAATGAAATGGAACAGCACGTGCTTATGTGTGCAGCAGACAGCCTACTCGCCGAGAAGATCGCCCTGAAGAAGCCTGTGGTCGTCGGGCATGGCACCGGATTCGGGCACCGATAAGCGCATCGAGTGGAGCGTTTCGTACGCGTTACGAGCACATACTAGGTGAAAAGGAAAGCCTCCTAGTGCCACGAGGCAGCGCTCAGATGCGGCGGTTTGGTGAACGTCTAGGAACGCACGACCATAGCCAAGCGTCACTGATGCAAACGCTGCAGCGCGGCTGCATACAGAGGAGATGAAAAGGGCAAGCAAAGCGTAGATCGCAGCTTTTGCCTGTCCACGAATTGCTTGAACAACCATCGGAAACTGCCAAGTCGGTGCTTTCACACAGCAACCAGGATTCTTCGACTGCTGACAACAAAGCTTTCGAGCCAGGAGAGACTGGCATACTTCAAGGCGGTGATCCTCGAGCGAGACAGAGAGCAAAAGGATGCGATGGCAGAAAAGGGCCTTTCAGGCTGGTGTTGGTGACCACGGGAAAACGATTCTAACCTTCGTATGTACGCGCGAGTGGACTTGCTGGACCCGTTTCATTCTATTCCGAAATGAATAGACCAAGACGAGAACGCCACGTGCACGCTGTGAGCGACGGCAGCGCGGCGTGTAGCTTTCCTTTGGACTAGACGATCAGCCAGGAGGAGCGATTTCACTAACGTGGGCATGATCACCATATTTCATCACCTCTTTCGAGCCGAAGACCCCAGCTGGAACCCGCCTATCTGCTCCAGGAGCACCAGGTACCCGGTTTCCGATCCTCACGCCCCGCCCCGGCCCCGCCCGGATGACATCGACGCCCTTTCGTGAGCGTCACCGTCCCCGGTGACCAGTCGCTGCGGCAGGTCACGTAACCAATCCACAAATGCTTCTGTATGCGGGAAATCCGGTGGAGCATCCATCGCCGGTCTGCTGTATATACGCCGCTGCTGTTGCAGTACGTGAACAGGCTGTGCTCCTTCTACAACGCCGACTTCTGCGGCAGCAGCAGGATGCACTTCAAACCTACGCGCTCGTCTTGCTAGTGCCAGCACCTCTGTCAGCTGCTCGGGCGACGACGCCAGTAACGCCCTGTCGCCTGTCGAGGTCGGTGCACTTGCGAAGAGCACTGGAGCAGTGCCTGGCGAAGATGCCGTCTGTTGACGAGCGCTCCGCACCTGCCGCAGGAGACGTTCCACGTATCGTCGATCTGCAGCGCTTGGTTGAACTGGTCGCAGCGGCAATAACAGTACAAGCAGCGGGGTTAGCGTGTAGGCGAACCTCATCAGCGGCATCGTCTGTACTGTAGGCATATCTCCAGCTAGCCAGCACCACGACTGCACCAGTTGAAAGCGCGTCAAGGGCAATGCGAGGATGCTATCGCGATTGTTGGTGGTCGTGCTCTCGCTCGTGCTGGGCAGCAGTCGCATCCCCGTCGGTATCAACTGCACAGTCGAAGTGGAAGGAGCCGTTGTTGGACGCCAACGGGGCGGCAACGGTACCCAAAGCGGCACTTCGGCTGCACGTTCGAGCTGCCATACCGTTCGACGCAACGCTCTATGACCTGTATGCCGGTGGAGCGCGGATTCCACGCTTCCCCTCGCAACGTTGGCTGTCTCCGCCGCAGTCGACACCAGCAGCGCCCAGAGCAGCGCCGAACGACCCGAACGCGAGCCAGTTACAGCAGCAATTACGAGCAGGTAGCGCTTGTCCCCAAAGTCGCCTCTAAGCGGCCACGCTAGCCCATCTAACCAAAACATCGCTGCAGTTCGATGGCTCGCAAGTCGCCGAAGCGTTCGCTCACGACGCCACAGGGGACGCATGGGCACCATAAACCACTCATGAATGCAAATAAGCGCATCATCTGTCGAGGCAGGGTCGCTGCTATCGTTCCAAGTGGCACGCTGGAGAGCACCGGAGCCATTCCTTGGTGGCAAGGTTGCCGGTGCACCTGCTTCAGTGTGCTCTGGAAGCAGAACTTGAGCGCGTGGTGCCCACAGCAACAAGCGACTCGCTGTGCAACTCAGGAAAAGCGGTGGTGGGGTTGCTGCTTGCCCCGCTATTTCATGCACATGCGTCACTCGACAAGCTGCCAATTGTGGTTCCGCTCTGAACGCTGCACTGCTCGACGAACGATAGCGAGGCAGCGGCTCGAAGCGCGGTACCTTCGTTGACGGACTCGGAATCGCATCTAGTGCAACGCTAGCTATCCCGCTGCCATAGAACCAGTAGAGCGAAGGCACCAAGTCGTTGCTGATACCCGCAGCTGGATTCTCGCTTGAGGAGAAAACCCCAAGGGTCGGCGTATGTGGCCATCCGCTTGAGTATCGCCACACTGTGGACGACGCAAGAGCAGCGACTGACCCGCCTGGCCCGTTCGACGCTCCAGGTGCCTTCTGTGCTTGTTGGTATCCCTGTGATGAAGCACAGATGGACCGTGCTCCTTGTTCGACAACAACCGAATCATAACGACGCTCGATCCGCCACAGCGTTGCATCCGATGGCATTGCCACCAGCAACCGCTCTGGTACCAGGGATCCGAGACGCTGCTCCCGGAGCAGATAGCTGCACTTGTTAGCGACCGAGACCAGCAGTGACTGATCGTTGCTTGTCCAGGCAAGGGAGCGCACTTTGCTGAGGGTTGGTAACGCTATCTCAGCGAGAATTTGCAGGTCACCAATGAGCGGCACCCCAGTTGTACCATGATGTGGGCTCTGCTCCGAAGACGCCCCCCGAGATGGCGTTCTTCCGCTTGTTTGCCCGTCGTGCTGGCTCTGACCAGAAGAGTCTGTACATCGCCAGCACAACTGAAGGATGTCTATGCGAGGTGCGCAACACCCGCTGGCGATCGTCGCGATTGCCATCCGCACGGCCCTATTCGTACGGCAAATAGGCTGTTGTTCATCAGATGCTGCTGCTGCTGCTGCTGAGGTACGATGCTGAACCCCGGTAACAGGTTCGGGCGTTGCAGCAGGTGTGTTCGCTACGGCTACAGCGAGCATGGAGCGATCTGGAGCACCGCTCTGGGCAAACTGGCGTTGTCGCCACTGCGGCGGCGCGCGCACCTTACACCACTGGTGGACGCCTCGCTCCGTATCCAGCAACAAGGCGTCTATGAACGCAACCGGTCCGCGAGGCCACTCCAGAAGTACCCACTCGAACGCGTTGTAACGAATCGTGCATAAACGATTCCACCGCAGAGGATCGCGTACAGTGAGCATCCGCGATACCAGTGCATCCTTCAGTGTACTTGATTCTATCGATACCGCAATGCTTGAATCCGGTCGTGTACCTGAGTCTGAGGATATCGTCATCCGGGGAGTCTGTTGCGTGCCGGAGCCTCGACCGGCAGCGCCATCCATATCTTCAACGGAGCGCACCAGGTGCTGTGCATGGTCTCGTGCACTCAGTTTCAAATGCGTGCCTGTAAGAGACGGGTATCGTGCCAGTCCTATCGCGTCACTATCTAGATCACGAAAACTCAGACTCACGAGACTGGGGTCCTCCAAGGTTGCCCCGCCTACTGCAAAGTAGTTCGTGCATTCACTGACGCTGCGAGGCAGGTACGCCCGCTTTCCTCCGCGAGCCAAGAGCGCATGCTGAAGACTAGCTGGACGCAACCGTTTCTGGAGTGGCAACGTCGCACAAGAGCGACTTGTTCGCAGCAAAGCATCAACGGGTGAAGACTGTATGATGCTCGCTGCATGACTGCTCCTGTCGATATGTGGATGCATCGTATCAACTGACGGAGGCACGCTGTTTGGCGGTTTGGAGCGCATCGCGACCCTGTCGGGCGCACTAGTCAGCGTTGCTGCCGACGTCGACGTGCATTCTGTTGCCTCCGTCGCTGGCGAGGATGCTACGGCTACAGTGGCTACTGGCGTTGGTGTAGACGCATGACTTTCCACTTGTCCCGCAGCGGGTACTGCATCGCTTGGGTTGTCAGTAAACTGCAGCTGGGCGTTTCCAGTTGCGGTCGTATACGTAGGTCGCTTCAGCAATGCCGTACTCGTCGCCCCAGCGGCTGGAGCGAAAGCACCCCGGCGAGCGTTCTGTTCGTCGTCATCGACTGAAGCAGTCTCACTGGAGGACGCCATGGTTGCTCCTTTGACTGGACCTTGCACCTCAGTTCGTGCCGGGTGCTTTGCAGGCGTTGCTGTTGTTGACGAACTCGACGTTTCCAGCAGCGTGCGGTTAGCGAAGCGTAGGTCAACATCGACGGGTGCGAGTTTCGAACTCGACGGAGGCGTCTCCAGTGGGCAAAGCAACCAGAAAGGATCCCTCTCTGGCTCGATGTGGGCGTCCAGAGTCGTTTCTGCCGTCCATTCGCTGGCGTCTGTTCCAGCTTCCCTGTAGTTCGACAACCACGTCGAACTTCTTTGCAAAGCCTCCATGGTCGCTTTAGCGTTTCAGCGCCGCCTGTACGTGCGTCCTCCACACAGGTTAGACGACGTGCATGCCAGACGATGGCCCTCTGGTGCCACAACCTTGGCTATTCGCATCAAAGCCAAAGCAGAGAACACCACCACCAAAACAGCAACCACTCCTACAACAACCGTTATCGAAAACACCACCGAATCCGAGTGCTGCTGCCTTTGTCTTCTACGACTAGTATTGCAAACGCTGTTGCGGAGACGATCAGCGGTACCGGATACGAAGCCGGTGGCGTTTCTGGGCTCTTCTACACCAATAGCGAGCAACGTCCTTGGAACGACGTTGTACATTCGCGTTGCACCGTTATACTCCCTGCGGGCATGCTGCTAGGCGCTGACGCCTCTCAAGGCTCTGGTCCAGACCAAGAACAGCTTCTCGTAGAGACGTGGCCTAATGAGTGGCAATGCATTCACCTCCAACCCGGAGGTGTCCTACAAACCCGTTTCGGTGCTTTTTTCCACGACGACTTTCGGGGAAAGCGGCAAGCAGGCGACTACTGGTACGCTCGTCGTTCGCGTCGACCCGGTGCCTTTCTACGCACGTTGCCCTTTCGCTTCCGAACGACTGTGCCGAACGTCACAAACAGACGCACGCAAGTCATTTACGCACCGGACGTAGCCTGTCTGCTCGCACGACTTGAGCTGGAGCCTGGCGCTGTCGTCGTCGAGGCCGGAACTGGAAGCGGAGCCTTGACCTGGGCGCTGGCGGTATCGGTTGCTCCGAACGGACGCGTGCACACCTACGAGTGCCATGAGGATCGTTTCCGTGCAGCTCGGGTGGAACTAACACAACAACTTGGGCACGTTTGGCAACCCTGCTGGACGCAACGTTCCTGGACACCCGCGCACCTGCTCTACTGTTATCACCAGGATGTGCGCGTGCAACCGTTCTACAGAACGGATAAAGCGGCTGCAACCGATACACGACCGTTGCCGGCCTCAGTGCAGGCCGTGGTGCTCGACATGCCAGAGCCACACCTCGTGGTCGAGCAAGCAGCGGTTGTGCTGCAACCAGGTCTCGGTGTTTTGGCAGCTTTCTTGCCCAGTGTTGAACAAGTCTGGCGACTACGAAAGGCACTGGGACAGAGCGCCTGTTTCTATGATATCCAGGTGTTGTCGAATGTGAGCTGCGTCTGGCAATCGATGCGTCCAGTTCAGCCGCAGGGGTCCCGCATGCCAACGAAAAGCGTCTGGTCCCGCGTCTCGCAACGTTTCCAGCCGAACGGTGCACACACGGGGTATATTGTGGTTGCACGACGCCAAGCTCGGTTGCTGGACGGAGAGTCGTTGCTTTCAACGTTGGTCGTAGCGGAAAACAAGCGCGCACGACGTACCTGAACGTACATGTGTTGCTGCAAGGCTCCTGGAACGCTCAACGATGCTGCACGTGAACGGTGTGGGGTCCAGTGCCTCAGCAACGGGACCTGTTGACACGTTGTGGTGAACTCGAGATTCCATTGATGGTCGATGCTCTACAGATGCTGTGCGGCGTGCATTTGTAAAATGCCTGCACAAAGCCCCACAGTCCGTAGCGAGGCTGGCTTGCTTTCCTGGTAGGGTAATGTGATGGCAACGGCATCGAGGTCAGGCGGGCGTGCTTCGTGGTGGCGGGCTGTTTCCAGCGCATAGCGTCATGCCCGAGGTACTCGGGACGGGGAGCGAACGATTGCTTTCTGGAAGAATCGTCGGATCTGCACAACCTCTCTGGGCTTCCATATTGGTCTGGAAACCGTGGTGTAACCCCGGAATCCGTTTCGGGGAATGTTCATGTGAGAACGTCGACTGCCTGGCGACGCCAGCTGACCGCGCGCTTCGGTGTCTGGCGCCTGCCGCTGGCGATAGCGGTTTACCAGGGGCGCTCGCAGCGTGCCGCTGGTATTCGTGGATGTTTTCTCGTTTGGCTCCAGCGTTAGCGCGATAGAGCGTACTCCGGTGCGATACGTACGCGTGTTGGTGCAGCATGTGCAGCGTAAAGTGGCGCACCATTGTGGATCGTGTACGCATCCCTGGGGCAACGCTCTTGAGGATTCGATTCCGATCGAAAACTGCGGAATCGCGCCTACGAGTCAGCGTTGCGTTGTGCGTACTCTGGGCAAGGCCGCTATGCGAAAGCACCAGCAGCGCCTCGACTCACATGGACAGCGACACCAGGTGCCGAGGCTGTCTATGTGTTGTCGTTATTGTGGCTGGTATCCGCTCTGGGAACACAGGTTCATACATCATGGTGTCGTGCACGAATGGAACCGCGTTCATTCAGATGGCATTTAGTCTAGGAGTTGTACACCGGGGTGACATGCACAAGTGCCAGCTGGCTTCGGAAATTCGCTCTGAAAGCTGCTGGGGAAATAGTGGATTCCTGGAGCATCCCAGGCACCACAGAGAGAGCCAGTACTTGCCTGCAGCATTCATACGCGTATTCGTCACAAGCGAGGGGCAAGCCTTCGTCCAGGGTTCAAGCTCTCGGATGCCAAGTCGGACGTGAAGAGCTCTGTCTCATGGCGTCCGTTTCATAGGGGAATAGATTCTGGGTAAGTGTCTCGTTTATGTGTCAGGATATCGTTGAATGCAGAGAAGCGAAAACCACTAGTCGGTGTACTGAATAAGCAGTGGACTGAATGGACGTTTGGGGTACTGCGAAATGGCGAACGCTTGGTACATGCAACTCGATTGGTCATGATAGTTCATGATTAAGGAAAGCGGTTGCCTTGGGCCTGACTTTGGAAGCGCCTCATCGTTTTCGGAGCATGATCCAATTTACGGATGAGCGCAAGGCAGAAAGCAGCTCGCCAAGCTGGTCATCTATCGCTTGCAACAGATCGAAAGCAGCATTATCGATCGCTGCCTGTGTGCTCCGGCTCTCATGGATCAACATTTGGGGATATGTCGATTATGGTGTTAGCGAAGAGAGGGTAATCTGGGGGCGCGGACTCCTGACGCACAGTATGTCCGGCCGCATGGGCGTCTCTTCTGTAACCTGGTTCGCCTCTATTGCGGTGGTCTTCTCGGGGGTCGCGGCGTTCGGCTCGGGCGCTTGGACGCGCGAGTTCGCGGCTCTGAGAACCTCATTTTCCCTCTGAAGGAAGCGAACGTGCTCCTCAAGCTCGCGCACTCGCTCACCGAGAAACCGAACATTGGCCAGGAGCAGCTCCTCTGCGTGATGATGAAGGCGTCGTGGTGACGCTCGCAACAAACCGCGATACGCCATCGACTCGCTCTCACCAGCCTGCTCGTTTCGGTTTCCTGCTTCGATGCGCGATGGCGCCGACGCTCGGCAGGTCCGCCGTGGCGGCGTTCCGATCATGTCATCCGGGCTGAAATAGCTTATGCTGCTCTTGCGTTGATGCGAGGAGAGCTTCCATCGAAGACGTTGCTGTCGTTTTTCGTGCATTTCTAGAGCAGATTCTCCGGTTTCAGAAGCGGCGGCATAGACTTCAATGGGATCCCACGCGCGGTTTTCAGACTGTGCGCAGTTATCGGAGGACGCCTTCTCAGAAGATAGCTCCTGCGCCACAGATGCACACGCAGACTCGCATTGCGGAACGGATACGACAGCGTCCAGCTGTGAATTCGTGGACTCGGCAGCAAAGGATGCTCTGCGAGTCGGCTCTATTTCAACAGGAGCTGTAGATACCTTCTTGCTACTCCAAAACTCGATGACGTGCGGCGGTAAAGCCTCACCCCATGATTCCGTGTTTTGCACGGGGCGCAGCGGGTAACGAAAGCTCGAGCTCGGTATTCTTCCTATGCATGTACGAGATCTGAGCTGGTCTTTCGTTAAGAAATAGAGTCGCTTGGCCGGCGAAGCTCGCGATATGCGGCAACTACTTCTCTCGTTGCACTCATCGCCGCGGGTTGTCTCTAGTAGAGCTGCATCGCCGTCAGGAGGTCTTTGCGCGGGCGCCGGTGACGGCGGCGTCGACAGTGCAAGTTTGAGTGCGCTTCCGGTGGCTGGCACGCTGACACTGGGCAAAAAAACAGGGACCGGCGAACGACTCAGTTGCGACTTTGTTGGCTTCCGCGACCCCGTCCCAAGCGCGATATTCAACTGGACGAGTGGTGTACCAGGTGGCGCATCGACGGCAGCGCCTTGACCGGGCATCAGAGAGGTGTTTTCAACCTCGTGATCTGTGGATGCTAGAGGTGTCCAAGCAGATGACTTGTACCGTCTCGAATAAATCTTCGAGCGGGGCATCAGATCAGAAGGGTGGCGACTCGGTGTGCCAACCGTGCAGCCCCCGGACAGCTATTGCCTTGGCGTGTCTAGCACTTGACAGAGAGATAACCGCCAGATCGCTAGTTTGAATTGCCGGCGGACTGGCCGCGCCCGCCGTCTGCGCTCGCCCAAGCTGGCTCGCGCTGCGTTTCGACCCCCGCGGGAATTCGTGCCTGAGCGGCGCGCTGTTCTCAGTATCGCTCCGACGCGGAGTTCTGCTCTGAACGCAGCTTTTTTTCGAGGTGCAACGCGGTGTCGTGCTTGGGCGTCGCAGCGCTAGCCGCCCGGCCTCGAGCAAGACAGCTCGATATGCCGCGTGGCTGCTACGACGTCGTTTACCGTGCCGAGACTAGGTCGCTCGCGTGCCGCGGACAAGGCGATAGCTTGTTCGTGCGGGAGGAATGCAGAACCTAACCAGAGACTTTGGTTAAAAAGCAGCACGAACCGTGCTCGATGTCGACGGCGCCCGCACAGCTCAGGCAGATAATCGCTGTGCACAGCAACGTGCAGGCGCAACTGCAGGCCTGCGAAGTCGAGCATTCGGGCGCTGACTCGGAGCGCAAAGCAGCACGCAAGAACGACAAGTACTGGTCAGGGAGTGCGCAGTGTGCACGCACGCAAAATTCCCACAGCGCTCTAGTGAAGTGCGCTTGGAATGCTCGCTGCGCACCTGTACCCTGCACAGCACCAGTGCCGTCGTGCGCCTGGTGCCGCGTTGCGCGCAAGTTTGCAGGTGCACGCATATGGGCATGCACGCATAGCCGAATGTACACGTGTCCCAGTGCATGCATTGTCGACTGTACACGTGTCCCAGTGCATGCATGCGTGCTTCACGGCACGACAGCTGTGTATTCCTCTCTAGATATATGCAGTACGCATTTGCGCTCGCTGCAAGCGTATCGCGGAGCACAGACGCACTGTACACGAGCAATATGCACGCAAACGCGGACCGTCTGCTCCGTCCTTGCACATGGTTTTCGTATGGAGCAGAGAGAGCGTCGTTGATTTCGCGCTGAGGTCGCCCGGAGCCCAGTAGCAGACATATCCGCTTTGAGAGCCGTCACCGGGAGCATACCATTGCAGCCGCATGCTTCTCTTGGCAGTATGGGATCGGTGTCCGATTCGAATGCTGCTGGTATGGGGGCATAAGGTTCAGGGCTTTACGCCGAGCAGGATCTCGGAATGACCTATACACCGCGCGCGCTAGCAATAACACCTACAGCATGGCTAGCGCACTGGTTCGAAGCGCCTGCGGATGCAACGGCGAGCATTGCATATCGACAACATCCAATAGGGTCTTGATAGGCTCGGGCACGCCCCGCATGCAACTTTCGACACATTTTCGAGGCCGTTCACGGGACGTATGCAGCTTGGCGGCGGCATGCCCTCAGCGTCGTAGAACGAACGCGAGGCAACAGAGGCAGCAGGCGCAACCACAGGCACGATCGCTGCCGACAAAGCCGATACCGCTGGAATCCCGTCGCTGTGCCGTTGCAACGCTTCGATGCGGCGCGCTTCCGCCCGATCACGTCGTTTTGTGGTGACTCGCACGCGCCACTGAGAAAGCGGTCATGTGTCTTGGGTGCAGGCATCGGGCAGGCAGCGGCAGATGGGCGCGAAACTCCGCGGCATGCGCTCTACGTGTTGTGGCGTCACCAGGTGGCATTCTGGTGCTGGCGAAGGCGTCGGTATATGACGTACCGTCGATTGCTCTCTGGCGTCGCGTTCGCTACACGGCTCGGAAGAGCGTCGACTGCAAGCGCAGTCACTGTCGTTCCCGATTTCACTGACCCGATGGCTCTGGGCTGCTGACAGAAACCGCAGCGCTGCCGGAGCGCTGCTCCAGCACGTTGGCCCAGGTCCAGCACTCTCGCTCGGACACGGAGCGCTTATCGGCGTTCTCGGTAGCTGCAAATCACCTGCGCCATCACGATACTGAGAACGAGCGAGAAACTCCTTGCGCTCGAGACGTGAACAAGCATCGGACCATTGGATGAATGCAGACTGCCGACGACGCAAAGCGCCGCTCCGATCCAACAAATGCGTCGAATTGGTTCCAACATAGTCTCTTTCAAGAGAAGGATGCAGCCAATGACGACCACACGTCTGACAACGTAGATCAGCACGCTGCAAGGCCCTTCGATTTCTCTCTGCGTGGGCGTATCGCCCGAGCACCACGAGCAAGTCCCAAAGGCCAAATGCAGGCCACATGGCGTCCACGAATTCGAGTTGCGCCTCTCGCCCACAAGTCTCACACGCCGACAGTTGCCAGAGCAAAAAGTCAGATAAGCGCGGTTCTGCAGACGTTCGCACAAGTAAATCCACCTGTGCTGAATATGCGCGTTCAAGGGCATTATTCCAGGCGGGGTCCGAATTCCACATCAGGGCACTGAAAAGCGTCGCATCCACGTCCACGGGCCGAAGCATCTCTTTTCGAATACCGCATCGTACCTGCTCCATCACCTTTTCCATCTCTTCACGACCACTGTATGCGACACAAATGTTGAGCAGGCAGCGATTTTCCGCTCCAAGACGACTCGTGACCACTTCGTCATCAAATGCGTTGATCTCTTCCGCCAGACAACGAACGCGTACGGGTAACATGGACAGTGCGCCAACAATTCGAATACGCACACCATGCTGATGCAGCAGCTTTCCCAGCCGCTGGGTGTCTACATCAACGGGAGCAGACTCGAGGACCTCCCCACGCAGCGCCCGCAGAATGAGCTCGAACCGACTCTCCGCCAGCGCCATCAAAGCTGCGACCTCGTCCTCCGAGCGCTTAAAGTTTTCAACTGCAAAAGCGAACACGCTCACATACTGGATGCCAGCGTCGAAACACCACTGCGCTGTTTGAATCAGTTTCGAAGAGCCACGCGGGTGACCGGCATACGGCTCCAGGCGGTGTTGCCGTGCCCAGCGGCGGTTGCCGTCCATAATGAACGCCACGTGACGTGGTAGGTATGCGCTTAGTAAACCGAAAAGTTGGCGGCGCATCCAGTCCATTGTATACCGCACGCTGTTTTCAGAAAACGAAGGCAAAGCTAGCCAGTGTTCCCGGTGCCTGCAGTGCTTGAGAGTGGGTGCTTCTCGCACCGCTTCTGAAGCAGACAAGGGCGAAAGTCAACCGGGAAAAGAGCGACAGCAGTTGCTCCGGAGCAAGTTGAGTTCCCGATGCTACCGATCACAAGCGGTGAGTGTTCACAGCGACCTGGGACTGGCAGTGGAAGCGAACGCCTCGCACTGCAGAGAAAGCACTGGCTGAGCTGATGGCGAACAAACGGCGCTTCTGAACGCGTTGTTGTCAATGTCGAGTACCGGTTTGCAGGCGAAACGCGAAGAGGTCTACGTTGCTGTGGAGCAGGAGCTGCTTCTTCTCGTTTCGTACATGGTTTAGCGTGCATTGCAAGTGAATGGACCGATGGGTTTCCGTGAAGGACTCAAAAGCGTGACTGTTCCTTGGTTGCGAGCGTGCCAAGCGCGTAGGGAGGTTTCTGGGCCCCGTTCCCGCCTTGGGGTGCTGTTTCAGGATCGGGTTACCTTCGCTTGAAAGCGACAATTCGCCAGTTGTAGATGATTTTTGAAGATTTATAAGCACGACATCCATTAAACATCTTGTTGACAATATGTTCGTGAACAAGGAAACTCGATGAACGTTTTGTGACCGGCGGCGCTACCGTCGTTGCACTGGTGTCGGCAAGTACTCAGTCTGCGGTGGACAGGCGCGAACTGGCCCCGCACAAGCCTATGACAACGACATCGTCCGATACCACGACCTTCAAGTCACAGGAACGGCGATCGGCACCAGTACTTCTCGTGCAGCCTGGCTGCGCTTAGACCGACGAAGAGTCCCGGCCCGGTGCATCCCGCCTGTAGCCTACACTCATGGAGACTCTGCAAACGTTCTCTGTCGCTGTGCGACAACTGCAACACAGACGTATCACCCGAGGTCGCATGGAGCGGCTGAGGCTCGCCCAGCAACCCCGAGAAGGTCGCTGGATCGACCGACTCTGTTTTCATCGATGAAGGCGTGCTCTGCAACAAGTATGGTACGCAGAGGAGTACCTGGGTGGACTCGAGTCTCTTTCGTGTCCTCTACTGGCACTTGCGTATTGAGAAATACCCTGATGAGGATCATTGCTTTAAAATTCTAAAAGATTGCTCCGCCATCGCTTCTCCTCCTCCTCATCGTCCTCTTCCTCGTGGAAAGCATGCAGTGCGATGACGGTGCACAGACGCGTATCTGGACGCACTGACGTCTCTATTAAGTCCTCTGCTGGCATCTACGTATTCAGCAACACCCTCTTTAGGTTCCTTGATGTCGCAACATCATCATCAATGTCCTCTAGTGCGGGGCTAACGCTCAAAATGGACGAGCAGCGAGCCGCTCCCCCTGGATCGCTGCGGCACCAGGACAGGCCAGTACACCACACAGACCCGTTCATAACACACGACACGACTTCACACACACACACACACACACGTGTTGTGTGCTGGTGACACACCGGACCTCGGAAGCGAGCCAGAGCGCTGCAGAGAACACTGAACTGATACACGCTGCTGTTCGGGTGTTTTCGTGTTGAGAACGGTGTGCGAGTGGAGTAACGCTACTGCGTCGTGACGTGGTCCAGTGCGACGCTGGACCGAACGTTAGCTCGATTGCTTCGCTCGTTGTGGCAGGAGCCTCTGCACGAGGCGTTTCATCAACGTCTTGCACTTTATGGTTAAGATGAGAAGTCCTTCGTGTGCGTACCTGGCACTGCCTGCTCCTAACAGCACCCTGCGACATGGGAGCAGGCGGTGCCGCCACGCTCTCCAGTGTGCACGCCCGCGTCCTGAACGAGCAGCCGTGCTAGGGACTGCGTCAGCGACGCGCTACCGCAGGGAGCATGCGCGTTTCCTTGTCGCTTGTGGGGCGCGCGCTCTAGATACCCCCGATCCTGAGGACGACCTCGGGGGCTTCTCACGGAGCGGAAGCGCTTCCCCAGCCACGGACGCCCATTGCAAGGCAACAGAGCCGGTCAGCGACTCGAAGATCGCTGGTGAGGCTCAGCCTGCACCTGCGGACGCACGCGACACCGCTGAGGTATCAGAGCTGACTGGTGCGACCGACGCATCCAAGACATCCGAGTGGTCTATTCGTACCCCGAATACAAGAAGAGGGACGAATATCACGAATGCGATGCCCGTTGAGGAGCCGATCAATCTTTCATTCGGTTCATCCGTCATGATACCAGAGCATCAGCATACGAACGGAGAGCCAGCAGCAGCAGCAGCAGCAGCAGCAGCAGCTGGTGCTGGTGCCAACGAAACACGCCCTCGGAGCCCAGATCCGTACGAGTGGCCTATCGCGAACTTTCAAGCCTCGAATTTGAGTTGGATTTCAGCGGCAGAAATGACACAATGGACGCAACAAGAAATGGCTTCCAAGCTCGGGATATCGAATGCGTCCGAGACGCGACCAACAGCAGTCCCGCCTTTACCAAATAGTTGCGATGCGTTTGTTGCCTTTCTCCGGAACTGTTCACCCTACATCTATGCCCATCGAAACAAGACGTTTGTGATTCATATTCCAGGGCAAATGCTCCTCGATCGGGCCCTTTTTGAATCATTTATGCAGGATGTGGCGCTCATCAAAAGCCTTGGCGTCCGAGTGATCCTCGTAGGCGGCTGTCGTCCGCAGGTAGATCGCGCGCTTGAACGTTACGGCATTCAGCAGCGCTTCGTTCGCGGTACCCGCATCAGCTCGCCGGAAGTGATGCAGGCTGTTCTCGAAGCGAGCGGGTATGTGCGCTTCTCCATCGAGAGTGCACTGCAGAGGCGACCCAGCAACAGTGTCTCGCTCCGCACGCCGAACGTGGTATCGGGAAACTTCTTCACTGCTCAACCCGTTGGCGTTGTTGAAGGCGTCGATTTCGGGTACACCGGAAAAGTCCGGAAAATCGATGTGCAGAAGATCATGAAGCGCCTCGATGAGGATGAGATCGTGATTCTCAGCAACGTTGGATTCGCTCCGAGTGGTGCGCTTTTTAATTGTCAGAGCGAGGAAGTGGCTAGCTCGTGTGCATCTCAGCTGCAAGCCGACAAGCTCATCTTTATGACGGACGGTGAGATGCTCGCTGATTTGCGAACGCGAACGATTATGCACAATGTGCCGCTTCGGGCTGCCATGGAGTTTTTGCAGCTGAATGGGCAAGCGAGTCCGTACGACGCGAATGCAAGTGCGACGACGTCAACGTCAACGTCAACGATGACACCAGCAAAGAGCATGACGCAGCAAGTGGATGAACCCCGAGCTTCGCGTCCGATGCCAGAGCGCTTTCACGTGTGCCTGCAGGAGAGCGTTCGCGCGCTCCGCGGTGGTGTCACCCGAGCGCACCTGATCAACATGTTCGTAGACGGAGCGATCCTTATTGAACTGTACACGAGAGATGGCGTTGGTCTCATGATCAGTCGCGATATCTACGAGGGTATACGAAGCGCGAAAATCTCCGATATTCCCGGTATCATGGAACTGATCCGGCCACTACAGGAGGAAGGCATTCTGGTACCGCGCTCACGCGAAGCGCTCGAGGCTGAAATCCATCGCTTTCTCGTTGTGGTTCGTGACGGTATGGTGACTGCTTGTGCGGCGCTGGTACCGTACGGCTCTGGTGAGGCAGCAGAGATTGCGTGTTTCGTGGTGAGTCCTCAGTACCGGGGTCGTGGCAAGGGCGACGCGTTGCTGGGCTTTCTGGAACGCCGAGCACTCTCCCAGGGTATTCGACGAGTTTTTATTCTGAGTGTGCGCGCTTTTCACTGGTTCCTAGAGCGCGGTTTCCGGGAAGGAACCATTGATGACTTGCCGCCGGAAAAACGCAAAACATATAACTTTCATCGGAGATCCAAGATCTACATCAAAGACCTGATCTCACAGCGAGAGGTTGACGAAGAAGAGCTGCTGCGTGGTTTGTAGAATGCGATGCGAGCGCCGGTCTAGTGAGCGCCCCGTGTCGATCGGTATCTGCAAGACGCTTTGTATCGTGCCGATAAGCGCTGCAAAGGCTTGTGGAATAAGCCTGGAGCACCAGGCTTGCTGGAGCCGGAGCAGCGTGCCGGCTGTCGCGAAGCACCGCAGAAACGATGCAGCAGTACGCAGATGCCAAACGAGAACAAGCGTCATGGTAGCGATTTGTTTCGCGTGAATAATCCCCTGGGATGCTATTCGTGTTGTCGCTGTCTCGTTGAATCAACAGGTGCTTTCCGGTCGCTCGCGCTCCATTGCCAGAGATGTTCATTGTCCAAGGCGATAAAAATACGCTTCAAACGTCGCGCATCCAGCCGACACCAACTAGTCGTCACCACGTCTCGTAGCGACGTGATTCTCGAGAGCGCCTCCGTCAGCACCGGGGGAAGGTGCTGGTGATCCATCTCCGCGGAGTGCCTCATTCCAGCGCAGCGAGGTCACGTCATCGTTCGTGGCGTACAATACGTCATCCCATGGGTGTCGATACAGAGGCTGCTTCATCCTCCTCTGATCGATGATGTGCCCAATAATACCGATAGAGCGAGCGAGCACGAAGAGCGCATTGAGCGCGCCGAGCTCAATAACGCTCCTTACTGCGGTTGTGCAGGCCACGGGATCCATGTTCGGTTGATGGAAGAGGATATCGGAGACGCCTCGCAGGAGGTCTGCAAACAACGCCCCGATACATCCATCGATATTCAGGACTAAATGCGGCGACTTCTGTAACGTGTATGCTTCGATGGCCTCCGCATAGGTCAGGTACCGCACCGAGGGAAAGTTCTCGCGTGCATACTGCGAAAGCAGTTGGACTCGTCGGTCGCGACTGGAAGCGGATTTGATCCGATGCCCGATGCCCTCAATACGTCTACCAGATGCTTTCAGGGATTCTACAAACTCGTCGGGTGGGATGCCTTCGTCGGCTCCGCGCATGAAATTCAGTGCAGCATCATCAATAGCACCACCAAAGCGCGGCCCGATGGTCAGCAAACCCGAGCACAAGCTCGAAACGACGTCTTTGCCAGCTCGAGCCGTCACAATGGCATTGTGGGCCCCACTCACACACGGCCCGTGATCCGCTGCAATGACCAAGCACATTTCAATGAATTTTGTGGCCCAGCGAGGAAGACGTCGCTTGAACCACAAAAGCGAAATCACATCGCCAACGCCCAGGTCATCCCGAATAATGGTGCTAATCGGCATGCCAGCATAGGTGACCTCGTCACCACGATCATCGGAGATGGTGCAGACGATATTGGTGGCCTTGCGTAGTTTTCCACTGCGCAGCGCCTCTGCCATATCCAGGGGCAACGGTCGCGGATCACGTTCGGGGACAGGTTGTCGCTTCAGCGATGCAAACGTGTCACGAATAGCGGTGGCGAATGACTCGAAGCTCTGCGGGACGATGGCACCGGCAGCTTTGAGCGCTGCATTCTTCGCTGATGCTGACTCGCGGTCTTGTTGGCCTGCTCGGGCACCAGCGTGTCCGAACTGGACCTCCGTGCTTTGGAAGCGCGTAGCGCAGGTTCCGCTTACCCAGGCGACAAGGGGTTTGGTGATGTCGCCCTTGCGTATCGCTTCGGCTACACGGAGCTCATCAACGCCTCCGAGTTCGCCGAGCATGACGATCATGGCGATCTCCGGAATGCTTTCGAAACGTCGCACATGATCGAGTAGCGTCGAGCCCGGGAACGTATCGCCCCCAATGGCGATACCCTCGAAGATGCCATCGGTCTCTCGTGCGAGCACATTATACATCTCGTTTGAGAGCCCCCCCGACTTGGAGACGAACCCTACGGAGCCGGGACGATGCAGTCGGCAGCGAAGGATATTGTCCAGCGTACCAGCGGTGTCGGCGACTTTGAAGGCCCCAGCTTGAATCGCTCCGACAGTGGCCGGTCCAATGATCAGCTTGTTTCGGGCTCCGGCCTCCGCGATGAGCCGTTTCGTCTCTCGTTCGGGAACACCCTCAGCGATAATAACCACCGTCTTGATGGTTGCGGTTCGGAGTGCTTCCAGCGACGAGTCGAAAGCGGACCGGTACGATGCGAAGTTGATCAGGACGTCTGCCTCAGGGTGCAGACGTGCAGCCTCCGCTAGACTACCATATTCGGGAAGCGTGATCTCCCGGTGTCCGAAGAACGCTTTCCGAAAGCCGCCGCTCGTGGCGCCCGGGGTCACCACGGCGGCAACAGACGGCGTCTCGCGGTAGCACACATAGTCAAAATCGAGCATGTTCTGGATCGGTGCCGGTTTGTAGTTATAGAAAATCGCCTGCGTCTCTCTTGAAAAAAGCGCCATAGCTGCACAAGATGGTAACCGTCCTACAGAATAAAGAGAAAGCCAAGGCGATACGTAGGTCGCGAGCGACCGAACGCACCGTGGCCCTGGGCGTATGCGGCGCTCTGGGTACTGCGGAAGCGGACAAGGGCATCGCTGGGTTACTCGTGTTCCATGGAAGTGGAAGACTGAATTGCTCGCAATGTTCTAGCTTGACGATAGTTTTTAGACAAGCTGGATTCAGGTTCAAAGTGCAAAGATAAGGGCTTTAAGATGCATAGGTAAGTTTGAGATTCTTGATCGGAGGTTTCGGAGCGAGGCTGCTGCCTTCGCTTGTTTCCTGTGGAATGCGTTTCGTCGTCGCATTCAAGATGATTCGCAGCACCCTCGAACAAGCGTCCGTGCTGTAGCCGAATTCAGTGTCGAGTTCATACGTGTATTGCTTCATTCTTCCCCGTTCCTTATGAGACGCATGCCCAACTCCAGCATGTTTCATGTACTCGGTATTTCTGTTTCAAGGCAACTGGGCGGCAGAGCGATTCGCGCCGCTGGATCGAGAAGCGAGAAGACTCGGTGTCGTGCCTGGGCGACTCGGAAACAAGTTCATACTGAGAGTTCATTGAACTTGTCCCGCCAGCGAATAGTTGATTGTGTTCGAAGGACAGAGCCCGGCTCTCTTTTGTGACCACAGTTGAAACAGCAATCTACGGCAGTATGATAGCTCACAAGGGATACGTTGCAAGAAGATACCGTCTATTCTTTTTGCATAGAAAAAGGGTCTAGTACTCGGATATTACCATCGGAGAAATCTTTTTCAATGGAGAAAGCGTTATAACTTTACAAGAAGAGAGCGAGGACGTCTCGAAATCTGTAGACTTGATCGCCAGCCAGCATTTGCCGTACAGAACTTGTTGCATCAGAGACACCGCCGCACGCTACAAGTCCCCTGTCGACGGAACAATGAGCGATTGCGTGCCCGGCGGATGGAGTTTTCACCATGGGGATTGCATAGAAGAAGCCCATGATCTTGGAGTGCGGCTCAGGGTGCGGAAACAGAGAAGGAAATCGACTGAAGCTTCTTGTACCTGTCAAGCGCATGCGCCAAGCGATGAAGCAAGCGTTCACGGACAAGAGCAGGCGCCCTGGGGAAGCGATACCCCAGACGTATGGGCATACGCGACCACAGTCATGTGTCACTGTTGCGAAGCTCGCACCGATGCCATCCACAGAGACGATGCGTTTCGTGAGCGATGCGTCGATCGCAACGACCTCCTGTATATGAAACGCGTCCATAACCACAGGACGCATTATCATCTCTATTTGAACGCGCTCATCAACATATTTCGAACGCTGACAGCAACACTGAAGCCCGAGAAGAGACCGATTTATTCGAATCCGGCGATAAGAAGGCGGAGAATGAAGCATTCGCAGAAGACGCTCGTAAACTCTAGTTTTCACCGAATTGGTACCCGACGCAAACAATGGTCTATGCAAGCGCTCGCTGAACGATCTGCCTGACTTTATTCTGATGTGACATGAAAAAGAATCCGGCGGTGATCGGACGCACATTGCCTCCACCGGGGGCGCTCCGGCAGCAATCGTCCATGCGGCGCTACCACAGCTCGCACGACATCCTCAAAAGCCCTCTCCGCATCGATGCCAGGCACCCAAGCGTCCATCCGTAGCCTCCACGTCTGGGAGGATATGGCGCTCATCATTAGAACCTCATGCCAGTTGACTGAAACGAGGTCCTCTTGGCAACCCAGCACCAGAATTCAAGTGCGTACCCATGAATCAACAGCTGTAGGAGGACACCCGCCGATCCTGCCCTTCATGACCAGATAACAGGATCGGAGTTTCGTACGCACGTGTTCGTCTGGCGTTCAACACAAAGGTAAGCTCAGTCAACGAATTCGCTTCACACAAAAGCACACGCTCGCACTTGCACCTACGTCTCCCAATACTGACCTGCCTAGGTGGCCAGGGGCCGCGCTAGCAGGTCCATTGTCGCGGCATCCAATGGAGTCACGTGCGGCAGCAGATGCCGCTGCCTCCACGATCCCATTGGTATCGACGATGACGTGAACAGAGGACTTGATGCAGCACCGCATTCCCGCTTCAATATCGCAAAATAAAGCAGCAAAGATTCCACGACTCCATTGCTTCTACCTGTTTTTGACGGAATCACTTGGTGGACACCAATGGTCTGCCGATCAGGTGGCTCCCCCGACAGGGACGCGTAGCGCCCATGAGCAACGCCCTGAAAGCGTGCTGCTGATCGCTATCGCCGCCGTTGGCGTCTCGCCCGAGGCACGCTGCTGCGGATGCTGCTGCTGCTGCTGCGGATGTGGCTGCTGCTGCTGCGGATGTGGCTGCTGCTGCTGCGGATGTGGCTGCTGCGGATGCTGCGGATGCGGATGCTGCGGATGTGACTGCTGCTGCGGATGCGGATGTGGCTGCTGCGGATGCTGCGGATGCGGATGCGTTCCCGAGTGCGCGCGTTGCTACGAGTGCACTGCAGTGCTGTGCTGTGCCGTGCAGTGCAGTGCAGTGCAGTGCTGTGCCTCGGCGTCATGTGTTAAACGGGGGTTCCGCCTCAACCTCGCCTGATCGACCACGGGTATGTGTGCGCTCGTGGCTGTGGTCGTTTGGCACGAGGGACGAAACCAGAGGCCTCGGGGAGTTCGTGGTGCGTTTGCTTCCGAAAGCGCAGACGCTTCGACGGCTACAGCGGAGCACACACAAGGCGCTGCCGAACGGGCACCTGATATTGTTGCCGAGACGCTTGCTCCATATGGGGATCCTATAGATCCCGTAGATTTACGTCGTTTGATACGGATTTTAACCCAGTTTGCGAGGGATATTTCTGCAGGCTCGGTTCGCCGCGCCTTGCTCCTACCAGATGATGCCAGTCGTGAGGAGGCGCTCTTTCCTCAGCGGCTATCGCATGGTGTGGAAGCAGGTAGCGCTCGGCTGACTTCATCTTGGTCACAAAACGATTCTATCGGGGGAAACCTTTATTCACGACGCGGACCGCATCACGTGTCCGCGAAAACGTCCAGCGATCCAGGCACGTCGCACAGCAGTCTCGACACAGGGACTGCTCCCGGTCAGCCGACCTGGACTGAGACAGCACTCGACCGGCCCACGGGCACGAAAGAGCGAGAAAAAATGGCGAGGACGACGGCGACGAGGACAGCGGTGCCGTCTGGCGCTACGGCCTACCTGGAACCGGGCACACGCGAAGCTTCGGGACGCCCAACCGAGGCTGTCATTCCAAGCACAGGTGAAGCATGCGAGCTCACTAGAGAGCCCGTTGCGGTCAGTTATCGCGCGCAAGCGAGCTGGCATGTCGTTATACTTGACCAAAATACCCCTGGCGATATGGATCGAAGCCAGCTTGTCGCACAACGTGTCCTGGAGCTCCTGGCTGACATCCCTGACCCCCATGAATGCGATCCTGAAATGCTACGGTACCACGTTCGAGAAGCAGTGGCTGAGGTGCGGCAATCACTCACGTGATTCAGGGTCAGCGGCAAAGGGAACCTCTGAAATACCACTAGGGCCCCGGGTGCCTGTCAACCAAGAACTCGGTTCTTCGTGCGGCGTACCTGCGGCCTCCACACAATGTTTATTCGAGTTTTCCGTTAGAATCGCTGACTTGCCATGTTAAAATAGCGGCCCTGCTGCATATGCAACATGCGTCTCCGCCACTGACGATGACGAAAGCGCAAGCCCTGCGCTGTTTATTCTGCGGGAAACCGGTCCGCTGATGCGCCGTATCCACTCTCTTCCTATTGCTCCTGATTTCACAGCGACTTGGACATCGCAAGGTATCCAGAGAATCGCGCGCTCCTTGCGCGAAACGAATGCTCCACATGGTCGAATGCGGGTGCATGAAAAGGGCGCTTTTCGCCACTGCGAACAGTTGCCCAAAACGCTGGCTTGTTCCCGAGTTTCGAAAGTGCACCAGAGTTGCGCATCCGCGCTACTGGATGTTGTCAGGAGCTTCGCCTCGGCCGTGCTCGATAGAGAGCACTCTGCCCGTCATTACGTATCTCTTCCAGTCAAGGCGTGAAGAAGACGTCACCACGCCTCGCTCCTCGAAGAAGGCCCAGCGGCTGCCGCTCCAAACCAGCTACGCACCGCTACCTGTTGCGAACACCTGGATACGAAGCGCAGCACTTCTGTTGCGGCCTTGGTTACAACTATGGCGTCATCCATTGATCCAAGCACAGTAAAGGAACAGTTTCGGGGAACTCGCCTCAGATACGGACCATGCTGGCTGTGGCTCGTGCGGCCCAGCGAATACCTGAACTTTCGGGAGCAGTGTGCATGCACCAGGTCGTACAAGAGAAATCCATGATTTTTCGACTACGATGCGCACATAAAATACACACGAAGAGTTGCAAAACATCGTGCTCGTCGCCTTTCATGACCATCCAGGTGCACGAGCGCTCTATTCACTGGACTCCGACCCGCTCGGCACGTGTACGCCTACTTCATGGTCTGGGTTTCCTTCGTCGCCGCTGCTACGCGCCGCGTCGCTTCTTGCAACAACTCGGTATCAACTTTCTCTACTGGTAGGTGGATGTAGCGGATGCAGGAGCCTCGCACGGTGCAGGAGCCGTGCAAGAGCTGCAGCACAGGCGGAGCTGCCGCCGTATGAACCTGCACCTGCGCCAAGCGCACGTTCAAGTACTGATCAACAGCCTCTAGACGCCCTCGAATGCTAAGATCATTTTTAAGCTCCACGGTAATGTCCTCTCCGATGAGCGTCCGCAAAATCGCGGTAAAGAACATGGGGTTTCACACACGCACGCTCGTGCGCACACCAGGAAAACGAGACGCGAGCACGTGACGGCGTTTCGGTTCCACCAAGTCGAGTACCGTCTTATCCTGGTTTACCCCAGCGTCTTCGGTTTCCCAGTTGATGCCAAGCGGGCAATACCTGGTCACCGCGCCGTACCTGTCGACGCGACTTATACAGTGCGTCGTCGTGTGCAGTGACGGCACACGGACCCCAGCGTAGCCGCTGGTTCAGTTTCCGGCGTAAAAAGCGCTTCGAGCCGCACCCTCTTGAATCGGGCGTGATGCAGAAGCGATGCACTGCGTCAGTTCAGGTACTTTCCGACGTTGCGTACGAACCGTCGCTCGTCAGTGTGCAGAGGAGTTGCCTGGAATATGCGGCACTAGAGCGGCGGCTCAAGCCAGAGCGGCTTTGCACATAGCGGGCACCTGTTCGCGTGCTGACTCCAGCGCTTGATACAGGCAGTGTGAAAGGGATGCAGGCAACTGATGAGCAACCAACTTGGCTGATGATCATCAAGTCCAGGTGATGCGTGCATCGGTTCAGTGAGCGGTTGGGTTACCTTCAACGACTCGAGGCAGATGACGCAGGTCCACTCGTGAACACCCAGTGCTTGCGGCGAAGAGGGCAACAGCGGGAAACTGCCGCGGGGGTCTAGGCACGGAGTCGGTTTCGGACCCGCGAATATTGCATATTCTGCAGTTTGTAGGTCCAAACTGGTAGTGCGAATCGCCAGACGAGGCGCTGTAAAGTCTGGCGTTTGGTTTCGGAAGGCAGACTGGCGTGATTCAGCTTGTGCGAATTGCCTCCGGTTTTCGCGTTCGCAGTGGTTTTCCCAGGCTATCGAGAGCCATAGCGTCGTGATCAGTACGTGTAGAAGCATGAAATCTTTCCCGTTGAACAATGAGTGCGGTGAAAATGACAAGCTCAAGGAGTTATCAGGGCGCCATGTGCACTGTTTACTGGGCATAGGCGGTGCTTTCGGTTTCGTGATAACAAGCGCGCTTTGCGAAACCTCTGTTCAGGTCAGAGCGTATTTCTGTTACGTGCCCTGGGAACGCGAAACCGTTCGGATGGATGATGAAGACTGGAGACGTGCTTTCAGCAGCGTTATTTACAACGCGGCAGCAGCAGCAGCAGCAGCAATACGTCAAGATCCGTCGGTTCGTTTCGTGTTGAGCTGTGCCGGTGTGGGCGTGCATCGTTTCGTGCGAAAGTCCGCGCCAGAGGCAGGCATATGTCATGGGGTGACCTAGAATGCCTTTCGTTTCTCTTTTAAAGAGCAAGGTACACGTCTGTACAGGTATGTAGCGGCGGGCACTCTAGTGCTAAGCTCTTGGAACTGTTCGTCAAGCTGTCATAGGGCCTGGTCGGTCTTTCGCTTGGTGCTCCTCTCGTATTGCTAGCGCATTTGGGAAAGATTCCGCAGAAACGTAGAAAATCTCTAGGTTTCGTTGTCCTTCTCATAAGGTAAATTTTTGCTTGGTCGGGAAATTGGGACCAGATCGGTATCGCGAATTCATGGAGGCATGGTCGCAACGTGGCTCCGGGTCGCGGACGAGCAAGGCTCTAGAGTTTTACTCATCGGACACTTCGATCCGACGGATTACAGTGCGCTTCGAATGCGCCTTTCGTAGTTGGCATCTTCCTCTGCGCTGAACGCATGAAAACGAGTCTCATCGCTCGACTCACGATTAGGATTCATAAAGCGAATGCACATTCGCATGCCATCCGTCGCCATCGCCTCTGTAACCACCCTTTCCGTTCATCGATCCGAATGAGGGAAAGCGTTGAACGAGCGCCTCGAATGATCTGGGCGAAGTTGTTCCAACGTATCATCCTGGCGTACGCAGTGCAACCGGAGCTCACTGAACTCGCTCTACAAGACACGAAACAAGTGTCTCCGGGAAATGCAAGCGGCCTCGAGGCGAGTTACCGGGACCGTATCGCATGCCCCGCGAGAACAAGATGCAACGCTCGCACAACTGGAGTCACGCTGACGTGCTATGGAGGGCTCTGCTCATGACTCCATCGTCACGCGAGATGCAAGCACGGCAGGTATCGTGTCTCAAGCATCCTTTCGATACGACATCTGCCGGTTCGAGTTCCAGAGCAGCACCATCAGCTTGCACGAGATGAGCCGACGCTGCCTCTCGTCTAGACTGTGCTTGCAAAAAGTCGCCTCCATTTCGAATGGTATCGGTAGCACCAGCTTGTCAGTTGCCGCCAGCGACATCGAGAGGAAGCACTGCATCTCTCCAGACTCGTTTGGTCCCGGCAGCGTGAGGCTACAGCGCCTCCAGGGAGCGCCTCATGAAGCGCTAGAGAATGACCTGCATGCGGTTGGAGTTTTTGAGGGTTGTTCCATCGTTATCGGCATCTGTGGTGTAGATGTTCAGGTCACCGGGTTCGTGTCGCAAAGCGTCAAGCAGCGGTCAGAAACATGTGTACGAACCTCTGATCCTACGATGAGACTGGCTTGCGTCTCCGGTGCCGAGTCTCAGATGTGTTGTCGCACGAAGGTTTCATCGAAAGACTCCGTAGGAATATGGACAGCTGGCTGCCCTGCATCTGGAACGGGTAGGAACACCGGCTCCTCGATGTCCACCAAGGCGAGGGAGGCTTGACGAAGCCCCTTCGTTTAGGGCGCTATGGTTCCCCTGATAGCGTCCTGCACGTCGCTTTCTGGCAGGTTCTCCGCGTTCGCGTGCTCTTGTAGCGAAGCCTTGATAACCAACACAGACCGCCCTTTCCGATCCGACTCTCGATCGTTTCAGTCGCTGCCCGTCCTCTTTTGGAGAGGAGTCTTTCTCTCGCTGGCCTGGTGGTTTCGTCTCGTTTTCGTTGACTGCGACGGCTCGCAAGGATATGCTTGGGACGCTCTGCCATCCTCGTATGCCCTTGGAGTTCGGACGGACCTGGTGGGCAGCAAAACTGAAGCTCGTCTTTTACTTGTACGATTCTATTATTCCTTAGGTGCCGCTCCGTCACCAGGTCTATTGCCAGGGCGCCTGGCGACTGCAGCGCGCCTGACCGCTTCCTCCCGCACACGAGCAGAGAGGGAGCGCAGTAGTTGGCGGCTGATGAAGGCCGAAAGCAACTTGTCGACGAACTGGGGTGTCACGGATGCGAACGACTCGCCTCTTCAACCCGGAGCGTAACCCTGGCGTTCGACGGCAGAGAAGCCACTGTCGACCGGACCGAAGTAAAGAGCGCTGGCTGGCGTCACGGGCAGCTCAACGTCAACCGCTGGTGCGTTCTCCTCGACACCTGGTGAGTGATGGAAAGCGACTTTATGCAACATCAGGACATGTGAATACGGGGAGCAGACTCCTCGAGGAAAGCCCCGACGACGAGGCATGAGGCATTGAACGACAGGGCCCGCTTGGCGAGTTGTAGGCGACCTCACGACTGACTCGCTGCTGGGGCTCATGTTGATACGATACTCGCTTGTTTCTGCGCTGAAGCCAGGCGTTTGCCACTCCTGGACGACGCACATCTCGTGCAGGAGTGCGGGTCCTCCCGAACAGACGCTGAAGGCGTTAGACGATCCCCCGCGCCCCCTTTCTATCATATGGTATGCGTCCGCGAGGAAGTGCCCATGCAACAGTGGGGTATTCACCGTGCAGCGGTCTCCGGTTCGAGCGTGCGTTCTCCTTTGTCTGTTCGCGTATCGTTGTCAGCGTTCGGATCGTTGGTATGCGGGCCTGAGATTCTGCGGCTTCTTTAGACGTATTTCTTTGAAAACGTCTTGACTGGCGAGGATTGACAAGGACCCGATCTTTAGACAACGTTCTAGGAGTTCATTTCCAGGTGCACAACGTTCAGAGCACGGACGACGAGAAATACCGCTCATCCACTTGCTGTCAGTAGAATAACTGACCTGTACAATGAATTCTGTTTTCCGCCAGCTGACACAGACTGTCATACAACGTTTCTGCGACCTATCCCCGATCGACACCAACCAATCCCTGTGTTGTACGCCTGCGAGAGACACATACGCACACAACAGGATCTTTCTGGTACAGGTGTTCCGGAGCCACTGCTCCAGTTTAACACCGCACCATAGCTCCAAAAATCTGCCGTCTTCGTTGTTGGAGTTTACGCAGTATATCCCCCAGATATGCTACCATTACCACCGCACTCCGGACGGAGACGCTCCGCCACAGACCAACGCTCTATCGACCGCCAGGCGGCGTGCCCTCAGTGATCTCACCAGCGCTCGGCAGCGCACTTCGTTTGGCCTTCAGTTCAGTTCGTGACCTGTCCGTGCACACAACCAACGAACTGGAACGTTTCAGAAATCTGTGGAGTGCATGTTTGTGTTGCCAGTACATCTGGAGAAACGACACTGCAGTCCGTTCTGCAACGTTCGGTTGGTGGCGGCAAGTCCTTGGAAACGCTTCGCGAAACGTCGCCTTTGGCTGTGCGGGGGCGCAGGTGGCCCGCCCTCCTTCGGTCGGGGAAACACCGACGATAATGACGATGACGACGACGACCAGAACGATAAAAACCGCTCTAATGGACCAAACGAACACAAAGACGACGCGAGCGACGGCCTAAACTGGTCACTGCTGCAGCGGCGGGTGCGGGAACTGCGAGCAGCTGCTGCGCACGAAGCGAACGCCTCGGAGCGCAACTGGCAAACGGGGCGCTGTGAGCGGCTCGCGCTCCTTGTCTTCGAAGACGATGACGTTGCAGGCTTCAAATACGTCAACTCGGAGGTTCTGGTCGGCTCCAGGTCTGGTCAAGTTCGTTGGGTCGACCTGGAGCACCGACGCCTGTTGCGCACCCTCGAAGCACCGTGCTCTCGCATCGACCCGTCGACTGTAGCGGCAACGAGTGCTCTCGACTTTGATGGTTCCGTAGCAGCGATTGGCTATGCAGACGGATCTCTCCAGTACTGGTTTCTGCGTCAAGAGACGCCCGTGAACTTTTTATCGTGGCCAAATGTGTTTCAAGCACCGGTGGTGGGTATTGCGTTGCTCCCGGGGGGCCGCTTCGCTGCCGCATCCCTCGAGGGACGCCTACGAGTCTACCCAGCGGAACCGCCTCGCCCGGGCGAGCTTGTGGTTCCAGTGCCGCCACTCGTAGACATCGACGTGCAAGTGCCGGTGCTGTCGATGGAAGCAACGACCCAACACTGTCTTATTGGTTGCCTTGACGGTACCATTCGCGTGTACTCCCTTGCGAACGGGAGCTGCGTGCTGCGTCTCAACCCCAGCGCAAACGAAGAGCGGGCAGCTGGAATTTCTGCTATCTATTACGAAACATCGACTGAAACGCTCTGGATTGGTGATGAGCTTGGACTGGTACGCGCACTGAACCTCCAGCAAGGGGAGCTCATCCAGCGTTTCCAAGCGCATCGTGGTGGAGTTCGTTCCATTTTTGCGGATGCCACGAAATTGGTCACAGCTGGACGTACTTCCGTCCCTGGAGAGAAACCCATAGACTTTGTGGAAGACGTACTCCGAGTCGCCGAAACAGCCCGGAAGGAGACGATTCCCATTCCGGCTGTAGGAGCGGAAGTGGACGACGCAGGCGCATCGTTCCCGCATATCGAAAGTAATATTCCGGGGCTGTCGGGTGGAAGCATTCGCGTCTGGTCGCAGACGTATCAGCGACCGCTTTTTGAACTCGTTGGTCACTCCGAATCGCTCTCCACTGTGCAGTTTGATCAGAACAAGATGGTAAGTGATGGTCTGGGTAGCGTGCTGCTGATCAATCGCTTTGGTCTGAAAATCTAAAGTCTCCGAGGACCTCGACAGAGCCATTGAATTCATCCAGGCTTCGTACCCGCGCACTCAGACTTGCAGTGTCTGTCAGTTTCTCATGAGGAGGATCGGCTACTCGTGGACATGCAACAACTTCACCCTGCAGATCAGTGCTTCAGTGCGGCTGAACGCTGGAGTCACTGCTCGCTATTGCGGTATCCAGTGGAACTGAGGCAGAGGCTCAATGCCGTTGTGATTGAAAACGCAACTCGATATCTCCGCCCAGTCTGCGGCCGCAGACCCGAAAAATCGTGTACTTCTGTGTATTGTCGGCGTGCCAGGTGCGGGACAGGCACCACGGTATGAGTGTGTCAATGTTTCTGGGCATTGGCAGCGTTCGGTGCCGAGACGGACGTCTCGGGAGAGGATGCAGTGTCGAGCACAGTTCCCAGCAATGGGCTCTGGGCAGACTAGAGGTGCCCGTTGCGCGCACAAACGCGTTGAATCATGGTATGGCGTCAAAGTCTACAACAAGAACAACAGCAAGGTCGGGAAGGGTAAATGCGCTGACGACCCCAGAGCGAGTGAACCGGTGGCCGGCGCCTAAGAAACGTTGCTGGCGCTGCGTAGAGCACTACGGATACGAGCGAATACCCAGTGAACCAAAGGACCTTCCATTCAATGGGGCACGCCGGTACCAGAATGCGCTCCACAGTGCGACATTCTGGCGTACCAGGGCCCTCTTACCGCCACAAGCTCTTGAGTCCGCAACGCGCATCATACTATCGGTGAACCTCTGCAGCATCCTATGAGTGCCACAAGGTTTGAATCCCGAAACGCTGGCGGGCATCCGTGAACCACTGATGTGTCCCAAAGTAGGGGTCCCAGTCGTCGTCCTCATCATCATCATCACCATCATCATCATCATCATCGACGTCGTCGTCATCGTCGTTAGGGTCTGCGTCATCATTGTCTCCGGTGCCCGCTGAAGTCGTGGGAGCGGTCGTAGCGGCTTCGACGCACCCAGGGGCCCCATTGACAGCATCTACAACCGCCTGCCCGGTCTGTGCCTGCATCGTCGAGAATCCGTTATGCGGAGCAGTGGACAATCCAGACGCCTGGTTCGGGGAAAGCGCTGCTACCTGCATTGACCGCTGCCCAGCGCTCGTGTCTGCGCCGTGCCCTACCCAATGACCTTCGGGCAGTGGAAGCAGGGCCAGCGTCCGTTCGCTGCCTCTGCTTCCATGAGACGACAGTACACGAGCCGGAGAGCGACCCATTTCAGCTCTCAAAAGCGGCATTTCAAGCGCATCCGATGTCGAGCACGCTGCAGGGTGTATTGTAAAAGCGACGGAGATGAGGTACGGGAACGCATGCAGCACGAGCCGGGTGTAGCGGTGCAGATCTGCAACCACATGCTTGCGATCCTCAAAGTGCTCCAGCTGGGACTCTATGTGCCCACTGGCTTCTGCTGCGGCAATGGACGACTCGAAGAGGGCCAGTTCGGCACGCTCGCGAGGTAGGAGGGTCCTGCGCTGACGGCGCGCAAACGCTAGTCTCATAGCAATATGCGCTCGCATACCGCGTACCGTCTCACGACGAATCGGCACATAGACAAAGCATTGGACGCGTAAGACGGACCTTGCTTCCACAATGACTCGCTCAAACTCATTCAAGTAGCCAAGTTCCAGCAGCAAATGGCCGAGTCGTGCCACCAGTTCAGGATCACGTTCCAGCTCTGCAGCGTGCTCGGTCTCGGCGAGGTGCAGTTCAATCTCCGCACGGCGTCTGTAGCGAACAAGTTCGGCAGCGTAACTGATAGGCCCTGCCTGGATAGTCCATAAACACGACTGCAGACGGCACGGACAAGGTTCGTTGAGCGCTTCAGCAGCAGCCCGAAACACGGCTTCGATCGCCTCGTACTCCCTGGCGTTGAGCGTGAGACGCCCTGAACCGCCGAGTAGCACTTTTTGCATATGTGTATCAACAGTGATCCGCTGAGATGTATCCGGATGAAGCAGGTTATCGAGAAAAGCGGTGACTTTGCTCCCACTGGGGACCCCCAGACAACCCGCCAAATAGTTCAGCAATGAATTCATGGGATAAGAGCCGAAGCGCGGTCGCCTCACCTGCGAAATCGCCCGATAATTGAGCAGTGCGTTGATCGTATTTGCCGCAATCGATGAATTCGGTGAACACGTTGCAAGGAGCGAAAGGAAAAGATGCATTTCGAGAGCGTTTCCGTATGTCGCGCCCTGAACTACATCGTGGAGGTCCTGGTACCACGTGTACATGGCTGGATGCGTTGCGCGGATGCGCTTCAAGTGGTCGCCCAGTGTCTCCAGGGTCGGTGGAGGCCTCTCGAAACGGTGTTCCCCGAGAACCTCGATACAGGTGCGTAATGCAGCTTCAAAAGGCAACGGCTTGCTGGACGCTGCAGTAGGTGGTGCAGGTTTCACCAGCGTCTGTGAGTCGAGTCGTTGGCGTCGAGCCCATTCTCTGCGCGCTTGCATCCCATTAGCGACTGGATTGAACCGCACCAGCTCCTCCAGAGCATGCCGGACTGCCCGCAGCTTCCGCGATGATGCCCACTCGTCCGGTACACTGAAGACCCGCGGATGTGTTTCGTAGATGCACTCTCGAAGAGCGTGCTGAACGTGCGCCTCGGCAGAGAGGCGGGGTGTAGTGTCCGCAACCGTCCCGCGTTCCCGCAGGATGCGTCGTTCGTACGCATGTTGGACGCGTACGTAGAGCAGCACGTGCTCCTGTCTGCGCAGCTCGTTGGTGATCGCTGCGAGGCTCTTTTGTGTGGCTCCGAGGAGTTGCTCCAGGCGGTCGCGACCTTCCTGGACGAGAGCATCGATTTCCTGACGATGTTTTTGACGGAGTCGTTCACCTTCTTCACCGGCAGGGTACGCATTAGAGCGAAGATATTTCGTAGGGTTTGGCGCAATCGCAAGTGAGCCAAAAGTCTTCGGACTGCCTCCAGAGGTGTCGCTTGTGGTGTGCATGAGTAGCTGCTCCTGGCGATGGCCGACGCGTTCCAGCCACTGCTCCCGTATGCTCATGAGCCATTGTTGATATAGGGCAACATTCTGCAGCGGCCAGAGAGCACGACATGTGTCATCTGTTGTTGCGACGTGATCAGGAGCTGTGCTCTTGATCCCGCCCTCAGTGGTCTGCGTGTGTGCCGCTGCCTCCGCTGCTGCTTCACGGACAACCGATTCGGCTGCCGTCTGTATCTTTGCGTCTTGTTCGGAGTCCTCAGTGCCGCTTGATCGGATGCGCTGCTGATCCTGAATCCAAAGCAGGGCACGGGACCAAGCGTCTTCCATGCTCGCGTCAGTTACAAGCGAAGCGACGGTAGCATCGGCGTCGACCCTGTGCGTTTGAGGATCCTCGATGCCGCTGATGCCCCCGTTCGATGCACTGCTCGCTGCTGGTATATTTTCGATTATAGACGGCCGCCACGGGGTGAAAGCGTGTTCCTCTAATCTCGCGTTCTGCAGCTTTGCTGACGACGGAAGGGCATCACATGTTGAAATAGCACTGCAATCGTTCCGCAAGCCCGCGGAAGCCTGCTTCATTGGTGACTGGAGCACTTTGGGCGGTCTCCAGGGCGGTGCTTCGCGTTCACGAGCTCTCGACAAGCACAGCCTAGGACGCCGCGGCCCAAGCTGGTCACGTTCAGGTCTGGTTGAAGACTTTTGGCCGCTGGCAGCAACGGTAACGGCTTCCTTATTGCCAGGGCTACAAGCGTCCTGGCCGTTTCCCGGCACAAGGGAGCTGCGCTTCTTCGGGGACCAAAATGTCTCACAAGCATACGATTTGGCTTGCACGCTGTTTTTTTGTACGTCAACCATATTGCTTACTTCTGACGAACGCGAACTGCTGCCGCAGCGCACCGGTGTAGCAGCGGGCACAGTCTCGAGGCCCAGCGCTTTAGCGGCCTTCAGAAACGGATTTTCGCACGCGTTAGGTGCGAGCACCCTATCCAGTAATGGTGTCGCCACTCTGCCTGAGTCGGTTTGCGGGGAACTAGTCGGCGGCACGAACGCTGGACCTGGTGGAGCTGATGCCTCTTCCTCTGACGTCTGCATCGCGGGGAAAAGCACAACAGCTGGACCCTTATTTTCCCCAAATTCTCCGCTTACAGCAGCCACCTATGCAAATACAGTATTTTAAGGTCGGTCTCTGGAGATTATGAGCCAAAGATCACAACTAAACACCGCAAGTTCCCGAAAAGCTCAGATAGCGCATTCTGATACCAGATCGCTTAGAGCGCGATCCAGTACGCAGTTGTTCGCGAGGCGCATCGGCGGCTGGAGGCGGCGGTTGATCTGCAGCGATCCATCGCAGTGCGATGGCTTTGTAGTGTCTCCAGCCTAGGCTCTTGAAACTAATCTGATATAGTAGACCGGGATACAGTATGCGCTTTTGTCGGGTGCCTCGATCGTTCCAGGCGAGATGCAAGGATCAAACGTCGTGGCAGATATGGACGCTACAAATGTGCTATGCCTCTGCCGAGATCACCAGATCCGGGGGACGTAGCGGGCATCATAACTTGGACAGCGACGATAGCATGGAAATGACTTGAACTATCATCGGTTCTAGCCCATGACGCGGGATAGAAGCAAAATTCAGGTCAGGTCCTTATTCCAGCGTCCGTGCGGCATGCATAACAAGCATAGGGATTAAACGTATATCCGTGTTCAGGAATCCTACCGTGCCTTGTTTGTTTACGATCAATAAAACTAACGAAACTCTTCAAGGCTAGAGTGATGCGTACCTTATCCAGACAAGCGTAAGCCGCAGAGAACGCTACGCTTTTGATCGAAGCGTCGAGGGGTATCCTGCCAGGCCCCTACATCTCCATGTATGTCAAGGCGGTACTGCGATGGGCAGTAGCTTCGGCACCAGCGACAGACCCTATAGCAAGAGATTATTCTACGTGAGTTTCCAATCTACGATACTTTATTTCAGCTGCAGCGCGATACAAACACGCATGTGCCAAGGCGGGGTGTCGGACACGTGTCCTTCATCGATCGATGAGGCGTCTCGCGCAGCGCATGCATCGCGCTCGATGAGGGTACCTGGGAGTTGGGGCAGATATGAGACACGACGCGCGTGCCGCCGTTGAAGGGAAACGTGATCTTGATCTTTAGCGTCTAGCTCTCGTGTAAAAGTTGTATTTTCGTTAACTTCATAGGCAAGTATAGTTTTTAGTTCGATTGTGTTTCAACCCTCAAGTGAAAATATTCGATTGATTTTTCGCAGTGTATAAGAGAAGCCTTCACAGAGGGTTCATTTGAAAAAACTCAAAAAGGAAAGTTATGGAAGAGCAAGTCGACGATCCTGGAGGCCCAGGGTCGCAGGCTGCCAGAAAAAACAAAAAAACAGTGCCGAGTCCAGAAGAAAAGGAAGAGAAGAAGACCCAAAGGGGGAAGGTCCTACGTCGAAGGCGGCAGGAAAGACGACTGTACAACGAGATGGTGGTGAATACCTCTCTTCTTGGACATATCAAGGATCCGTACGAGCAAAATTTGCGAGACGCTATCAGAAACCGTGTCGATTCGGACTCCAGGAGTATTATAGAGGCGTCGCCAGGACTGATGCATTTAGCGAGGGAGGTGTATCGCGACGTGACGCACATGGAAACGGTCGAGATTCCGGACGAGCTCTTCGACCAGACTTTTATTCGTCACCTAATGCTTGGCACAGGGGAAGCGCGGAGGGGAAATGAGCGGGTGCAAGTCCTCCACGAAAACTTCGCGGAATTCCGCTTCGAGGGTAATCGATACAGGGGTGACGGGGATATTTACATACGCGGCGCCATGAAGTACCTCACGAATCTGAAGAACCATTTAACAGTGAACCTCGAACGTTTCATGATACGCACCGAGTTTGCACTTTACCCGGGCATCTCTCGCAAGGGGATATCGGCGATGATCAATGGAATCACGAACGATCGCCAGCGAGAAGATGAGATCAAGTTCGTTGACAAGAAGCCGTCACACAGGAGCATGAATGAAGTCTCTGTAATCCGTGCGCCTATACAAGAGCACCGTGCAGTCTTGGGGCTGGCGAATCCAACAGACAAGATATCAGAGTTGAAAAATGATAAGGAATGATGTTATCCCCTCATCCTACGCTACTTCGTGCTTCTGGAACGAGAGCTCGAACGCAAGGCGGAGATGAAGCTGAGTAAGGAAAAATGAAGTGTCGGAGAGACGAAAGGCTGCGCTTCTGACGAACCGCTTCAGTGTCGTTCCAATGTGCAACATCAAGTCACATTTCGTGAGTATCGATTCCGGCGTCCTTTACGGCATTATGAGGCAGATCTGTCCGGAGTCCAATGTGAGCAGGGAGGAGTTCTCCGGTGAAAACCGGGAGACGTACTGGAAGAATATCTTCGATTTCAAGCGTCTCAAAGTGAGCAAGCAAAAGGTATTCACGGGAATGATCGGGACCGATGGAGTCGCCATGTGTGTACACTATCGGCGGTTGAAGACAGATCGTCCGTTCCGTCCTCGACTTCGCCCTCGGCGAAGCATGGAGAAAAGAAGGAGGCGGATCCTGCGACGCTGGAGGTGGAGGATAACGACTTTGTGGTAGGCGTGAACCCCGGGAACACGAATATCGCAACCATCACAGCACCCAAGCGTGCAGAAGATGGTACTGATGGTAACTTGCGTCAGAAAGATATGCGTCTTTTGAGATTCTCGAGAGCGAGATACTATCGAGAATCCGGTATAATGAATGCAACGAAGAAAATCGAGACGAGGAACGCAGGAATGAGGGATATCCTGGAAGCTATGAGCGAGGTGACGAGCCGCGGAGCGGAATTTCAAGCTTTTCGGGAGTTTATGGAAGTTCGTGTTGCCCATTGGGATGCGCTGTGGGAAGAATATACAAAGACCCGGTGGGCTCGTCTGTGTATGAACGTGCACTGTGGTAAGCAGCGTGCATTCGCGAACTTTTTCAATCACTTGAGCGCCCACAAAGAAGATGAAAGTCAGAGGCTGTTAGTAGCATTCCGGGCAGAGCGCTGGAAGACCCAAAAATGGACTACGCCAGCTCCAACTACAAGAACGTTCAAGGAGTGCGCATGGCGTTTTGTTCCGATACCTGTAAATGAGTTCCGAATATCCTATACACACCATGAACTGGGATGCACACTTCAGAGGGTCGAATTGGAAACGTGCCAGCGGAGCAATGAGGATATAAAAAAGTACGAAGCGCTGACAGAAGCGCTAATGAAAAGGAGGGCGAAAGTTCGTGGACTACTTGCGCTGGTGAGCGCAACCAATGATGGGAAAAAACGTATGGAGTTGGTGAACCGAGTCTTTAACGCAGCTATCAATATAAGGAAATGTGCGGTGCTGGAGAATAGACCTCCAGAGTGGACAAGAGAGAATCATACGGGGCAACCTCTCAAAGTGGAACGATATGAGAAAACGTTGGAAGCAGTAGTGGGTGGCCGGTCGAAAAAGACGGAGAGACGTCTGCACGTCAGTTGGAGACGTCTTGTCTAGGGCGCGTTCGCCGCCACTACTCTACTCGGTCGGCGTCCTTCGCCTTTAGGACGGAGTTCGTTGGTGCTCGTTGATGTTCGGCAGCAGCCGACGCGCAACGGTGAGGAAGAGCTTGTCTATTATCGAAGAGGATGAAGACGAGGCAGTCAGTGAATGCGACAGTCCTGCGGAGCTCCGGCACCGGATCACTGACGGACCGAGGAAGTTTGACGCTGTCGGAGTGACCGGTCACGGCGTGGAGAGCGACGAGTCCAGTGCTGGTAACGAAACGATGCCCTCGAGAGCACACAAGGTGCCACTCGGCCCGGTGGAGCAATCACGTCTGGGAACGAGTGCGCGCTCGAGACGCCAAGAGCAGCGCGGGCAAAACACTGACCAGATTCGTGAATTCCAAGTACGGTTACAGGAAACCCAAGATGCGCTGAGAAAAACTCAGGCCGAGGTAAGTATGCTCCGGGCTCACGTCTCGGCCCTGGAGATGGCACTGGAGGAGCGGAACACTGAAGTGCGGCGGCTACGTGAGCAGCTTGCATCCAGCGCACCAGGCGCTAGTGGGACTTTGAATGTACAGCAGGGGAAAGTGGCCTCGGCCGTAGGTCGAGACCTGCTCGGACTCTTAAGAAGTAGCCATGCGTCCGCAGCTGATTCGCCGATATCGATTTCCACTGTCTCTGAGGGCGCACTGAAACCGTCGCTGCCATCACGACTTGTCGAGCTGCGCGCCAATACTTCTCCAACAGCGAGCTCATCTGCGTCGAATATCTTGCTAGGTACTCCAGATACTGGAAAATCTTCGATGGGCAAACGTTGACGCCGGTGCCTCTAGGCCGGCGAGAGCACGCCAGATAAGTCTTCTGTAGTTGATGAGGTACCGTGGCGCTGCTCCTTGTACACTGACAGGCATTGGTGTGGTCTGCGACCGCCCTTGCCGCCCGAAACGGAGCGGATTTTCGTTGCGCTGGGAAGTGCCCGCTGCAGAGGTCGCTCTCTGGGATGTACTCGAGCCCTAGATATTGTATTAGAAGCGGATTATCCCGTATGAAGACTATCGAAAACGCTTTCACGAGACAGGCCATGGATTATGGGAAGTTGCACTGGGGAATCACTGCCTTGCAGGTTTCTTTTGTTGCATCATCGGAATCGTAAGCTGGCACTCTTGTATCTCTCTGCGACGACCTGAAAAAGAGCGTTTCGTCTGCGAAATCTTACGAAATCATGGACCACAGGGTGTGGTCGAGCGCAGAGAAGCGTTGCCGGCTTGCATTCGGTCCCGTATGTTCGTACTGTCTTTTCTAAATGTCGCCTCATTGCTCCAGCTCTATGTCGCTAGTCATGCGTGCAAAGATTCAAATGTGCAGGCAGGTCTATGTCCAGTTCCAAGTCCGCGACGCATGAAAGCAGGTAAGGCAGCAGGCATGGATGCATGTGTACGCGTTTGTTCGCATCCACGCGGGCAGGTAGGCAGGTAGACACGCTGGTACACAGGAGCTGGATTCTGCATCTGCGCTCTGCGAAGGCTATCCAGCAAAAAGATCGGGATACGTGCTGGGTCCCAGTGCTAAAGA